AAAATAGGATAACTTGCACCAAATAAATTATTGAAAATTACTTTTGAATATATACACCCTCTAGAAGTCTTTCTTAATAAATTTTGGAAATTCGAACTATTTCCAGTTATTGATTAAAATTATGTACATTTTGATAGCTAAAAAATGATTGGCATTATGGATGAAGAACTCAATAGATATTTAAATCAATTATTTAAGATAAATAATTTCAAGTTTGAATTTAGATAGGAAATATAAGTGGAAATAGATTTTGAATACCCAATTACATTTTGGAAAAGTCCTACTCATAAACTTTAATCTGCAAATGCTAAAAATTATTCAGATTTTCAAACAGAAGGAAATTAAAAAAAAATAATACTTTAATTATAAGATATTCCTGAGAACTTTGAACCAACCAAATAGTTTACTTTACTTTTTTCTTCAGATGAAATTAATTTGCCTCGTGCTATCTTGAGTCATACAAATAATGATGCCTTACAATATTAAAAATATTGTGCTACATTAACCTTCATTCCAAAATTTAATGAAGTTTCTTTAGATGATGCTTATATATAATATTTAGATGGTTTAAGTATGGCTGACAATTAAGTAATTAATAGAGGCAACTACTTATTCATAATCGATCGAAGTGGATCTATGAGTGGATCTAGGATCAAAAAAGCAAAATCAGCTCTAATTTATTTTCTGAAAAGCTTACCTTAGGATTCTGAGTTTAATATTATTTCTTTTGGTAGCGATTTTTCATCGTTGTATGAAGTCTCCAAAAGATATACTCAAGAATTTTTAGAAGAGGCAATTTTGCATGTTGAAAAAATGGAAGCTGACATGGGAGGAACTGAAATACTGACTCCATTAAAGAACATGGTATATGACGCAAGTTACGGTAAATCCAAAAATACAACTCTGAATGTATTTTTGCTTACTGACGGAGAGACAAGTGCTGATCCTATTATTGAATTGGTTAAATCTAATAATCAAGCTCAAACCAGAATCTACACATTAGGAATAGGTTAAGGATGTAGTTAATATTTGATCAAAAGTGTGGCTGATGTAGGAAATGGCAAATATCAAATTGTTAGTGATAAGGAAGATATAAATGAGAAAGTGATTGACCTATTAGAAGATTCATTAACTCCATATTTATAAGCGTTTACATTAGAATCAAATGTGGTTAATGTAGCGTCTATTATTCCCAACCCAGAATCAATAGTATGTTTAAAGAAAAATTAGGAACTTACAATATAAGTTTTGTTTCCTATGGAATAATAATATGAAAATTTAGAGTTTAAGATCAATTGTTTTGATCCCTAAAATTCAAAAAAAATACAATATTCTGTAAGATTAAACATGAATTAATCTTTAAACAATGAATATTTTCATAAATTGGCAGCCTATAAATTAATTACTTATTATGAAAACTCAATAAAATATAATTAACAACAAGTGAATTTTATCAAACTTAATAAGGAGAATCTTGATTAATAAGATATTATTGATTTATCTGTTTAAAATCAAATTCTATGTTCAAAAACAGCATTTGTAAGCGAACTTTGTCATTTAGAGGATTAATTGTAATAATAAGTTCAACCAGTCAATTAGAGAAATGATATGACGATGATGTAAATTCTTGATCAATGTACAATATAGCTAGAAAAAAATTAGCAAGATTATGAACAAATCCTGGCAAACATTCATACACTCAATTCACAAGATACTGATCTTTGTTGTATTATAGATGACAGATTCAATTCAAAAAATAATGCTCTTTGTTGTGAGAGTATAAATGACAGATTGGGAGAAACTAAGTAAAAGAGTAAAAGTTCAGCAGGTTGCTGTGGAGGTGGAAGCTCTTAAAATGATTATGACAGATTCAGGTAAATATCATATATTCCTCAACAATAGTAATAATAACCTTAATACACTCAACCATTATTATAAAAACAACCGTAAAACAATATAAACATAAAATAGAAAAGTTCAACAGATTATGCTAACATCAATTGTGAATAATTGATTACATCTGCTTTAGCAGACGGTAGTTTTAGAATCAATACAGAAATGCAATAAATTATCAATTATAAAAATTTGTAAAATCATTAAAATCTAAAGGATGATGTTTGGAATACTTTCCTAGCGTTATTATACTTAGAATATTAGTTTAGCCAATTTAAAAAATCATGGTAGTTGGTTTATTAAAAAGGTATGTCATATCTAAAATAGAATGGAGTAGATTACAAATAAAAGAAGATTGAATATTTAATTATATGAAATTCACATAAATATATATATCCTCTATTGAGTTATTGTAATTTAAAACAAGGAAGGCTCATACTGTCAATATAGCATTGACTACTCTCGATATTTATATACTTAAATATTAAATTCCTCTCAATATTTTAAAAAACAATATTCTAGCATGATTTAGTTTGTTGGTAGATAATTAATGAACATGTAAATGAAATACTATTCTATCAATTAATTAAGATTGTGATTAATTAAAATCTTGGATATTGATGGGCCAATTTTCATAATGAAATTCTAATAATCGAAATTCGAATATTCAGTAAAAAATAAATGATTTTAATTTCAATTAAACATTATGATGATGCTATCTATTTAAATTAATGCCTATTCTTTCTTGATTATAACCATTTATTTATTTTTGGCTTTCAGTTTACTTTCTAATAATTTTTGCTTGTTGCACATCATTAGCAATTTATATTTCCTTTATATAATATAGATCATGTTTCTTAGATTTTGTGTGTGAGCAAAACATAACATATTTAAAATTATTCTGTTTTTAACATTTTCTGTTATGTGCCATTCTAAGTTAATAAGACAGTCAGCTGGTGACTTACAGCCATGAAAATTTTTTATTAGTAAGACCTTTAAAGAGCATCAAATTTTATTTTATTTCTTGTATAATAAGTATTTTCGATAATGGTTAAAAGTGTCAACACGAGCATGTAGATTTAGGTGAGTTTGAGAGTACTTAGATTGGGGGAATATTGAACATTTAGGAAAATGGGATTGGTAGTTCAATACTTTAATTCGAAACTCTCTTTCGTCAAAAAACGATTTTTTATAAGTATGGTAAAATAGCTTTGATGAATTATTTAAGAGATTTTGAAGCTATTTTAATTATATATTTTGTATTTTTCTCTCAAATATTATTTTTTCTTTGAGGGAGTTGACGATCTATTTTGGCAATATTAATAATGACCTAAAAATTCCTTGTTTTTCATAGAGCTTGGTTTTGAAAATTTCGGGCTAATTTTACTTTCAGTTATCTAGTAACCAAAGATATTTAACTTGTCAGATTCTGTTCATGTTCTACCTTTCTATGTACTATTATATAATAAAAAGATCTGCAGGAACTTTGTTTTATTCATCTCTAAAGAAGAATAATTATTTTCTACGTCTGTTTCACATTAGAATCTAAAGTTTTGGAGATGTTCAAATTTTTGTTTTGTTATGAAAGAATTTCTTGGAAGGAGCGATTTTTTCAACTTTCCTATTATTTTCAATTTTTTCGAGGTTAGCTTCAATTCATCTATTTTTTGATTTTAATCCAATCTATTCTTCTTGAGATCTTTCTCTAAAGACATAATATGTTTTTGGTTGATATATTTGAGGAATTTTAGATGGGCCCTTTAATATTTAAATAGGCTTAATTTGTTTTAACTGGCTACTTCCTGATTTATAGTTTTATGAAGTCGATAAGTCCACCAATGGATCCAAATTTCGTTAATTTTTGAAGGTGAATATGCCACCTTATTGAAAGTAAGTTATCTACACAAATTTTGTGCAACAATTATTTGTGAATTCCTCTTGGAATCTGATCTGCTAATCCTTTTTTTAAGAAATTTTTCAATTTACCTCTCTCTATTATCTTCTAATTGTTTTCTAGGCAATGTTATCATTTTTATTAATTTAAACACTTCCCTGTTTATTTAAAAACTTTGAGATAGGAGTTCTTGAGCGGGTTGAATTGTTTACCATAATCATCTTGTTGTCTTTGACAGTGCCAAGTATTTGGAAAAACTGATGGATATTAACCTTTGGCTTGAGTGAATGTATAATTTGAAACCAATTATCATCTTGTAAGCAAAAAATTTTTGATTAAAACTAGATTTGAAGCCACATTTTTCCAGGATCTTTATGTAAACCTTGGCACAAAGGATTTAAGGTTTCACTTTTTATCCGCTTTTGTCTTGCTAATATGCATTTTTGTTAAATTTTCATCCATTCTGAATACATGCCATTTCTACACACTTGCCAAGAATAACTTTTAAATTGGTTAAATTTCCAAATTTTACATCAAACGACTTTTCTGCAGTGGAGAATACTGAGTAAAATAAATTTATAGTTTATTATTTAAAGGACATAGCATAGGTGCAGTGCTGTTCATTTAAAGATTCTTATGTGGACTTGTGAAAAAGAGGAGACATTTCCAGCCAGCCATATCCTCCGTTGGGTTTCCTTTAAACATAGGAATGGACCCTACTAACAGCTTAACTGGTACTTGAAAAATATGGGTTTCATAATTAATAAATTATGTAGACGGTTCCAAAGAATATTCAATCATTACCAAAAGAGTTCTCAAACATTATTTAAAATTTATGAAGAATACAAACTACACAGTAAATGATCAAGCGTATCCATATTTAACCCAGCCAAGATGAGAATTTAAAAGTTTCTTTATCATACTAACTTTAAGGCAAATAATGTTCAAACATTTTCAATTAGAATCAATAAGTTCCAAAATTTTACCTCAGAACTAAAATAAAAACTATTTAACTCCAAACTCTACTCTTCTTTTGGCTATCTTTAAATCTTCGCTACTCAACATACAATTTTTGTAAACAAGTTTAAGAGAGCAAATTATAAATATTGTGACTTCTTTTAGTTCTTCTTATATTTTTAAGATCCCTTTCTGCTTTTTTATTAAGCCTTTTTCGATTTTTTTAATACTAATTCAATTCGTGTTTTCGGAATATCTAGTCTAAAAAAGATCAGATATCAATTAATCTTCTTGTTTAATAAATTAACCTTTCTTTGATCAATGTCATCATACCTTAGACTTTTATGTTATTTTTTCAAAAATAATCTTCCTTAATGTTTCAAACTTTGGGTGTTAAGTGTTTCTCATAAGCTTTGAGAGATATATTCATCACGCATAATCTTGCTTTACTCCAATTAAATTTGGAGAACTGTTCAGTTGTAGCTAGATGGTTTAAATTAATTCTTATATTGAGAGATCGGTTTTGCTTTTCATTCTAAATCAGCTTCTAATTATAAATTTTGAAAGGATTATTTATTTCCTTATATTTAAAGTGTTATTTAAACTGTTGCTCAGTCATCATCCGTCACAAAATCTTGATAAACTTTTATAATTTTCCATCATGATCATTTTTAGTATTTAGTATTTACAACAAAGAAAATTGACTAACTATATCATATAACTAAGATTTAGTCAGTAATTTATCATTTGGAATCAAAAGCATACTTTAAATATATGACTTGAGTAGGTTGGCTTGTATGTTAGTTTGATCAACTCAAATAAAACTAAAATAATTAATTTTCATTTAACATTAACTAAAATGACAAAAAAAAATTAATGTAATTGATTTTTTTGTAACAATTGATGATTCCAATTTAAGAGAAAATCATCACAAAATAAAGCATTTTCATCTTCTAAATCAAAAAAGAGTATTAAAAACAAAAATGATCAACTTTCTTCTCATAAATAATGAATAATTATTAATTGTAATATAAATAGAATTAGTAACAAAAATGACCCAAAAGAAATCAGTCTTTCTTTTAGTTTCTTAATGACCCTAGCACTGCTATAATTCTCAGATCCATCAAAAATATTGATAGGAGAACCTATACTTTATTTCATGAATCATCAGCCAAATATAGACAACATCAGCTCTCTCCAATATATGATGACAATCCAACAGCTACGCAATAATGGCTACGCGGTTAGATCAAGGAGTTGGATGCGAATGAGAGACAATCAAAACAGGATGCTGGGATTTTGTCAGAATAGTATTTAATTACCTTTACTATTCCTTGCAAATATATGCCTATTTATATTTCAATGTTCAATAGATTAGAATAAAATATGATCTAAAATGAAACTCCTTTGTTATTTATTTCTGAATTATGGATTTTATATAATGAATGCAATTATTAACATTGATTTGAATGCTATTCAAATTAAATTAGCAATATAACATGTATAATAAAAAGAATAATTCAGATAATATGAATTATGATATATTGAATATTTATGAAAACATTCAACTATAAGAGAGCGTTAAAATAGAAACATATATTTTATCAGAAGAAAGTTGTGATGAAATGTATTAACTAGAAGATGGAAAAATAATACTATTTTGTTTGAAATCAATTTTTTTTTAAACAATATTCAGTAAGTTTACAAGGAGATATTTTTCCTCTTCTAGAATGATGTTTCTGGTTAGGTTTAAGACTAGTGCAAGAAAAACAGAATAATATAAGGCAAGAATTAGTTTAATATATCATTTTTTAATTGATAAAATTGGGAAATTTTTTCAATTAAAATTAACAAATCGCGTCATTTTGGAATCTAAAACGTAAAATTATTAGTTAGTCCTCAAATATTTTCAAAAGTAAGTGATGCATAATTTTGCCCCATTAATGCAGAATTTTCTATACCTCTTCGAAGGTAATCATTAAATTCAAGTTATTTATGGATAAATTAATAAGGATTTTCTTAATTCTTCAAAAGCGAAAATTAAATTTAAACATAATAGAGTAAAGTTACATTATTTAATTTTACTATTAAAGTCAAATCCAAATGATCTGCTAATTACATATTCAAATAGGTCTAGTTGTAAACCATTTAAGAGAATCAGAAATGAAATTATCTTAAATTATAATTTTTAAGTTGATAATGCCTTTCTATAAAATTAAAAATAGTTAATAATTAGAATAGATCACCATTTGATTTAAAGATATGAAATATTAAATACATCACTAAATTTCTTTGAATAAAGTACACCTTTTATTTTGTTGAATTTCAATATGATATGTGATTTTGTATATAACCTATTTTATCAAATAGATAGATATATCCCAATGACAAGCTTTATTGAACTAATAATTTACGTTCGTACATATTAATAGGAGTATAATTAATAGCATTATTTTATAAACTTATAGTTGATAAAATTAGGCTTTGAATAATGTTAAATCATCAGGAAATCGTTTAAGCAAGCAAAGGTAAGCAATACTAATTTTGGTTATATCTAATATCTATATAATTTTTGAGTTAATCATTTTAAATAGCAATTTCCAAGTAAAATATGTATTTTGTTTAAATGATAATTAAATGCAAAATATCATTTAATTTAACTGGTTGGGTTTTTATACTTTTAAAGAAAATACTATTAGATAACGATAAAGAGTTGTCTAGATAATATTTCAGGAGAGGATCAACTCAAAGATTTTATGCCTAAATGATATTCTTTAACTTTGAGTAATCAGCTAAAATGCAAATTCTAAGTTGAAGTATTTGATTAATAGTAATAAATAAAAATCCAGATTCAGTAAAAGCAGATTAAGAAATAGAAGCGGAACAAGAATATCTTTAGGTTATATATGATTATATGGCATGTAATATACAATTAATAAATACATTATTCCAAAATTGTATAAGTATAACTTAAATTCTTATAGGTAATCTAATAAATAATGGATTTAAGAAAGTTCATATATAATAAGAGTTGAATTAGATACCTTTATACTTAGATATCACTTTTAATTTAAGCAGACTCTCTAATTTTTTCTGAATGGCTATTGAAGGATGATACTTTCATGATATAGAGGAAAAATTTTTTAAGCATCAATTTGAAAATAGCTATTTGAAAGTTCAAAGAATCTATTTATTCTTATATTTTAAAAGCATAAAAAACAATTTAATTTTATATTTTTGGAAAAAGTATAAATTTCATCCTCTAATCTAGAGACATTCATAAATTCATTTTGAAAAAATTATTTTTTGAATTAAAGAGATTTAGCTTTGAAACCGAGTTGACAATCAATATTATTGAATAGCCGAATAATAAATTTAAAATGAATAGAATGGTTAAAATCAAAGTTGTTTGCCACCCTAAAATATCTTACTATAAAAATTCTAATAAAGACAAGTTAAAATAATTCATTCAATAGAATGTATTTTGAATAAGCTTGATAATATGTAATATCAATTTAGAAATATATTTCAAAATTCCTGTTTACTTTGTCTAATGACAAATTAAGATTTATAAAATTGAATCTAGGATGTATTTTATCTTCAGATAATATTTAGCATACACCCTAACTTAAAAATGAGTAAGAAATTAGATTTATAGGAAACTTCTTAATTTAGCATCCTTTTAGCCTATTGCTATTTAGTTTCGCATCTATAAATTCGTTTTTTATATTGTGAAATATTGAAAATATTTTGAGATTTAGTTGTGAGTAATAATCAAAGGATGAAATTTTTTAATTTGTAATGATCTTCGAATTACCACATTATTTACAGTTCATCATTAATCTGTAGTTATATTAACTGAACGTATTTTGACGTGGTATCAGGGGTTATTAGTATTTATAACTCAATGGGACTGATTCATCAGGCAGCTTTATGTTAGAGTGTATCGTACATGTAGAATACAAAAATATGAAGCTGAAGATTGATCTTGATTATCTAGAGAGTACAACAAATTCAGACTGAACTGCAAATTGCAAGCCAATCTTAACAAATCAAGTATGGTTGGCCTAATGCAGCTGCCGATTAATCAAATTTTGAAACTGAAATTAGTGTTCATTATCTTGATTTAGAAGATGAGAATTGTGCTGTTACAAACAATATAGGGAATAATGGGGGCAATAAAGTAGAGTGCTAAATATTGTTATATGGAGCTCATTAAATTTACATAGCGCAATAAAGTTAAAATTTAGTTGCCATAGTAGATTAGACAATTAGTCAAAACAGCCATTAAAGCAATTTTGAATTTTGAAAATCTTCTAAAGAGAAGAAACATCGATCTTGGCTAGCATATGGTAATACAGCAATAATGTGTAATAATAATTATGCAACTTAACGCAAATGTGAACCAGATCAATTAGGTTCGAAACAATCTATCTAAATTTTATTCTGGTCCTGCATTACATAACCTGGTGCTTAACTTTGAGATACATTTACGCTCCTATTTTGAATCTACCTAGTAAGCTAGTACAACTTTGACCACTTTTTAAGATGATTTATGAAGTGTATTGTTCATTGCATAATTCTTTGTGTTCCTCTAAGAAAAATGCACTTTTAAATACTAAGGCTTATGCTATCTCAACTGATGCATATTGATGTTAAAAATTTATGATTTTCTCCACTAAATATATTAATTACATAAATAAGGTTTAATGCTTACTTATCTTTTCTAGTATATGGCGTATTATGCATTCACGTTTTAATTCTTAATGAGCCAATTTGTGATAAATGCTCCTTCATATGAGCATCTTCTATTTCTCTTCTTCTTTTCCTGGATTAGCAGGAACTTCACTTGCTTCTCCTGCTAGAATGATTTTCGAACGTAATCATCAGTACTTATTTATATCTGTATGTTACTATGTTTTTTCTTCCTTCGCAAAATAAAAACTTATGTTCAAATGATATCTTAGTGATCACACGCCAAAAAGGTGTTGAATATTAAATAAAACTAATGGGATTTTAAGAAGTGTCAGAAAACATCCACAAAAATATGGCACAGTAAATATCGCTGTATAATATTCATGGCTTAAATATGCACTGAATTTGTAGAAAGCATAAGTCAAAAATTATCTTCATCAGTTTTGCATCAAACAAAAGCAGCTATACATTTACGTTTGCCGTGTACTATTGGAATATATTGAAAAATTATTACACAAGTGGAGAATCCCCATATGCTTTGGGAGGTTCACAAGAATCCAAAAAAGATTATTATACTTATGGAAGCATTTAACAAAACAGAGTTGCCATGATGCAGAACCAGAGTCAATGAGAGAACCTTAGGTATGATACGTCACATTAAATGCAGATTATATAAAATTTGTATAGTACTAAGGTAGCTAAATCACATTTTACTTTATAGAGAAAATTTGATGTGATTGCTACATTGGAGGGGTTTTAAAATTTATCCAAGAGTTGTACTAGATAAACACCTATATATATAGTATGAGCACGATTATTTTTGAGCTAGTAGATAAATTTAAAGTAAAGGATAATAATGAAATGGATAAATTATGTTACGATAATTTTTTATTTGCATTAAAATATTTAGTAGATCAATATTGAATACCTGGATAATTGGGTAATTTAATAAATTTGGTAAAGACTTTAATTAAAGGTGGAAATCTTAGAACATATTTAATTGATGTTAAGCAATAATTATAAAATGATAATGTAAACAAAACTACATTATTTAATTTATTTATATATTTATTTATGTCATATATCAAATCCATCCATTAAAATGAATATTGCTACTTTAATTATTATTTAGTTGTTAATCCACACATTAATTCTAACATTTAAAAAGTAGTCATAAAATTGCATTTTCATATTAAAATAACTTGATTCCTTAATAGCATTTGAAGTAGTGTAAGATAATATATATAGTTCATCGTCTATGTTTTTGGCTATTACATACTCTATTTCATCACATAGTACTTCGCATAGTTCATAACCATTTTCATCACATATTTATTATTTTGTTTATCATATATTTCACAGCATATTTATTCCTCTATTTTATTCCAATAAATTATCTAGTTTATTATTTTGTTCATGTCCTATTTCATTATATCTTTTACTTTTTTTTTTGCATATTTCAATGTTCTTCATAGATTTCATCGGCAATTTCATTCCCTGTTTTTTTTAAAACATATGTTCCTAACCTGTTACATCCTCTATATTTTTTCTTATTCGCCCGATATTCAAAGCCTATTTCCTCCCCTATTTTATTTCCTATTTATTTTATTTTTCACCTCCTCTTTAATCCCCCTAATTTTTTTTTCAAATCTTTTTTTGCATATTTTTCCCTATTTATCTCATATTTATCCACTAGGGAATGCATTTACTCATAATAAATCTCATTTGCAAAAAACACCCATATTTCATCTGCAATTTCAACCACTATGTCATCGCCTATCCCTATAGGGAATCGACAAACGAGTAAGCTATCTTTAGCCCGACCATATTACTGGCGTCCTAGAGAGACAGTTATATGTCACTCTTGATTGTTAAGAATATATGTAAAGCCTATTATGACTGTTGAGAATGCTCTTAAATATCTCTAAATTGTTAAGCTAACCCTTTTATGGGCATTTTGTAGCAATAGAGATTCTGCTTTGTACACAATTTTCATATTGATAGCAACTTTCCATCAAATTTCTAAATTTCTAGAGTTATTTGCTATCAAAACTTAGATCATGGTTACTAATTAAATTGATCTAGCTTAACATATTTAAAATAATAATCTTTATCCGTTCATTTAAGATTACTTCCATCTTTTGCAACTTTATCAATTTGTCATCTTGTATTCAATGGTGGCATTTTGAAAATGTGAACAAGGTTTTCTATCTGGTAGATTTGAAATCTTACTAACCATTTATTATAATTTGCAGTTCATTTTGATTAAATTGCCCAGCTACATTATTCTTAATTTACAATTGATTGGTACCATAAAACCCTTTGGAGTAATTCAGAAATTCATTAAGATCATATGCTATTAGAATAGATCTGCAGAATATTATTATGATAGGATTCATCATGACTTTATTAGACTATGATTCATAACAACCTCAGTTAATGAGTTCTTTTATACTGTTGTTATTCTTTGTTAAAGCTAATATTTGAAGGTTTGAGAAAATCTTTGAATGAGTTTTCTTCAATCGTCATTATGCATGTGCTAGATCAATTAATTGAAATTTTGAGAGTATTCAGTAACTTCCACGCATCTAGCAATAGTTTGGCTAACTTTTGTCTCGATGGCAATTCATCCGTATTCATTTTTCCTTTGTATTGTATTCCTTTAGCTCTTGGAGACAAAATTATTGATGTGATTGCTCTACTTTTATCATTCAGATAGACAATAAATTCTGATAAAAGAATTAAAAGACAGATGCTCTTACTGTCTATACATTAGCAGGCACTAGCGATTAGAATTTCTTTATATCTTTCTACAAATTTTAAATGTAGAGATTCCAAATTTGTATACACCATATCGGAACTCAACCATAGGCAAAATTATATAGCCCAAAATAGTAAATAGTTTCAAGAGTTCTGATACAATATGTACCTCTAATACTAACTAGGTCAACACCTACCCACTATATGTTAAATCACGCATTATTTTATAATGACAAGCTATGCATCCAATTAGTTTATGAACAGCTGATCACATATAATCAAACTATGGCATTTACATTTTTATTGAATAATCCTATGAATTCATCCTAATCCTTTTTGTTTGTTTATGAAAATTTTTATTAAATTATATCTTTATCTTATAGATCTGAAGATTATCACTTTAGGACGCAGGCAATGAAGTTACAACAAATATTTCAGTAAATCGCTGTTCTTTTTGGAATACGATTTTGTTATTTATCAAATAATTGAATCACAATCATTTCCATAAAAATTTCATTTGAGACATCTATGGTTAGTGATTAAATATATAATAAGAAATTACTATTAAAATCATTAACCAATTAAATAGTTGTTAAATTTATATAAGCTGATTATTAAATTATTAATAATAATATTTATTCAGATACTTCAATTAGCAAATTATAAGTGTAGAATTTCAATTTATAAATTAGATGTTTCTTGTTCCTGGTTCAATTATTAATATTGATTGCCAGTCATAGTATATTTGAAACTCTGTTTTTAATATTTTAAAATGATTAATATATTAATTACATGGGTAGAAATAATTTCAGCCTAATTAGCCTAATTGTAGAAAATATATTAATTTGAGTTTCACTATAAAATTTTTTGTTTCAATAAGATTATTCATGTCAAATTATTTAGAAAAAACAAGATTGTGACTAGATAAAGTTAATTATATTAATCGAATGGAGTTCCTTAATAATTGAGGTTAACTACTATGATATATAAATTGAATTTGGTTTTCTTATTAATATTTTAAGATAAATTTGAGAAAAACAGGATAGATATTTTTTCCAAATTTGCTTATCCAAATCAATAAAAACATTAGAAATAAATTCATTATTTTGGATAAGATTTGATAAACACAAAAATTTCGAAATTTGATTTTGTATCTCAGATAATATGATAACTTATCCAAATAAATTCTTTAGTTTAGTATTTTTTATAATCAAAACAATTTAAAGACTTTGTTCACTAACAAAAGTGAATCAGATTTTTATAAATTTAATGTAAAATGGTTTGCTATTTTTTGAAATTATTTGAAGTGGATACATAGTAGGATCTTAATAAAAATATACAATAGTTTTCTGAAATTTCTTAAATGTATTATAATTATAAATGATAATTATTCCGCTTCTAAATATGGAATGAAATTGATTGATTTCTTTTGTTTAAATTTTAATTAGCTTAATTTTTTTTTCTAATTAATAATAATAATTTACTTTAATTGAATCTGGGTATCATTTTTTTAATGTAATACATTTTACATCCTTTTCTGGATAATTAACATTTCCATGTTAACTATAAATCTCAACTTAAATATTTTAGAAGTTATCTTTTTAATTTAGGCATCCAAAATTTTCGCTCATTTGGTAACAAAATCAAGTCCCTTCTTGTTCCAATTTCGATTCTGCAAATTATATTCATTTGAAATTGTTACTGATAATTGTATAAATGCAAGATATAAAATTACTTTAAGAATCACTAAAAGGCGTAATCCTTTATATTATTGATATTTCTTTGATATATATTTTTAATTATATATTAAATAATTTATTAAATGATACAACTAATAATAATTAGTATATCTGAATACAATAAATTTAATTACATTAGGGTAAAATTTTCAATTTAGATTTAATTACAGTAGATTTTGACTTTTTTAAGAAGTCAAAGAATCAAGTTTTTTATAATTGCTGAGTCGAAAATCTAAATAATAAAATGGTGATAATTGTGATTAAAAAATAATTAATAGAATATTTCATACTATTTTGATAATATCAATTTTATTCTATTCTATTGATCTTTCAACAATCAAACTGCCTTTAGATTTGAATAACTATCTTAAATTAAAACCTTCATAATTTATAAACTCTCCTTCATAGATTATGGTTCCTTTGGCTTCAAAAATTTAGTTTTAGGAAATTTGTAGAATTGAAAAATATGAAATAGCTAAAGAAAAGTGCAAAATAAATACCAGAATGTGAATGAACATTGTTGTTAAATAATTTTTGTTAAATTTTTGGTAAAAGATCTTCATAAGGAAAACCTTATAGTAAATTTTATTGTTGTGCCGTAATGTCCCATAAACGAATAGAGCTATCCCAACTACAAGATGCTAATATAGTACCATCAGGAGAGAAACAGACTGAAGAAACATTATGTAGATGACCATCTAATTTGGCTATTTATTATTCTTTTTTAACGTCCCATAAACGAATAGAGTAATCCCAACTACCCGATGCTAATTTAGTACCATCAGGAGAGAAACAGACTGATAGAACATAATCAGTATGACCATCTAATTTGGTTTTTTATAATCTTGTCTTAACATCCCATAACAATATAGAGTTATCCCAACCACCAGATGCTAAAGTAGTACCATTTGAGGAAAAACAGATTGATGAAACATAACTGGTATGACCATCTAATTTGACTTTTTATGATCCTGTCTTAACATCCCATAAACGGATAGAATAGTCTTAACTCCCAGATGCTAATATAGTACCATCAGGTGAGAAGCAGACTGAATAAATATTACTTGTGTGACCATCTAATTTTACTATTTATTATCCTGTCTTAACATCCCATAAATAGATAGACTTATCATAACTACCGGATGCTAATGTAGTACCATCAAGAGAGAAGCAGACTGATAGAATTCCATTATTATGACCATTTAATTGAGCTTTTTATTAACTTGTCTTAACATCCCATAATCGGATAGAGTTATCAAAACTACCAGATACTAATAGTGTACCATCAGGAGAGAAACAGACTGAAGAAACAGTGCTAGTATGGCCATTTAATTTGACCTATAATTATCCTGTCTTAACATTCCATAAACGAACAGAATAGTCTTAACTTCCAGATGCTAAGGTAATACCATCAGGAGAGAAACAAACTGAATAAACGTAACTTGTATGATAGTCTAATTTAGCTTTTTATTATCCAATCTTAGCATCCCATATGCAGATAGAGTCATCAAAACTACCAGATGCTAGTTTTGCACTATTAGGAGAGAAACAGACTGATAGTATTCCCTTAGTATGACCATTTAATTTGGCTTTTTATTACTTTGTCTTAGCATCCAACAAACAGATTGAACTATCATAACTACCTGATGCGATTGTAGCACCATCAGGAGAGAAACAAACTGAAGAAACAACGCTATTATGAACATTTAATTTCGCTTTTTATAATCCTGTCTAGACATTCCACAAACGGATAGATTTATCATAACTACCAGAAGCTAATGTTTTGCCATCAGGAGAGTAACAGACTGAATAAACATAACCTGTATGACCATCTAATTTGGCCTATTACTATCCTGTCGTAATATCCCATAAACGGATAGAGTTATCATAACTACCGGATACCAATGAAGTACCATCAGGCGAAAAACAGACTGAATAAATGAAACTTTTATGGCCATTTAATTTGACTTTTAGTTTTCCTGTCTTGACGTCCCATATACAGATAGAGGCATCTTAACTACCAGATGCTAATTTAGTACCATCAGGAGAGAAACAGATTGAATAAACTTTATTTTTATGGCCAATTAATTTTGATATTGATTTCCCTGTTTTATGATTCCATACATACACAAAGTCATTACTACAAGAAGCTATTGTAGTATTCTTGGGCGAGAAGCATATTGATTTTACCTAACTCTTTGCTTTTAATACAGATTTGTTATTTCCTGTTTTCACATTCCACAACCTAATCAAATTATCATCACTACTAGAGGCTAATGAATTCCCATCTGAAGAAAAGCAAACTTAATTGACATTCCCATCATGTCCTTTTAATTTCTGTAACTCGTTTATTCTTAAATTCTTCCATATACAATTATATAATTTGGCTCCATTTAATTTCATTCCACTAATTATGATATTATCCAAGTAAGATCCACTCAAGTCACATTTGACAAAATTTGCTCCTTCAAGTGAAGTATTTTGAATTTTAATGTTTTTAAAAGATAGTGTCTTCAAATCAACCTTTACTTAAACTAATATATGAAGAGAATTCGATCCACACTATATATATCTCTCATCTATGGCAGTAAGATGAACGAAAAATTTTAATAACTCGATGATATTCATATCATTTGATATACTAATAATCAGGTTTTATCTCATCTCTTGATGTTCTTCTATAGAGTAATTCTGTTTGTTAAATTTATGGTCTTTTATTTTATTGAGTATATATATTATTTTCTTAAGGCTATTTTGTCCAAATTTTAGCACTTATTCCTTGTTGATCTGTAATAAATTTTCTGATTATAATATTTCTTATTTGTTTTGCCATTAATTGTTAACTTATGAAAGATATTATAGACAATCTTAAATTTTCTCACTTTTGAATATATTAATAAGGATAGGAAAGATTGATTGATCAAAATCATTACATTAAGCTAAGACTCCATACAAATCTTCATTCAAGTCATTCTATTAATTCATTTTCTTTATTTAAAAATAATATTGCATCTTAATTACTTATTTGAGTTTTATGCTATAAATCAAAGAAGTATCTTACATATTTTTGATTAGAGGAAAAGAAAAAGTTGTAAAGATTAGGAGTTAATTGTGATTGATGTAAATTATAATTGCGAGAATGAACATAAAATTGTTCATTGCTTAATTCTTTATGAATATAGAACGAAAATACAAACCAAAAAACACTAAAAACATTTCATATAATCATGAAGATTATTCATAAAAAATTGATGTTCGCTAAGTGCATCATTGTTCTGAAAAGGGTTTTTTTGGACTTCTAATAAGGTGGCATACTTTTTATTTCAATTTATATTTATTGTAAATTTCTTCAATATTTCAGTTTTATGTAATTTCTTTTTAAATTTATTATTCTAGTTTTCAAATTTTCTGACTTTAGTTTTTAGGAACTTTATTGTCAATAACAATTATAGGATTTCATCCAAATGTTTTAGGATAGGGATATTTTTGCTTTGGATACATTCTCTATCCAAAAAATTTCATCATAATTTGATAAAAATAGTTTATTGATTTTTTAAATAACAGAAGCACAAATAATTATTTTGTTTTAACCTAGAGCATCTCAGGTTTTTATGGTTAAGATTTAAATTAGGTTGAACATTTATTTAAAAGATTTTGACATTGAAACTAGAAGAGTGATCTTAAAAATGATTCTAGCTTTAATTTTAGACTAAATTGAAGAATTCAAGCTAATTCTTGTTTGGTTGTAAGAGAAGGCTTGGAATTTCATTAATGAGTGATGTTGTGGAGTCTAGGTTGATTGATTTATGAAAAAATTTGGGCAAGATGTTGAGAGTAAATTGAGTTTTTCAAGTTACCCTCGAAGGAGGCGATCATAAAAGACCATTGACGTAAAATGAGATAGATTTAATTTAGGACTCAATTAAATAAATAGATTATAAATAGCAACGAATCAGTTGAATATAGATATATAGCTTGAAAATCTTGAGATTTTTGTAGAGGAAATTATAATTAAACTAAAATTAACTAGTGTAATCAGAAATCACCAGAAATATTTTTGAATGTTAATGAATTAACTTACAGGAATATAAATTTAAGGAGATTGAGTTAGAGTTTATCACATGTGGTGTACAAGGATCTTTCAAATATTTCAAAGGGTAATTGCATAAGATATTCATGGCAAATGAATCATGGAAGATCAAAGTATCGAATAATGTATTGGCCAATTTTAAAGAAACAGAAACTTTTGGGAGATGAATTTATCTGCTTCAAGCCTTGCTTGATAATACTAAAAGAGATATTTGGTAAGTTAAGAGACAGCGAAGCACGAGCTAGATGAGATTCTATCTTAACCAATATTGAGTAAATACTTTATTTCGGCTTTTAGTCTATATTTTATCTTATTTACATGAGCTTTTTAAATGAGGATGGTTCGATACTTTCTCATCCAAGTTTATGTATTAAAGATTAGTTGAAAACTACCTATTATGTTACACTTTGGTATAAATTGAGTTGAGCTTATAAATTTACCAAATTTGTTTGATAAAGTGAGGTGAGTAATATATTTTAGTTTCAATAGTTTTATTAGTTGAGTAATCTTTACTTTTGTTATTATCTTATAATTCTGTTACTTGTAATTTCTACTATTTTCTTTGCTATTATGTAATTTATTAATTGAATTATATGGAGTAGATCAAAAAATAATTTACTTCTAAAAAAATAATCTAATTTATTCAACTTTTTATTAGTTGGTTTAAATATAATCTGTCTGTAGGTTAAAATCTAAACTGTCACTAAGCATACAGTGTGGTTGGGCTAAAGAAATGGTAGCTAAAATCTATTAGTGCAGCTTTAGGAGGGTCAAAAAAGGTGCGAAAAACTGCAGATTTTTAAACTAGATTTGTAGCGGTGTAAGATGATTCTACTAAAAGAGGATTTAATATATATTTTTTAAAACAAATAATCTCAACTATTTGCTAAACTTTGAAATATTTAATAGTTATCATTAAAATTTAGTAACTGTTCTCAATGTAAGCTACATTTTGTATCAGTATAGTTCATAAAATAGGGATGCCAATGAAATTGCAACCTTTCAAATTTCAAATCATTTGAGACATTTTCTTCAATTATTATTGAAAATTGCAATGCTATCGATATTGATATTTTAATGTTATGCTTCAGCTTTAGTTAATGTTGTTCTAACAAATTACAATTATTTTCAATATGACTTGGTAGTCACCATCTGTTTAATAGGAATCCAATCTTTAAAGTACAAGCAATTTAATACAAATACTTCATTTATTAATTTTAGCTATGAGTTCTTTCAATTAAAATTATCAATATTCAATCGCCATTGAGATAAATTGTCTAGGAGTCCGATACCAAACCCATCATATGATAAATGCAATATCATTAAGTAGAAAGCTAAAACACTAACTTGTGTATTATATACATGTAAGTTGTATCCTAAAAATGCTATGACTGATCCATCCTATTAGTGATGTGTTAGGTAGAATAATTTTTTTCCTCTTTTCCTGAGTGTTATTTATCGGGAGCATCTACTCCCACTTGAAGTTGATGTTAAATTTTTGTTCTTTATGCGAGTATTTCTCTTTTCTAACCAGCATATTATTTATTATATTGGATTCTTTAGAGCTTTTGATTCCCTATTTAGTCCTACTTCTCACCTTATTCTGATGATAAATGAAGGAACCTTATTTGTATAAGTGGTTAAATTGTTGAAAAAACAACCTGAATTGTGTCAAACGGTTCATATATAATATGCAATGGACATTTCTTTGAGGCCACAGCTGAAAAATGTGCAAAATTTTGCAATATCAAAAAATAGGTTTGAAAAAACCTATTGTAGTGCAAACCAAGGTTGAGCTGATTTGAGACCATAAATACACTTACACTATGACCTGATACTTAATTTAACCTTTCCAATATTGCATAGCCTAATATAATTATTGGATCCAAGATGACTGGCATACCCACCTTTTATGCAGAGACGGAACAGTAGTCAAATTGTACTGAAATTCTAATTTCAAGTTAAAAATATTTTATTGACTCCTACTGATTTGCAACGTTTAAGCCCTTCTTGAGTCATGAAAACAACAACATTTTATAATACACTAATGACTAAACTTGAGGAAACTATTCATTAATTTGGGATCCATCAGATTACTTGATGTATTGGTAGGATTAATCTTGATCGATTTAATGAATTTTATTTACATCTAGCTATATCTTTTTCTTGGAGTGAATCTTAACATTATTTTTGGTTGATAATTGCACTAATTTTGTTTTGAACATAATACAGTACAAACTAATTCATAAAATAATATTGAAGGAGAAATTTAGAATAGTGAGTATTATCCTACCTTAATATAACTTAGCCAGCTCCTCAATGCATTAAATACAAAAATAAATGCTTAAATTATGATTATTCGGAGATTGCATTACCCCTAGTTTTTCTATATGCTAGATGTTTTCTATTCCTATTTGTACTTCTTGCCGAATTTTATCAGCATCTCAGAGTTTTACATAAAATTGTGTTGCCACTTGGGGCCATTAAAGGCTGTATTTTTCTCTTGTGAAGATTGTAATGATTTAAGGCAAGCTAAAAGATATAATCACTTAGTCTTATAATAACTTAATTTGTAGGCATTATACTTTTCAAATTGATACATCTTCTATCTAGTGTAGGAATCTGTTGAGAGTGTCTGGAAAATCATGATCAGTGTGACTCTTGGTTATTATTTGACTGTAATGCATGTTAACAAAGTATTTGTAACTAATGCATAAATACTAAGGATTCATATAAACGTGAATAATGCTCTGATTCCACAGTGTATCCTACTTGATAATTTCAATTCTACTAAAATTCACCTTGTTAGACAATATTGTTTACAGTCCATATTATCTTGAAATAAAATTAGTGGATCTTACAATAATTTTCTTTGGAAGCTTTATAGTAATATCATTGCGCAATCATATAATTATTGCTTCCAAAGTAAAGAACATAAATCATTTAAAGTGTTAATTGGCTATAACTTACTGTTTTATAAGAAATGCCTTGGTTTTAAACCGACCTTGTTTTTTTTAAGTATACTTCAACTTTATAACAATCAGCTTAATGCAAAATTTTCTATGCAAGGTCATTGAATGCTTTTTCAACTATTTAAAACAATTTCATATAATTAACGTAAGAGCTAATCATGGTGAGCAGGCTGCATCAAGATAACAGATTTATAAGAAGTTGAATCTTCAGAACAAGCCAATGTTATGAAATTTATTTAGGCAGTCACAGAGTTGCTATTGCTTCAGGGTAAGAATACAAGATTAGAATTTCTAATATCTTATCCCACATTATATTTTTGTTTATCCATTTGAAAATAGCAATGTTATTTTAGATAGCTACTACCTTTTTTTAAAATATTTTATTTAATCATTTCAATTTGCTCCTAGTGAAATAGGCCTAGTATCAAAAGGCCCAAGTGCCAATCTAATTATTCTTTTATCATTTGTTGTTCTTTTCCTTTTATTCTATACACAATCAAAATTATAAATTTTAATTGTTTTTATTAAAATTAAAAGTAAGAATTAATCCATTATTACCTTCCTTTACCAGAATAATATACCTAATATTGTGTTATTGAATTATATTAAAAATAATATTATTATATAAAGAATAATTCTATAATTTGCTTGAAATCCAAAATCAATTTCTCCAAAAAGCTTTAACTATTAATATATCAATATAAACCAATTAGATTGGTTAATTGGTGCTATAAAATTTCAATAAATATAAAAAAATTCTTTAATATTAATTAGATGTGGCGCTTTGAAACAAGATTTAAGAATAAAAATAAAAATTTAGAGAAATTTGAAATTGGATTGCTTATCTAAGGAACCTTATCTGCAACTATACACTAATTAGGAAAATATCAGTTCAAACATAATTTACAGAATAAATCAAATTAAGCAATAAAGATCAATTACAGCATACAAAGTATCAAATATCAAAATACTTTTTTAAATCAATTAGACTACAAAAGATTATTTCGATTATTTTATGAAGATAATTATTAATAGTTTAAAAATAATCTTTTATAAAGGACATTTTCTTTAAAGCCTCGATAAAAGGTTTACATTTATAAAATAATGTGATGATTTGTAAACATTTTAAGTTAAAATATACATTTAAAATTTATCGAAGTTAATCCACTAACAAAAATTTAAATTAATAATGCAGTAAATAAAGGTTTCTTCTATACTTAATATAGTCATAGTTACTGGGAAGCTGTAGTCGTTTCATAGAATAAGGCTTTAGATAAAGAGAACTATTTTTGGAGTTCTTATATAAATACTTAGAAAGAAATTTTTAATAAATAAAACAATATGAGTATTAAAGAAATTCCAATAATTTTGGTCTGTAAGCAGAAGGAGAAAACCTACAATGTTTAAGTTAACATTGAATCTTCAATAGAGGATTTGATTATTGAACTTCATCCATTATTACAACCAGGAAATTAATAACAAATCGTGCTTCATTTTGGAAATATGATCCTTAATTCAAAGAAATAGTTCAAGGATTATAATATTGTAAAAGGTAGCATTATAGATATTATAATTTATACTCATGGAGGGATATTTTTAAATTGATAAATAAATAATAGATGAAACAAGAATCAGTAATTAAAGTTAAAGGAATAGAAGTAAAATCAATATTTACTTTTACGAAGTATAATTAAAGTGGATTATGTTTTTATGGGTACAGTATTGAAGAATTCTATCCAGATTCAGAATTTTTGATAACCTTGTTTTATCTTTATTTCTATTAAAATTTATAAATAAATATTACTATTAATTCTTTAATAAAAAGTAAGTTTTGGTTCATATTTCGGTTAAAGCTAGGATTAAACCTTATATATATGTATTGTAAAAAGTAATCTGTACTTGAATTATCAATTAAGTTAGTCCTAATCAAAATTAGTAGGTTCGAACTAAAAGCTAAGAGTGATAAGTGATAATTTTGAGATGAAAAATTACAATTTGAGAGGATTCCAAAAATTATAGCTATATACAATAAAATTAAACATTTATTTTTAGAATTATTTGAATAAGGAACATATTTCACTAAATTATTAATAGCAAATTAGGTTATTTTCTACTTAATATTTGAGTCTTCCTCCTAAAATAAAATAAATATGTCGAAATTCAACCCTGCTTGAAGTTTTGTTTTAACATTATAAATTGATACCTTATATTAAAGTAATAAACTCTACTATGAGTATGAAGTTTTTGGTTCTATTATTTATGAATAGATAGACTATCTATTGCTCCTGATTCGATGAAAATTCAAAATATTAATCAATCATTTCAAGTAAATTTATTGTTGATTTGATATTACCCAAAATAATTCAAGGTAGTTCTTCAAACTTATTTTGTTCTAATAAATAATAAATGTTAATTTTTATATATTTAGATGAAATAAAGCAATTTAATTGTTTACTTTCATTTTTACAGTATATTACTTGATAGAATCAAATTATTACCTAATTATTTCTGTATTTTAATTTGTGTCATATTTTTACCTATTGTTTCAAGATTTAATGATCTCATTAAATTATATTTTTATATTCTATAAACTATCTTCTGCTAAATTCTATATAATTCTTTGATCAAATAGTTTGTGTAATGCCTGTTGTGAAATTTATCATTGCCTTTAAATTATTATTGACCTCTATTTTTAATTTAGATGATTCAAGTATTGTATTCATAATGAATAATACATAGCTCATCTTTTTCTTTTAAGTATATATTTGATTCTAGTCATACATTTAATAATTTAAAAAAGAAAATAAAAAATTTAACTTTCAGGGTTATTTTTAAATTGTGGATTCTGTATGATCAGCCATAAATAAGATTCTGCAGTAGCTGATTTGAGAATTACGAATCTGAACAGTTTTATCAAGTTTCTGGAACAATTTTGATTTTGAAACATTATTAAATAATTACCTAACTTTAATATTGCTCGTTTGAATCTTAAAACATTTGCCAAGGGAATTTCCAGCAAGTATTCACAGGGCATATAATAGTTTGTCAAAATTAGAGGGTTGTACCTGGATTCGACTGATTCAAATTTAGTTAATCCCATGGAAGAATGAGTACTAAAATATATATGAAAATCTTATTTTATCAACTTCATTAAATAATTTATTAAATTCCTATTTTTAAAAACGAGTAAAAGATATTACTCATTTTTTTCAATGAAAAAATAGTTTTGATTCTCAAAAAAATTATTCAGATAAAATAAATGATGACAAATCAAAAGTGTTAGAAAAAAATATCAAATATAGTAAGGGGTTATTAGTAGCAATAATTTTTTCAGCTACTAAAATTTGATAGGATATGTGGGTAGATATTGTTATCATCTTATTCAATTAATTAGACTATTAAGGCAACAAAACGATGGCAAACCTTTAATATTGATCATTGATAGCAGTCCTATTCATAAATAAAAGAAATATTATGAAACTATTAAGTGCAGTTTAATCTATTTGGTTACTACCCTACACTCATGCATTAGAAGACAAACACAAATACCTTCCCTTAATTAATCTAGATTGATGCATGACTATTTTAATGAAATTACAGAATAATTGAATAACGATTATACTCTGCCTTACTAGTTACTAAGAAATCTTTGGATTTGATTGATTATATAATCTATAAGCATATATATATATATTCTAATTACAATTTAAAGCTTTGATATATAGTTGTAAACTAAAACATTGATTATGGCTATTATGCATATCTTTTGAATGTAGCATTGTGACAGCAAAAACATACATGTTGCACTTCATCTGGCCAAAATTAGTTCACCAAAAGAAAAAAAAACTTTAGAAAAATTCTAACTGATGCCTTGCAATTTGTCCAAACAGCAAAAATACAATTACAATTAAAACCTTTTAAAAATAGGCTTCAATATTTAGCGCTACTTGAAACAGTATAAATAGCATTTAGATAATATAAATATGATGTAATAACCAACTAAATAAGCATTGAGATCGGGATAAAGCTTATATTCTANTACATAGCTCATCTTTTTCTTTTAAGTATATATTTGATTCTAGTCATACATTTAATAATTTAAAAAAGAAAATAAAAAATTTAACTTTCAGGGTTATTTTTAAATTGTGGATTCTGTATGATCAGCCATAAATAAGATTCTGCAGTAGCTGATTTGAGAATTACGAATCTGAACAGTTTTATCAAGTTTCTGGAACAATTTTGATTTTGAAACATTATTAAATAATTACCTAACTTTAATATTGCTCGTTTGAATCTTAAAACATTTGCCAAGGGAATTTCCAGCAAGTATTCACAGGGCATATAATAGTTTGTCAAAATTAGAGGGTTGTACCTGGATTCGACTGATTCAAATTTAGTTAATCCCATGGAAGAATGAGTACTAAAATATATATGAAAATCTTATTTTATCAACTTCATTAAATAATTTATTAAATTCCTATTTTTAAAAACGAGTAAAAGATATTACTCATTTTTTTCAATGAAAAAATAGTTTTGATTCTCAAAAAAATTATTCAGATAAAATAAATGATGACAAATCAAAAGTGTTAGAAAAAAATATCAAATATAGTAAGGGGTTATTAGTAGCAATAATTTTTTCAGCTACTAAAATTTGATAGGATATGTGGGTAGATATTGTTATCATCTTATTCAATTAATTAGACTATTAAGGCAACAAAACGATGGCAAACCTTTAATATTGATCATTGATAGCAGTCCTATTCATAAATAAAAGAAATATTATGAAACTATTAAGTGCAGTTTAATCTATTTGGTTACTACCCTACACTCATGCATTAGAAGACAAACACAAATACCTTCCCTTAATTAATCTAGATTGATGCATGACTATTTTAATGAAATTACAGAATAATTGAATAACGATTATACTCTGCCTTACTAGTTACTAAGAAATCTTTGGATTTGATTGATTATATAATCTATAAGCATATATATATATATTCTAATTACAATTTAAAGCTTTGATATATAGTTGTAAACTAAAACATTGATTATGGCTATTATGCATATCTTTTGAATGTAGCATTGTGACAGCAAAAACATACATGTTGCACTTCATCTGGCCAAAATTAGTTCACCAAAAGAAAAAAAAACTTTAGAAAAATTCTAACTGATGCCTTGCAATTTGTCCAAACAGCAAAAATACAATTACAATTAAAACCTTTTAAAAATAGGCTTCAATATTTAGCGCTACTTGAAACAGTATAAATAGCATTTAGATAATATAAATATGATGTAATAACCAACTAAATAAGCATTGAGATCGGGATAAAGCTTATATTCTATGTAGTGTAGTTATCATAATTTTATGTACTTTTGGTTGGATTAGTGGTAAAAGGATCTCAAGGATCAATACATTTTGGGCTTACGAGAGGAAAGTGGCTACAGACTCACATGAAGTTGATAATAGAAAATCACTATGACTATCTTGAAGGCCTCATAAAATTCCAAGAAATTTTAGAAGCAATTTATAAATCAATATTAAAATCATATATATATCTATACACAGGACGTGCAGTATGGGCAGCACAGTTAAGATAGCTAGGATCCTTGTAAAATCCTTAAATTTCTCAAGAGTAGTCTTGGTGGTTTTTTGCTTTACTTGAGCTGGTTTAGCATGTTCTACTTTTTCGTTTAGTACTCTAACTTGCTTAATTGAATCGACTTACACCTAAAATATTACTATGCTTGTAGTCACACCTATTGAATATTTTCGCTCTGAAAAGTTCAAAAAAGGCAACTTTAATTATTTTAGAAATTATGACCGCTTTATTTTATATTTTTGATACTTTGCAAAGAGCATCAAATTTGTTTTAGCAGTTTTCATTTTTAAAAAGTTAAACAATTCGAAAATTAATCTTTGAAACATAAGAATTTTTTTGATCAAATGGACATAATCATTTCAGACAAATTTTTGGCTATCTGAATCAAAAGTTCAAATAAAATGATATTCATGACTAATAGTTTTTTTGAAATGCAACCAAGGAGTAGCAATGAATGAAACAGAACAATGATCATTTGAACCAATAATAAACCAAAACTAAACAACAAGATACTCAACAACTATAGGACAAGATTTCTTCAAAATCTTTTTTGTGATAAAATATTTACTTGAGCTTATAACCAATGCACCCCAGCTAATTGGCAAATGAATTTATTTTCTGCACAACTAAGTTTATCTGGGCTACCAAATATAGAAGTCTTTTGGCTTTTTTATGATATTTATTTTATGTTTTAAAATTTACACAAACTACAGGAGGTATTCAATATAAGTTTGAGACAATAGAAAATTAGATATAGGTTAATTTAAATGAAATGCATAATTTATATTGTCTAATTTGTTAATGGATATAAAATATATTAATTTTTTATTTTCAGAAACATTCTCTCATTTAAAATCTCATTTTAATCCAAAGACCAATAAACTCTTTAATCCATCGATAACTAAAAGGCTAAACTCAAAATCATAACAGCAAAAGCAGCATTAAGGAATTTTATGAATTAAGTTGACCTCACATTAATTGAGTGGGTATTTTTTTATAAGCATGATGATTGCATCAAACATGATCTCTATCAACTCTTACAACGCGATATATTTCTTAAAATATTAATTATACATTGAATGATTTGAAGAAATCAGCTATAATCAATTATTTGACTAATGATTACATAAATCAATTTATCATTATTGGTACATATAATTTCGTTTAATTTATTATTATTTTAAATGAAAAAGACTAACTGGAAAAATTTTAATAAAGTTTGAAATATAAAAGTTACATAAACCTTCCCTTATATATTTATCTTCGATGATTTCGAAAGAAAGAGATTTGTCAGAGAAATGAATTATTTGATTTTCAATGATATCAAGTAACAATAAGAGTTGCTAAGATTCCAAACTTTAATTTTACAACTATCAAAAAAGTAACACAAATTAAAATTTTGAGAATCTTTCTTTTTAATGGAGGTTTGAATTTACATCATTATTTTTTTGAATAATTAGGTAAATAAATCAGCTATTAACCATACTTTTCAAATTGACGTTATTGAAAGTGTCCTCTCTATTTGATTTTATTCTCAAAGGGTAAAAGGCTAACAGCTCCCAATTTTCAGGCTATTCAATTAGTTCTAAATTATCAAATGGAAACACTGCTAATAGAGTTATAAGAACTAATACTATTGGTATTTTACTGTAACATGTATAATTTCAAATGTCGGCCTTAGAAGCTTGGAAATATTCTCGCATAGTTTGATGAATTCACTAAATTTTCTGTGATTGAGAGTGTAATAACAATTTCTCGATGCTTAGCATTAATCAATTGCAAAGAGCATTCAATTTAACAAGCTGGACACATTTCAATCTTTTTTAATTTCTGTAATGAGACAAACCAGTTAATTGAAATTCGCATACATAGAAACGCCTGAATTAGATTTGAGGATTAGTCTATTCACTAAAATAACGTCAACACTACCTATATTAAGCTTATAGCCTGAATTGTCAATGGATTTCGCTATATAAACAGATTCTCCTGGGAAATGGACGAGACTATATTTAATTTCATTTTACTGCTTGCGTTTTACAGCACCATGTCGTCAGATTAGCAATCTCTTATTTTGAGAAACTTATAAAATTTCTTTAATTGGTTCTCGAATGATAACCTCTTATTTATTCTTTATGCCATTAATTGACTTAGAGGTTGATATTACTACAGCATTGACTTTGTAAGTAAGACTTGTCAGCATATCATCACTAAATTTGAAAGAACCAAGTAAATTTGATGGAAGATGTAACTCAAAAGGAAAAAAAATTTTCTGATATATAAGTCTTCATCTAAAAAGTACTAATAACAACGGTGTATCTATGGAATACATTTTTACCTTCATGGATCCTTCTGTTTTATAAGATCCAGTTGTAAATCGAGTTTTCTACTTTCCAACAAGTGAAAATTGTACAACATTTCCATGATATCCTGGTTTTATAAGATAATGGTATAAATTTCCTAAAATTCTTGAAAATTTTACCTTTTACAACATCTCCAGCAAAATATAAAATTTTCTGTTCTGATCATAATGCCCTCCAACTCTCATCCTGATTTGTTACCCATAAAAACGAATGAATTAATTAATTGCAAAAAAAGATTTAATTGAAGTATGTTTAGTTTCTGAATTAACACCTATTAATTCTTATAGCTTCAAGATTTTCAGGAGAAATAGACTCTCATCATTCAAACTGATTTTCAACGATATTCTTCAATTCATTAGGAAATTATATTTAGAAAATAATTTGTAAAAAAAATAATTAGTATTTTTGGATCAATTACAAAAATAACTAATATCTAACGCTAATATTCTAAAATTTAATCTTCATTTTAATTTAAATTTTGATATCAACTCAATTAAGAATAATTATATTAAATTTAATTATGAGTAGACAAAAATAATAAAAAAGCATACTTAGAATATGAATTTGAGGCTACATTTTAATTCAGGTAAATAAATTGAATCTCTAAGTAAAATTTTTAAACCATATCATAATCTAGATGCCTTAGATGGGTAATTTTATGAACATAATGAGGAATGATGTATAGAGGAGGCAAAAAATGCAATTTTGCATGTTTATAACATGGATGAGGCAATTATTAAGTAAGATAAATATATTAATAAAATATTTTAATATAATAATAAAAGGATAGTGAAAGTTGAGATAAATTAAGTATTAATATTACGAAAAGGAAAAAGAAGAACATCCAACAGTTTTTTTTAAAGAATTAATTAAAGTGGTTTAGAAATATTTATGTTATGTTTAAATCAATTCAAAGACCTCAATAATTTTATAATTATTTGAATTCTGTTCATAAAATTAATGTCTGTTTGTTTAAAACAGAAAAACAAATTTCTTTACATTTTTGAGTATGCTACTCTAACTTTTTCCATCGCCTGATTTATAGGGCGAGGCTGTAATTAGTATATTAGTTATTCTTTTATCTGTTTGATATTTTTTCTCTATTTATCATCCATAAATCAGCTTTCATTTCAAATTTGCCCTAATTGTTTTACTCATCTTATTTTGCTGCTTAAGTTTATTTAATTGATTTTTAATGGAATTCTTTTTATCATCGAGTAAATTTAATTTTGATTATTATATTTTTTCTTACTACCACGGGTTACTTAATAAATTATTCATGTTGTTTTTTGTAAATACATAAAATACCTAAAAAGTGATTAGGTATGCTTTTTCAAATTTTGAATAATCTTATACTGCCATATTCAATTTTATATATTATATCTATAATTACCTTTTTTAGGTCCATATCTACAAGGCATTCAATTATTAGGATTCATGTACCATTTCTTATGTAGATTTAATTGAAAGTAAATTTAATAAATTTCTATCAAGTTCTTATCCAACGATCTGTTCGTTTTTTCTCCAAAACCTTATCATTTTATTATTTTTTCCATGTCCTCTGTAAGAACTTTAACAAAAATAGATTTCCTCATAAAATATAATCCATTTTTATTCAAAATTATTTAACACTTTAATAACTACTAATCTTTTCAGTATTCTATCATTTTTAAGAGATTTTTAAAATTAATCTTTCATAGGATGGATTAGATGAGAGGTTTTTAAAATGTTTATTTATGAAATAAAAAGGTATGCTCAAAAGAATAGAGTGCTTATATATTGTTTGACGATATGCAAATACGATTAGAACACAATAACATTAGAAAAATTTTCTTAGATAAAGAAAAAAGATTTTAATTTTATCCTAGAAAAAGAGCTTAATCTAATATTTATCTCATCAAAAATTATTTAAAATAATCAAGCAGAATTAATAATTATTAATAGTACCAACAATAACAATTCATTTTATTCATAGCTTTATACAGTCTAGATAATTCTTTATTAAGAAATGAAATAAGATAAAAAAATTATTGTAAATATACTAAATCAAATCTTCAGGTTATTAGAAATTGAAGGGCAAAATATCATAAGAGGTAGTATTTTTAGCTTCAGGAAACATTTATGTTTAAATGCCTAAAAAGTGAATCTAATTTGAATACAAGTATAATTATAGAGTAGTAAATTTAATTTACAAATTTTTATATTTTAATAAGTAGAAGAATGGGATATATATATAATTTGTATTAATTATTTCTATCGAAAAAATTTATTGATTTCGATATTTAAAAAATGGCCGCATCATTTCGATTGGAAAGTTAAAGCTATTTGCAATTACAAAGTTGCTCTTCTTGAGAAGATATTCATACCTTTTGTTATATTACAAATAAGTTTCAAGTAAGCTCATATTTCTAAAAATCTAGAAATTTAAGAAATCTAATTTTAGATTTTTGATATTTTGTTAATTTTGTTAAAGTCTTGTTTGGTAAAATAGAAAATACAACAACTAAATGCTAAGATATTATTATCAAAGAAAATTTGATTATCTTATTTATCCTTTCATTAATAATAATTTTATTTGAAATATTTATACTTGTTTATGAAAATTAAAAAGTTATGACCCAAAGCTGAAAGATTTTGAATTTACTACTTAAATAATGAAAAGCAGCTGATAATCCCTTAAGACTTTGGCACCCTATCTTTAGCTCTAAAGTGAGTAGTGACTTTCAATACTTATTTTTGTATAAGTGAAGAATGACAATCAGTTAATATTCTAAAGGGTTTATAACAAATAATATTAGAAGGAAATATTAATAACTATATGAAGTCTTAGGAAAATGAAATACAAATTTTAAATTAATACAAAGATATGCATTGTGCAATACAAATTTAGGGTATTTCCCAGGGTCTTTGAATCTTCAATGCATCTTTTTAAAACAATTAAATAAGCATAATACTAGTAAAAATGGGTAAGGGGAATTAGATTGTCCCTAAAAGAACATATTTAGATGAGGTAAGTTTCTCAATTATTGAAACAATAACCATAGAAATAATTATTGTGAGTGATGGAAACTTCTATTTAACTGAAAGGAGTGAATTAATTCATCATAGCCTCTGCATCCTTCTGTAAATTTTGATAGATTATAAGGTAAATCAAAACATGTTAAATAATATTCTAAACGAAAATTCCCTTTTGAAATTTTGCCATTCAATATCAAACTGTACTCTATTAACAGTGCCAAGATTTAGATTTATGAAAAAGGAATAATACTATTTGGAGTGAGTTAATTTGTGTTTCACTTTCAATTAGACTAATCTCTAATTATCAAAACGTTGAGAAAATTTACCTTATTAAGGTTTGAAATGGTAGAGAAATAAAATTTTGGTAAGGCCTTAGTAAGCCTTAAAAACATAAACAGATTTTATTAATTCATAAATTTTATAATTATTAAATATTTAATCTATATCATTATGCGTGTTGAAGAATATTGGATACATTATTCATGAACAATGGATTCTCTCTTTTATTTTGATAAAATAATTTAATGTCAATGTAGAGCTTAATTCCAAGTTTGATTAATGGCGCCAATAAACCAAGAATCAAAATTACAATTTGGCAAAAACCTGCTAAAATTTATTGACTTTTTGTCATTAAACCTGAAAAATCAGAGCAATAAATTAAACATGTTAATGTAAAGATCATTACTGGAATTTCCATCCAAATTATTCCAATAAATTCTATCATTTTGATATTTTTTTTGATCAGTGATAACAATCCAATATATCCTAAAATCAACAGTGATAACATTAGGCATTGAACTATCTCACTATTTTAACAATCTATTAAGATTAAGATAAATAATAGTTTTTTTAATAACATAATACCCTCTTACTATTCAAATCTCAATTTTGAATTGCTTGAGTGTTAATTCAATCTTCTAAAATTCTATAAAAGCAAAATTATTGCCAAACTCAATATTCCAAGACAAAGGCTGTAAGAAATAATAGATCGGTATCCTGATTATTCATTTGATGTTATTGTTAAGTCGAAATTTCAAATCCTTTAATCTTGGCTTTCAAGTAAACTTTTTTGTAATCCTTCATTTAATGTTTAATGATTTTTATAAGGTATATTAATTAAAATCATTCAACTTCAATCTTATTAAGCAACCTCCTAGGATAGGGTAGAACTGATAATTCATATTTTTCTCTTTGTTATATAGATTAATTTTGAGAAAAACTCAAGGATTTTCTTTTCCTCTAAATACACTAATCAAGAACAGCATCTTTAGAAATGAATTTTCAAACTGTTCCAAACGTTTGAAATAAATCTAGAGTAAGAGACTATGGTGACAAAAACAGCAATGAAAATGAAAAATTTCAATCTAACAATCTAATATTATTAATAATTATATAAAGAAATGCTTTAAAAAGTAAATCCCAAGAATTTGCATAGTAAATTTGCCTAAATCCTTCCATAGTATAAATATTTTTTAAATTTAGGATTTTTTTATTAAATTCATATAATTTAGTTATTAGCTTTTCAAGCCATTTTTAATTCAACCCTCTTAGAGCATTAATATTATTAGGCTTTAAAATAAAATTATTCACGAATTTTGGATAAAATTATAGAAATAGGTAGAATATAACAATTAAAGCAATTTAAGAGATTTAGCTCTAGATGTTTAAAAGAAAGTCAGCATTCATTTGATACTCTTAAAGCTTTCCTATACTTGTAATAAAGTTATAAGGAATTAGATTATTAAGAATATCTGTCATTTTACATGATATCAATATTGGACTGACTGTTACAATTTCTGATGATTGAAAATAGATATATAGATTTTATGGATAAGCAATGTTTACAAATTTCAAATAAGATTAATACTGTAAAACGTCAAAAATCTCTAAGCTTTATGATGGATCTCCAAATAATAACATCAAAATGCTAATAGCTCCTAAACTTATAATTAAAGCATTTCCAATATCTTTAAACCTATTAGCAACCTTAATTTAAATCTAAGTCAAAACTTTAGGTTCTTTAAGTAATAATTATTCTGATGAGATAAGGACAGGCATTTCGTTATTATCAATTAAAGTTGATTAATTTTTATTTAGATTTGTTATTTCGGCTAAAATGGAATCCTGAAAACTTATTTCTGAAACTTATTTCACTTCATTTGAAAACATTAAGAAAACAAATTGATGTTCATAGGTTTGATTTTCGTACTTTAAGAAAAATTTAGTTTATTTAAAGCACTAATTAGGCTACTCTTCATTACATTTCCAGTTTTCTTCTGTTTTGCAGTTGATAGAACATCCATCACCACTATATTGATTTCCATCATCACATTACTCATTAATAGATAGAATTTGATCTCCACATTATTGGCTTTAGACTGCATTATTGTCATCAGTTTAATTAGCATTAATAATTGTTACTTAACGGCATTCATTTATAATTAAGTCATATCCTTCAGCACATACTTAGCACTTACCTTGCTTACATTTGGAACAATTTTGACTACATTAAAAAAAACATTAATAGCAACCATCATATTGAATATCATTTAAATCTTCGCATTCTTCTAATCCTTCAATGATTATTCCGTCTCCACATATAGGTTTGCAGTAATTTTGATCACTTTTTTCAAAATTGTCTTAACATTCTAAGCAATTCTTAGAACTATCACAATAAAGACAATTTTATTTGCATTCGAAATTACAATTATAACATCCATCATAAGGTTGATAATTTCCATCATCACATTACTCTGATGAAGAAATAGCCAAATAACCATCTCCGCATATTTGGTAACATCGATAATTGATAATCTACCAACCATCGATACAAGAGTAGCATTATTATTTAATGCATTAATTACACTCTAATTAGCAATCTAATTAACATTGATGGCAACCATCAAATTGTATATTATTTAAATCATCGCAGATTTCATTTTCAATAATAATTCCATCATTACAAATAGGAATACAATATTTTTTATTATAGGATAACTTGTAAAAAGGTTAACATTCTAAACATACTTCAAATAAGCACTTTAAGCAATTCTATATGATTATTCGCTTAAAATTTTGAAAATAATATTATAAAATTTCAAATATTTAAAAGTCATGAGATGGATTTTGATTAACAAAATAGCCTTGCAACTATAAGTGATAATAATTGCCATAAATTCCTTCTAAATTAGAAAATGAATTATAGTTTTAATTCAACGGTTCGAAACCATTATTTTTATTTATTTCTTCACAACTACTATTAATTAGTTGATAATTTGATTAACATTCTAAACATTTTCCAAATTTACATTAATTGCAAAAATTTGGGCAAGAAAACTTACATTAAGAACAACCAACGTCTGATACTAAATTATCGCATTCTTCCTAACCTTGAATTATACCATCTCCGCAAAAAGGATGACAGTTTTCTAGAAATTAATCTTAAATCCAACCTTCTAGGCATGTCAAGCATTTTTTATCAATTTACTATAAACAACCTTCATTAAAAATTCTATGCATTTCTTCTGGCTCAGTGTAAAATATTTCAAAATCTCTTATTCTGCTTTAAATATAAATTGATTCGGTTTGTATTTTCAATATGAATAAAGAATCATGATGATTCTTTATTAACATTTCGAAATATAGACCAAACCATAAATTTCTTTCAAAAATTATTTAGTGATTATCTAATTGCTCAAAATTTTACTTACCATTTGTATAGTCTACTATTAGAGGGTATGAATAATCTTAAAAAAATCTTATTAACAAATCTTAATGAGGAGGGAGTTGAGTGCAATACTAATTTTCTGAAAATCTCAAATATTGACAATCTCCACACCAATTACTAGTATGATAATTTAATTCAAACGTCCATCCCTCTGATTAAATGATAAATTTCTAAGTAAATGAATATTGATGAAGTTTCCATTATAAATAAATCTTATGATATTGTGTTATGCAACCAGAACTTTCATACAAACATTTCACAATACTTAATTTTAATGATACTAATCCGCCATAATTCGAATAACAATTCACAAAAGCAGTTCTTCTGTTATGATAATGAATCATAGAAATGTTATAAAGAATACAGGGTGCTCCAATAATATAGCTATAACAGGAAGACACCTCATGCTGCATTTGCAAATAATCTAAATCAAATCCAAGTTTATAATCAGTTTAAGATGGGCTTTTTTCAATAATTATAGTTACATGATAAATAATGCATCAACAATAACCTGAGAATGAGGTTCTAAATCTAGCAATATTAGGCTAATAAAATCAAATGAAATATATTGAATTTCTCCATTAGTTTAGAAACTTATATTGCCTACCCATCCTAATAAATAATTAGCACTTAAATTACTATCTTTTATCTGTGAACTTGCTTTGAATTCATAAATTAGAGCTTAATTAGTTGTCCAGACTAAAATGATGAGTATTATCATAATTAATATATTAAAATTATCATTTTTTTTAGTTTTAATGCACTTAATTTCAGAATAACTATAAATATATAATTAATTTGATTATTATATACTCATGCACTTTGGAACAAAATTTACATCGAAAAATGAAATAGTCAATTACAATGTGCTATAAAGAATAATAGCAGACCTATAGTATTTAACAAAATAATTATTTAGATTAAGATATCTATTTGATAACACTATGAAATATCAAAAGTACTTTAATTCTTGTATTTTTACAAACATATTGGATAGTAACATAGTTTATTTGTTTGTTTAAATTAGCAAATGCCCTTCTATTAAATTCTGAAATTTAAAGCAAGCAAATGATGTTTTACATTATGAAACTATTCAACTTTTTTACTACTACATGTTTAATTTAAATAATTCCTTAGGGTTGGATAACTACTATATATTTTAATACTAAATTAAATTTTATTATTAACCGGCTTTACATATATTCATTCATTAAAAAATTAATTTATTATAGTAAGATTAAATAATAAATTTTATTTATTAAAATAGAATTGTTTTTTTGTAATTTGATTTTAATCACATTTAATATTCCCTTTAATTGTTATACATGCTGGAATAGCAACAAATAAACTTTCTTTATTATCAAAGGAAATTAATACTAATTTAAAAAAAAATATCATTATTTTATTGTAATTAAAGTATTTTATTTATATACCCTGAAAAATGATCTCATAATTCATAAATGAAAAATAAAAATTAATTTATTTATTTAATTTTGAGTTTTAGTTTTAACCATTTCAGCAATGTACAAAGAAACTTCAATTTTTAAAATATTGAAAAAATTGCTGCTGATCATACTCATAATTACAAAAAAATTGAAGTTTAACACTGCTATTCTCATGGTTGACATTAAAATTATTGTGACTCCAAGTGTTATCCTAAATAACTCTGTTAAATACATGAATTTCTTTATAAAATAAATAATTATTAGGAGGTTACCATTTAACAAAAGAAGGATTGGATTATAATAACTCCTGTTTATTATTCCTAATGCTTACTTTGAATTTTTAAACTATTCAAAGAATAGTAAAGTTTAATAAGAGTCAAAAATTATTCTCATAATTATTTACACATATAAAACCCTTTAATTAGACTTTAATTGATTTCTTTTACTTTTTATAGATTCACAATAGCTTTATTAGTAATAATAATGTATAGATCTTGCAAACAATAAATAATATCAATAAATTACAAATATCTTTCTTCCATCATAATTAAAACCAAATAATATTTCAATTCAAAAAATGCCTCCTTTATTATTATAAAAAATATTGGTAATTTCCTTTATATTCAGTGCATATTCAAATCATGTTTAGAATTGCTGAATTAATTTAGTTTGAAAAACCAATATTACTTTGAAAACGCTCAAAACATCCGTAAAAGATCTATTTTAAAACAAGAGTTGATTTTCATTATTCTAAAATTCATCTTGAACACTTATTATTGTAAGATAAATTAAAAATTATCATATTGACAACTTTTGATTCATTTCACCTTCTCCTATTATTTTCATAAAAGAAGATACTTGAGTCAAAACATTTATCTGAATTTAATTTATTTGATGATTTGTTAATTAAAAAAGATTCCTATCTAATGCGTTTATACCAAATGATTAAATAAAGAGAATCTTAATATAATATTATTGCTAAATATTAACAATAACATTCAAATTACTGAAAAGAATATTTTGTAGATAGGTTAAGAGTAATGATACAGATATAACAAAAGAATTGATCTTCAGAAGTCTAACAAAAGGAGCAAGTATTCATTTACAAATAAATAATTTTAATTTTTCAATCTATTATATTATTGAATTATACTGTCATTAAACAATACAAAATTAAAATGGAGTTTTGTTCCCTTGCTATTAAATCGAAATATTTTGAGATAACTCATATTATTCTTTGATTGCTTTGATAATTATCCAACTTAAATCTACTTTTTTGCTAAATATTTCATTTATTATCATATCACTATTTGCTTCCAAATAATTTAAAATAATCAATGCATCTTCAGTGCCTGCTGCCCAGTAAATATTATTTCTGAATTATTTATCTTCTTCTTGCAACAATTAATCTGTAAATTTCCTAAATCTTGATTTTGGTTTATTAATCAAATTAGCGTATTATGTTTTACTTAATTCTAAGCCTGCAATTTATACTTATATTTATAATTGGCCGGGAACTATAGAACTACATTTTAAAATATTATTTAGTTTTTTTAATCTTGTAGTAAATTTATGCTCTTTATGATATTCAAATCCAAAATCAAGAGCAGCATTAATTATGTTAAAAGAATTACCAACAATAGGTAATCCTCCAAAGATATATGATCCTATATTTAGCATCTTTTGAAAAACATTTAAAGTTTATTCAGAGTTACTTTCTATTATTGCATTTTTGTTATTTTAAAATAGATTAGTGCAAATCTATTAAATAGCAGATAAATAATTATATAATCTCCAAGCTAAAGCATTATAATACATCCATTAATCGTAATTTTCTTTTTTATTTAATTGTTTAAGAGATTCAGAAACTTGAATACTGTCTTATTCTAAAAGTGAATTGACACTGATTGCATGTGTAGCTATTTGGTTTTAAAGATTATTAAATCTTTGCTAAAATTTTTGTAATATCTAAAAGTAATCTGTTTATAGATTTTAATTTAATTAAATATCTAATGGTTTTATTGTTTATGTTAATTCATCTACTAGCATTTAGCCTTATTCCTCTAATTATATTGTCTACTATGTTTAGACTTCTTTAGAAATGTATTTAAGTAAAATATCTGTTATTTATATCTAAATTTGAATTTCGGTAAGTAGACTAACTTCCTTCTTAATATATGTAAGATTTGAATTAGATAAATTCCATTTCGATATTTATTAAAAAGTTATTTGATCCAATTATTTTTGTGCTCTTGTAAGATAAATATTTGATTAATCAAATGATTATTATTAAAAATAGAGACTTCCTAAGTTTGTTAGTAAAAGTGGGTGATCTGGTTCTAATAGAAGTGCTTTTTCCTAGTCTTGGATTGCTTTTTCTTTTTCTCCTTGTTCATTAAATAAAACTCCTACTTATATAACTAGATGATACACCTCGTTAATAATATGCAGCAGTATAATTTGGATTTAATTTGATTGTTGTGTTGTAGTCTTGGAGTGCATTTTCTTTTTCTCCTTTTTGTTTAAATAAAACTCCTACTTAAATAACTAGATGACGTACCTCGGTCATAATATGCAGCAGCATAATTTGGATTTAATTTAATAGCCTTGTTGTAGTCTTGGAGTGCTTTTTCTTTTTCTCCTTTTTGTGTAAATATAACTCCTAAATATAAAATTAGGTGATATACCTCGGTTATAATATGCAGTAGCATAATTTGGATTTAATTTGATGGCCATGTTGTAGTCTTGGATTGCTTTTTCTTTTTCTCCTTGTTGTTTAAATAAAACTCCTAATTAAATTACTTGTTGATAAACCTCTGTTAAAATACGCATCAGCATAATTTGGATTTAATTTTATGGCAACGTTGTAGTCTTGGAGGGCTTTTTCTTTTTCTTGTTGTTGTTTAAATAAGACTCCTAATTACATAATTAGTTGATATACCTCGGTTTATATATGCAGTAGCATAATTTGGATTTAATTTGATGGCCCTGTTGTAATCTTGGAGTGCTTTTTCTTTTTCTCCTTGTTGTTTAAATAAAACTCCTAGTTAAATTACTTGTTGATAAACCTCTGTTAAAATACGCATCAGCATAATTTGGATTTAATTTTATGGCCATGTTGTAGTCTTAAAGTGCATTTTCTTTTTCTCCTTGTTCATTAAATAAATTCCCTAATTATATAACTAGATGTTATACCTCGGTTTATATACGCAGTAGCATAATTTGGATTTAAATGGATTGCCGTGTTGTAGTCTTGATTTGCTTTTTCTGTTTCTCCTAGTTGTTTAAATAAAACACCTAATTATATAACTAGATGATATACCTCGGTTATAATATGCATTAGTATAATTTGGATTTAATTTAATAGCCATGTTGTAGTCTTAAAGGGCTTTTTCTTTTTCTCCTTTTTCATTAAATAAATTCCCTAATTATACAACTAAAGATATACCTCGGTTTATATACACAGTAGCATAATTTGGATTTAATTTGATGGCCATATTGTAGTCTTGAAGTGCTTTTTCTTTTTCTCCTTATTGTTTAAATAGCACTCCTAATAATATAACAAGATGATATACCTCGGTTTATATAAGCAGTAGCATAATTTGGATTTAATTTGATGGCCATGTTGTAATCTTGAAGTGCTTTTTCTTTTTCTCCTTGTTGTTTAAATAAAACACCTAATAATATAACTAGATGATATACCTCGATTATAATACACAGTAGCATCAACTGCAGACATTATCTAATAATGCATTTTTTATTATTTTTATTTTATATATTATCATGAACATCACCCCCTTCTATACTAATATATTTCTTTATATATCAAAATAATTATATTTGCCAATTAAAATGGTAATTGTTTTTATTTTTATCATATTTATTGTTATTTAACCTCAATAATATTTCTTTGGAATTACTCTAATCTTAAACCTACAAATATTTTTATCAATTTATTTCAATTTTCATATAAAAAATGCACCAAATGCCATACAGTTCTGAATACATTATTTATTATTAATATTAATATTAGCAGATATATACTATCAAATTTTTAAATTTTAATCTTTTTTAATTAATTTCCCTACTAGCATTTTTATCTCTTAATTTAATTAGAAGTTCTGACTAAGATAATTTTGAATGATAATTCATATTAAGATGAAAGGATCAGTTATATTTGTGCTATTTACAAATTTAGAGATATATTGAATAATTCTATAAAATTATTAGGAAGACAATCAATATTGGCATAATCAAATCTTTTGTTTTAATTTCGATCATATTCCTTGGTGGAATCTAAGTAATTTATCTATATTGCATTTTTAAATTGTTTATTAAGAGGCTCTCAAAATTAAGAACTAAAGATTGAGTATTAAATAGTAAGAAGCATTTTTGGAAAACCTACTAAAATTTTACAACTGGCTTTGTAAATTTTTTTAGCTCCTTATGGATATTTTAATATTTTGAGGAAGGTATTGCATTTAAAGAATATAAAATAGATAGTAATTAATTTCCAAGAAAAATCTTGTGATATCCATTTTAGCATTCAATTAATTTGATTAACTAGAATTTTAAGTTTATGAAGATGCTATTTTAATTTTCTATTGTTGCCTACTAGTATTATTAAGTATTTGTATTTTTAAACCACAGGATAGTTCATAATATCACTGATCCATGTATGATTGCCACATTTTCGTTTGTTAATCTTTAGCTTATATTAATAGAGCATTTTTAAGAATTTTTAAGTATTCAAGAGAATCCTTATGATGAATAATTGTGACAATATCATCAGCAAATTAGTCACTTTAGCAATTTAGATGACCATCAATAAATACCTTCTCTATAAGATCTTCTAAATAAATATATAATAAGGTAGGGGAGAGAGGAGAGCCCTAAGGAACTCCATTATCAAAATAATAAGCGCATTAGTATTAGGATCCTTATAGTATATATTAGAATGTAAAATTATAACAACCTCAATATCATACAAATGTAAAATTTTTTTTCTAATAAAATTAAAAAAAATAAATTATGATTGACACAGTTGAAGGCATTAAAATAATCAATAAAGATGCAACTCATATTATCATTTTTCGAAAGTTATTAATTTTATTGAGTATATTAGAAATGTGGATTTAGGATGAAGAATTTGGAAAAAAAATACGGTTTATTAATTTGATAATTTCAATACCGCATAATTTTATAATTGAGGGAGGAAACTAATTCTAAAAATTTGTACAAAGAGCCCAGTACAGTAAAGGATCTAAATTACCTAATAGAAGGGATTCGAGGAAGAGCCTTATTTAAAGGTATTAGTCTAGCCTAACAGAGGTCACGTATTAAGCTGTAAATTTTGGTTGATTTCAGGAAAATATCTGACATTCCACCGTAACTAATTTGCCTTCTAGCTAGAAATGTGTTGTTAAATCTTTTAAATACCTTCAATGTTAAGTGGAGCCAAGGCTGGTCGTGGAAGAGGTTTGTACTATTATCTATGAGAAATCTACCAAGAACATTTAAACAGTTAGAAAATNTTTGTGCTATTTACAAATTTAGAGATATATTGAATAATTCTATAAAATTATTAGGAAGACAATCAATATTGGCATAATCAAATCTTTTGTTTTAATTTCGATCATATTCCTTGGTGGAATCTAAGTAATTTATCTATATTGCATTTTTAAATTGTTTATTAAGAGGCTCTCAAAATTAAGAACTAAAGATTGAGTATTAAATAGTAAGAAGCATTTTTGGAAAACCTACTAAAATTTTACAACTGGCTTTGTAAATTTTTTTAGCTCCTTATGGATATTTTAATATTTTGAGGAAGGTATTGCATTTAAAGAATATAAAATAGATAGTAATTAATTTCCAAGAAAAATCTTGTGATATCCATTTTAGCATTCAATTAATTTGATTAACTAGAATTTTAAGTTTATGAAGATGCTATTTTAATTTTCTATTGTTGCCTACTAGTATTATTAAGTATTTGTATTTTTAAACCACAGGATAGTTCATAATATCACTGATCCATGTATGATTGCCACATTTTCGTTTGTTAATCTTTAGCTTATATTAATAGAGCATTTTTAAGAATTTTTAAGTATTCAAGAGAATCCTTATGATGAATAATTGTGACAATATCATCAGCAAATTAGTCACTTTAGCAATTTAGATGACCATCAATAAATACCTTCTCTATAAGATCTTCTAAATAAATATATAATAAGGTAGGGGAGAGAGGAGAGCCCTAAGGAACTCCATTATCAAAATAATAAGCGCATTAGTATTAGGATCCTTATAGTATATATTAGAATGTAAAATTATAACAACCTCAATATCATACAAATGTAAAATTTTTTTTCTAATAAAATTAAAAAAAATAAATTATGATTGACACAGTTGAAGGCATTAAAATAATCAATAAAGATGCAACTCATATTATCATTTTTCGAAAGTTATTAATTTTATTGAGTATATTAGAAATGTGGATTTAGGATGAAGAATTTGGAAAAAAAATACGGTTTATTAATTTGATAATTTCAATACCGCATAATTTTATAATTGAGGGAGGAAACTAATTCTAAAAATTTGTACAAAGAGCCCAGTACAGTAAAGGATCTAAATTACCTAATAGAAGGGATTCGAGGAAGAGCCTTATTTAAAGGTATTAGTCTAGCCTAACAGAGGTCACGTATTAAGCTGTAAATTTTGGTTGATTTCAGGAAAATATCTGACATTCCACCGTAACTAATTTGCCTTCTAGCTAGAAATGTGTTGTTAAATCTTTTAAATACCTTCAATGTTAAGTGGAGCCAAGGCTGGTCGTGGAAGAGGTTTGTACTATTATCTATGAGAAATCTACCAAGAACATTTAAACAGTTAGAAAATGCTTCTTATCCAAAGTGGATTATTCCATTCTCATCTTTAAAGTAAGAAAAAATTCCACCTTCTCTTTTGTTAGGATTTAGAGTAGTTATTCCTTAATTTTCGTGTAAAAGGTTCTAAAGTCATTTTAGTAATAATAGGCCAACTCTTACAAAAGAAGAAAAGGTTTTAAAAATTTTATAATTAAGCTCATAAAGGTTTTTATTTATAGAGGAATCAATTTAGTCATAAATTCATAGAATATAGCCTCTATAAAATTAATTAATTAACCAAATTGATAATTTATCTTTTATACTCAGAATGTTTGTTTATGGCTAAAAGAAGCTATCTTTTATTAAATCAATTATGATTAGAATTAAAGATTTCAGGAAGGTAATTTCTAACCTATAAGCTATCAAGTATCAATGGGAAGTATTAGGTTGTACATCTGAAATTACCTCAACCTTGGTGTCAATCCCCTTAAGGACGGATCATACTTAAGATCATTTCCATCATTTAAAAAATAAAATTAGTTTCACTCTCCTCAAAATTACATTATGAGGGAAAATTCCCAAACATAAATTACCTCATTAAGAGTATCACCTATCTCAATATAAAAGGTTTTCATGAATTATAAAATTGCTCACACCTGTTCTCGTTTTCATTAAATTTCCACTCACCATCAATTTTTGGTTGAGTCACTTTTATAAAGTCCTCATCAATTATACATATGATAAATATGGATGAATGCAGTCATAATGCTCAAATCTTAAGCCCCTGTTTCAAAGTAAACTTCTCTGAAAACCTTGTAGTATGAAGAACGGCACTAACATGTTAAACATCTAATCCTACTATTTGAATTAACAGTTTGGTTCTCATTTTCGCTCTCTCAGCCTTTTGTGTAATTTTCAAAACATCATGTTAGAGGACAAATTATGTAAAATATAGTAGAACTTGTTTAAATTACAAGAATCACAACAAAAAGTACATGTGGTGGCTTTTTCAAAGTTGTTAGGTTTTACAAATTGCAAGTAATGGAGGATTCACACAGCAGTCTTAGCAAACGTGATACCGAGATGCAAAGATGATCAAATGATCTATAAGTTTCACAACAACATTTTGATGAAATCCTATTCTATTGCGTAATTCTGTTGCTGGCTATCTACACACTACATGCTCTGCTTACACCTTTATTTGTCTTGCTTGCAAAATAAAACCAAAACTTATTCTTTTATTTATTATATGTTGAATTCCACACATGAAATGCTTATACCAACACCTGTGTAACATATATTAAATTGATCAACTGTTTGTCCAATTTACTTTTTATACGGTTATATCCAAGCTTCACCTCTAAATCTAAAATTTTAATTAAACTAAAACTAGAAATTATAGGTTTTGATATTATCTAACTTGTTTTAGAGATTCAGGCTCTAGTTGCAGTTGTCCTGAAACTTATGTTCACTACAGCGAGCAACTCTTGTATACAACATATCTAAAAATAAATGACTCCGAAGCCAAAAATACTGGAAAAAATGTTTGCGAGGTTCTTGATTCATCACTGAAAGTGATATCTAATGATGGCAAAAAATTGCATATAGGTTCAAATAATCATTGCTATCATTCTGGAGATGCAAATAAGACTGCAAATTATTGCTCAATTTGCGTTGCTCTGGATAAAGCAGTGTTTTCTTTCCCAGATATAAAAAAGCACACTAATTTAAATCAATATAGAAGATATTTTGAGGTGAAAGGAATGAAAAGCTGTCAAAACGAAACATTCTAAACAGCACTAAGGCTGGGAATTTTCAAAAAAGTGTGATACCTTTGGTTATTGAACCTGAATTTCCTCTAAACCTGATGCCAATTAAGTGAGTAATTTATTTTTATTTTTAATTGAAAGAAATCAAATAAAAAGGGAGTTTAATACCACTTCACCCTAGAGTGAATCTGAGTGTACCAGAAAAGAATAATATTTAAAATTACTTAAGTCAGTAATTAAAGTCTGATTTAGTATTATAATTAACAAGTTTACTTAAAAAATAAGAAGTAACACAAACAGATGGCTCAATTACATCAATCTCAAAAAATTTTGTAAAGGCTTTAAATCATTAGTTGAAAGCACTCAAGTGGATATCACTAAATGATCAATATTTACCATTTATGATGGTAGTATAAATTTTATCCAAAACATGAAAAATAATAATTTGTAAAATGTATTTATATCATCAGATCCAAAATGAAAGGAATTCTTAACATCACCTTCCTTCGGAACTTTTGAAAAGCTATTGCCAAGGATTATTTAATTAAGAAATAAATCTATATGGGATGCCCACCATTTATTAGTATATCTTAATTTGTAAAGATTCTTAGATGGTTTTTTTCTCAAGCATTCAAAGTAAACACATTTTCTAAATATCAAAAAAATGCAGAGCTTTGATTTTATATATATAGGGAAAATTAAAATTAGCACAGAATACGATTGGTAGATAATTAAAAAAAAACGTGAATCATTCTCATTTACATAGAATTAAAGTTGTGATATTAGTATTAAATGCCCAAATGCAGAGCATAATAAGGGTGTCAAATTAGTATGTTTTGAGGAATCTTGTAAAGGGTAAAGATTATATTGTGATGAATGTATAAAAATTGGAAATCATGCTTCCCACCCTCAACATTAGAAGAATTATCATTGTTATTTGAATCTATTGAAAGAGTTGAAAAGAGTGTGATAATTTAATTAATACTATGAGTAAATAAATGGATCTGATTTAACAACAATTCCATTTATTAATGAAGGAATTAAATCAAAACATCAAAAATAATAATTAAATAGTTTAAATCCTGAATTAATTAATTCATTGTTATCATAAATTATCCATTTCAAATAATTTGACTGCAATATCCAAAATGAGTGTTTTAAAATCACAAACGACTTCTAAAATTAAATATAAAATTATTATTGATTTACATTTAAATGAAAGTAATTATTATCAAATATCTAATATATATTTTGATAAATCAGAGATATATATGAAAAAGGTAATTAATTAAGTAGGTAAGATAGAAACTAAGAATTTATAATACCAATTCAATAATATATTAAAATAGTGAAAAAAATATATTTTGAAGCCATATAAATATTTGATTAAGCATTAAACTTAAATTCAAAACATTAATTATTATTAGAAGGTAAAGGTATGTAAATTTGAAAGAAATAGCTTCTAGTTTAAGTTATCCTAATTTAAAAGATTTATTATAAGGTTGCTTAAATATATAATGAGATTTTTTAAAAGCATTCAAACATAAATGAATAACTTAAGATACATTTAATAACATATAATATTATTATTCAAAGTCTGTTTCTATTTCATTTTGTTAAAATTTTCAGTAGCAATTTAATATTTTATATTTGTAATACCAGTTCATCTTCAATTAACTATAACTCAGACTAGAAAATATCATTAATTGCTTAATTTTTCTATTATTCTATTCTCAGCCTTTCATTTAGATGAGCATCACATGTGTTTTTTTACCATTGCAAAATGGATATGTTTATAATTTATGATCTGAACTGGCATACTTATTGCAGATTGTATTTCATCGATGTAAAATAAATGCTTTGATTAAAGTAACTGGGATAAAATTTAATTTTCAACTAAATAAAGGCAAATTCAATTGATAATTTAAGGTTAAGCTTCAAAAGCAAACCATTAATTGTAACAATATGGAAAGTACTAATGACTTTAAGGAAAGCCAATTAATTGCTTAGTTAGATATCAAAGATTTTAAGGTAATCAACTTTCTTATTAATACCCCAGCAAAACGATATCCTTAACACTACCATTATGGGAACTCTCAAACAGTCTTTTTATAAGTATAATAACTTAGCATCACTTAATATAGGAAGATTAAAAGCAATTCAAAAATTTTTATACTTTCTACAATATAATTAATCTTCTTAGTTCAGATAACCATCATTGAGACATTCGAGCTTCTCGAGGCTGGAGGACGGAATGTTTTAAAAATTATTAATTTTGTTTATAATAGCTCTAAACTACATTTCAGGGAACAAATTATAATTTGGAAATGATATAAACTATAATAATTAAAGTGTTAATAACATCTGCTCAACAAAGTAAACATGTTTTTTATGCTTTGTCAGGGTATTAACATCTTCATTATATAAAAATTAACATGTTACATAAGTCAATAAGTTAGTTGAATTTTATTGGCTTAATATATCGTCAATATCGAAAGCAATTTTGAATTGGCTTCATATTATACTACACATTAATATATTGAGTAGAATAGATATGCCAATTTTATTGACTCAATATTACTCATTTTTGACTAAAAAAACTATCTATATTGAAAAGAACATTTTTTAAAGTTTACCTTCATGCATTCAAAAACAATAAATAAATATCAGCTAAAAGGATTTAAATAGAAATGAAAGTGAAATTTATGAGTTGGACTGATATTATCATGCGAGAAGCATAAAAATATATTTTAATTAGTTTTACTAACTTAGAATAATTGCTAAAATAAGTCATAATTCTTAAGGACTCATTTATCCTCATATCATTAATTTTATTTTCTATATTCTGAATTTCTTTCTTATAATTAATGATAATTTTCATCTTCCTATTCATCTTTCCTTCAAATTTGATTTTTTTTGTTTTCTGCCTCTTTTTTTTTATCATTAGATGCCCTGAAAAGTCTTTTAACATTTGTTTTTGTTCCCATTGACTAATCCAATGACTTTATTTTATTAAAGTATTATGAAATCATATTATTTAATGTATTCTTGAGTAAGGATCTTCATATCATATTTTATCTCTTTTGTATATTTTAAAAGAATTAATGATTAGGTGTGAGAGTTTTCAAAACCATTACAAACCAGTCCTAATCAGGTTAACTATTTTAATCTATACCCAAATTCTTTGTTAAATAGGAGTTTTCAAAAACTCTTCATTTATTTCATATTTTAAACCTGACTTCAGTAAAACTCAAATTGATAACATTTAGAACATAGATTTTTCAAAAAGAATACCATGTAGATAATCTGAAGATCCTATTGAAGAAGTAAGTTTAGGCAAATACTTGCCTTAAGTAGTACGCCATAGTAAGGCTGATTCTAAGTAAGGAATTAATTGATTAGCATCGGATCTGGAGATATTTAATAAATCTTCTTCTTATAAATTATTCTACATTTTTTTGATATATTTACTCTTTAATTGTGTGCTAAGCTTATGAAATTAAACAATATATTAGGAAAATTTAGAATAATAAAAATCGAATCTAGCGAAGTCGTGTAAGGATTTTTAAGTTAGAGATTATAATTGAAGAAAATTGAATAAAAAATTTTCATTTATCTTTCATTTAGCTACTAATACTCAAACAAGTAATTGCAAGTGCAAATGCTGCTAAGGAATGGAGAAGCAGCATATTATACATCGTAATAATTATAAATATGAGAAAAACCAAAAATACAGGATGAATATTAAATGTTTATGAATGTTAACCAATGCTATTCAGACATCACGAATGCAATTAATGCTGCTTAAACTTTAAAAAAGGACTTCAATGAAGAAAAGTATGAACCAATGCCATTGAAAGCAAGCTATAATATAATCCTTTGTTGAATGTAATTAATCTTTGAAAAAAACATTTATAAAAAAAATAAAAAGGGAAAATCTAGAACAAAAATTGTACATTCTTTAACATTCGATTAAGGAATCCGAATTGTGAAGTTTATAGTAATTAAAGGAAAAAATCATATTATTGTCTGCCATGCTTGGGATAACTCCTTCTTAAGTTAGATCAACAGTATTAGATTGAAGAGAATAAATAAAATTTTAGAATAAGGTACAGTAGCCGTCTTTTTTTTAAATTTTACTATTTTGATGATAATAAAATTTTATACTTAGAACAAATGCGACAGCAATTTAAAAGAAAAACTTAAATAAACAATGATTACAGATATGGACTCAATATTAAAAGCTCTTAAGCACAACTTATGTTTGAAAGTGAAAGATTTCACTAAGATGGCTGATCAAAGTATGTGTTGTGGCGAGTAAAATGATTTTCGAGATTGCAAAATGATAAAATGAAAGATAATTAATATATTCAAATAGCAAATTATCAATTATTTCAAATTAAATCTTCAATTAATTTTAAAATCTGTAATTGAATATAAAGTTCTATTTCATCTTTGATAAAAGACTTTATTAAATTTTAAAGCAGTAATTAATAATTTTATTCTAATTAGATTTAATCGGGTTTGAAATAAAAATAGATGGAATTTTCAAAATATTATTGCAAATGATGATTTTGAATATTCTTCATTATGTTTTATTTCATTTAATATTCCTCCTCTTAAGAAATTGAAAATTTATAATCTTTTCCCATTTCCTAAAAGTAATGTATAAAGAGAGAATCAAGTAGATTTTTAAGTACCTTTTCTCTCTTATCTTATACTACACATATTAAATCAATTTTTTTCGACTCCTCTGCTTTGGGATTATAGCTAAACAACTCGTCCACATTTTTTCCTATTTATTCTACTTTCTACATTAAAGAAGCCTCTAAAATCAATTAGTTTGTTTCATATTTGTTTATACTCTCCATAAATTCTTTCTTAATACCCTCTAATCTATAATCTCTTAATTAATATAGATAATGGTCAATAAGGTTATCATCATAATTAATAGTTTAACTATCCTAATCATATTGATGATTTGATAGAATGCCATTAATAGAATTCAACGTATCTGTTATATTTTAGTTTTAACATGATTATATAATAGGATCATATATTTCATCAACTATTTTTGAAAAATAGCTATCCTATTTATTGCATGTAATTTTTTCAGTTTTAAAATCTTATAATATTCCAGAAATAATTTATAATAATTTTGTTGAGGCTTTCATTTTTTCATCTAAATCATCCTCATAAATTATGCATTAATATCCTGTAAACCTAAGAGAATATTAAAATTTGACATATAATATGGATAATTGTGGACTATTATTCTTAAGTTCTAACCATATCCTGTTTTCATCTAGGTATAGATGTTCTATCTCCAAGTCCTCCATTTCTATGGTTTTCTTCAACATTGCAGTAAACAACATTAGCAATTAGCCTAAGTGAAACCTAATAAATTTTGCTTTCTAATAATAGAAGGAGTATTCATTACTATGGAGAATATGAGATCACTTAATCTAACATATTTAGTTCTATCAATTATATATTTAATTGATTTTTCTTCTTGGTAAATTTACATATTTTCAATAGGATCATATTCAATTATTCGGCAAAGGACGTCTAAATCCAAATAAGAATAGCTCTAATTTGAGCAATAATTAAACCCAATCATTTAATAATGAATTTAATTTCTATAAAAAACAAAATTTATATTGTGTGTACTTTAATTATAGTCTTAGTTTAAAAAATCCATGAACATTCAATTTATTAGGTAGGTCTAAAGAAATAAAAACATAAATATAAAGAAATGTTGCAAAATAATTAACAATTCTTATCAATTAAAACAAACAAATATTGACTAAACTTTAAGCTTATATATTAATTTTGAAATTTCTACTTTTTTTAGTGTGTTTTCGAAGTAAAGATTGGAGGATCACAAGGAACCAATTTTACGCTTAATTATACATGACAATGAAGATCTTTTTATATTAGTTATTGGGATAAAACTATTAAGATCTAGATTAGCACAACTCAATGGATAAATAATTTTAGAACACAACAAATTGGTTTGGATTATTAGTTTGAGTCAATCGTAAACTAAATTGATTTCATACTGATATGATAGAATCATCCTAGCATTAGAACATTAAAAAAAAGGAATATTTGGTCTGTAGCTTAAAAGATAAATTTCGAAGTGAGAGTATATAATCGGTTTTGTAAATGTCCGTTCGTTTCTTTTTAATCAAGGAATATCAAATTTGATTGATTGGATTTCTATTTATACGATGATACAATAAATGGATTTTTAAAAAGAATGACATAATAGTAAAGTCTGGGAATAGTTGTGACTATTTATAGCCCTTATAATATGTTGGTTGTAAATTATTAATTGTTAAAAAAATAAATATGAAGAATAAGTTCAAAATACAATGTGACACAAATTACATCTAGGTATCAATAAATAAGGATACAGAATTAATAAAATAAATATCAGCCCTCTTATTTTGTTTTATCCCAACTTCAATAGTTATTTAACATTATATCAAAGTAATACTCATAGAAATTACAAACATTGAAAATTAGACTTACATGCAAACGCCATAAAATAACGATAAAATATCTTGGATTGAGTTTTTATTTATTTTGAATTTTTTACCCAAATTTTTGTTGAGATGTGAATTATTTCCATTTCTGAAAGAAATTGATTCAATTCTTTTTTTTCTATGCTCTTAAAAGAAACCTCCCCACTTAATTGAATTTCTAAATTCATCTTTCATTATTTATACTGCTTCTTTTTAACTTCATTGTTGTGAACCTGTTCTCTAATCAGTTCTATCAATCCCTTAATAATGTCTTTATTATTCCTATCGTTCATTATCCATCCACCCTACACATTGGATCTATACTCATTCCAATTACAACTCGCTTTATGTTGATCTTTATTCTCCTCCTCAAAGGTTTGTGTTGTAGTTCTGGTTGCGGATTATTAATCTTAGCAGGTTGTAATTGAATATCTTGATCTATAAAAACATAATTTGCTTTTCCTGCCTCTTAAAGTCTGTTAAGGAGGATTCGTGACTTCTATTAGAATTCACTCTCATTTTATATTACTGCATGGCAGATAAATATTTCGTGAATAGTTCCCTAAGATATTTCAAGCTAAGTCTATGCAAAATTTGATTGAGCATCCTGATAATTTCTGAAGTAGTATAAAACCTTATTTAAAAAAATTTTAAAATAGTTGATCCGTTTTCCCTTCCTAGAGATTGATTATTAAAAGGGCTTTAAGATTTGCATCTGATCTTTTTCCTGTCTTTCTCCTAAAGGATTCCACGAGTCTTGATAAGCTTTTTCAAGTATTCATTAGGACCAAAATAACCTTTTTTCTAAAGCCAACCGCCAACCATTTTCATTCCTTTCTTGTTGGCTAAGATATTCTTGGATTTGAGTTTACCAAGAAAAACATTCCAATATCTTATCAAATATACATTTATTATTCATAATCCTTATATTGTGCAAATCTTCTCTACTTTCCCTTGGTTGTTCCATCAAGAGATGTGTTATATTTATCAACTGGTCGAGGCCCTGTTTAGAGCCCCTTGGACTATGTTATTTTGGACATGATATATACATAATGATAAAGATTAAGATAATTTAACTATCCATCTAAATACATTTATGAACAATAGAAACATTATACAAAAATACGAATATAAAAAAGTTATTTCTGAAAATTTTTTTTTAATGAAAGAATATCAATCTTAAAGGTGATCTACTGGATTTTAAATTAATATCTAATAATTGATATTTCGAATAATATTTATTAGTTTTCCCAGCAATAAATGTTTATAGAAATTAATTAATAATAATTTTAATTACTTTAAAACATGGACAAATGATTAAGAGATGCAATAAAAATAATTTTAATATTTATCAAAATAAATACTATTCTGAATAGAACTTTCATTATCAAAGTCAGGTAGAAATGAAATGGTTATGATGAATGTGTGAAAGAATTCAGTAAATGATAAATATTATAAATCTGAATAATCCAAATCACAAGACATTTAAACCGAAAATATATGAAAATTTAAATTAAATATTGAGGTTTACCTCAATATTAGAGTAAAGCATTTAATTTTATTAAATATTTAATTTATTATTATAACTAATGATGCTTAAAAAGATGAAACATATTAAATGATGATCATCCATTATATGGTTACTTTCTACCCCGTTCAAGTAATAGATCTCTTTCAGCACGTTCTGCAGCCAATTTTTCTTATTTTTCTCTTTCTTCTTTATCTTTTTTCTCTTTAGCCTTTTATTAAATTGTATGATTACTAATTAGAGATTGGTTTGTTTTGTGGCAACACCCATATCAGTTTTCCTAGATGCAAAGTTATCTTATAGCATTCCTCGAAATCTATTAATTTCTAATGTTTATTAAGCATAAGCCATTTCCTCAGCTTTTTCTTATTCTTGTCTCCTTTTTTTCTCTTCGATTTGTTCAAATATCCATTGTTTTTATTGATCCTTATTGAATTTATTACGAGAATCAAATTCTAAACTATACAGCTAAAGAATTACATAAATCTTCTCCATCAAATTCTTTCAGACCACTAACACCTTATCTTTATTGCCAATCAGGATGCTCTCTAAAAATGGTTTCCTTTGTTCGTTTCATATTTTAATTTATATAAAATTTATATATCAATTTTCTTCTTCAAATTATTCCTCCATATATTCTAAAGATTTAATTAATAACAGCCATACCTTCTTCATTTATTTCTTTAGTTGGATGCAATTCTGAAGCCAAACTAGCCTTTACATCGCTATTACTTCTGTTAACTTTATTTACATAACTGGATGTTGGCCTACTATTTGGAATTTATCGACTTCCTATAAATTCAATATATACTCTTATCGAACTGGAAAATTGCCTTTATTTTCTACTTTCTCCCACTAATCATTCTCATCATCACTATCTTCCTCAAAGACTCCATCAACATTTATATTGTAATCATCATCTTCTTCCTAATATTAATCTTACTCTTCAATCTGAGCATTGTTTAAATCCTGCTAATAATCATCATTCTCTTCTTCATTATTTTCATACTCCCTGTCTTATTCATCAAAATTATATGGATATTATTTTTTTTCATATTGTTATTGATTTTAGTAATGTTTTTATACCTATTATTCATAATTCTCTTCTTCTTCCTCTTCCTCTTCCTCCTCATTCTTTTGGATTAGAATTAGTTATAAAGGACCTGGATCAGAGTGACTTCTTACTAATCCCCCTTAGTATATATATTCTTAAATTGACTTCTATGGAATCCCATCATTCATTTAAATAATCTCTATTTCCTCGACTTTGCCTTCCTTTGTCTCCAATAATGCTATCATTTATTCTTACTTGCTTCTTAACTATTTATAAAAAAAGAATCCTTTATCTTATCTAAATTTATAATTAATTATTGAAATTACCCTAAACTGTCATAATATTACTGCAGATCCTCAGCTCGAATATCCTCCTCATTTTCTAACTTTTCCAATTCTCTTAAGTATTTTACAAGTACATCTCCTTTTAAAGTACTGAGACTTTTGGATTACAATATGATCTAATCATGAAATAAATGGTACTTTCGAAATTAAATAAGTGAGTTCCAATTCTCTGATCTATTTTTTTTGCAGTATTTTTTAAATTTAAGTTATAAAATCCTTTTTTTTATAAACATTTTTGCCCATTACTTTTTCTACTTGACTGAGAGATCCTTAGAATAGTTTGGCTAAGCACAATTCCACTACTCTCTTTTCAACTTAATCATAACAAGGCCAAAATCCAATGGCTTTAAAAAACATACCTCTTATCAATCCATTATCTTAGGCTATTGATAAATTGGGAGTGTATGGGTACCTTTATTATGGAGATTCTATTAAAAATCGAGCAAAATTGTTAGCATCATTTTTATTTAGGAAAAATGGATCATTTATTAGTTTATCAGTCAACTATCCTATTGAAGTTTATTATGTTGATTAATTGAATAGTAAAGTATCGATTTATTTCGAATGTAGTGATAAAGCGATCAATTTATATTTAATTTCTTCTATGATAGAAGTTATTTCATCTAATTGAATTGGCTTTGTAATCTGTTCTGGTGGTTTAGCACTTTAAATGCGAGTTGCTACTTTATTGTGTGTTTTAAGAGTTGGACTAAATTTAGGTTATTATAACAATTTCTTTTCTTTTTCATACTGTTCTTTTAATCTTTTAAGTTAGGTTTTGAGCTCTACTATTTACTTATCCTTTTATTTTATTTTAGTCTACATATTTTGATCAAGTTTTGTGTATTCTTTATCAAGATCTTGATAAGCAGAGATGAGCTTCTCTAATTGCGATTAAAGGTTTTTGTTATCTGTTTCAAATGATTCAATATCTTACTACATTTATTTAATAAGATTATCTCTTTATGAAATCATATCCTATAATTTTTATTAATCATGCTCTTTTTATTAAGCATATAAATTTTATTGTATCAGTTCATCTATAACTTATTTTAATCGAATGGTTTCATCTTAGAGCATTTTACGTTCAATTTCCATTTCTGTGAGTTTAGTATACTTAGCTGTCTTTTTGAGAGCTAACATTTCCTATTCTCTTTAATCAAGGTTTTATCGCAATTCTTTAATTTAACCTTTGAAACTGAGGATCATTTAATTATCAGTGCTTGGTTTAGCATAAAATCTTTTCATATTTCCAGTAGTTTCTACTTCTTCTATAATTTTTTAACATTTTTATAAGTCTTTCTAGATGATTATTGCAATCGTACTTCTAAGTTAGTGTTTCTGGTTCTTAGTTTAATATTCTCATCTTTCAATTAGTTCATTAAAAGCTTAAGTTAAAGGCTCTCTTCAAATAATTTTTCGCTCTCCTTGGCCTTGTATGATGAAACGTTCTATACATTTGGCTACTTGTAAGGACTAAGAGTAAATGAATTATAGTACTTCTTATGAAAGGATACATTCTTATCACTTATATGGGACATATTTTGCTAAGCACTGGATGGTCGTATTGCCCTATGATTCATGATATTAATAATTATAATGGATTTTAACGATTTGATCTTTCCTTGTCCAAAACCAAGTTATAATGAGACTTTGGGTGGATTATATTACATTGATGAACAAATCTGTGGTCAATCAGTCAAAAATAGTAATGAACTGAAAATATAAAATGGGACCATAAAAGTGACGATTGGTCAGAATTAACCACATCACAAGGTTATAAAAAGAAGAAGGATAGTCACATTATTATAATTAGAGTAGAAGTTAAACAAGGGTATTGTTGTATTTTTTCATGCCAACGCAGAGGATCTTGGAATGTGTAAATCTTTAGCATTTCTTCTAGGGATAGATTTGGATGTATAAAATTGGTCTCTGTAATTAGATGGCCTCCATTTCTATTGAATATCCAGGCTATGGCATTTATAAAGGAATTTGTAGTAGTGATACAATGATAAAAGATGGTTATTAGGTTATGGAACATATAATAAAAGTTTTGAAGGTTTAGGAAGAAAAGATAATAATTATAGGAAGATCTATTGGATGCAGCGTAGCGATAGAGATGAGTATACGATATAGAAAGATTAGATCTCTTATTCTATTGAGTGCATTTACCTCGATTTGTGATGTAATAAAGGAGAATAGTTTCTTTTGGTTATCTAAGTTAGTGAAGGAACGATTTAGGAATTTGGAGAAGATGCATAAAGTGGTTTGTCCAACTCTTTTCATACATGGAAAGGATGATAATTTGGTTAATTATTAGCACTCAATTGAGTTGATGAAGGAATGCTAAGGACTTGTTCATATAGAATTATTTGAAGGGATGAATCATAATTAATTCTCGATCGAATCACATATCATTTCTCCGATTAAATAATTTTTAATGAAAATAAAATGACAATAAATTATGTGATTATTAATTTAAATAAAAACAGTAAATGGAATAAGTGTATTCGGTTGGCGAAACATTCACATCATTTTTAGGGAATTTCTATGATCAAAGGATACTAATCTCGATTTATTTGTTGTTTCCAATAATTTTGTTGTTCTTCTTTCTCAGTCTTAGGTAATCAAATTTTATATTGTAGAGATTTAGAAAGACTTGAAAATTAGGAGAAATATGACATGGCACATTCTCATTATTAGCCAAATATTTACAATAATATGGTCTATTAATGGACTAAGAAAGGAATTGAAGATTTGAAAAATGATAAACGATATGTTTAATGGTAATAACAAAAAGAGAGAGAATTGGAACTAAGATCATAAGAATCAAGCAAATTATCAAATCGATAATAATAAGAATGATATTTTTAGTATATATATATATATGTCATTAATCATTATCACTTAATGCTCCTTCTTCTTCATCAATCTTAGTAAGTAATCCACTTATTTGATAGTCTAGCAATTCTTTTAACTTATCTTGCATAAACTCATCCAAATTGTGTTCTTGAGCAAAACGAGCAGCCAAATCGCAAGATTAATCGCCTTCATATACAACAATTCTCTCAGTTTTGTTTGGTCCCAGATTCACATCAACAAATAACAAAGGTATCCTTTCATCTTACTCTAATAATAATTAAGATTAATGTCTTACAACTGCCAGATCTAGCAACACTCTATTCATCTTTGGGTTGGGATTCATCCATTTGAAAATTCTATGATTAATAAGTATTCATTTATTGCGATTCTTGTGATTGTAGACTCTTCTATCTTGATGATTATGTTGTTTGTTTCAACTGATTCTAAGATTAGCTTCTACTTACCTTGCTCTATTAGTTGGATTATTGTTACTATTAAACTGGTTTGTTACTCTTGTATCCTCTTTCCAACATTCCTTATACTTCCTCTCTTCTTTATCGAGCTTATCTCATCCTTTATACAGTCTTATCTACATCTTTATTTACAAAATGACTCTCTTATTTCTGTTATTGACTTCCCTTGTTTATTAGACCAGGTTAGAAGGTGCATTCTTCCTATTATCTTTCATATTCTATTTCCTCAGTTGTTCTGTCTCTTTTTTAAGTAGTAGGCTTTGCCAAAGAATACAATTGCAAATATTTTTCTGATTTCTTTGACTAGCTTTTTCTTTCATCTATATTTTAACTGCTGTAATTGCTATTACTCATTAATTATGGTTTGAATGGACATTTATCTAATTATTATTATAATATCTCTTATTTCTTCTATTCCTTATGATATTCTACAGCTTTCTTTTGTAATACCAATAAATCTGCATGAGTAATTTACCCATTTTCTGGTATGTTTACTTTAATCAACTGATTATCAATCAGATTAGCTGTCTCTTCTAATACTTTCTCTCTAAATTGATTAGCCAACTATTTTGATTAAGGCAATATTTATGGTTTATAAGGGTTTTGATCTTTCCAATTTGTTTTCTTCAGTTCCTCACAACCTAATCTATTTCTATATAAAATATCAAATTATTTTTAAATTTTTTTTGTTTCATCAAATGTGAAAATGATATTTCCATCTTTATCTATAGTTCCTAACTTTGGTCTATCATTCGGTTGATGAGCAGTAACAATTTTATGCTATTATGGTTATATAGATTTTTAATAATTAGGAACTTCCTCGTTTTAAGCAGATGGTAATTCTTTGATTTTAAAATCTGTAATACCAATTAAAGTCAACAAAAATAAACATAAGTTCCTTTTACTAATTCCACCCAGTTCATCTCCTCTCAAGACAGTCCAAATTTCACATAATAATGCTCGTTCTTCTGATAAACGCAGATTTTCATATTCAACAGCCTTTTCATTGCTCTCCTTTAATTACAATTAATTCAAAAATCCTAATCTTTACAATATTTCTCCTAATTTGAGATAGTCAATTGAAAATGATACATTCGAAGGTCTATCCTAGCCTGTTTGATCAAAAATCCAATCTATAACAGTTTCAAATTCTCTAATGAATTTTTAAGCAACTATTTTTTCGCTGTTATTTGATGTGAATTTAACATTCACAGTTACTACTTTAGTTGTATTTTTCTTCTCTTGTACTTCCTTCTGTTTCTATAATCTTCTTTACGCATCTTAGTAAAGAATGTCTTCTACTTTTTGATTACGAACTATGTTTTAAGACTTCTATTAAATTAATGGTCGATAATCCACTGTAGACTCTGATTGTTACATCAATGGCTCAGTTGGTTTCTTTTAATTGAGATTGTACAATCTTTCATAAGTTGGGATTGTTTCATCTCGATTTGAAAAGTTGAATTCATTGGTCTTTGGATGGTATGGATGTTGTAGATCACGTTCCAATTCATTTTATTTTATTTATTCTAATTTCTATTCCACTTTGATAACATGATTCTATTGATCGAATAAAAATTGATAGAGTGATCTTTTTTCTTAATTGTCATTAAGCGTTTAAGGTGCAAATGAGCAAGGTCGTAATTCTTCTTATTCATAATATTCCTTCAACATTTAATTGTTCTACTTAAATATTTCAGCCTCTTAATTGAGTCTTTCATAAAGTATTTCATTATTCACATAAGGCATCAATTTCTTTGAAATATTAGGTTTTGGCAGATTAGAATTCTAAACCTTAAGTGGTGTGTCATCGGGAAGATCGTCTCCCTTCAGAATGGCAGGACATGCTGTCATATGTTATTGTTTGGAGTTCATTTTTAAAATATCAGTTAAGAAAATAAAATATATATATAAATATAATGAATTAATCAGTTTTCGAAAAGCCCCATGTATTGCAGAGTATAAGTGATGCTGATAAGTTATAATTTTACAATAGCACACGCTTATGGCATACCAAATTTAATTATCAGCTTTTTGATACAGAGGAACTTAAGAGTGTCCATTTTGAAGACAATAAAAAGTTTATCATGATACTCAAATCAATTCAAAATTTCAATAAGGAAGTAAGGATACACTTATTGTTCTTATAGATCTAAACATCATAAAAATAAGGTAGATTTGTTCCAACAATGCCCACTCGTTACAATTTTTACTAAAACATTGTAAATTTATTGAGAGAAGCTGCAATAGCCAAAGGAAGGGATGCTTAATTGATATTCCTAGATAAGGTCTATGGCTTTTATGTATAAAACAACCGAGAAGTAATGAAAACGCAAGACAAGGAAACAGGTAACACAACTTCAAGTGATGATACAAGATTTATCATTTAGGATCAGTCGTAGCCATTGCCAAGTAAATAGATTGATGATCAACTCAAGGATTATAAGGAAAAGAAAAGAACCATGCATAAAAATTGTGATCCGCCATAATTAAGGTAATTGATGTGTTGGTATGATTCATTAGATTAAAATTGTATAAAAGAAGACAATTTAACTAATTAAATAATATGATACCTCAAATTTAAGTAAGGAGCACATTCCCCAAGGTTGTTTCCTTGCCTCAAAAGGATTAGGATGAGAATCTACAATAGAGTTAAGAGTAAACAGAGGGGGAAATTGTGATTGATGGAGATTTATTAGGGAATGAAGGTGATGAAGAGAAGAAAAAGAAGGATGTCAATATGGTACCTAAGATCAAAGTATTTTAAAAAGATGATGTAAATTTAGAATTTACAGATATCAATAAATAGTTTGAAAATAGATAAAATTATTAGTTATATTAACCATCAAATCAGGAGATTGAATTGAATCTATAAAATAGATGGATCTAATTTAGATAAAAAGAAGCAGCCGAAAAGAAAATGGATGAAGAAATAGTCAATTCTATGAATGTTTGGTCTAAAAACAAAGCTAGAATAGAAAAGGAAATCGATCGTAGAATAGATTCATAACATTATGGCAGTAGATATGCTGAAATTGATAAAAAAAGATCGTAATCTGTTGGATTATCATATTAACCAGATCCTAAAGTAGTCAATCTAAAACCATTACCAACCATTATATAATCACAAAATAGATAATATGATTCTGTAATTGATATATCATTTTTGGAAAGCAGGGCCTCTGCATAAAGAGTAGTAAATGCAAGAAGAGCTTACAAAGACATATTAAATTTAAGTGCTAATGATATTTAACCAGATGAATAACCATCTTCCCTATCTATTTATGCAAATAAACTTAGATCCAATTCACTTCATAATAAGTTCTCACAATTATTACAAAGAAACAGTCCCACAAAGTTGAATGAACAGAATTTATAAGAAGTATTGGATATCAAAAATAGATTTGCTAAACACAAGATCCCAATCTAAATAAATTCTTTGTTATCTGGAATTATGGTACCTACTTATCAAGAAGACTTTAACAATAAGCTAATGGATATTGGTCAATCTATGTTAGTTAATCCTTTCGAGGAGAAAAAAGGAAAAAAGAAGAAGAAGAAGAAGGATTGATCATTCATAATATTTAAAATTTAATACTAATTAAGCCATATCCATTAGATTTCGATTCAGATTTTATCAAATGTATACCATTCATTATATCCAACGACATATGGAAGATATCCTTTTCAATGTTAGAATCACTGTATCCTATTTAGATTAATAAAATTCAATTTTTTAATTTATAACTCTGTAAAATCTATTTTTTAATATACATTCCTTAATCCAAAAAGGTATCAACAAAATTAATAATTTTTAGAATTATAGAAATTATAAAATTGAAAACTGTTGAAGTATAGATACTAAAATAAATCCATATTTCAATAATGTCTAATATGATCTTCGAGATTATTTTAAATAACCAAAGAGTATATAAAAATCAATATAATATCATGGAGGATTAAATTAAATAATAATCAATTATATTTATATAAATGACTTCTTATATGCAGTCCTCCTTTAGTATTCAAACTAAAGCCAACTTTGATTTTTTGCAACAACCTAGTGATTCTGATTCGGATAGCGAATCAAAACAATTTATAAAAGGAGCCTAATAATAAAATTAGGAGAGAGATTTAAAAAAATAAAAGAAACTGATTGATATAGAATCAATTAAAAGCGAGTTAGGGATTAGACCAATTACGGAGAATACAAATCCTGAAAATTATTACCGTAGATATTCTAGGAAAAGTATTGGGACAATAACAAATATGATAATACCAACATCATCTGTTCTGATTGAATAATTAAGTTAACTTAAAAAGATAAAGGAAATAAGAAAAGAAGTGCCTCCTGAATTGCTAGGCCGCATTTATTCTGAATTTAGGTATAAGATGGAATTCAATTAGGTTTCAATCAGTGCCTCAATTGAATCCAGTTTATAGACAGGGAGATCAAAATAAACGATTTTATATAATATTGGAAGGGAAGGTGGTAGTGATGAAGCCAAAAGAGAAAATGGTTGGATCTAATAAGTTGGATTACTACGATAATTAAACATCAAAACCTGCGAAAAAGACTGAGCAGGATCCCTACGGATTGAATAATGTATTCCCTGACTACATTATAGTGAAAGTACTATTTTAAGGAGAGTATGTAAATAAAGAGCTATTAAAGTTCGTTTGGAGAGGCAGCTATTAAGTTGGACACGGCAAGGTCATCGACTGTTTATGCATTAGAATAGACTCACTTAATATACTTAAGTGAAATGGCATATTTAGAATTGATTAACCCTTATATGAGTGCTGCATTAGATAATAAAATCAATTACTTTTCCAAAACTCCCCTATTTTAGTTTATTGAACCTTAAGAATTCATGGGCATAATTTTGGAATGTAAGATGATAACCTATCATGCTGGTGAAATGTTGTTTAAGGAAGACGATAAAGCAACTCATATCTATTTTATTATTGATGGAGAAATTGAATTGTCTAAGAAAGTGGGAGAAAAACGAATAATTTTATCATCATACGGATAATATTAAGGATTCGGAGAGGTGGAAATTATGATAAAGATCTCTAGATTCACACAAGCCAAAGTTATTACTCCAAAATTACACGTCTATAGAATCAGAAAGAGATAATTCTTTGATAACTTAGGTAATTATCAAATTTTTGAAACTATGAAAAAGAATTCAAATATTATATATAGACATTGGTAAAATAGATGTGAAGCTGCATAATAGACAATTCATCAATAAGATGAAGTACATTATATTATTATTATCAGATCTATAAGGCTGCTTAGGATGTCTAATAAAATAAACCAAATTTTAAGGCTAAGCATATTCTTAATAAGAAATTGGTGGAATCATAAGGATAGAAGTTGTCATAAGTGAAATTGTTGTAGAACATAACAGATGAAGATTTAAGGAATATCAAAATAGTTAATACTCAAAATCAAAGTGTGTTATAAAAAGTGTACAGCAATACGTTGCAATAATATTAAGCTCGATTATTAAAGAAACCTTAAGCTGTTTAATAATCTCATGATGAAAATTGCATTAGAAATCCATTCACAATTAAAACTCAAGCAGATATTTTGAGTGAAAACAGCACAGAATTTAATTCATTAACAACTCGATCGTCTTAGCCTGTGGTTAAGACTGACAATGTTATTCACTCTTATGGGTAATTACCATCACTTCATATCCCATAAAATACTCCTTTACAAATGGTTTTTGACACACTAAGCACACTTCCTAGAGTAAATAAGGATAACCTAGTTTTATCTTTAATGTATTAATAAGCTTTCAAATCAGAGAATCCAGAAAAGAAAGCCAAATAGATTTAAAAGGTCATTTAGGCATCCTATAGGAATGTTTAAAAGTAATATGAATCTAAAATTCTTCCTACAAATGAAGTCAATAATACTAGTAACAATTAATCGATTGACAGACGTAGATTGAAATTCAAATCAAGTGGATCTTATGATCTTAATTCAACCAGAAGCAATTATGTGAGTTTTGTACAATAAAAGTAATTATGTTAATAAATCAATTGAATAACTATTAAATATTTTCTTTGTTTTTTAAACTATTCATTCAATATACAAAATATGAAAAAGTATACTGAAAAGGAGTTTGAAGAGAAAGTAGAGATTGCAGTCGATAAAGTACTTTAATTTATGTAGAATTTAGTATTTAAGCAAGAAAGCTCAACAATAACAATAAAAAGGGTACTTTCATCATCATAATGAATGTATCATTGATAAATTGGTTGAGAAGGAGAAGTTGATGACAAGCATAGCTAACATCTTTACAGAAGTGGCTAAGATCACTTGCAATGAATTGGTTGAGCCCATTAAATAATAGATTGATCAATTAGAATCGGATTTGGCTAAGATCAAAGAACTAGTCATCAAAAGTTTTAATCAAGTAAATATAACGCTTACAATCAGTTTACTCCAGTAATGAGGAGTGTAGGAGTACCAGAAAAAGTAATTGAAAATGGCAAATAGATAGAAACAGAAGAAATTGATAGAGTGAGAAAAAAATTACAGAATCATGACAATATGATCAGTTTATTGATGGATACATAGTAAGATTATATCCATATCATTTTGAGCCCAATTGAAATAGACATTGTAGATATTTAATACTTCTGATGACATTTAAGCGAGTATAATAAGTTATTGATATTTATTAGAATTACTATCGCAATTTGATGACAAAATATATTAACTCAAATAGGAATTGAATGATACAAGAGTCAATGATACCGTTAGACAAGTCAAAGGTATATATAATAATTTAATCATTAGAGAAATGTAATGCTTGTTGGGTGGTTCTTGGCGATGTTAATGAAAGAGTAGAAAAGATGTAGAAGTACTTGGATGAACAAATGGAAAAGAAGAAATCAGGAGGCTTATTGTAAAAGGCTGCTTCATATATCAAAGCATCATGAATTATATTGTGTATTTTAATTTAGTTAAAGTTATCAATAATTCTAGAATGTAATTTCATAATTACATAGCTTATTAATTACTATACTCTTGGTTGTTAATTTCATAAGTTACAAAAATTAATCAATATTTTAGATTATTGTTTATGAATACTTTATTAATATTTCATTTTTATTATGTAAATACCTTGTCATTTAAAAATTCTCTTAAAGCCTATTAAATAATATGTAATCAAAAATACCGCAGGACACATTTCAGCATCTTCTGAACCCGATTTGGCCCTGGCTATTTCTTAATCAACACAATATAAATGGAGTATGCTTTCAATGGCAACTCCAAATATGTTTGTAAAGACAGTGGCAATAACAAAAATAATGATTGCCAATAATAAAGTTGGATTATATGGATTAATGACAATGCCTCCAAATAACAATTGAGGTAATTCTGAAATAGATCTAAAAAAGAACATAGAGATTGATAATGTTATCATGATTCTTGCAATATTGTTTATTAAATCTCCCAAACCTACAACCTACATAACAATTGATGGATTATTTGACATAATATCTAGACCTTTTTTGGCAGCATGGAAGAAGCCATCCCCAGTCATGTTAATTTAGACATAGATATTCTGATTCAGATATTGTAAAAACCTTTCGAAACACCATATGCAACATGCACAACACTTGAAACAGAATTGACAGCCATCTGTGTTCCTCATATATTCAGCATTTCTCTATAGTGATCAATTGAATATTAAATACATATAGATATTCGAAGAAGGATCTAAATATTGAGATTAATCCCAATAATAAGGCTCCAAGTACTATTGAACCAAAATGATAGACAAAACATCTTTTCCAGGATGAATTGAGTGGTTATACATGTTCCTAACCACTCTTTCCTTGTTGCCAATACCATACACACACTGAACCTGCTATGATAAAGCTATTGACTCCAATAATTAATGCATATGTCCAAAAAGTGGCAAACAACAAATAGAATCCACTAAAATATTCAAGTAATGTGTATTTCAATTATCCAAATGGCCATTACTATTGTTTATCTCCAGGTGTACCAGTTGAACATATGATTCTAATTTTAGTAGTTTAATTACAATGCTATGTAGATAAAAATAACAGTTAAAATAAGAGTGGCAATAGTTGAGAATACAGGAACAATGACAATACTGACATTTTTAGTGACAAAATCAGAAGCTGACTTGATGATGGCAATGGCTAGATTGATTCTTTTGTAAAAACAAATTGTCAAGATTATAGTACCCAATCCAAAACACCACCAAATTACCGCTTAGAATAGATATCCAGTAGGTGATAAACCTATAGTCATACTTGATCTATTTGGATAGATATATTTATTACGCTGCCTTATATTATAAATAACTATAATAGCCAAAGAAGATAGACAACACAACGATTATAAAGATGATGAACCAAATTACAGTTTTGCTGCACCATTTCAGTAGGTAAGTGAATGACAAAGTAAAACAGATTCCCAATACAATGAATATGAATAAGGTATACTTGGCTCCACTGATATCAGAAATCATTTGATGCAAGAACCCCATTTTCAATGCTTCCTAAACTATCTTAAATTACTCTGGATCTGTGGGAATGCAGACTCTTTAATCAACTATATATATATATTTTATATATACATTTAATGCTGTTGTATAATGTGGCTTAACTACAGGAGGTTACTATAGAATTGACAGCACATTTTAGTTATGAATTTGGAGTAGTTCCAATGGGTGTAGTAGTTGTGGTTGGAACAGTAGTGGTAGTTGGAGGATTGTACTACAAGTGTTTGTGTTTTGGAACTGTTACACTTGGACATTCTTAAACACAGACAGTCTTCCATAAGAAATCGCTATTGAGAGTAGTGAAATAGATGAATGGATAATCTCTCAATGTGTCTATTCCACATGGTCTATCTTTATCATATTTGTTTCTATTTACGATCAGGGTCATATCCTCTGTCTATCAATAATAAATTTCCGCTTTGATTCATGTACAATCCAATTCCCAAGATACTCAATAATATGGCAGAATAGAGGACGGTACAAAATACATTTGTGCAGGACCTTCTACTGTTGTCTATTGGACCATTGGAAAGGTTAAGCAACAGATTGTTTCCATCTTATATTTGCATTTATTTAATTTATGATTGATACAGATATACCTATGGAAGAGGAAATGAGTGAAGTAGTACGATAATTCAAACCAAAGTTCAGATCCATTCACAAAACATAAATTGAAGATGATTTAAGTGAAAACACTGCAAATTCATTGCACTAAATTGAACTATTAAGAACTGTTATAACTAAAAATGTATTTAACATAGTAAGAATACAAACCATTGATGATAGATGGATTGGTATTTAATTGAGAGATACCTACGTAACTTGTGGATGGTTACTCTCTGAAGTGATTAGGAAATTAAGTTAATTAAGATTAAATTATGATCCAGCTGACATTGTTGGATTTAAGACAAACAATATTCATTTGGATTATCACTTGAGTTGTTTACATTACAATTTGCCTAATTTGAATGGAGTTCTTCTTATACCCTAAATTCGTTAACAATTAAAAGAGCCAATTAATCTTGATTGGTTTGAAATTATTAAGAAATTAGCAGCTGGGGGTTTCTCAGTAGTATATCTAGTAAAGAATAAGGTGAATGGATAATTTTATGCTATGAAGGTGATTGACAAACGATTGATGATTGAAAGAGACAAAGAGGAAATGGTATTTAATGAAAGATAGATCTTAACAAGATTGAATCATAGAAGAATAATCAATTTATATTGTGCATTCTAGTCAGTAATTCATATTTAATTATCAAAAGAAATCTAAATTGTATTTTGTATTTGATTATTGTCCAGGTGGAGAACTATATTATCATCTACGGAAATAGAAACGATTTAGTGAAGAATAGGCTAAATGGCTATTCATTCAAATCTTGGATGGATTGCAATATTTGCATGCCCAGAACATTATTTATAGAGATTTAAAACCAGAGAACATATTGATTGACTAAGATGGATGTCCCAAATTAGCAGATTTTGGACTCAGTAAGATAGTTGAAAATTAAGAACAATTAAATTACTCTTTCTGTGGATCCTTAGAATACATGGCTCCAGAGATGATTGAATAGAAGGGACACAATTACACATAGGATTATTATCAATTGGGTGTTATGCTCTATGAGATGATGGCAGGCATTCCTCCCTTCTATGCTAAAACAAGGTAGGACATGATCAAGAATATAGTATCAAAGTAGATAAACTATCCTCATTTCTTCTCTAAAAATCTATCAGATTTGATTACAAAATTGTGTAATAAAGACAAAACAAAGAGATTATGTGGGAAATGTAAGTTTACAAACATATAATTAGAAATCTATTAGCATCCTTGGTTACAGGGACCTATTAAAAAGATGCCAATCAAATATCAATGCGATCAATTCAATTTTGACAAATTGTTTATCAATCAAAAATGCTTAGATATAGAGAGTGGACCCAGGTGTATTGCTGAAGAGTTTAATTTATTGACGTTATCTTAATCAAGAGATATTCGGGATGAAGAAATGTGTCCCTTTGAAAAATTCTCTAGTTTTTATTACAAAAAATGATGTTATATAATAAATGATTGTTATAATTTAAAATTAATATGCAAGATAGTTAAAACTTAAAGGACTTGCAAGTTCAATTAACTAAATTCATCAGCAGACTAGAAGAACTGGAGAGAGAGAACAAGTACTTGAAGGAACATGTGATGAATCAATAATACTAGTTGATGTAAAATGTAAAAATTATTGATACCAAATATTAATAAATGCATCGTAAGTAAATTTAAACATTAATCCTAAAGATATCTAAAATGCCTATATAGGTATGGCATATCGTAAAGTTGTTTAACAAGCATGATTTCGCATTATAATAAATTGATTGGAGCGGAAAAGATGGATTTGAAACAATGCATAGACAGATTTGGAGTAGTGTATGAGAAGGATAAGATTATAAATGAGGAGGAGATGAAGAATATAATAAAGGACAGAATTTCAAAGGATAGCGAGGAAATATAAACCTTATTCTTCCCAAACAAATTCTATAGAAACGAATGCTTAAGTGAAAAAGATTCATTGTAAGCCTGCTTTAATAACTAGATAAAATACTTGTACATTCCAATCTTTGTAATCGCAACGTTGTAAAATGCAATCTTCTTTACAGACCAATTCAGAGTTATATACTGAAAATTCAGATGAAACTATTATAAATAATCTAACTACTCAGAGATATTTGGAAAAATTATAATTTGATTATCAAAATGATTAAACTTTGCATTATCCAAAGACATTCAAAGTGGAAAGACTACTCCAGCAATCAAATAGAGATCCGAACACCCAAATCTTGACAGATAGGTCTATGAGAATGAAATAGGATAGAAGGGCTGAAAGTAAGGCAGAACAGAATCACAATTCAAGATTGGATGTGAAATGTTCGCCATAAAAATAACTAAATTTATCGATTAATGAGGATAGAGTGAAGAGATTTGATAATCATTAAGAAAATGAAGTCAAGTAGTAGAGGAGAAGATCAAGAGCAGAGAGACTGAATTTATAACCATGATGTCAAGGTAATTCGAGAATGATTTGAAATTATTTATATTCAGATTTATTTTTATATTAAATAAAGATTATTTAATGGGGGTGGGTGCAATTTTAATCGAGAATGTTCGTGAGAATGGATTTTGATGTATCTTAAGGAAGAAGAGAACTTTCGAAAATATTTTAATATTGGTTTTGGAAGATGATAATATAAATATAGTATAATTAATGTCAAAATCCCGTAGTTAGTCATCCATACCTGCTTTTTTATAGAAAACTTATGATATTTTAGAAGTATGATTGTTAAAATAGAATCAGAATTCTCAACTCTAAGATATTGTTGGTTGGAATGAGGATGGTTCAGGCTTTTTGGTGAAGAATGTGATAGCATTTCAGGATCAAGTATTGCCAATGTATTTCAAACACAGGAATTTTGCTTCTTTTGTTCGATAGGTATATGTCAAGAAATTATAGGGATCAGATGAATATGTATGGATTTCATAAATCAAGAAGTGATTAGAAGGAGAATGAGTTTATTCATCCTCATTTTAAGAGAGATCAAAGGTAATTGTAATTATTTAAAATAGAAACCTTTTGAAGAAAATTAAGAGAAAGTCAGGAGAACATGGCGATGATCAATTTACCATAATGGAATTGAAACCCCATCGAAATCAAAATATTTCAGATGTAAAATATATTGGATTAACAAAATTTAGAAACAAATACAACAGATAATGACCAAATAGTCAGAGTTGGAGAAGGTGTGTAAAATTCTGATTGAATAGAATAATAAAATATTATAGTGCAATTAGCAATTAAGAAACCAATTGGTTCAAGAAAGGTAAACAGTAAAGTGATAAGGTTACTAGATGTACTGGCAATAAGAAGTTGTAGAAGTTGAAGGATTATTTTTTGGGGTAGTAATAAACACAGGGCGATTTATTACATGTATAATAAAGTTTAAAATTAAGAAACGAAGTCTTGAGGATATAATGTAATCAGACAATGAGGAGTTAATGGTGCCTAATTTGAAGAAGATCAAAGGGGAAGATTCCGATAGCACCATTGACAAGATGGAACAATTATATGGACAACCAACTTTGATGTTAACAAACAATTTAGTTGATAATGATGGTATGATTCAATTGCTCGATGATCATCAATTCAACGATATCTACTTTGATTGAGCTATAATTAAGATGCATTGATGTTAGAAACTAATATTTTTTAAATTATGAATTAATAATTGGGATCTTATGTCAAATTTTTCCATATCATCCGAGAATTAGGAGACAGCAACTAAATAGATGTTAAACAGAAATAAATCCTTAAAGTCAATTTTACAACCAAGGAAAAAAAATTGATGAATATACTCAATGATCTAAGTATTAACAATCAAATTATTTTAGATGATGAAGACGAAGAAGAAATCAAATATAGTCTCCTCAATTATCTAAATGAGTTGCCAAAAGAGAAGTATGAGATACAGAGACAAATGAAGAGAACCAGATCTAGCATTACTGATGTCGATCTTATTAAGGGTGTGCAATATGATGAACTCAAATTTACAGACACAGTCGCAGACATGGAGAAAGCCTTAAAGCTAATCACTCATTTTAACAACAAACTAAAAGATGGATAAACTATTGATCCCAAAGTCAATGAAATTTTCGAAAACATTCGCACTCTTTTCACCCAAACCTCACCCTATAATATACACTCCCCAGTTTTTATAGGAAGAGGCCAATCACTCAATTCAGATATTAACTACTAAATTGAATGCGAACTCAGCTAAGCATATAAGGAAGTTAAATGCTAATTTGCGAATTATATGAAGAGTCATCTGTTGCTTATGGATGAAACTGTGTCTTATAATACTATTTTCAGTTTACTTAAGGAATTAAGCAAGAATCTCTTGAATTGCGATAATTTTAGTTTCTTTGTCCTCAATTCAAATACTGACATGGAACTCTATCAATCCAAAACTGACAATATGGAATAGATACCCATGGATTAATCTATTTAAGATGAATTGGGAACTATCCCAGAAAACAAAGTATTTAGGTTCTCTAAGAATTCTTCCTTTTGTTCCAAATTAATGTCAATCAACTATCTGTCCTCTTATGGTTTATATGCCAATAATGTTGTGTTCATCTATCATTCAAAATAGAATAAATAACTTGAAACTTAAGATATTTTAAAGTATCTCCCTTTTATAACTTAGAATTGCAAATGAATACTAATTAATTGATGAAATCAAGAATCTATCCATGTTCCTATTACAAACCATTTAAAATGCTAAAGTTTAATTCTTTAGTCCATTGTCTATTGCTGACATGATCCTAGATCTTGGAATCTCATTCGTCAGAGCTTCTAAGTTTGTTCTCATTGAAAAAATATACAACATCATCAGCCAAATCTATAAAGTTGATAAGTAATATTAATATTAATTTAATGATAGACTCTAAACAGATCAATAAGAAATCTAAGTTTGGGATACTGAGAGTGTCTACATAGTATTTAAAGATTAAACAGTTACTGTATGCTTTAGAATTTATTAAATGAATCTAGTAAAACAGAGTGATCAAAGGTTGTATTCTGAAATCAAGCATTTCTATGAAAAGTACCTTCGATTTATTCGTGAATGCTTTGATAAGAGTGCATTCTATAAATTCTTTCTAAGATCAAACGACTCACTCATTTTTGAATTCGACAAAAGTGGTCACCTCTTATTCCTCTCCAGACCAATCCCCAAATAAATCAAATCCAATTTCAACATCCAATTCAATTCACTTCTAATTCACTCCAATCAATTATCCTACAATAAGATATTTGATCAAAATGTTGTTTCCAATATTGAAAACTACCTGCAAGATCATAAATGGAAAATGATGAAAGACAATGAGAAATAGTATGAAATATTCCTGAAAATCGAAGAGAAAACCTACAAAGGATTTGCAGTTATCTTCACTGAAAATATCAAAGGATGGGTCAAAGAACAATACAAATAATTAGAATCTGGCAATAAATTAGACTCCAAAATTAAAGCCAAAATCAGAAAATAACTCATCCAACATGAAACCATCAATTTTGTTAATAAATTAGAAGAGAACAATCCAGAAGTCAAAGATTCAGTTGCTTCTTTATATATGCCTTTATAACAATTGATTTTAAAACGATCTAGATCAATAAGGGACATGTAGAATGCTCAAAATGAACAAAAAATGAAGAAGACAGAAATGCCATAAAAATCAAAATTTCTAACTATTTAAGAATGGGACTTAAATGAGTTTTGTTTAGAGAGTTAAGATGATTTAATTGACTCATTTGATTTCAATATTATGGACTTAACTTCACAAATACAAAAACATAGAATTGTATGGGCAATCTTAAAAAAGAATGGACATTTAGATGATTTCTAAATACCATCTGAAAATCTACAAAGCTTTATTAAAGAAATGGAATACAATTATAATGTCAACAATAATCCTTATCACAATTATGATCATGGTATAACTGTAATGCAAACTGCTCATTATTTCTGTATGGAATTGGCTCAAACCTCGAAATCCAAAATTATAGATAATTTTAATAAATTCATATTGATGATTAGTAGTTTTGGTCATGATGTAGGACACACTGGCAAAACCAATGTTTTTGAAATCAATAGTTTGAGTGATCTAGCTATCAGATATCATGACAAAAGTGTACTTGAATAACATCATGCTGCGTTGACTATTTAAGTTCTAAAAAATCCATAAAGTAACATCCTTGTCAACCTCAATCAATAAGAATTCAGAAACTTCAGAAAAGGCCTCATTGCCAATATATTAAGTACAGATATGTCTGAACATTTCACATTGTTAAAGGACTTTGAAAATAGACCAAAAGATTTCAATGATTGTAAAATTTTAAGTGGTTACATTATGCATACAAGCGATTTTGGAGGAGCAGGTAAAAAATCTAATTTGTCTATTAAATGGTCTTCAAGAGTTAATCAAGAATTTAGTATATAATACAAGTTAGAGGGTGAATTGGGATACCCACAATAACCTTACATGAAGGATTTACATATTGTAATTCATTTTCTTATTTTTAGCCACATGTCATGGCCAAATCAGAAATAGGATTCCTTAAGGTCATTGTCAGACCCTGTTATGCATTATTAAGTGAATTTTTGGAGGATAGACTCAAACATTGCATTGCCAATATTGATGATACAATCCAGCATTGGGAGAAAATAGTAAAGAAAGGTGAAGAATAACAATAATGAAAACTATATTTATTTAATTTTTATGTTGTGTGAGAATTTAAAAATGTCTGAGAATTTTGTGGAGAAATACCCAGATAGAGTGTAATTCTTAATGATAAATAGTCCCATATTATTATAGATTAGTCAAAGATCTAGACTGAGATTTTAAGATAAAACATCTATTAAAAAATACTTAGTGAGCAAATCTGATCATTTTTATCATTTTCTTTAAGTAATTCGAGAAACCCTACATTTATAAAAACAAGAAAGTCTTTATTTATTCATCAATAATGCTGGTCTAATCAAGGCAGGTAAAAAATTATAAATTCATTTTAGAAAGTTAAGTTGATGAAATCTATCAGAAATTTAAAAGTTCAGATGGCTTTCTTAGAATTAATCTAACAGAGTATCCTTCTTTTGGAAATTTTTGATACTTACAATATTCATACTCATAATTTATAAAGCAATATTCTATAACAACTAATGCTCATATATAATTATTAATCTCATTTTTTCATTATTATTGCATACCTTATTTGATAAATCCACTTTAGATAATTATCAAATTTGAAATTCAATGCTTTATTTCATTTTATGAACATAGAACATCCTTACATATAATTTTAAACTGTTCATAATTACAAAATAATTTTGCTTTTGTAACAATGATATGATAAAGAAATTTTCTGTTAAATATTCGATTAAGTGTGAAAGGATATTTCTAATTTTAGACTTTATAATATAATAAATAAAAGAATTATTACTTTTTTAAACTAAAATTTTGAATTATAATGAATTCGAATGATTTAGTTCAATTATTTAAGGGCATACAATAAATTAAGGAATCTCATTAAAAAAATGGTTAAATTCTGTAATCTATTTAAATTATTCGGAAGATTCAATTTTAAACTTTGTAATTTGATGGAAAATGGAAGAATTAAAATTAAATCAATTAAATAGCTTCCATATAACAGAAGATGATCGCATTTAATTTAAATTCTTGATTAAATATATAATTAAGGAGTTGAAAATAAAGGACATAATGTCTTAAAAAAATAATCAAAATATTGATAAAAAATAATCACTTACTTCTTAAAGGTATGCAAAACTAAGAATTCTCAAACTTAATTTTTGAATACCTTAATATAATCTTATATTAGCTGTTTATTCTATTCAAATGGATATGGATCTAAAAATAATTAAAATTCTATTTAAATATCATTCAAAATAACCATCATTTATTCAAAAAAATAAACTTATAAAATAATAAGGGAAAAAACAACTCTAGGTGTAATTTGAATTTTGAATTTCCTTGATACTCTATAAATCTTCTCCCTTATATCTGTATTTTTATATTTAGTTTTTACTTTGTTTAGCATTATTAACAATTGGATGTTAATAGAATATTAAAGGTATTTAAACCAAATTATTTTGATTTCCTTTCAATTAAAATTATGAAATACTAAATAATAATATGCTCATCTTGTAAAATAAGCGTAGGCTATTTAAATTGTGCTACTTGCCTGAAAAAATTCTAGTTTGATNTTTTTATCATTTTCTTTAAGTAATTCGAGAAACCCTACATTTATAAAAACAAGAAAGTCTTTATTTATTCATCAATAATGCTGGTCTAATCAAGGCAGGTAAAAAATTATAAATTCATTTTAGAAAGTTAAGTTGATGAAATCTATCAGAAATTTAAAAGTTCAGATGGCTTTCTTAGAATTAATCTAACAGAGTATCCTTCTTTTGGAAATTTTTGATACTTACAATATTCATACTCATAATTTATAAAGCAATATTCTATAACAACTAATGCTCATATATAATTATTAATCTCATTTTTTCATTATTATTGCATACCTTATTTGATAAATCCACTTTAGATAATTATCAAATTTGAAATTCAATGCTTTATTTCATTTTATGAACATAGAACATCCTTACATATAATTTTAAACTGTTCATAATTACAAAATAATTTTGCTTTTGTAACAATGATATGATAAAGAAATTTTCTGTTAAATATTCGATTAAGTGTGAAAGGATATTTCTAATTTTAGACTTTATAATATAATAAATAAAAGAATTATTACTTTTTTAAACTAAAATTTTGAATTATAATGAATTCGAATGATTTAGTTCAATTATTTAAGGGCATACAATAAATTAAGGAATCTCATTAAAAAAATGGTTAAATTCTGTAATCTATTTAAATTATTCGGAAGATTCAATTTTAAACTTTGTAATTTGATGGAAAATGGAAGAATTAAAATTAAATCAATTAAATAGCTTCCATATAACAGAAGATGATCGCATTTAATTTAAATTCTTGATTAAATATATAATTAAGGAGTTGAAAATAAAGGACATAATGTCTTAAAAAAATAATCAAAATATTGATAAAAAATAATCACTTACTTCTTAAAGGTATGCAAAACTAAGAATTCTCAAACTTAATTTTTGAATACCTTAATATAATCTTATATTAGCTGTTTATTCTATTCAAATGGATATGGATCTAAAAATAATTAAAATTCTATTTAAATATCATTCAAAATAACCATCATTTATTCAAAAAAATAAACTTATAAAATAATAAGGGAAAAAACAACTCTAGGTGTAATTTGAATTTTGAATTTCCTTGATACTCTATAAATCTTCTCCCTTATATCTGTATTTTTATATTTAGTTTTTACTTTGTTTAGCATTATTAACAATTGGATGTTAATAGAATATTAAAGGTATTTAAACCAAATTATTTTGATTTCCTTTCAATTAAAATTATGAAATACTAAATAATAATATGCTCATCTTGTAAAATAAGCGTAGGCTATTTAAATTGTGCTACTTGCCTGAAAAAATTCTAGTTTGATATTTTTATGGGATTATAAATAGCTTGCCCACTTTGTTTGAAAGTAATATTTATTATTCTATAAATATAGTGTAATTTAGAAACTTACTATTATCAAAATAACTAAAATCTACTTGACATTAGTATTCATTAATTAAAATCTTACGAAATATAAAATTGATATTCATTTATATATATCAGAGAGATTAAGATGTTTAATTACACAAGTCATGTTATGGAAATTAAAAGAGAATGTATTATTATTGTTCAAGTTGCAGTGGCTATTTTTGCATGTGTGTGTATGATTTCTAATTAAATTTAGGGAGTAAGAAGAAACAAAATAGGCTCAGCTTAATTACAATTCCAATACTTTGCAAGAACAATGACAATAAAATTATAATATTTAAATCATAATATTTTTTTAAACAGATAAACCAAGTTGTTTCTTAGAAGAAAAGCTATAATTAAATCCAGAATGATATAAACATAAGGTTTCATAGAGCAAAATCCACAATCAGTTCTTTAAGATGATTTATTGTTTGAATATTTTAAACTTAAATGTTGAGAGGTCACTATAAGTTTAAATAATAAATAATTTTGAGTTTATTGAGCTTGGAAAGTACAATTAGAAATATAAGTCTAAAATAGTTAAATTCAATATTATATAATTTTCATGCTTTAGGCCTTAGAACTACATTTTCTTTATATAAATCGGCATGAATTTATCTTATTCTTTAAGGTGGTCCTTTCGGATTGACTGTTTAAACTATTGGTGTATAATTAATAGCAAAATACTTCTTGTTCTTGGGGATAATTGTCTATCTGTCAATTACTAAATAGGAATAACTGAATCCTCATTGGTTTAAACCTAATAGGAATAATAAAATGGAATTACAAATTTTGCAGCACAATTAAATTACTCTATGTGTGATCCAATGTCTTCATTTGATTATCTACATGATAGATTTTATTGATCTGGATTTCTTGTAGAATTTAGCATATCAGTTAAATTAAAATGTATAGAATCTGCTTCACTTTTTTATATTGAAGATGGCAATATTTTAATTTTATTTACATGACCCTAACTTAGAGCATTCTAGAAATCAATTTAACATTACCTTAGTGTGTCCAGGTTGATGTGAATTATGAAAGTCATTCGAGAAATTATTTTTTTTATGTTTAATTTATTTAGGAGTTGAATTTTTGACCTCCAATAAATTAACTTAACTAAGTGCGTTTTCATAATATTTATTTTTGCTCTTTTATCTGGTCAATTACGTTTATACAGATTTCAATTGTTATTCTTTTTTTAATGATTCTTCAATAAGTATTGATTATTTCCTTTGAAAATCATTTTTTAATTTCAAGGCTACTGCTTAACATTATTCAGTAATTTTCTTTTCATTTACTAGTTTTTTTGATAGTTCAATTTTTTATTCAATTAATTTATTTTCCTTTTCCTTTAATAGTAGTTCTAGCTATTTTAGTTGGTTTTCCAATTTAGCATTCTATTCTCTAAAAATAATTGGATTACTGATTACTTGTAGTCTTAGATGTTCTTTTCTAAAATTATTTTATCCTATTCCAATTAACAAATTTTTTATGCTTATGATTGTTCTCTTGCTTAGCTCGAGATTTGAAACTAATTATTTTGTATGATAGTTTCATTATGTACTCTGTTGAGATCTGCAACTTATTACAATAAGCTTCTTTACTAATTTATTTTTAAGAATTACTGCTTATTCATGCGATTAACTCAACTCTTGGATATACTTTTATAGTTTTTCTTTTTCCTTTAACTCCTAATCTACTTCAAAGGTAACTTATTTTAGTTTTAATTTAAGACAATTGGAATCCTTAGAATAGGTCTTTATTGCTTACATATTCCAGAATTGACTTTTGATTGCTTAATGCTTCTGAAAATTCTCTGGCCAATCCTTCTTTCTAAATTTCATTCTATTTTAGAATTTAAGTAATTTATAGTTAAAAGTCAGCGCATTAATAGCATTTTCTATAATAAATTAATAAATATTGATACTTTTCCTTCTTCTCTAATTCTTCATAATCTTGAATCAATTGATTGTAATTTTTTTCTAATTTACTGAATTCTTAGCATTTGTTTCGATACTAAATATGAGTATAAACTTACTTCATATTCTAAAATAGTGATCCTTTCATTGAGAAAAGTCTTCAATTTGGAAATTTCTTGCTCATGTAGTTAATTTAATAATTGTATTTCTTTTCCTTTGTCATGGTTAGATATATCTCCCATGGCTTTCATTAATGACTCATTTAGTTTTTTTAGATTCGTCTCTCTATCTAGTGCGTCCTTAAGTTGCATTTCCAATAAAACAGATTTATCCATTAACTGTTTAATATATATTTTTAAATTCTAATGCATACATAAAATTATTATATCGAATAATTGCTAATTTAAAATCTTAATGTAGAAATTATAATAGAAGATGTTCAGTATTAGAAAAATGCTCTCTAATCGTAGTCCTTCATTTTAGAAAATTAATTTCGATACTACTTATTCTAGATTGTCAATAATAGATGGGAGTATTAGAATATCTATAAAAGTGGTTTATAGATATTAAATTATTTATTTAGGGTGCTTGGAGAGTGTGAAAGAACAGGAAAGATATATTTCTTAAGGGGTCTCAGTAAAATTAATTTTTTATAAGTTATTTATTATTTATATTAATAAATGGACACACCAATTGGCAAGGATCTCACAAATCAAGTGATTGGAAAGGTTTATAAATTAATAAAAAGAATTGGGAGTGGGGCTTTTGGAGAAATATATTTGGTGGCTAAAGGGAAAGAGGAATATGCCATGAAACTAGAAAGAAGTGATACAAAACATCCATAAATATTTTTTGAGGCAAAGTTGTACAACTATTTACAAGGATCTGATCCTAGTGATAAAGGTATTTGAATTATTAACTCAAAGCCAGGAATTCCTAGAATATATGCTTAAGGCTAAGACGGTGATTATAATTACATCGTCATGGATTTACTGGGCCAAAGTTTAGAAGAATTATTCAGCAAAAATAACAAAAGACTATCCCTCAAGACTGTAATTAATGCCATCTATGATTTAGGTGCTGATGTTGGCTGATCAAATGATTTAACGGATTGAATACATACATACGAAACAGTTCCTCCATCGTGATATTAAACCAGACAACTTTCTAATTGGTTTAGGTAAAAAAGCAACTCGCGTCTACATTCTTGACTTTGGTTTGGCCAAAAGATATTTAACTAAGGAGGGTCACATTCCCTATAGAGAAGGCAAGAGCTTAACAGGAACTGCTAGATATGCTTCAGTGAACACACATTTAGGTTTGGAATAATCAAGGAGGGACGATCTAGAATCACTGGGATATGTGCTTATGTATTTGCTCAGAGGGCAATTGCCTTGGCAGAATATGAAGGCTAATAATCAAAAGGATAAGTATTAAAGAATTATGGAAAAGAAACTTGAAACCTCTCCAGATGCACTTTGTAAAGGATTTCCAATTGAAATGAGTCAATATCTAAATTACTGTAAGAATTTGAAGTTTGAGGACAAGCCAGATTATAATTATTTGAGAGGTCTTTTTAAAGTATAAATTGTGAGTATTTAAGGATGCGTTTAAGAAGATTGGTTTTGAATGGGACTACAAATTTGAATGGATCAAGGATGAATCCCTTGTAAAAACATAATAGGACATCCAATCTGAAAATAAATTGATGATCATGACTTAGCCATTACAATAACAGCAATAATAATAATAGCCAGGCATCAAACCAAATGGCATTGAGTCAGATAAGAAGATTGGAAATACCAATAGTCATCATCTTAATTCCAATATACAGTAATAATCGGGACAAAGAAGACCACAATAGTAGACTAGCAAAGTGTCACAATAGTTATCAGTTGAGAAAAAGAGAACTACCTCTTAAAATAAATAGTTCATCTAATCTAAAGAGTTAGTCAAACCTGTTACTTAAGTGTTAGCGCCTAAGATTGTTACTACTAAAGAACCACCTAGAAAATATTGAAAAAACAATTACATTATAATAACAATAATATTTATGATAAATGAAATTGGCACCTCTGAAAATCCCATAAAGTAGGATCAAATAGAGATCTAATTGAGATAAGTGAAGTTGAATTTGCTAGATGAACAAAATATTCAAATATAATTAGCGATTGTATCTAACCAAAATGAAATGAAATAAGTAACAACAATTGAAAATATTGAAGACAGACAAATCTACAAACTCAATTATGATGCATAAGATTAAATCCTCTAGATCTTATTGATCAATGATGGTAAATAATTAGGTTTCTCGAATCAGTTATTAGAAACTCTATTTACTAAACAAATTAATGAAATTAAGATAATACATGAACAAATTGTTGTTGGGGTTTTGAGTATTTAAATCATTAAATGCCAGAATGAAATCTAAATTGATTCTGAAAGACTAAAAGAATATTTAAAATAAACGGGATTAGAAAAGATTTTCATGGTGATTTTCGCAGAAATACTCTAATAAAAAATTGGAATAAATGATGTATACAAATTTGCTGCTCGAAGACTTAGGGAAATCGGGTAAAAAATCTTAAACAAGTAAAAATAATGAAAAAGAGGCTAATCATTTGAAGATATAATACTTATTTATAAATATTCTCATTGAATTAATCTCGCTAGAGCTTTAATTTAAATATATATAAATTATTGCATTATAAATCACATTGGTTTCATGCTAACAGTTCCATCCTTGCGAATATAATAAGGAACATGTCGATTGGAAAATCTTTTTGCCTTAACGACAAATTCATTTAAGACTAATGGCTTGATCCATTCTTTTTTGATCTCACCTAATCTATTTTAATTAACATTAAAGATTTACTTTTAATTCCCTATTACTCCATGATCATTTACTGGTACAATTATCAACACGAATTACCCCCTGGGAAAATGTGAGGACACTTCTTTAATCTGAATTTTGTTGAGTCTTCCTTATCCTTCTTTAATAAATGCTTATTAACAGCCTTTATAAATTGATTCCCCTTGATTATTGTGCGATACCTTTTTTGGTAATTCATCGTAAGTCCAACTTAGAATTTATTATATTATCATACATCTCCAACTCTACGATGATTTTGTTTTAATTAATGCATATTTAGCCTTGATACATGAGATTGAACCGTATTGAGAATATTCGATTTCTGTAGCATGGCAATTCTAAATCTTCAGATAATTTCAATTCGTATTTGTACTGGTGTTTCAGAATTAGATCCAAGTAACTGACTTAGGGTTATATCTGATAGTAATCCAATTTACTCACCAGCATTTAAAGTTTTTCTTATTGTTTTAAGAGTTTTTCTATGACTTTTTCATTACTCTAATCAATCAATTTCAATTGTTGACAATGATTCTTGATTTATTAATTAACTTGTGCTTGCAAATCCAAAAAGTTATTTTTAGTTGAAAGCAGTAATTATGGTTGTTCCATTTATTTCTTAGTTTGCTTATTTTGAAAAAATTTATTAAAATTAAAGTTTTTAGTGTTATAAAAAACTTAAAACAAAAAAAGATTTAGAAATTATCTCTTAAATGAAATTGATTTATAATCGAATTAATTTAGTTTATTCTAAAAATAATGTATGATTCAAAAATTGTTAAACTAGATGAGAATATTTATGATTTTGTAAATTTGATTATTATTTATAAATGATAACTAATCATCCCTCCTATCCAAAAAAAGAGATTGATAAATACTATTTGCAGACCAAATTGCCAGAGTATTGACTTTCTTAATGTAGATATCAAACAGTTCCTCTCAATGAGCCTTAAAAGAAAACACATGATTATTATAATGATAACACTCACATTTGGAACAATCCACATCAAGCCAAATCAAATGCAAAGGTATTCAAATAATTAAAAGAACAACACGATAAAGGTGAGAAGAGAATAAAGAAAATGCAAGAAATTGAATACAAAGAGAAATAAGAGTTACAACGCAATAAAATAATATACTATAACATGGCAAGAGAAGAGGATCTCATGCGATTGCAACAAAGAAAACTAGAAAGAGGCAGTCTATAAAACTTATGTTCACAACGTAATGACGTCTAGGTAGATACCATATCTGTCAAACCAATTCTTTCAAGAACAGCATTACTGGGTCGACCAGACCATCTGTGGAACAAATTGAATTAACAATCCTAAAAATATGTTAATTTGCTAATCAACCCAAAAATATTGCAAATGGAAGAACAGGGTGTTAAAGCAATAAGTGAAAAAATATAAAAGGATTTGGAAATTGAATAAATCAAAGAAGAATTGAGACTGTAAAATATGGAATACATAAAATAATCCAATACTCGCAGAAGAATGACAAATCTTGAAATTGAATAAAGAAGTGGTATTCTCCCTTCTAGATTAAGTATGTAAAGAGTAACAACTGCTTAAACCAACTCCAGACAAACTAAAGATGTTATTGAGTCTACTTTGCAACAATTAGAAAATCAATAGCAATCCTAAACTATTCAATAATTGCAAAACTAAATTATCAATTCTGCTTAATACAATCAAACCAGCAGACCATATACAGTTGGAAGTGTAATAACTATCATTATTATTAGGATTTTAATTCCATATCCTTCAATGTTGGATAAACTGCTAAAAATGAACAACGTAACAATCCTCCTCAAAATTAAACCACTCCCATTTTTATGATTAACAGGTATTAATATCATCATTATTCAAAGCTAAAAATCAAAATCAGTATCTACTCTTTCTCATAAGCATCCACTTGATAGAACTGAGTTTAAGGGGTTGTTATTAGCATAGGCTGTTGAATAAGCAGAAAGTAATTTCAGCAAAACCCTCAAAGTCAATAGCACTTTACTAAAGGAAACTTCCATTCATTTTGTAAGAACCAAGTAATCGATGATACCAAAAAAAAGAATTTAAATCAAATGCAATAGAAATCTTACAAATGAATAATCGAATAATGATCAAAATGATTTGTAGATTGTAAATAACATGTTGGACAGTTTTGAAAGAAAATTATATAGACCCAACAATTTAGATGATGAGATATTATGATACATTTAGTATTCTTATTCTATTCATTTATTAGTAAATAATATGAATTATTAATTCTTATTCAGTGAATAACAATTTAAATATTAAATTGAAATATTATTACACATTTTATTCATTTTATAAATACTATTTCATATTTAAATACACAACATTTTAACTGATAAAAATAACAATAATTAAAAATTAGCCTAAAAAATAACTTAATAATTGTGCAAAAATTAAACTATATAATCAAGTTCTAGATACTGATTTTGATTCGTAATATCCAAAATCTGAAGGTAGTCTATATTAACCGGGCCCAGGAGTTTTCATGCTAGATACCGAGTAAGTCTTTCTGATATCGTGAGGAAAACTTCTACATTTACTAGAATGCAAATTAGATATAGGATAGAATCCAGTCTATTAATATGAAGATCACAAGATACCTTTTGAATCCCTATATTGTCTAGTTTATAATTTCCTGGTCCTGGAACATCGTTACTATCTAAATTAATAGAATTTTTCATTTACATTATTTATTGTCAAATCTCTTAGATCTGGGAGGATTAAAAAGAGTAGCACAACTATTGGAAAATTTAGAAATCGGATATTTTCCTTTAGAATCTATTCCTTAAACAGAGTTGTAAGCTCCCGGTCCTGCAATATAAATAAAGTATATAAACCTGGAACATTTTTTGTGAGAATCATGATATCTTATGAATTTTTTGGTCGCATTGTATATCTTGTTTAACTGAGGGTCGATTAACTCTCATACTTCCCTGGTCCTGGAGTTACTTTATTCAATCCACCCATAATTCCACTTTACCACATTTTCTAGAAATAAAAATTTCATTTTACATCTCTACTTACTCCAAAGGGGAATCCGCGATTCTTTGATTTATTGTTATCCAATTCTCCAACTATCCTATAGGTATCAGGAGCAGGAGTCTTGGGTCCATTTTTTGTAAAATCATATCTAGAATATTAATAAAGTTATTTTACTTAGTTGAGTAACCTACTCCTGCAGCTCTCTTTTCCTTTTGATCTGGGAGATCATAAAAAGCAACTGCACAACTATTGATTAAAGACACAATTACTTATTTGGATTTTCTAATTTGCCAAATCGACTACTTTTTGGGAAGGACCATAGTTATTTGGCTGTACTTAGATTGAGAGGTGATTGACTAATTTATTGGCAGGAAGAGACAGTGATTGACATTTAATAAAATTAATAAAAGTAGAATTTTAATAAATATTGTTATAAAATGAAAGTGTTAATCACAGTCTCACTGGAGAGACTTATTTAACGAGTGTAAATGTTGGATAAACATACACTTATTTAGGTTATTGTTGCATTTGAATGCTCCTTTGAGGAGTATGAGGTAATCGTTTAATGTATTATTTATTGATTTGAGGCTACTTTTATTAGAGAGATTAGAATAGTTAAGTCAGCATTTGTTTTTATTCTGCCAATTCTTACCTAATTTCTTAAATATACTTTGTATTTGGATCCTCTTGTTGGATTTAAGTGCAGTTGCCATTACATGAATGGTAATTAGAGTCATCCATTTTTTTTGATTATTTTTCGAACGATGTTTGTAAATTTTTTTCTTGAACAGTATTATTATGCGAAACTAAAGAGATACTGTTTTAGATATTTCCTAAAGGTAAATCATTTATGTCTTAAACTTTTTGAATAGATTATTTTGAACTCAGTGATTTTGTTGAAAATCCCAAATTTTAAGTTTCTTATTTTATGTTTGGTTTAATTTTGATGCTGTTAAATTTATTAAGTAAACTATTAGTTCTATTTTTATTATCGCTATAAGAATTAGGATAATCCACATTGAATTTGCTTGGTAGAGTTTTTTGAGAACTTAAATATTGTTATTCATTCTCTTCATTCTATACATAAAGAGGCTTGATTGTAGATCTCCTTTCCTCACTAGGGGAAGATCTATTTATTTCTTTTTAAACAACTTCACTTAAGCATTTTAAATTTTTATTATTTGATAATATAATTGATTTAGTTCTTTGTGCAGTGGTTGATTAGATATCATTAAAAACTGTTTTTTTTTATTTGCAATCAGAATTATATTTTTATTATTACGCATCTAAAATATTCTTTAAAGTTAACATGCGATCATTAGTTTATTATTATTATTATTATTATTATTATTTAATTTCAAATTATGATTATGATCTCTACTAATTATAATCATTATTTTTCTTGATTTATAATTTGTATTCCTCATTTTACTAAGCTGCTGTTTTTCTAGAATTCTTTAAACTTGGAATTTCTAATAGACCAAATGAAATTTTATTTTCAAAATATTCTTCTGTAGGTTAAGTTTTAGTTCTTGATTACTGAGTATCGGTTTTTCTATAAGTCTAATCCTCATCATGCTAATCCAAAATGACCTCATAAATCTAATTTTGTTAATCAAGACTTTATGTGTTAAATTAACATTACAGTTTCCTGATTTCCTCCACAGATTTACTTAGATTATTTGTATTAGTACTATATTTCCTCAAAGGGGGCTATTATTAGTATTTGATTTCATTTAAAGTGTTTACACGAAGCCTAACAAATTGCATCACTTCAAATAACCTTATATATCCCATTATAATTTCTTTTGAAATTGGAGTTACTATGTATTACTAAACTACTTTCGTACAATATTTAACTAACAAAGATATAATGACGATTTACAAACTAATTCTTGCGGAGTTTCCATTTATTCCAAATAACCATTACTCTTGATTTCCACCAATTGTCCTTAATGATATTTGCCTTTCACCCATTGAATTCGTTGATCCTTAAATACCATCAACCCATTCCCTTGATATAATCCTTTTTGGAATTAGCCCTGATAAATCTCATCTTATTAATCTAATCGACCCAAGCCATTTAATTTCCCATCAACGAATTATCCACATTAATAAAACAAATTCGAAATTTCAATTCCTAAACCATTAGGCAAATTTGCCTTCCCAACATTTCCGTAGTAGATACAATGATTAAACAGCTATATTTGTAAGTCTCCTTGTTGCAGTTTACTTATTCCCTGTAATACTCGATCAGCTTCATTCGTACAATCATGAGTTATCTAAGCACTTGATGATTGTATCGTAATTTTTCTCTCTCCTTCCTAAATGAAAATAGCCTCTCCTTTGTCGAATTAACTATAGAACACTCTAGTCCCAACTTTGATTACAATTTGCCCATGAACAACTCCTTTTTTGAAACCCCCTTAGATGATGATCTATCCACCTAAAAATAAGATTCCTTATCCATCAATCAAATCATTTTTCCACTCTCCATAATAAGCAGAACCAACATCCCACAAGTATATTCCAAGCCCATGTTTTTGTTATTTTGCATTTAATCCTCCTTAATAAATTCCATCCTTATGTTCCTTCATCCGTTAATATAAAATATCAATATTTATCATCATAAGATTAAATAATTTTAACATACACATAAATTATGCCCATTCTCAATTTACTTTGAGATCGCATTGGGTCATCTCTATTCTCTTATGTATGTGTATTTATAATAATATAAATGTTGAAAGAAATTTAGTAAAAGAAAATCATAATATTAAATAATTGAAAAAGTCTGAATGCAAATCATAGGAAAAATCCCTGTAGAGTTGAACAAAACCTTGGATGAGAATTATGCAATGATCAAGGAACTATGTAAAATTGAAATGTGCAACTAAATGATAGATAGTTTATTGGATCAAGTAATTTGAAATTAATATCATTAGAAACAAGAACCTCATATACGATTACAATTTCTATACAATATTCGATAATGGGATTAGAATTTATGCTTGTCTGATTTATGCATCAACTAATTGGAGATTAACATAACCAACAATATCAAATATGTATTCAAATTACATTATGATAGAGTACGGGTAATCACTAGAACAAATACTGAAATAAACAAATTTGATGAATATGAAATAGATATAGCATTCTTGTGAATTTATGAGACCTATTCCAATGATAGTTACTCATTAGAGTTTGGAATATTTTACGTTGGATTCCACTCATATGACCATTTGGGATTACAATGTAACTCCTTAAATGAGGTTTCGATATTTACTGTCTTAAGCTTAGTGTACGAAACTCTAATAAGGTGATCATCAACAGATTTTGAATCTATTCAAACCAGAATATAAGATTGATGGGAATCAATTTAAACTTTTGGTTGAATAGAATCCATAATTAGTTAGTGATCTTATTAAGAAATTGCATCAATTGGGCATTAATGCTCATGAGTATGATTGAAAATGATTACTTAGATATTTGGACTAGTTAATTTAGATAAAGATCAGTATTCAGGCCTTAGAATTAGTAAATTAATTATCAAAGAGCATAAGTCTGCCAGATCAATTTCTTAACGTGTTCATAACCAAATGTATAGCGAATTGTGAAGAATTCAAGAATGTAAGTATAGCAGGATTGATTATTTAGAATCAACCTTAATAATTGGCTCGATAAGTGAGATTGGTGTCAGTGTTCATCAGAACTTTGATAAAGTAGAAGGCATTTGATCCAAAGAAAATATATGTCTAATTACAAGGGTTTTGCTTAGAGTTTTCATCAATTCTGGAGGCGACTCAATTATTTAAAACTATAAAAAATTCAGTTCAAGAATAATAATGAGATATATATATAAATATACATACCGCCAAATATTAATTAAATATGCGGAAACAAAAGCAGAATTTGTTAGATGAGATCGAATTGAAATTTAACGTAGAATGGGTCAGAAATCAAAAGGAGTTGTTGGCATGGGTAGCAAATATGAAAGTTATAAGTACTTATGATGAGAGCGAAAAAGAATTCACTGCATTATTAGTTTATGTGATTACTTAGAATGGTACTATAGTAAATTATTTTAGGGGAGTTTCTTAAATTGATGTATGATATTCCTCCCTATTTCTATGTTGAATGCAATCAAGAACACATAACTGAGTTGGCTATGCATTTAGAGAATAAATACGAAAAATAAATTCTAAAAGTTGACATTATCGAAAGAGTGGATTTGGATAAAGCAAACCATTTAATTGGGAAAAAGGAGAAATTTATTAAATTATCATTTCGATTGATTTAAGACTTAGTCTAAGTTAGGAATCTAATTAAGGCTAGATGTGAGAAAAACCGCAGGAATGTAGACGAAAATGATATGCTAATCAAAAAACCATCTACGTCAAAGGATATCTAGGATTAGCTGATAGGTGTCAGAGAATATGATGTACCTTATCACTGTCGAGTATGTATTGATACAGGGTTGAGGTGCTGCAAGTGGTTTAAATTTGTGCTAAAAGAAAGAAGAATAGCAGAGTGCATAGAAGTAAAAGAGATGATGAGTATGCCTGAATTAAAATATCTCGCTTTTGATATTGAAACATATAAGCAACCTCTTAAATTTCCAGATGCAAAAAATGATCAAATTATGATGATTTCAATCACACACAGTCAAAATAGTATCCTGATTACTAATATGCAGACTTTAGGCTAAGAAGTATAAAACTTTGATTATGCTCCAAAACCTGAATTTGCAACACAAGCAATAATTTATAATCAGCCTAATGAGAAATCACTTTTACTTAAGTTTTTTCAAGTCATTTTAGATTATAAACCTAATATTATATCATCCTTTAATGGAGATCGTTTTGATTGGCCATTTATCGAAGAGAGATGTTTAACTCATGGATTTTATTTGGAATAAGAAATTGGAATTAAAAAAAATGAAGAAAATAACGAATATTACGGCAGATACATTATTCACATGGATTGTTTTGCATGGGTGGAAAGAGATGCTTATCTTCCTTAAGGCAGTCATGGGTTGAAAGCTGTAACAAAGGCTAAATTAGGATATCAGCCAATTGAAGTAGACCCTGAGAAAATGGTACCTATGGCTTTGTAGGACAGTTAATAATTTGCAGGGTATTCTATATCAGATTCAGTTGCGACATATTGGTTATATCGAAAGCATATTCATGACTTTATTTTAGCACTTTGTACAATAATTCCATTATCACCTGATGAGGTTTTAAGGAAAGGGTCTGGCACATTATGCGAATGTCTATTAATGGCTTAAGCATTTTAAAGAGAGATTATATTCCCTAATAAAACTACTACATAACTAGAGAGATTTCATAATGGCCATTTAATAGATGCTGAGACATATATTGGTGGGAAAGTTGAATGTTTAAGAAGTGGAATTTATAGAAGTGATATTGATGTTGAGTTTAAGATTGATAAGGAGTGTATGTAATCAATGTGGAGCACTGTGGATAGTTTGATTAGGTTTGTTGGCAAGATTGAAAATGAGACATTCAGTGAAGAGGAAATAGAAAAGTGCAGTGAATAAATAAGATCGAAATTGGATGTATTAATAAATAGAGGAGAAGTATTCAAAGAAAAACCATTGATCTATCATTTAGATGTTGCTGCCATGTATCCTAATATTATATTGACAAATCGATTATAACCAGTCTCAATTGTAGGTGATCAAATTTGTTCACAATGCTATTTTAATTAGCCACAAAACAAATGTTAAAGGCAATTGGAGTGGTAATGGAAGGGTGACTTCTTTCCTTTGAAAAGAAATGAATACGAATTCGTAAAATAATAGTTGGAGTAGGAATAAACAGAAAGAGAAAGGAAGGAATATGATGAGAAAAAAAGATAAATGCTAAAGGAGGGATTAGATATAAGGAGGTTATAATTGAAAGGATTTGGTGATTTGGCTCCTGATGAATAAATAAAGAGAATCAAATAGAGAGTTATAGAGCATTGTAAAAAGTCATACAAAACTGTTCATCATCATTCGGTAGAGCTAAAAAAAGATACAGTTTGCATGAGAGAAAACGACTTTTATGTACAAACAGTCCGAGATTTTAGGGATAGGAGATATGAATTTAAGGAGTTGGTAAAAGTGTATAAGAATAAATTGGAATAAGCAAAAAAGGAAGGTGTTGGAGTAAAAGAATGTCATGATTTTATGGCCTTATATGAATCCTTATAATTGGCCCATAAGATCATTCTAAACTCATTTTATGGGTATGTGATGAGGAAAGGTGCCCGTTGGTACTCTATGCCCATGGCTGGCATTGTTACTCATATGGGTTCTCAGATTATATCAACTGCAAAGTAGAGAGTTGATTAAATAGGATTGCCATTGGAATTGGATACTGATGGTATTTGGTGTTTGTTGCCTAGCGGATTCCCTGAAGATTTTTTTATTAAAAGTCAGACAGGCAGAAATTTAAAATTTAGTTATCCATGTTACATTCTCAATGAATTAGTTTATGAAAAATATAAGAACAATTAATATCAATGGTTGAAAGACCCAAATTCATTCGAATATGGAATTAGAAGTGAAATGTCAATCTTTTTTGAGGTTGATGGTCCATATAGATGTATGATAATTCCTGCAGCCAGAGAGGAAAATAAACAGTTGAAGAAGAGATATGTTGTATACAATAAAAACGGATCAATTGCTGAGGTCAAAGGGTTTGAAATCAAAAGAAGAGGAGAGTTATAGATTATCAAATAATTTTAATAAGAGTTATTTTCAGAATTCTTGAAGGGTACCAATTTAACAGAATGCTATCAGGCATGTGCAGAAGTTGGTAAGAAGTTGTTAAGAATACTATTCACAGGAGGGGAAGGAATATCACAATAAGAGTTACTTGATTTGATAGGTGAAAGCAGAGTACTTTCAAAGGAAATATCTGAATATGATAACAAAAAAGGAGTAGCAATAACTGCGGGAAAGAGAATAGCTGAGTACTTAGGATCAGATTAAGTCAGAGGAGGAAGTTTAAATTGTTAATATATCATAACGAAATTACCTCATAACACTCCAGTTAATGAGAGATCAATTCCTTTGCTCATCTTTGAATCTTCTTTTGAGACGAGGAGGAAGTACTTGAGAAAATGGCTGAAGGAACCGTAATTGCAAGATGATGATTTAACATTATCTAAGATAGTTGATTGGGACTACTATATAGAAAGATTAAAGAATACCATTTTAAAACTATTGGTGATCCCTGCTGCTTTGTAGAATATTGAAAATCCTATTCCTGAAGTGGAGCCTCCAGAATGGTTATTAAAAAAACTGAGAGAGAAGGCCTCAGGACTCTAGCAAACAAAGATAAATCAATATTTCAGTTAAATAAATAAATTGGCACATCAATTAGCGTAGTTTAAATTTTAGCCTATGGATATTGAAGAAAATAAGTAATTGTCCAATAAGAAGAAACCTCAAATCAATGAAGACAATTAAAAGCTATTGCATAATCCATATAATATGGAAACAGACTTCAAAAATTTCCTCTAAGTTTAAAAACAGATTTGGACAAAGGAATTTAGAAATAAGTAATAGAATAAGAATATTAACGGAAGAGGTAATCTAAAGAATATGATTAAGTTTAACAAATAATAATTATTTAACTCTGTTTGGTAGGTGTTGTAATTTTACGAAGTTGAACCAGGGTTATTTTTAACTTGGATTCTTCTTGAGAATGGAACATTGACAAGTGTGTAAATCTAAGTTGATAGAACTATCTATACAAATCAACTCACAAAAGAACCCGAATTATCAACTATTAAGAAAACCTTGCCAAGGGATAAAAAGGTTCATTATCTCTACTCTTTGACTATGGATGAATCTGAATTTCAATTAGAACATAAATAATTATTCTAATACGAAGCAAATCCAAACACCGAGAGTTTGTACGAACATAAGATCCCATTAATTTTCAAATTAGTTACTGAATTAGGAGCTATGTGCAAAGTTAATAGATAGTATGTTTAATAATAAAAAAATGTATTCAAATTCGAGGACTTACAAATCGTTTACGAATAACCTAGTCAATAGTAGTATTTAGATAAATTCTTAAATTCGTTTTACCAATCTTCATATATCATACTTCATTTATAATTACAAGATAATTTTGGAGTATGGTCAGTGTTCTTTAATGATGAAGTCTTGATTATTATTGTAAGGAAATCTGAAGAAAAATTAAATCGTTCAGACTTAAATCAGTATACTAAGTCAGTTCAAGAATAGTTCGAATTTTAGAGGAAATAAATGTATAAAAAATACTACGAAATCCCAATCCCTGAAAAGAATAAAGTTACTGTTCAATGCATGTATTTATATTGAATCTAATGCTCTAGGAAGGATGACAAACTAGCTATTGATTACATTTCCAACAATTTTGAGACCCGTGGTCAAGGCATGAAGTTATGTATTCTACAAAGCAATAAGGAGTTGACCTATTTACAAAGTTAAGGCTTACAATTCTTATGTCTTAAAGTATTAATTTACTATCAATTTATAGATTCCTACTCTATGCATTCCTAATCTTCACAGGGAATCCAGAAAAGAATTTCAATGGGATATCAACACAGTGAAATAATAATTAGAAAGTTATTGTAAACTTAGGGAGACCATGGCTTCATATCTACAATATTGTAAATATGTAAAAGTTCCATTATGCAATCTTACTTCATCAAACTTGGGCAAAACAGATGTTTTTAAAGCAGATATTCAGATGTTAAACTATACAACCGATATTTTCTTCCAAAGAGTACTAAGATAGAAGACTACTTGTTTATCATGGTATGGGAGTGGCTTAGGCAGAGACAATAGAGATCTTGTTCCCACTGAGTTCACTAAGACCTACTTTGATAATCCTGGAATTTATATTGGGTATACTTGTGAAATTGATATCCTCCATTTCTCCATTAATACAATTGCTTAATCTGAAGAAATCAAAAATCTAGACAAAGAAGCAAGTTAATTGGTTGGTTAAAATGGCAAATCAGATATGCTAGACAACTTGGATGAACTTGGAGGAGCCAAAATTGCATTTAGATTATTATAATTGTTGGTCTCCTCATGGTTGGATGATATATACGCCAAAGGAGAAAAAGTTTCAGATGATCATATCCTCAACATCAATATATGGATCTATTCAAGCTTGAGTCCTCTATATGATCCTTACTTGGGAAAATTGTTAAATAGACTAAATTTTAAGTTTTTCAGTATTCTTACAAATAAATTGAAGGAATTTGGTATAAAAATCGTTAAGGCATCTCCTACAAAATTGTTACTTTATACTGGGAAATAGCAAAAGGATATGGCAAAATCCTTAATTGATTACATCATTAACACATTTCAATAGTCAAATCTATTTAAACATGTAACTTTTTAAGCATCAAAATTCTTTACTTCTCTCATCTATAAGGATAAACATAATTATATTGGGAAAGAAGTTGATATCGAAAGTGATTATGCAGATTTCGATTATAGATTAAAACTATCAGACTTTTTGCCACCCATAATGTCCAAACTTTTTATTCATTTGCTATTTCAAATTTTACTTAAAGTAGAAGAACTTAGAAGTAGTCAAATTGAAGAAATCAATATATTACCTACCAATTTACAAATCTCGAGAATTACTAATTTATAAACTGACATTATCAATCTCTTAGTATAATACATCAATAGCACTTTTTCTTAAATAATATATGATGTCATAAACGATTATTTTGAGAAATATAAAAAAGAAAAATAAAATTACGAAACTTATTTAGAATAATAATAACAAACTGTGGGATTGACAGTTAAAATGAGGAGGTGTAATATTGAAGATGATGAAGAAATGGAGCAGGAAATACAAGAGGACTATGAATAAGACTCATTTGTTGTTGCGGACGAAGACTTAAATGAGACTCCAAAATAAATTGAAATTGAGGAAGAATTAGATTGTCAGGAGGATGGCAAAGTTTCTAATTTCCCTAAATTATGGCATCTTAGAAATGCTCTTGGCTCTAGAATTGATTTGGAAAAACACGAATAAGCCATATTAAGAACATTTATCTATCTCTGTGCAATCTTAAGCGTAGATGAGGAAGTACATCAATAAATGAAAAGGATCAAAAATGTTTGTTGCAAATCAGTTAAAGTTTCCGAATCCTCTAAAGATGTAATTTATTATATCATTCTAGGCTGAATTTGAAGATCCATGTTTTGATTTGATTTTGCAAAATGTCCCCTGTTATAAGTGCTATATGGTTTAAGAAGTTAATGTTTTCAAAGATATTTGGAAATGTGAAGGATGCAAAAACGACTATGACCTAGACACCATGGAAAAATTAATATGCCAATTTGTAGAACAATAATTGTTATTCTATTAAATACAAGATCTGTATTGTGTCAAATGTAAATAGACGCAAGATTATTCATTCTAAAAGATGTAAAAATATCATTTCTACTTTAGTTGCTCATGTTCTGCTTAGTTTTAATTAAAAACTGATTAATTTGAAAAATGCTTTATCAGATCACCCACATATTTTTTTGATAGTTTATTATTGTTAGCAATAGAGAAGAATCTTCATGGATTAAAGACATTAGTTTCCTCAATAAACACTTGATTTTCAAATTATTGTTATAATATGTGTTATTTTTATTATATATTATTTTAAATTAAAAAAATCACTGCTTTAAAGCTTAAATTATATGTTTTACATCAATTCAAATATAGAGATATTGATAAAAGAAATAAAATTATTTTTTGTTTTTTTTCAACTGATAATTTGAGTCTCTTAAGATAATAATCTACCGAATTTATAAATTTATTCAAATCCGATTTAAATTTGATTAATATGGAGGTGTTTACTATTTAGAATTTATGTTTATAGGTCATTCGTTGAATTTAAGATAAATTGCTGAAATGATTACATTCCTTTTTTGATAAGTATTTTAAATTTCAAAACCTACTTAAATAATATGTTTATAAAAATTAGTGAATTTAGAAAAAGATGCCTGGACTGAATAAGGATTTAAAAAGAAGAAAATTTAAAGTAATAACTATTAGTATATAATTGTGAATTTAAAATCCAAATTATATGGCTACGATTATGAGTCCTTTCACTACGCTTATCATCTTATGGTACTACATTAGAATCTGATAATGGCTATTATTCTTTATTTATTAAACATTACATACTTGTACAGGATAATTAATTTCAAAATTAGTAAAAAGAAAAAGTCAGATGATTAGCTCAATAAGAAGTTTAGAAAATATTGAATTTTGATTTGCTGATTGCTTTGTTTTGGAATAGTTTATGAATATTGAAGATTTTTAAGATTAAAGTATTGCATTAGATTATAAACAACAATTGATTTAAAAGAGGAATGTGAAAATGTTGATATTTTAGATAAATGGGGGTTCGGATAGATATTCAGTTGAGTATTAGTTCATGAATTCTAATTTTTTGAATTAGGCAAGATATTTAATAGAAATTATTTATATTAAGAGGAAATCTTAAATGATGAAAATCTTTAGCATCAAGATATATTTAATTGTTAGTCAGTGGTCGAGAAATTTTTAATACTGTAAGTATATTTATTTTCTATGTTATAGAAGCTTAGAAAAAGTAAAAATTATAGTTAAGAGTTTAATATTGATGGGATTTATATATGTAAGATCCAATGTATTTCTATTAATAGTCAAAAAACAGAATTGAAAGAACTATTTAAAAATTCCGAAAATTAAGCTTGTTTTGAAAAAAATAAATTGATAAAGTATAGGGAAATTGAACATTAATAGATAAAAATCATCCAGATAGAATTAGCAAGATTACATAGAAAAATTCAATTAAAATTTTTAAACCTTATAACAATATAAACTAATGAAATTATAAACAATATTTACTTTCATTTATCTAGCATTTCATCTTTTAATTAAATTTCGATATCAGATTACTTAAATCAGCAGGTATTCTAATTCAAACATTAAAAAGCTCTTGATATCATTGGTTAATTAAGGTCTTTTAACACCAAAGGTATCTCCTCGAATTGAATATAAACCATAAACTCCAGTTGATATTATTTATAAATTGGAGGTATTATCAATCATCTATTCATTATCGGTTTCTTAAAAAGGATAATAAAGAGTATTTAAATTACTATTTTGGCGTAATTCATCATATAAAATAACATTTCACCACAATATAACAATTCAAGTACTAGTTTGCTGCTTCTAAAAAACTATTGATACTTGAATATTGAAAACATCAAAATAACATTAGTTTCAAGAAATTAATTTTTCATATGTTATCGGTCAATAAATATTTCATTAAATTCATTCAAATGCATAAGGCTACAATTTTATCAATAATCTGATCTTTTTCCTTTTTCTTCCTTTTTGATCCTTTGATTTACATTTTTTTCAATTTCTTATTGATCTTCTTGATTTCTACCTTTGGATAACTATCATCTTTTTCTTTATAGGCCCAATAATCAATCAGAAGATTACCTTAATAAACCTCGTAAGCCTTGTATTCGAACTGATTCATCTTTCTATTCTAAAAATTATTAATTATTTTACGATTAGGAAGTTAAAGAATTATTTATTAGAATAATGAATAATGTTTGTTATATATCCAATTATAATGAATATTTAGTATAATTTAACTTGTTCAAGAAAGGAGAAGGATGATTATGTCAAATGCTTATTTCAAAAATACATAGAAAAATGAAGGATGAAGTAAATGTGATATTTAAAATCAATTTTTTTTTAAAAATAAATATTGAAAATCAGAGATTAATTGCTTACTTGAATAATTTTGTAGTTACTTTAAGATTCTAAACATAACAAATGCTCAAGGAAATCTGAAAAGTTAATTTGCAAGAAATCATGATCAAATAATAATATATTAAATTATATTATACAAATTTCAAATGCTCATTTATAAAAATTAAATTAATTATTAAAAGAACCCTTCGGCGATTATAAGAATTGCTATTAATTCGGAAAGATTTAGTCTGGGGAATATGGCATACGAAGTGTATTCAGCTATTTATTGAATGATTAACTCTACAATTCAGTTTCTAAATTTCTAATACGATTGTCTTATTAGATTAATTATTCCTACATAGATGTAAAGTATTACTCTTAATTTAGTAACTTCAAATTCTAATTAGTTATTTCTATCTTAGAGCATCTAATTTTACAACTTTATTTAATGATTTTCTATATAAATAAAATTATTTTTTACCCAAACTTATGGTATCGACTTATTTCTCATATAAAATTAAATCATTGTGCATTTCTTTCATTTTTGTAAAATTATTATTCAACTCATTTTTATTTAAAGAGTCATTTTGAGAGTATTATTCAAGTTAGCTTTTTAATGTTTAATTTTGTTGGTCTAAAGTAAAAATGATAGCATCTCTTTTTTATAATTCACCTTCCATGAGCTAAATTTAATTTTATTATTAATCCAAAATTGTTTTCATCTCTATCTATTTATGTTGTGCTTGATTTATGCTTTGATCTAAATTTCCTTGTTTCTTTTTCAATTCTTATTCAAGGAATTGGCATTAATGAATCAATTAATCCTTGTATTTTTGTAATTGCTAAATTTGATCAGATTGTTTTTTTATTTCCTATTCAGCATTGGCAAGTTTCTATTATAGACTTATAAATTCCTATTTGCCATTCTTCAAAGTCATTGCTAATTTTTCTATTTCTTTCTATTCTAATTAAATTAAAGACTAATTAATTACATAATAAATTTTATTGGTTAAGATTTTGAATAGACTCCTCTAATTTCAATACTTAATTTTTTGTAGTGTAAAGTTCTTTTTCTTTATTTTCTAATTACTTGACTTATTATTTTTGTAATTCAATTTGATGTGCCGAATTAGCAAGAGTTTTCTAATAAGAAGCCACTTATCCTTAGAGCTCAGTAATTTGTAAAGTTGCTCTATGCAATTAATCATTTGAATTTTCTTGTTATTTTTTGAGTTCGAAATTTAACATGTCCAAAGTTGTTTTCATTTTTTTATTATCTAAATACAGTTATTCTTATTGTTCTCGATGCTATTCAATTTTAACATCCTTTTCTCTCAATTATTATTTATATGTTTCAATGTATTCCTTTAAATTACTATTTTCATGTTCAGCGGAATTAAGATAGACCAGTTACCTTTTTTAATCTTAGACTTGATCTTGAAGATCTTTGATTTATTTATTTAGTTCATTGGATTTAGAGGACAAAAGATTGTAATCTTCTAACTTTTTTTAAATCTTGTCCATTTCAGCTAATTTATATTGGCATTCTTGAAGAGCTTCCTATTTTCTTCGAACTTCTGATTTCAACTTAACAATCATTTCCTCTTAATAATCAAATTTGGCTTTGAGTTCTTGCTCAATCGACTTTTGGCTTTTAAATGATTATCTAAAGGATTAGATGGAAAACTGAATACAATTCAGATTGAAGTTAGTCGATAACTTTTTTTTGTTGTAAATTCTCATTCTATAGCTTTCTCACTTGTGATCTAGGTAGCTTAATTGTGTTACTTTAAGTCTTCTCCTTCTTCCATAAGAAACTATTGCTTTTCAAGAAGCATCTGTTCTTAAGGATTTATTTAGTTAATATTGTAATTCGACCTAAAGGACTAATCCTTTTGGGATTGGTTTGATTTTATTCTAAATGAGTAAAAATAATTTACGATTATCTGTCATTTTCCATTGTTTGGGGATGTAAACTAATGGGGATAGAGATGAAAAAATTACAGATTGGCTGGCAGTAACGTATTGAATGGTTGAGGAACTGGAGTGGGTTATTAATTTGTATTATTGTCTTTTGGTCTTGAAAGAGGACTGGGAGATGGAATGTCTTTCTCTTTCTGATATTCATTTTATGCAACGTTTTGATAGGAAAGCATTTATAATTACGCACAAATTTATTACAAAAATTTCTAATTTTCATTTACAAGAAAGGAGCGAAATTCATTATTAATTTAATTAAATGTCTTAAATTGACCCTGCCTATTTCGAAAGGCTCAAAGAATAGCTTAACAACCTAAACAACAACAATGAGAGCTTCACAGAAAGAAATATCTTTGAAATTCGAGAACGTTTAGGCCGTATTTCAGAGGAAGTACATCAAGAAAGAAATAGGGACAGCAATCATGTATTCAATATATATAATTACTTATAGCAGGCCCTTCAAAATAATTAGAAAATTTTTGTGGACAGTTGTTTGAACTTTATAGTATATGTCCTTCAACATGTTGAACCTTAGACAACTCGAAACACAAAATTTTTAATCAGAGCTGGCATCTTGGATTTATTATAGAAAAAGATTCTCTTATAACATATGACATTTCAAGTTGTCGAATAAATGACTATAGTATTAGAAAAAGACAATGAAAATAATGCAGCTGTAGCCATCCGCATAATTAATGATTTACTAAAATCGAATCAATAATAATCACATCAATACTAAAGATCAAATACTCTATTTTCAGATTAGTTGTTATTGAAACTCTACTCTTTTTTTGAGTAGCGGATTGAATTCTTGGTTAAATTTAATAATGAGCTCAAGAAATCTCAATATAAAAAACTTTTAGGAGATAATCAAAATAATCCTTTTTAGGATCAGAATTATGTTTTATAATCAGATATTGAAGATAAAAGAGAGAAAGACATAAGGCTCAATATTTTTAGCTTATCTTTTGTAACTAACATACCAACATTTTTTATTTACACTATTTTTGTTCTAGACTCTATAGTGAAAGAAGAAGTAATAATCATTCACTTATAATATAGACTAAAACCCAAATGAGAGAGATCTTGAAGAGAGCCCTGAAAACAATGAACTAAGTGATCAATGAAACCAATTTCTAAGACTTACTGTAGAAAGTCCCAAGAAATATAGTGTAGGAACTTTTTAATGCCTATTCTAAATTCTTATAATTGCTTGCTCTTACTATTAAAAGGGATGAGAATCAAATGCAACCCCAATCAAGAATTATTAAGGATATTTCAGACACAATTAAATTAGACTCAGTGGTTGCCACCATCATTAAAACACTCAAGCATTGTCCTGTAGACATAATGCACCTAAGGATTGATATCAGTAATCGTTTGAAACAATCTATAATTTAAAAAAGAGATACCATATAATAAAATGATATGACTGATAAAATTAATGAAATAAATGCTAATGTGGCTGAATTGATTGATGAAGAAACAATTGTTGGTAAGAATCTAAAAATTCCACCCTATCAAAAGACCAGCATTTATCAAAATTGGTTAGATATTGTTAAACATGTAGTATAAAGCTATCTTCCTAAGTGTGAGTAATAAAATTAGCAACCTACTAACTTAGAGAAAATGCAAAGTGATTTCATAAATAATTAGACATATATGGAAAAGATTTTCAATACCATTTTTAAAGTATTATTTGATTCTTCCTTGCAAATATCCATTCATGAGAAGGCTTTAGATTTAATCAAAGTCTTCTTGGACTTATTTACTAAATAATAAAACAACTATTTTATTGATAGGAATTTACTCTAATATTACATTGATTAACCTCAACAACAACAATAATAAAATGATTCGATTTTCAAGGAAGTGACAACGCATAGTCCAAAGTATAAATTATTGGATAGATTATTTCAGATGATTGGAATGAAATTAGCTTAAATTAGAAAGCAAATCTAATAAATAAAAGAAATGTTAAACAGAACCTAGAAATGGGGAATTATCAAAAAAACCACTTCATAAACAAATGTTTCATCTCTTCCTTGTAATAACGAACCCTTGAATGAAAGGTACATAAGTCAATTGGAATAGTATATTAAGGAGAATGAAATTGATATTGATTAAAATCTCATTACTTTATAAGATTAAGCAGCTACTCAAGTTTATACCTATGAAGATGAGGAGGAGTATTAAGTTAATTCAATCAGCATCAATACATATAGTTAATTTATTGAATTTGCTAAGGAAGTGAAATCAAAGATATTTGATCAACTGAATGATATCCTATAGAAGTTACTTATTTTTGTGGCCTCAACAAACAAGGAAATAGTAGCTAAATATAAAAATAGACAAAATGGTTAAATCTCATAAAGACTAGCCCCTTTAATTTAAGCAACAAATGAATCCAGACCTTATTTGAGTAATCTGTAATGTCATTATATGTCAAAGATAATGAAAAATGGGTTGATAATATTTGATGAATTGCATGATCATCAAAGAAACCACTTTGAAATTTTGGATTATAAAAAGAAAACTATTCCTTAATTTATGCAATTCTTTATTTAATTTCAAGATCCTATAAATTTTAAGAACATTTTTGAACCTAATTCCAAATTATTGTTAAAGATTTCAGTCAACTTAATAAAGACATGTCCAGAAACACATTGTCTCCCGTTATTATTGCAGGATCATTTACAGATATTGAATCATCCAGATAACTAATCTTAACCTAAATTATCAGTGAAGTATTACATAGAATTTTTATTGAATTTGTATTTGAGAGAATTGCAAACAACTCCAGAATTGCCATCTAGATTTGGATATTGTAGAGGTGGCTAATTGATACAAATGAGCAATCACAAAGTCTAAAATGTATCATAAAAAGATTAAGATGAATACATTTCATTGATATAGAAATTGCTCAGAATTCCCATAAGATTATTTCCGAGAGTGAAATGCTAATAAAATGAAGAACCAATAGTAAAACCATTGCTAAAATAATTAATATTATTTTTTGTTAAGAAATCACATGAAACATATTATCCAATTGACTTTTTAGGATTGCTGTTATCGTTAGTTAAGAGAATATAGAATAATGACTAGGGGGAGGGGTTATCTAAATATTTTCAATAATTATGTGATAAATATGATCGAAATGACCGATAATAGATGGCTTAAAGACAATAATATGAGATATATCATAAATTAAATTTGAGTGGAGTCAATATTGTTTTGAACATGTTTGAACTATTTTAAACTGGAATAGTGGAGATATAGGATATTGTTGCAGAAGTGATAGCTAATTTTCCATTACAAAAAACAATGCAAATCAATTTGGCAAAACAGTATCCAGTTTTTGCTTAATGTTTGTTTAGAGCCTTGCATAATATATCTACAATTGAAAATTAAGTAATTCAAAAAACATTAATGTTATTGGAGAATATTGTAACTAATTTGAGTATGGAAGAGATGAGAGAATTCTTTGGGGATCTGCTTTAGCCATTCATTGAGAAACTGCTTACTTTTCCATCAGAATATAAGATGGCAGACATCTATTCTAAATAAGTAAATTTATTTTTGGATCCTTCATTCAAATCCTTAAAAATTCTATCAAAGTTGGGTGCTTTGGTACGAAAATCAGAGTGGCCAATTGAAATCAAAAGAACTCATACTGATAACCCATTTGTTAGAAATCAATATTTGGAAGTGCAAATAGAGGGATTATAAACTAATTTGAAGATCAACCTTTCTGAAACAGTAAGATGCGCAGTGGAGATCCTTCAGAACTTTTTGGAATAGCAGTTGGCTACATATTTGTTTAAACAATCTTCAATTTAACACAGTTATTCAATTGTAAAGATGGTGTTGTTGGGGTATTACTAAATGCCTATTTAATTTGATCATGATTTATACAATTATCAAATACCAGAAGGTATGGCATTGGACATGAGATTGCAATCAAGATCATGTGAGTAGGATCTATTGATGTATCAAGATGAGGAATTGATATCAGCAGTAACAAAGGTGTTTATTGGTTTGAGCAATTTCCACAATATCATATAGACTCTCACAACAGCCACATTCCACAAGCTAAAAGAAGATGTTGAGAATATTGTAACAACTCTATCTGAAATGTTCTTCATTCAATTAGCAGATGATCATTGTGAATAAATTCAATAACTTAAGGGAGCAAAGCCTGATTTAAATTCACTTTATGCCATGACGGAGGATATTGTAGCTAAATATTTGAGGGAGAAACCTCAATCGATTAAATGGCTTTCTCATCTCTTCAAAGGTTTAAATAAGAGGTATATGCTTACAGCAGAGGAGAATATGAATTTTAAGGATTTCTACATTCAGTAACATGAGTTCATTTGGAATAAATTGCTTATGGGCAATTGTCTCAAAAAGTATAAGAAAATACTGGATAATCATTTAAAAAAAAACAATGAAAATATGGCCTGGGCTTATGATGTCTATTATACAGTAGTTATTCGTTTGTTTGAAGAGTTTGTGTATGAGAAGTTTGGAAAGTAGACTCAACTATAGAAGGAAGATGATCGTCGTCGAAAAATACAGATAGTTTAATGTAATTATTTAATAAGAAATATTCTTAGCTTATGGAGGAACCATGATTCCATCTGAAGGATTGAATTGCAGATCAATTTCAATTGAATTACTTACTGAAATCCAGAATCTTAGACCAAAATTTAAAGATTACTACACATCAAATCAAATCTTAGGTTTGCCATATATTCCTGATCAAAGAATTGTAGAATGCTCGTTTATTTTACTAAGACAATTATCTGAAACCATAAGAGTAGTATCATAATAGCTTACTAAGCATTTGTTATTCTAAACATTGAATTAGTTGATTGAGAATCTAAATTGTGATCATTCAAAATATCCTCATTCTCATTAGAGTACTCTAATATTATCAAAAAAATTAAGGGAGTTTGTTAAGGTCATTACAGAAAACTGTCTTACTTTCAAAAAGTCTTTGTTGCAGATTTGCACTGAATTATTCGATCACATTATCACCAATTATTATTAGGGCAACGCTGGTCCCCTATTTTACATGAATATTGGAGATGAAATGAACCCGAGATTCGACGAATAAATCAAACCCATCCCCTTAGATGAGTTCACTGGAGCAAACTAATCCTAATTGTATTGGGTTAATATAGACTATTCTGAAATACCTACTTCTCCATATACTCAAAATACAGTCTTAAGAGAATTAGTCTTAATCATTAAGCAATTATGTGAAGAACAGAAAATGTCGGACATGACAGCTTAGAGATATGCCAACGGTTTCAGAATATTGTCTTACCTTTTATAAAAATAAGGCAAGTTTGAGTCTGTATAATATCATTTGTTTAAAGTTGCGCAATTTGAAAATGACCCATCCTTGATACCATGTATTGAGGACTACGTTTAATAATCTTTTAAAATTATACAATAAAACGAAGAAACTTATTATAAGCAATCTAAACTGATTCTTACAAATGATGATTATCCCTAGTAGAGTGCTGTGATTAATGTGTCCCACGGATTGGATGACTTGGAATTCAAAATCAATATTGAGGACATTGATTTTGAAGTCAAGTGGTAAAGTTTCATGGTTGTTGCAGTTTATGGTTTCTTGAAATCTATGGCTACTGTCAACTATATATATCTCATTCAAAAACACCTTCAGAAAAATATCGATAAAAATCAAACAGTAAAGCCAGTTATATTAGCGATGAAATTCAAGATTGTCGAGATTCTGTACGAAGGACTCTTGAGAGTGGAATCCAGTATCAGATAGGCAGGTTATAGATATCTTTAGGACTTATTATAATAGGAAGGCATTTCAAATGACAAGACTCTATTTGAAAACGATGAGCGATTGAAAAAAGTCATGAAACCATTACTTACATGTGTGTAGTCAGACATCTTTCATTACATTCCTTCGTTTTTAAAGTCCTTAAAACTTATATTGAAAATATTTAGTAAGGTTTTCCATAAGGCATTGTCCGATAAATTGTAAGCACATCTTACTAAGATAGTTTAAGACAACCACCAATAAACCTTAAATCCTAATGGTTTATATTGTACTACAATGGAATGGCTTTAAAATTAATCACAAGAATCCTTAAACTTTTAGATGAGTATTACATCTGGATTGTTGAAATTATTTTAGCATCTAACATCATAACTAACTAATCCAACCATTGGAGCTAATAATATTAATATTGTATAGAAAATAATTACGGATACTAATAATCTAAGAAGAAACTATGTTTTCAAAGTATCACAAATGTAACTAAATCAATCAATCGATAAGCCTTTGGTTAAATTCTTAAACACTCTAGCTGCCAATTACTTTGATGTCTTCTAATCCTCTTACAATTTAGGATAAATCTAATAATTTTAAAAACAATTGGAAGGAGTGAGTCAATTACTAGCTAATCAAACTCCTATTAAAGGCCTCTGGGAAAATTTAAGGGAACGTCTTCAATATATTAAAACTGTCAGACAAGTTATTTCGGAGCCAACAGCATTCCCTTTGAGAGAGAAACTATGCAGAGAGAAGAGTTAATTGGCTTTGAAGATGGAGCGATTCAATAAAATCATTGAAGACCTGAGTTCTTCATTAGAAAAAGGCTTAATGAACGTTTAAACTGTGCTGTCTCCTGAGTTATAACAATCTTTCCATTAATCTTACATATAAAAATTGATTAATGTGATAAGCGAAATCAAAATAGAGATTGTTTAATTTGGTTTTTAATTATGTAAGAGAAATCCTTCATGTTTGAAGAAGAATAATTATTTCTTGGAGAATTGTATCTTGAATAATATTAAGGATCTTTTGGAGAAGCAGAAACAAAATAATCAGAATAGGAAAGTGCAATAAAGTCAATTATAATAAGCATACAATCAATTGATACTTTCCAATCAGCAAATCAATAGTCTTTTGAATAGACATTGCAGCATGTTAAAACAATTCATTTCATAGAATGAAGACAGCAAATTAGCTATTTAAGGAATGCTGAGATTGATTCTGTATTCAACACAAGATAAGGTTAAGAAGTGGGTAATGAATGTAGCTATGAATAAGTCAATATCTTTGAGAAAAAGAATCATTGAAATATGGATGGATAATTTCAAATTTTCTGAGGATGATCAATAAAATTAGGTTCAAATGATTACTGGATATCATGTAATTTATCCTATTTTATTCCATTCTAATTAAAGAAATGATTTAAGTCAAATAAGTCAATTGTCTTTGTTTTAGAGGATGAAAGAGATTAATGATGACTTCTTTAAGTATTATGGCAAAATATTGAGTGATATTGAGCATCATTGTCCTATGAATTTTACTTACAAATTGCCTAATAATAACTTAACAGCTAAATTGTCAGATGTGAATCATTATTACAAGTCCTCAGTGATAGATATGCTCTAAATTAGTTCATACTTATTATGCTTTTAAGAACAACAATTGCCATCAGACTTAAAGATGTCTTTCTTGTAATTTGGATATGATATGATTAATAAGTCAGATAAATTGGTGGCATTCCATGCTAATTTGTATTTTAGTAAATTCTTAAAAAAGATTGGATTGATCTAAAATGACCCAATATCAGTCAATAAGAGATATTTGAAAATATATAACAAAGCATTAAAGCAATTAGACGAGAGTGGTTAATCTGAATAGGAGTTATATAGTCTATGTAAGAAGATATTTAGTGTGGTTTTACCTTGGTTGGATTAAGTTGAAGTACAAGATCAAAAAGATTGGATTCAAGCAACTTAATAGCAATTGAAATAGGAATCATCGAATTTGGATTTTGAATCAGCCTAAAAGGTGAGTAGATTCTGGTCTATGTTTATAAAGAATCATAAAATATTTCACAAGCATCATGAATCATTCACAATCCATATCATAAATTCAATGTAACAGATTGGATTCTTCAATTAAAATTAATCACCTCAAGCTCCAATAATTATCAATAGTTATCAAAACTATAGAAGAATTGCATTGGATATGGCATTTTTATAGGTGGAATGGAAGACAAAATTAATAAAGAATGACTTATTACAAAATAATACCAAGAAATTCCGTGATTCATTCTATCAAAGTGAAGCTTAAAATCATGATGAGTCCTTGTCAAGTGAAATATACTAGTCCTTTTTTATAAAACAATCACTCAAAGCACACAACACAGAAGATGCTGAGCTATAAAAAAGAGCATTATATTTATTGAAAAAGATATTGATAATTGCTCCTCTGACAAATCACAAGATGAATATGGAGACAGTAAAGAAGAACATTGTAAATCTGATGAATTCAATAGTGGAACCTCAATAAGGGAATCAGAATTTGAGAATACTTCAATAATAACCTACTGCATACTTTAGATATTTCTTGATTGTATTGCATATCCTGACAATTATTGCAGAGTTTTAACCATCCCTCAAAATAAGTTAACTGTACTAACCATATTTTGATATCATTTTCCAGATGAATCTATTGCCAGACTAACTACAATATTAAGTACCACCCAGACTAAATGCAGGCAGGATTCCTCCTACTCAGCCTAGACAACAACCTCCACAGGCCAGGATTCAATATCCTTAACCTCCTGCAGATAGAGGTCAACAACATCAGAATGCTTTGACTCAAGATCATGCTCAGCTGGTCTTCTTAATTTTTAATATATTCAGAAAACTACTGAAGAATGCGAAGGAGAATCAAAATGAAGAGAGTGATAAATTTTAGAATTCACTCTCAAATTGGGTCAAGGATGCTATACAACAACACCTTTAGATTAAGAAGAATAGCCAATAGTAAATGAACTAGTTTATGGGACCCAGAATTCCTACTTAAGCAATGAAAGTGAACATTTTATCAATCTTCTTATTGAAGTTGTTCTTCAATCATGATATCACCTATGTGAGACCTTTGATGCCTTCATTAAAGAGAATTGCTGAAATACTGATAGATTACTTGAAGTAGAAAGATAAGGGGGACTAATATTTGGACAATATGAGAAGATACACCATTCCTAAGAAATAGTTCAACATCAGGGAGAATGAGCAATGGGAGAATGATTCCTAGAAACAATACACTCATACAGATTTATCGTAGTACATCAGCGATTTTGGATTGATGACAGATGACTTCCCATTTGGAGTCAAGAAAAGTGAGGAAATGCTCTATTTCCCAGAGGATTTCCCTGAGAATTAGAAGATCAAATTCCATTTGTATAGATCTGCACTCCAGAAGACTTTGAAGATGATAGCTTACAATTTTGATGAGATCAAAGATTAGAAGGAGCAGATTGAATATTTACAAATCTTAATTTGGATCATAGAGTCAGTGCCTGATTATGAGTTGAAGTTGGAATGTATAGCAATATTGAGAATGTTATTTATCAATGGAATATCTAATGTGGAAGGTTATCTATAAGCGATATCAGTATATCTGTCTCCAGTGAGATCATTTCAAATGAGGTCAGAGTTGAAGAAGATGGAGGAGAACCTACAGTTTAAGCCTTCTAAAATGTCATGTGAATTATAATTTGGTTTCTTTTTTGATCTGAACAAATTCCAAAGCATGTTCGACAAGAAGATAGATTAGAGGAGTTCTGACAGTTACGATAATCAGCATGGGAAGATACAAGATCTGAAGGTATTCAAGTTGTATTTTATTTTCTTATGTGAATTATTGTTGGTGTATCCATTCAAGAAATAACAAGGGTCGATCAATAGTGGATTCTACCTATTAAAAAATATCTATGATAAGGGAAATGGTTCATTGAGGGAATTCAGACGCATCTTACAGATAATAAGTAAATTGAGTACATGTTTGGATTATTTGCAATTCTTCTATAAGATGATTTTGGATATCTATGGATATACCTACGATAGATTCTTGTAATTCGTATTAGGAGATCCAAATAACAAGTAGTAGGAGTAGCCTCTTCAGACAGAAGGAGAAGAAATAATGTTGATGGCAGTCAAATTCATGATGTTGGGAAGAGGACACTTGTTGTCTCCAAAACTCTTCCAACCAACTCAACCAAATAAAATAGTTGTGAAAGTGGTGCCTAAGGATGAAGACTCTACGATGAGAGAACAAGTACTCAATAAATATTTGGCTATCTATTACAGGAAGAAATACTGGTAGAAATTGTACAATTCAAGTATTAAACTATTCACCAGTGAATATCTACCATCCATTGTCATCTACAATCTCTCTTATATTCCACTCTAAGATTAACCACAGTAACCATTAAGGGAATGCATCATTCCAAGTGCAGCTATTGAATTACTGGGCACAGCTGCTAATGTGAGTAGTCGTCTGCTCAAGCCAATATTTAATCAAGTCATCGTCAATGACATCAAAACCATCACCCAGATAACTGATTACGTTTCTCAACAATCTACATCCAATGGCACTCTATAGACTATTTCTAATTTCCTGGTTCAACAAATTCTATCCCAGATAACCAATATCTATGACATTATGGACAATCAATAGACTTAACTTAATTTCAACAACCTAATCATGTGTCTCAAATAAAAGAATCTATTGCCATCAGCATAATATTTGTTAGAATACATTTATTAGTATTTGAATGAAGAGGATTCATCTTAATATTCACAATTAAATGAGGATATCCTAGTGCAATTACAAGGAGTGTACCAAGAATAATGGAACAAATAATGTCTATTGGGTTGTAAAGCCTTGACTGCTACTCAACCTTGGGTTAAATAATTAGTTTTACTTAACTAATTAAGAGAACCTGCTCAATCATATTAATTAATATTAAATAATCAAGAGTCTGTTGATCAATTTTGGTTGTAACTGGAATAAGAAACTAATGAGGCCTAAGGTATTCAAAAAGAATATGATTAGTAAATCATTCATCAACTATTCACAGAGTCGTTGTAACAATTAAATTAATGGAATACACTCAAATAAATAGATCTGAGTATGGTATAGGCTGTTTAGAATAAAATTATCATGGGATTTCGAGAGAGATAAAAAGATACCACTGATCAAGGATGGAAAAGTTTGAATCAATTGTCAGATGTTAAACAAAATATCTAATAGAATGATCACTTCTGTTACAATTAAGCCTATTTCAAATTACTCGATTTTGTCAGAGATGAAGCATCTTTGAATCAACATGGAAGAGGCAATCATGGGTTGTAATCAATTGAATAAAATCTCAAATATGCTCAAATTATCAATTGCTACAATTTCATCAAAACCCTTCCCAAACTCACCTAGTCATATGATTAAATGATGGCATCACCTTTATTGTGGGGTAGTAAATTCCTTAATTTTGTGTCTCAATTCTAACTCTACACTGAATTAGAAGAGAGTCTCAGATAATATGCTCCTACTCAGCCTGCCTTTCCTGCCCAAGCTCAACCTAATTATGAACAACAATGGGATTTAATCTCTAATTCCTATTAGTCTAGTCTATTGTGCAAAAAGTACTTCTTTGAAAGGCAACCCACAATTATTGATTAGCAAGAATTCACCTTTGATTTGATCAGCTAAAGAATGGTCTAATTGCAAATGTGTCTGTAAAGGTTTAATGGATAATTAAGTCAATTACTTGCTAGTCAATAATTACCAGCAAATACGAGCCTAGATCAAAAGAGTTACTAGCTGGCTGTTTTGGATTACAAGACTCTCCTCTATCCAATGAGATACTACTAACAGAATGGAATCTTTGAATTATTCGATGAATAATCAATCCTAAAGGAAATCCCTAAGACCTTATAAGTTTATGCCGAAAAGATTTATCAATTGGAGAAAATCAAGTTTAAAACGATGAAGTTCTTAGACGTCGACAATAATTAATCGAATTTGACTGAAATGCTCAATTTCTTCAGTTCCTTGTAATCGGGTACGTATAGTGCTGAAGAATTCAAAAACCACATGATTAGCAAGATTAGAAGATATAAGATGATCAACTAATTTTACAAATTATTGAGATTAGATCAATTGACAGAGTCTAGCAATGGAATGTAAATCGAGGAACAAAAATTGGAGGTCATGGTCAGTTAGACAAATGAATTCTTCATTCAAAACCAAGTTAACTATTTAAAATTCTGGAAAGAAGCCCACAAAGTCTATCAACTTGCTCATAAGAGATATAGCAATAATATTAAGTTTGCCCATCATTATATTTAAATCACTCCTCTAAGTATGCAATATAAACCATAAAAATTCCCTATCACAGGTATGTACATGTTTCATATTCTGAATATCACAAATCAAACTGATTCAATAGTCACAGATGCATTCTCTTAAATAGTTGCATTAATACCCTTACATCTATTACAAAGATTCTTCACTCAACTGGTATCAACTTATCTCTACACACCATGTGATTAAACCAGAAAAGATTGTTTAGATGCCATCAATAAATTATGCATCTTCAATCCTCTAAATAGCTTATAACTATTATAATATCTGAAGAGTTTGGGACAGTGCACAGACGAGAGATCCTAATAACTTATAAATTCTATTCCTAAATTGTCTAAATTAAATCACAAAATAGCTTCCATTTACTCATTACGTTATCTGTACAATTCCGTATTTGATCAGCTATTATGGGATAATGTTGAAGAAATAGTATATTAATGTGGAAAAATCTTAGATTCCAAACAATTTGAAATTAATTCTAGTAATATCAATGACAGATGCCAATAGATTTTAAATATCATTCAAAAGTATCCTTAAATTAAAGACATGATTAAGTAATATTGGAAATTTGGTGATTTAAATAAACAATTAAAGAGTGATCAACTTAAAACCGTCCAATCAATCTATTTGGCTTCATTAAAATGTATATACATCAATCTGTTTGGAGTCAATATGAGTTTGGAGGAAGACTTTCCATTGCAATTAAGTAATTCCATCAATTCGTTTATGGCAAAATAAATTTAAATTGATTAATTGTATTCAATTAATGATGAATTCCAAATGAATCCACTCCCCATGTTTGGATTTGATGGATAAATTAAAAGAACTCAAGCTTATGATACAATTTAAATCACTAATATGTTTCCTACCATTCATATCATATTTTTAAGGAGAAAGCGATTCATTAGATAAATAGCGTTGTTAGGGAATGATGAAAAGAAGTATTTATTCCTTTTGAAAACCAAAAAAATTGAAAATAAGAAACCCATACAAAGCATTCTTGAAGAACACATATCAACTCAATTTGTTAAGATGACTAACATTTTAAATTAAAATCACAAAGAAACCAAAATTAGAAATGTAAAACACATTGTTTCAGATAAATATCTTTTAGAACACGATAAACTAAACTATTAATTAGAACCATATTAAGAAGAAACCTACAATCTTAGTAATATATTGGATACAATTCTGTAAATCCATTATCATGCAAATCCAAAGGGTGACTCCTCTATCAAAATACCATATTATAAGTATTTATACCATTATTATAATGTAGTACTCAAGTAGATCATTTACAGAAAAATGATCTAACTAATCTCATACTAAGATTTTCAAAAACAATTGACACTTTTGTTCAAATCAGAAAAATCATTGTTGTCAATATTGCAGTTCAATTTGCGCTATCATTCACTATGGCTAGCAGCTAATCACCAAAACAATTGGAAAATCTACAAATAAATTTGAGCAATGGTAATTTCTACCAAAAGAAATATCTATTCAAGGTCAATAATCAAAGGCTCACTTTATATGATCCATTTGCTATCAGATACTCAAGAAATATTGAACATCTAGTTGGTGAAATTAATCTTCATGCATTTTTAATACCAACATTCACAGCAACCATCATCGGCATTCTTAATATTGAGTAATATATCATTTTAATTCTTAGTCTTCACGAATACTTGAATGTGGTATTTTGGTAATTGGGATGCAAGGATTCTCTTGAACCTTTCATTAAAAAATTGAAAGATATTGTTTATGATGATGGAATTATTGATTCTAAATGCGAAAGATTAATTGCCATATCGAAGAATTTATTCAGTGGCTAAGAGAAACTTAAATTGTGGGCCAAAAGATGGTTCTGATTGGTATTATGAATTTATAATAATTTAATCATTTCTTACCAGGTACATATTAAATGTTTGTTTAATTATTTCTTACTTTTTTGAGTTATTATAATGTCTAAATTAATATATAATTTAATCCTTCTTGTTAGAAGGTTATTAGGGATAATATTATAATATTCTGAATTCATATAATATTCTATACTAAATAGAAATTAAGTAATAAATTTTGATTTTTACAATATTCACGATTCTGTATGAGTTGATTCCTGAAGATTCTCATTGATCGGCTTTAAATCTTAGCTTACAAGCAATTCCTTTTGCTTACTTGAACTACTAGTATCTCCTTTCCAATCAGAATTGTCTCCATTCCAACTTAATGTTTATATTAATATTTACTTATCATCCTAAGATGCATCCCCAAATTTTCCTGATTTTACATTATAAACTACCTAAAGGGCAGATGAATCCATTTTATCAGTTGTTTTAACTTCTACTTCTTCAAATTCAAATTGATTATTCTGAACTACTTAATTTTGAATATTGATACTAGTTTTGTTATTCTAATATAATATCATATCTAATTACACTATCATTTAATTCAACAACTTCAAATTCTTTTTCATTCTTCTTGACTTCTTCGTATCCATCATTCTTGATTATGATTTCTTCTTCGAATCCATTTTAACTAGAACCTTCCCAATCACAAGAATCCTTCTGTTTTAACTCATTTATAGATTAATTCAATGAGGGATGATCCCCTGATCTATACGAATCGATGTCTTCATCTAAACGTATTTGAGGTATTTCAAATTCTTCAAATTCAACCTGATCCTCTATTTTTTATTGAATTAAGTCTTTGAATTATGTAGTACCTTGAATTTATTAGATTGTCCAAATTTCCATTAAATTAATTTTCCCTTGCTTTAACGGCATTAACTCTCCTGGTTCATATGTTTTGTCATGATTTTTGCATTGAACAGTCAAGAGATCTGAGTTGATGAATATTCTGAAATCCTTAGCTAATTCACCTCCGAAACCTATTCCTTTGGCCAATTCTTCATTTTTTGAATTCAAATACACATATTGTGATCTGGTAAACTTATCATTTTTTGTTCTGTAGACTCTAAATTGTGGAAACAATTAGAAAATGCAGTCCTCTTTACTTCCATTGGGTAGAGCATCATCCTTCCATTCGAAATTAGTATAAGCTCCAAAAATGTATTTTCTGGCAGCATGTTCACATTGAATAATGAACAAGAAGCTAGATGATGAATGAGTGAGTAGATTAGTAAGTAATTCAAATGAATTTTCATTCAGAAAATTAGAATAAAGCAGTTCCAATTTGCTAGTGTCTTTATGCATGAAACACAAATACATGAGTGCAAGCCATTCTTGATTTAAAATATGGGATGGGTTGCGCAATTGAGGAGAATGAAATAATTTCTATTCGCCAAGAAATTTATCATAATAATAGTCTTCAATGATTTCTTCTAATTATGGCATGAAGGTGTCGATAAACTTAATAAATTATAGGATTGGAATGTTGACATCAAGTTTAGAAAATATAGCATCTACAAAGGATTTAACAGGTAATTCATTTATATTTGATTTTCGAATCATAATGGCTATGAACACTTATAAACATTTAGAAGTCAATAGATAAGTGATTGACATAGTAGAAAATTCTTTAAGGGCGCCTTGAATGTTTAGATTACCAAAGAGAGCAATAATTGCGATAATGAGAGAAACTCTATTTGGTAATGTCAGGATTTCATTTTGAGAATTGCCCAAGATGAAAATTTCTGAAAATTGTACTATTGTTTCATATTCAATTCCTTTTGATTCGTTATTCTGCAATCCCATTAGAAACCAATATGCATATTGTCCTAGATACGGAATGTCATCAAATATTTCATTGAAATTCTCCTCGAATAACAACAATTGGCTTCGTGATCTAAAGAATGAGTACCAAATAATACTCGGGATTGGTCAGAGTTTGTCTGAGGAAAGCTTGGTGTATGTATTGTTTTTAGGGTTTGTCTAGATTGGTCGAGATTTTGGTTCTATTGGACACACAATTTCCCATAATTTATTAATTAATGAATCGACAATAGATGCTGTAAAAGTATAAGGAAATCTTGTTGGACTATATGGATAAAGTTCGAAAGAATATTCCCAAATAGTACCCTTCCTTCAAAGACTTCTTGAACAAAATGATTGGTATTTATGGAGTTAAGAAATTAAGATCTTGTCAAATATGAAAGCCTCCCTAAATTGGGAAAACATATGGTGGTTTTCAGATTGACTTTCAATATGAGATAAACCAAACTAACCTAATTGGCTTTATCTGTGTTATTTGTAATGAATTAATCATTGACCCCAACTAGAAACTGGTTTCAAATGGCTTCATTGACGGAAGAATAGAAGACACCTCCTAAGAATTCTACACCGACGAATTTGCAGAACTTTTCAACGACTCCAATTATTATAAAGCCAAAAAAAAAGTATGGACATTCTATACACATTAGACCATCATTGATGCATTAATCAATTCAGTGACGTCCTGTCTTCTTGAAAAGGATGAGATCATCATTCAAGGCCTCAAATTGTTGGTTGCTTTAGTTCTGAATCCATTCTGTTATGTAACATCGCAAAATCTCACCAGAATCATCAAAACTATAATCTTCTCCTATACTCGCACTGGCACTAGAACACAGATTGTCGATAGAAATGCTAAGAGTATGCTCTATTAGATTATTAACTACACATTCTAAGCTGTGGAAGGAGAAGTAATTAGATATTCTCATCACTTACTAGGTTTTCACAATCCAAAGGAACAAACGTAAAATGTCTATCAAAGAAGATTCAGTCTAGAAATTAACTCAATTGGTCATGCTTCAATTGGTTGATATGGTCTGTTTAAATAAAACTTCACTAGATTTCTCTCCTTAATCAAACACCCTAAATGAAATTCAACAACCTGCAGGTTATTTTGGTTATTGTCTAATGTGTAGAAAGTCAGCCAATCTCTATTGTAAAGATCACAGAGTCCCAATTTGTTCATTCTTTTGTAAAAGAAGACATCAGGAATACGTCGAACAAGCTCAAAGTACTTACAGTGGGACACTAAAACAATACGAAGAAAATCTTGACTGTGCTTTACAATTATATGATAGTCTGTGCAATCTGCTCATGAATAAAACGACATTGCAATAAGCAAAAAACCAATAGATCATTCTCGAATGTCTGTTGTATATTCTTGAAACTCCTGACTTTGTGTTAAGTAAGAATGACAAATTTATTAAAATAACCAAAGAGAGACTTTGCAATTAATTGTTGAAATATTGTTTAGAAACAGAAAAAACCTTATATCAATACAGTTTCAGAATATTTTAACAATTAGTTTGTATCATGAGAAAAAGCATTAAACATGAAATGGCTATTTTTATCAACCAAATATATTTGAATATCCTCTTAAGTGCCAATTCAAATGTCTTACATAAACAAACTGCACTTGAGAGTTTATGCAGTATTTTGGAAAGACCAAAGATTGGATTAGAGTTTTATATTAATTATGATTGTCATACCAAGCATGAATATTTGATGTCCAAAGTCATTCACACATTCTATGAAATTATTGTGGTTTCTATTTATTAAAAAGCAGAGTATCAAATTCAAAACCAATAAGAAACACTGCTAAAGAGCTTGGCTATCAAGGCCATTTATTATATCCTTGAAGGCTTAAATAAAGTGTTTGACAAGTTTATCATCACACCTTCTGAGGAGATTGGAACACCCTTAATGGAAGATTAAAATGTTAATGATAATACTACTGTGATGTATGTCAATCCCATTGAAATACAAAGATAGTTGAAATAGGAAATTATGAAGGGGTGTCAAATTTTTAAAAAGAATCCCGATAAAGGAATTAAATATCTGTTGGATGCTCAAATCATAAGGAATGAGTAATTTTAGTTGATTAATTTAGTGCCAAAGAAATTGCTAAGTTTTTCAGAGAAAATCAATAATAATTAGGCAAAGATGCCATTGGAGCCTATTTGGGAGGACATCAACAATCAAATATCAGAGTCTTAAGTGAATTCACTGACTAGTTGAAATTCAAAGACTTGACTGTCGAATAGGCATTACGATATTTCTTAGATTAATTTACTCTACCAGGAGAGGCGATGTAAGTGGATAGAGTGGTCTAAAAGTTTTCAGATAGATATTACAAAGAAAACCCGAATTCAGCTTTCAAATCTAGTGGCAGTATTTATACTTACTGTTATTTATTGGTTATGTTATAAACGGACTTGCATAATCCTTCAGTTGCAGAGAAAATGAAATTGATTGATTTTCAAAAGTTGGCTCGGTCAATCAATGATGGTGATGATCTACCATAAGAGTATTTAACTCAAACTTATAATTCTATTCTGAAATAACCTTTGGCAGTAAGAGAAAAGGAGAAAAATCGTGTATTTATTAAAGAATCCCTTACTTAAAACATCAGAAAGAAACAGGATCTATTTTAGAGGGAAAAGGAAGCCTTGCTGAAGGAAGGAAGCGAGTTAATTAAAACCAAATAAGATTTGCATGAAACTATTTATCAGAATATTAATCAAGACATGGCCTACTTAATAAAGCCATTTTTGGAGTGTATAGGAAAACCTTCATTTGAAATGTTTTTGTTTGTTTTTAACAATGACTAGATGGAGTCATCTTCAAATCAATGCATTTAAGGGTTAGTCTTGTTTATTAAACTATGCTCTTTTTTTTCAATTCCCTTGTAAGATTATATGAATCCCTTGCTCAAGGCCACAAGACTCAATTATTCAAGCTAGATATCCTATAAGCATATCAACTTAATAAAGCAGATTTTGTAAACTGTTCCCTAAATAGGAAATGGACTCAGAGAGATTGGATGGATAAGCATTGTCACAATGATAAGTAGACTGGATGAAATGAGAATGATTAAGCAATCCAAGGATAGTGTTGATGGGTTAAATAATGTCATATTACCTGAGTTATTATTGGAATCTGATTTAATAGATAAGATCTTTGTGCAATCCAAATAGTTAGATGATGAAGCCATTTAGGAATTTATCAACGCTCTCTGTTATATGTCAAAACAAGAAATTTATTAGACTCATCCAAGGGTGTTTAGTCTGTAAAAGTTGGTCGAAGTCTGTGATTACAATATGAAGAGAGTGAGTTTTGTATGGACAAAGATGTGGAATATTGTGAAGGATCATATCAACGAGGTGGCTGTGAAAGAGAAGAGAGTTGCAATGTTCACCGTAGACTCACTCAAACAATTGAGCATTAAATTCCTTTAAAAGGATGAGTTATATGACTTTTAATTCTAAAGAGATGTGTTGAAACCCTTTGAAACCATATTCTTGTAATCAAATTTAGATGTCAAGGAATTCATTCTTTCCTGCATCAATCATATAGTCTTAAATCATAAACATAATATTAGATCTGGATGGAGAATGGTATTTGGTCTAATCACATTAGGGTTGAAAGAGGAAAATGATAAAATTAGTAAAATGGCATTTCAGATTCTATTCTAAATCATGCAACATAATCTAGATCGATTGCAGGATGTTTTCATTGATCTCATCCAGACCTTGAAAGTCTTAGCAGGCAAAGCTCAAGAGGACATGGCATTGGCATCTATTGATTTTACTATACTTTGTTTGGGTTACCTCTCATAACAAGCGCAAATAACTCCAAAACTCAACTGGAATGAATTTGATGAACCAGAACCTACTGTTAGAAATGCATCCACAGCAGCCTAGCTTGAAAAGATTTGGATCCCCTTACTTGGAGTGTTGTCAGAGTTATCTGGAGATAAGAGAAACAATGTATAGGCCAAGTCAATGGAAGCCTTGTTTGAGTCCTTGCAATAGTTTGGCTATGCTTTCAGTGCAGAATTTTGGAAAATGGTCTTCAGCACTGTACTAAGACCAATATTTGATGAGATTCAATTTACATTTCAATAAAATTATGCAGCTGAGAGCAACAATAATGATTGGTTTAAGAATTCATGTAAAAAGGGATTTTCATTGATCATCAAACTAATGAAACGATACTTTTAGAAATTAAGAGGGTTGTTACCTGAGTTCTTGAAACTATTTGAAAATTGTATTCAAAATTAAAATGTCAAATTAGCTAAATATAGCATTCATTCTGTAAAAAGCATGACACTAAAGATTGGGTTGATGTTTAGTGAAGAAGAATGGGAACAAATTATTTAATTCATCGATAGGATGATTCGATTAACTATGCCCACGAAATTATCTAGCTTTGCCAATCAATCCTTATCTTCAAGTAGAATGAGAAATATGATAGAAGACTGCTTCACCTAATTCACTTCTTAATTATTGATGATCTAAATAAGCATGGAGATCTTACAACATTTCAATCAAAAACTAAATCTGCAATAATTACAAACTATTGAAAACACATTTCTATATTCTTATTAATTTGCTGTCCAATTTAATTCATAGATTGAATAAAGATATCTAATTTGGAAGTAGGGTATCATACAAGATGTGAATTACCTGCCTGGTTTACTCAAATAGGAAAGAGATGCTTACGGTTGCATGATCATCATCCAAAAATACAAATTAAAGAATCATAATATTTTTCATATTGATTCCTTGATTGCACCAATAAATAAATTCATTTAAAAGCACGAGATGATCAAAGCAAGCACAACATTACCAGAAGAGCAAGATCTACAGATGTAAAAATTAAGACAATTGGAAATAGAGAGAGAAGCACAATATTATAAGCAATTGTTGAATACTTATATTTTACCAACGCTTTGTGAATTAGATGATGAACATGTAAGTAAATATACTATTGGCTTTAGTTAAAACAATACAACAAGTCGTTATTCCAAATTTTATTAAAGTCGATGAATTATTCAAATGATTCTATTACCTGTAAAGAATGTGTTCAATGTTAGAAATGCTTGCAATAAGAAAAGAGCAACTTAGATCAATAGCTTCTTTCCTTGGTTTAAAAATTATATCATTTGAAATGAGTACAACTTTAGAATGGCTGATATAATAATGTTATATATATAAACACTCATCTCATCTCCTCCTTTTTCTTTAATTAAGATCCTTTTGTCCTTGTTTTTCAATAATATTTCTCGCACTTAAATTATGTGAATTCATTACATTTATGCAGCCTCATCTTGTCCTTGAAGCATAAGTATTTTATCTTATCTAAATGCTGAATCACTTGGTATCATATTGGAAGGTTCCTTCCATGGGGATATTGGATCATCGATTCTCCAACAGACATCTCCATCAATTTAAAAGTAGGATAGCCATGATCCTGATCCTGTTGAAACAGTGAAACTTTAATTATTATTATTATCATCAGTCTGATTAATAATATTATTAATTACATTAATTAATTTGTTTATTTTAACATCAACCAAATCTGAAATTGGTTTTTATTATGATTATGACCAAAACATCAACTTATTTTTTATCTTAGTTGTGCTATCTTCATACACATAACTAAAACTGATCTGAGCCTCCAAATTATCCTTAACACACTTGATTACAAAACCATCCAATTTGTTGAGTACACGATCTCCCTTCAACAATCCATTGATAATCATGGCAGGCACTGAAATCTCATACAGTTTCCCATCACTAAACTTAATGTACTTGGGCTTCAAGTTTCTGCCAATCAATTGAGAACAAGTTGGATGAATTTCAGCAAGGACCTCCTCACCTCCATAAACCTGCCAACCATCTCCAATTACATGATAGAGAGTGGTGGGAGGATCTGCCTTGATGAATTCACAGTAAAACTCTGTTCCATCCTCCTTTATTCTGTGACAAGTCTCTCCAATCATAGGGTCGATAGGAGCCAATGATCTCAAATAAGTGTGTGTTCCATGGAGATAAGCGATTTCATTGATCACAACCAACTACATTCTCCTTAAAGCATCTCTGCATTTAGCAGCCTCTGTTAAGTAAAGGTTGGTATAGTCAAAATCACTGAGAATATTAACTTAAAACATTACAAAAGAAGACATTCGTTGCATGTTATGGGAGCTGTCAGACAGATTGGTTTAGGAATGGTAGCCAAATTAAAATCGCCCTTGGCTATCTTGCTACCAATTTATTTCATCATGGCACCAGCAACTTAAAAAAGCTTGGTATCGTCTTCTTGATTCATATGTACTCCGCCTTTTGAGAATAATAGAAAAATGTACCTTTTTTATGTGCCATCGGATGTCTAGGATACTATTTGTCCTTTTCGAACTTTTATCTCCAACTAGGATTCATTAAATAAAGTTTGAAAACAACGATGATAAAATAAGTATCGTTTAATTCTATATATATAAAAAGTAAAAAATTATTCCGATACCGGGGATTGAACCCGGGTCCCCAGGGTGAGAACCTGATATCCTAACCACTAGACTATACCGGAACTGTTAATGATTTTGAAGGGATCAACATTTTATATGAAATAAGCTATGATTTGATTAATAAATCATTTTTTGGACTTATGAGTATGATGTTTCTTTGATTAATGATGATTCTTATTTTACTTCTTTTACAATAAGGAATCCCAATCAACATCTTTTTCTTCATAAGGTGTGTAATCGATTACATCTCCTCTGTTTTCTTTTTCTGCATCATTTTCTTCATGATGATCATCAGCATTTTCATGATTATCACCTTCTTCTTCTGATCCCCAGGCATTTGAAACTTCCTTCAAAGGTGTATAATCAATAACTCCATCTCTGCCATCTCCATTTAAATCCTAAAGGATGTATATCATATTTTACTGATTCCCCATTTGCAGATCCATCAGCTGATCCATTATTGTTAGCATTACTTCCACCTTCGCTTGGTTCGGGTGCCTCATCCAAATTACCAGCTTAATAATGTTTAATCAACCAATCGAATAATTCAATTTCTTCTTCCAATCTTAATCTGTCTTCATCATTCCATTCTTAGTCGTATCTCAAATCTTCCTAGGCCACCAATAATGTATATTCTATTTCCTTCAATCTGGATTCACATTTGTCGACTCTTCCGTATAAGGTTGTCAATTGATTTTAGAAATGCTAGGAATATCAAAGACTCTAAGTACTGTAATCAAATCATCTTGGACTTCAATTTATCTATTGAAAATGTCATTCTCCTTTTCGATTCTGACCTTGAACTCTGAGAAGGTGACTCCGATTTGCACTTAGCCATTTTATCCATTAGCAATATCATCCTGGATTTCCCTCTCCATTTGATTGAGCAATTCTATCAATTATTCAATTGTGCCATTCAACTCCAACTCCTCTTGCTTTGTCTACAACATATTCATCTTTCTGTATTCCTTATAAGCAGTGACAATGTGGGATATCTCAGAGATGGTGTTCTCCTTGACTTCTGCAAATGAAGTGGACAATTGAGCCTACAATGTGGCTCTCAAGTAAGCAATCAATCTCAATAGCACTCTTCCATTCTTCACTTTATTCAAAGAATTATTATTCTTCTCGCATACATTTGTTGACAAAACTCCAATACGATTATTATTGCTTTCTTATCTTGCCTTCATCCAATTCTTATACTCATTAGCCAAATCAATTTCAGTTTGCTTGGCCTCAACCTAATCAAATTTATCATATGCTCATTACGTCTTGCTGTCTGTTGTAGCACTCTCCCTTCTGTTCTGAAATTGCTTATTAAATCACTGCAATTTAATCTAATTTGGCTTACTTGATTGGTTAGAATCTAGCATTCAAAAGTTGCAATTAATCCACTGCCTCCTGTCTCAATTCAGTCAGTAATTAGATAACAACCTCATTATCTTAGGCCATTGTTCCCATCATCAAAATCGCTAATAGCAATATGCCGACTCTCATTATTTTTATTATAATAAAAACGGATTATAACTAACATTAATTATAATCAAAACTCAATGGTTTAATACTCCTCCCCTTTCTGAAATTCAAATGCCCATGGATTATTCAACAGGAAGTCCTACGTCGCTTACTTCACATTAACATTCGGGTAGAACCTTTTACTAATAGGCTGTCTCGTCGTCGGATCACTAGGTCCATTCTTATTGATAGCCTCTATGAGCATGTCACGCTCATAAGTTTGACCAGCATCGTTTACAACTGGATTTTCCATCAATTCCTATAAACATGATACCTCATCTAATTACCAAAGTTATCTTGCAGATCAAATAACTGGGAATATCATACTCCTATTTCTAATCTGGATTCCCTATCGAATTAATGAATCCCTCCAACTCCTTCTACTTCTGCTCAGTATTCAGATCTTATCTTTAATTTAAATAAGTCTTATAGTTCTCAATGGCCACCCTTTTATTTTTATTGTTTATTTCTTAATTTTTGTACCAAAGTAGTTTTTTGGCTCTATAAATGTACTTACTCAGTTCATCTTCATAATACTCCTTCTTTTATCCAGCACACAGAGTTCTAGCCTTAGTCAACCTTATGATTGCAGCCTCAATGTCCTAAGTGTTATCAGAACTCTTTCCTCGCTCAGCCAATACCTATCCACATAGCAAATGTGCCTTGATATTCTTGTCATCCAATTCAATTGCAGTGATAGCGTCTCTGTAGGCCTTGAATATTGTTATTATATTGATTTTACAGGATCTAAATTGCCAGCTTATTTTAAGGCCAATCCTCTACAACGAAAGAATGCGCTTTCAGTTCCCTCTGTAAGTTCAATTGCCTTGGAGTAATGAGTTATGGCATTGAAAAAATCCCCTTTTTCATATTATTCATCCCCCAAGATAGCCCAATATTATCCTTGGTTTTCCGTGAAATCTTTCAGAGGTTTTCTCACACTCTGCATCAACTTCAAACTTGGGGGCTTCTAATTGTCCAAATGAAATTACTTTAGGAGCTTGATCTCTAAATTGTCTATTAGTGTATGGCGGTCTGGGAACTCTTACTCTAACTCCTGGTCCTGGAATGAAGTGATCATCAAATAGGAACAAAGGGAAATCGTTTCGAAACAAGTTGCCTACAAAAGGAAACATTTAATATAGATAATTTTGATTTTCTATAAAAGATCATACTTCTCAATATTTATACCATTTTCTTAGAATTAATTGATAACTCATAAGCGATTCCCCGTGTAAATGATGGATATTTTACGTACAAATACATTTCATCTTTTAAATACTTTAATTTTCATTAAAGTGGATTCTAATGAAATAACTCAGTTTATTAAATCTCGTCAACATCTAGCCCAAATAAACTACTTTGTACTCGACCAAAGATTCAACCAAAAAAATACGGAGCTTTGATATCATTGGCAGAAGTCCCTATAAAATCAACCCTGCTCGATAAACTCAAAAACAATTGATTAAAGAATGCCCACCAATAACTAGTAGAGCCACACAAAGATAACATATCAAATCTCCTCCTGATTTTACAAAATCCAACAAACCAATCAGTATTAGCAATCATCGTATGTTTATTTTTATTGTATACAAGTTGATCTTCATTAAAATGAAACGTAAACAAAAGGATAATAAAAATCATATCATCTCCAACTAAAATCAATCCTCATTAAAGAATAAGATCAATTGCATATGTTCGATTAAGCCAAACGTAAACACAATTTCATATCGCATAGGAATCAACACTCAAATTACAAGTAACCTGATACCTTAGATCACAAAGTTACATCTCAGAACCCACCCAGAACAAATCGACCAAGAGGTAACCCAAAAATTACCATCGACACTTCACAATACTAATTTAAGCAAATCTGAAAAATTACTTCAGCAAAACCAATAAAAGTTTTTGGATCTCCAAAACAAAATCACATCCAATATTAAACAACGAAATTAGACCAAAACTTACTCCTTGACAACCCATCAACCTCAACCTACTGTCAAGTAATTACCTGACCAATTTCAACTACCCTAAACCGCATAATATGTCTTACAACACTATTCAGATAGGCTCAGTGAATTCGAGAGGAAAGAGATTATTGACTATGAAACTATTTATTACCTCGCTCCTAAAAATATTGCAACAGGCCAGAGAGATCCCTTGGGGAATCTATTTAATTATGGATACGATAATTAACAGTATTTTTATCATGCTTATTCCCTTAGTGGAGACTATAGATTCATCAAACAGGATTAGATAGCTTTTAGGTATGAAATGCTAGACAAATTAGGGAATGGCAGTTTCGGTTATGTTTTTAAAGTCTTTGATCATAAACATCGTAAGGAGATGGCTATCAAAATTATAAAGAACAGAGAGAAGTTTTATTAATAAGCCCTAATCGAAATAGACTTGCTGAAGATTATCAATAAAGCAGATAATTCTTATTGTCTGATTAAATTGATGAATTTTTTTGAATTTAGAAATCACATTGTAAGACATTCAAATTAAACTAGAAAGTGTATGGTTTTCGAATTACTTTGTTGTAATCTCTACGAGTTTGTGGCTTTGAATAATTTTGTAGGCTTAGAACCTAATTTGATCCGAAGATTCGCTATCTAAATCCTATAGGCTCTCCTCTATTTGAAGGCTTGCAATATCATCCATTGCGATCTAAAACCGGAAAACATTCTCCTCAAAGAATTCACTAAGTCAGGTCTTAAGGTCATAGACTTTGGCTCAAGTTGCTTTGCTAACAATAAAATGTACACCTACATATAAGTATACTTATATTGTATTAAATCAAGAGCAGATTTTATAGAGCTCCAGAGATAATATTTGGAATTAATTACACATTTCAAATAGATATGTGGAGTTTTGGATGCATAATTGCTGAACTCTTTTTAGGAGATTCTCTCTTTCAATCTAAAACTGAAAAGGAATTGCTCTATGCTTAAACCAAGGTTCTTGGTATGCCTCCAAAAGAAGTGATTGATTAAAGTCCAAGAAGATCAAAATTTTTTGATGACAAATATCAACTCAACTACAAAATAAAAGAAAATGAGTAAACTCAGTAATTGAAGCCTCTCCCTCAATTACTTGACAAAGCAGATGCCGATTTCTATGATGTATTTAATAGATATCACACAATTAGTTCATTAGCAAGTGTCTAGAATGGAATCAATTTTAGAGATTGACACCAGAACAAGCTTTAGAGCATCCTTGGATTGTTAATACTCTGCCCTAAGCCATTCGGAATGAACTTCTCCAAAAAAGAACATATGTATCTTCAATCACTGCCAATAACAAGAATACCGACAAGTAAGAACTTAAATGATTGCGTATTATATATCTAATTTAAGATTACCCTAGAATGTTGTTAGACCTCATATTTTAAACAATATTCTTATCTTTTAAATTCTTTTTTTATATTTATTAACGATAACTGAGTAAGCTTTTTATTATTATTAATTTATCGGAAGAATAAGTTTCTAAGTTTGTTTATATAATTATGAGTGATTTATTTATGCCTAATAGAAGCGAGATATCTTAATACCATTAGAGCGGGGTGGGGAATCTGTGTGACAAGTACACCTTTTTATTATTCATAAGTCTATACTCTAGTTTTGGACCATATGGAGGAGGAAGTCTTATTCACAATTCCGGGTTTCTAGTTTAACCAGATTAATATTGTTCTTCCGTTGGTTTAGAGGAAAGTGCCACTCCTATTTAAATTTATGAATTCCATGAACCTGAGATTTAGAAGCCAATCTTATTTAGGAGCACCGGAGAGTTAGAAATGCAGTCTGAAGAATTTGGAATTGACAGACTGAATTTTTAAGTGAAAACACTTGAAGATTTCAAAGAATACAAAAATCCATTGCAAGACAGTGGCATTATGGCAAGTGAACCATCTTTTTAGGAATTCAATATATATACAAGTAATTTTATTAGTTAGCCTATCTACTTTAGAATCTGAATAATAAATCAATTCTCAATTCAAGCCAGATATAACGCACATTGCCAATCAAAACATTATCTCGGAGAACAAAGGTCTTTTTAATGTCAATTAAGCAAAAAGTATTTACAAAAAGAAAATCACACAGTTGGCAGAACAAACATAGAAAAAAATTGATTTAGCCATTAATACTTCAACAAGACTAACGTAAATTTCAGATTTTCTATTCAATTAGGAAGAACCAAATTAAATTGTCAAGAAAATCATCAATTATTCCTAACGATCAAATTGATATGTAATCATGTTAAATGAGTGCCGATGGAAATATGGATTCAGTCCAACAGAAATTAGCAAAGAATAGAGAATCCGCTAGAAATTCAAGAGCCAGAAAGAAACTATATTATGAACTCTTGGAAACTAAAGTCTAAGAATTGCAAGAGGAAATTTAAAGATTAAAGGAATTTAATTAGGCAAAACTGTGCAATAAAATAGAGGAGAACGTATATTTATATTTAAAATTTAGTTTTAAACTTTTTTAGATTAATAATAATAATTATTTGATAAATTAGAAACTTGCTTACTTAAGAATAAAGATAATTTTGAAATAGAAATTATCTTAGATGCCCTAAGATATAGAACCAATTCAAATACTCAAGAACGTAAGGATGCTGCTAGATAATACTGTGAATCTATGATTGAAGCATACCTACCAATCTAAACTAAATATTTGATATACTCCTTAGAAAATAATAAAGATTTCTTTGCATTATAACCGGAGTAATTCTTACCATTATCAATAGGGATTATACAGATTGGATGAAAGAGACCTTCAAAAAATTGCAAATTTAGCCTGATTAAATTAAAAAAGTTAGAAGAATAAAATCAAAATTATAGAGTGTCACAAATAATATTTCTGAGTATAATTATACATTTAAATTTAGTTCGATATAAAAAATTCAGGATCAATTAAATGTAATTCAAAGTGAAGCCACTTAGGTTGACTTAATGTGGGAATAGCTTAAAGAACATTTAACTCCTGTTCAACTAGGAAAATGCATATTAACAATAAAATAGGTAATTGATTTTATTTTAGTCTTAGAATTCTATTCGTTAAGAACTCCAAACCTCTTCCTTGTTTCTTTAATTAAAGAATCATTAATTGGTATCTTATATCAATATATCTTTAGAGAGAAGAGGAGAAAATAATTCAAAAGTAGGATCAATCTCCAATTCCGAATAATAGGAAACGCATTAAACAAACTATTCAATGATAACTATGCTGCATTTATTTTTATGTTTATGATATTCCTTATTTATAAGCAGTATTTTTATATCCCTTATTCCTTTGTACATTCTGATTGTTTTACAGAATTCTTTTATTTTAACTTATCAAATATTATATTGCTTAATAAGCTGAAAAAAAAAGAGTATTCAAGAAAAAGTATAAACATAAATGGTTTATTATCAAACCACAGTATAGCATTAGTTATCTCTCAATAAGTGGAGTTTCCCTTGGTTTTAAGTATAGAATGAATAGGTATCTAAGTTTATCTTATTTAAGAGGTTGACATCTCTCTATAAGTTCCATTCTAGTAGTGGTAAATATGATTTACTCTACTGAATCTCAAACGTTTTCTAGGCCTCATGCATGATTTAGGTCTCACATTATTGTACGGATTCTTCAATTTTTCTTCTTAATCAGAATCAGGAATTACTCCATCTTAATCTCCTTAGGTCTTAAGTAATTTTACACATTTAAATTCCATCATTGAAGCTTATGTGCTCATTAAGTCAACACTGATTGTATTTTGTTTTCTATAAATTAATTATAGAAATTTGTAGAATCCTAAATACGCTTTAATCTTAAATCGAAATTTACTGTAAATCATGATTTCATTAAATAGTGTTTATGTTGTTCAAAATATGATCTAACTTTCCCCTTTTTATTAATAATATTCTGAATATAACCTTTTCAAATTTACATTTAAATGTCATCAGTGTAAAAATTAAATTATATGATTTTTTTAAATGAAGTAGTGAATTCAATAATGATTATTCATTCATTTAAATTTATCAAAATTTTCTAAATTCCTATCAATAGTCTAATAATACAGAAAAAGATAAATACATATTTATTCATTACTTGAAAATTAATTAATTTTATATTTTTGTATTTCCAATTTCTAATTGAGAAAGTTTTTATGTTTTATTTATTAATATAACTCACAATCTAAACTAATTTAATCTTTCAATCCTGAAGAGTAAGAAAAAATTGAAAAGTATTGAATTCAATATTTAATTNTACATTTAAATTTAGTTCGATATAAAAAATTCAGGATCAATTAAATGTAATTCAAAGTGAAGCCACTTAGGTTGACTTAATGTGGGAATAGCTTAAAGAACATTTAACTCCTGTTCAACTAGGAAAATGCATATTAACAATAAAATAGGTAATTGATTTTATTTTAGTCTTAGAATTCTATTCGTTAAGAACTCCAAACCTCTTCCTTGTTTCTTTAATTAAAGAATCATTAATTGGTATCTTATATCAATATATCTTTAGAGAGAAGAGGAGAAAATAATTCAAAAGTAGGATCAATCTCCAATTCCGAATAATAGGAAACGCATTAAACAAACTATTCAATGATAACTATGCTGCATTTATTTTTATGTTTATGATATTCCTTATTTATAAGCAGTATTTTTATATCCCTTATTCCTTTGTACATTCTGATTGTTTTACAGAATTCTTTTATTTTAACTTATCAAATATTATATTGCTTAATAAGCTGAAAAAAAAAGAGTATTCAAGAAAAAGTATAAACATAAATGGTTTATTATCAAACCACAGTATAGCATTAGTTATCTCTCAATAAGTGGAGTTTCCCTTGGTTTTAAGTATAGAATGAATAGGTATCTAAGTTTATCTTATTTAAGAGGTTGACATCTCTCTATAAGTTCCATTCTAGTAGTGGTAAATATGATTTACTCTACTGAATCTCAAACGTTTTCTAGGCCTCATGCATGATTTAGGTCTCACATTATTGTACGGATTCTTCAATTTTTCTTCTTAATCAGAATCAGGAATTACTCCATCTTAATCTCCTTAGGTCTTAAGTAATTTTACACATTTAAATTCCATCATTGAAGCTTATGTGCTCATTAAGTCAACACTGATTGTATTTTGTTTTCTATAAATTAATTATAGAAATTTGTAGAATCCTAAATACGCTTTAATCTTAAATCGAAATTTACTGTAAATCATGATTTCATTAAATAGTGTTTATGTTGTTCAAAATATGATCTAACTTTCCCCTTTTTATTAATAATATTCTGAATATAACCTTTTCAAATTTACATTTAAATGTCATCAGTGTAAAAATTAAATTATATGATTTTTTTAAATGAAGTAGTGAATTCAATAATGATTATTCATTCATTTAAATTTATCAAAATTTTCTAAATTCCTATCAATAGTCTAATAATACAGAAAAAGATAAATACATATTTATTCATTACTTGAAAATTAATTAATTTTATATTTTTGTATTTCCAATTTCTAATTGAGAAAGTTTTTATGTTTTATTTATTAATATAACTCACAATCTAAACTAATTTAATCTTTCAATCCTGAAGAGTAAGAAAAAATTGAAAAGTATTGAATTCAATATTTAATTATACTCTACCTAAATTACTGCTTGTTAAAGATTAATATTTATAGTCTTTTTGTTGTAAATTACCTGATCATATTAATAATTAATAATTAGAGCTAGAATTGTATTTTTAATTGCTAACTCTTATGAAGTGCATGGTTGTTATTAAATCACAATCTAACAAATTAGATCTGCTTGTAGTGATCCCAGAATAAAGAAGAAAGAGTATATAGTTAATTTGTAAATGTAATTTATTAATAATAATAGTTTAAGTTTTGGAAATTCAGAATTAATAAAGAAATGTAAAAACAAGATTATAATGCTTGATTGGAAATAAATACTGGCTTATCTAAGCATTTGATGGAATTGGTTTCCATTTATATTTAATCTGATCCAAAGAATATAAATATTGATGGAATAATTGGAAGTTCCTTAAAATTTTATGTTAATTATAGTAGTGTATATATTGAAAGTATAATTGATTATTTATATGATAAAAAAATCCTTGTTCCTGAAGCTACAAAATATTTTTTATTTTAGAGATAAATGTTTTTTGTGAATGGCATGAATTTCATATTGATCATTTATGCATATATTATTTGTTAAAATTTTCAAAAATATCAGCGTAAATGACAAGATTCATTCTATCATTTCTCTTAAATTCAAAGGGTTGTTATTTCGGTATTTGATAGAAGTAAATATATTTATTTTCGAAGGTATCCATTTTATATCGGAATGATAAGACGTTAGATTTGATGTGCAAGAGCACAAAAATGTCGTAATTTTTAATATAAGGTTTTTCATTAATTATACCGTCATTAAAATTAATTATTTTGCATTGCAAACTGTAAATCAGAAATTATTTAAACTCAAATGCGTATTAAACAGTGATTTTACATCATAATCAAATGAGTACTTAAGTTGGTCTCTTCCTTGATCACTAATCATTAATTTAAATTTCATGTCAGAATAATAGAAATACATAGGAAATATCTTATCGAGAACCAAGTCCTTAATCACCACAAATTACTAAAAACTTCCATTAAAGTAAACTTTAACCCTAAAATTAATAGAGCACCTAAATTCGTAGAGAACATAGTTATCTATGCAGATAAAGTGACTGAACCCTTTGTTTAAAAAGTGACAGACACTGTAGATGATAACATAAATAGAAGTTTCCAGATAGTTCAATCATATGAAAAAACATTCAACATCTCAGAACAAGGATAGAAACTCAAGTAAAAGGGAAAAGAACTTACTGATCAATTAAGAGAGAACTCAAAGAAGGCAATCGATTCAGGAGTTGATTTGGCCAAAAACAATGGCGCGACTTAATTTGTGTTACACACTTGTGACAATGTGGCTAATAAATTCTTAACTTCAATTGAAGGCAATATTGCCAGATTGTAGAAGGCTATTTTGAAAGAAGCTAAGGCCACAAACTCAGAGTAAACTTATAATCAAAGAACAGTTCAACTAGCTCATAATCTTACAGAAATAACTCAAGGACTCTTTACTTTACTGAAGAATGAGATTCACACATTTGGAGGATAAAAGGCTCAACAATTTAAGGTCTTTGTTACACTCAATTTTAAATAACATTTGAATGCCACTCTATTCACTTATAAAGTCGTAGTCGTCTCACCAATCTCAAGTCTTTATACAACTTCATTGGAGGAACTTAAGTCTAGACTAAATGTTTTGAGAGAGAAATACAACAACAAGGAATTAATCAAACACTTATAAGAATAATTAATAGCATTGAAAACTTTTATTGAAGCTCAAAAGTTTGAAGAATTTAAAGCACTCCTCTTCACAGCATTGAAGCAGTTGAACATCCTTACAATTCTTAAGTCCTAATACTAAAAAACAATTCAAACATATTAAAGTAGTTTAGTTGAATAAAGAAAAGAAGTAGAAGAGGAGAAGCAACCAGAGGAAGAAACTCAGGAAACTTAAACTAAAGAATGAAATTAGATTGAGTATTAATGTTATTAACGGTGTTTTATATTTTTGTAAATAAAATAAAACCTATGAATGAAATCTGTTTGCCATAAAACCATCATATAATTCAAATACTATATCAGTATCTTCAAAAGCACGGAATGAACTTTGACAATCCATCAACGACTAAACTGTTTGAGTTATTTATCTAAACTCATGAAATTACATACTAAAGAAAAGAAATTTAAATAGCTTAACTCAATTCAAAAATATTCTCAATCACTTAAGAACTTAATACACTTCAAAACAATATTGACGGATAATATTCAGTAATAAAGAATATCAAAAATAGAAGAGAAAAACTGCATATTGGCCTTGATTTACAAGAATCTCATTTGCATCAGATTGAAAAATCGATTAATTCAATTCACAATGATTCTTCAATCACATAGAAAATAAGTGACCTTACTGAAGGTATAAAGATTTGCAGAGAGAGATATCTATCAATAAAAGAAGAGAACGAACAATTCAACAAAATTTAGACTACTCTAACATAATAAAAGCAATAATTAAAAAATTGTTATAAATTTGTAAATTTAATATTAACTAAAAAAGGCTTAAGATAAAATTAAAAATAATCTCGTATATTTTGATGATCTGAAGGAGTAAAGTGTCAGTCTCAATAATAGATTAAATAAATAATTGAAAACAGTGACAGAACTATTTTAGTTAAATCACAAGAGAACAATAAATTAGAAACATACTAATTATGGAAACAATCCTATCCATAATGAAGATACAAGTATGATATTAATAAATTTAATTGAGTTCCTAATCAACTTACAAATGCAAATTTTAAATAAATCTGGATAAAGTACATCCTCTGAAAATGATATCTTGGACCTTATCTAAACTATACTAAACCTAAAGTCATAATTAAATCAAATCAATTTTCAAGATAGTTCTGAGGAGCAATCAAAATTACCTTAGTAAACAGAATCAATATAAATTCCTCAAAGATAAAGATTTAAGACTCATCATAATCTTGGTAATATTAGATTAAGAAAACATTCCTAATAGGATCAAGATTCCAAGGTTGCCTCTGAATATGATGAAGTAATGGAGAATCAATCAAGTGAAAATGACTGCCTATAGGAACTAATATAAATATCACCCAAAAAGCCTTGGCAATTTAAATCGGTCATTATAGATAGCAGTAAAAACTCAGAAAAGAAAATGGAATATTTGAGCGAATAATAGATTAAATCTTAAAACCTAAAATCATTAGCTTCGATATCTTCGGATGCCAGTTTTTAAGATTTACGAGTCATAACTTTATAAGAGGAATTATAAACTGTCTATTCATATGAATAAACACAAGAAGAATACAAATAAGCCACAAGTAGTTATTATGATACTCAAGAGAGAACTCAAATTAATTCGAAAATTCAATCTAATTTATATGACTCTAACAAAACCAAAGGCATTTAAGATTAGAAAAATAGAGGGAGCTTTGAGATTATTGGCATTATTGTGATGACAATAGGCATTGCTGGATGGATGTATTAAAGGTCAAAATGATTGGTGTTATTTACTTGTAAACAAATTATTATTTAATTTCTAAATGGACTATTGATTAATATATTTGAATAAGAATCTGATAATGATTGGTAGATATGAATATTATTTTCTATAATTAGTTAAGGTCATTAAAATTGAAAGATAAAGTTGTAAATAATTGACTGAAAATTATCAGTAAAATAAATAAATATTCACTGTTCTAGTTCAACTCAATGGATGAATTAATATTATTGTGGTTATTGATATCTTAGAGTAAGAGTAGCCTGTTTTCAAAAAGCCTTGTTTTGTTTTTATTAAATTTTATAGGTTTACTAAACCTAGTATAAATATCTGTTAATTATAAATGAACTCATCATCAAGCAGTCAGCTGCTTCAGAAACTCCAAATTCTATATTCAGGCAACAAAAAAACAAGTGAACACTCTGTCTCTCCACTTTAACCCCGACCTTTTGCGAGCAGAGAAATTAACCAATTGCTTGAGAAATCATCCCCTACTCCTTACTTGCAAGTTAAAAAGCACGATGTTGAACAATGGACAGAACGATTGATGAAGCCTACCGAAAAGGCATCATGCTCTTCATTTACTCAAAACGAGAATGTGTTTGACATCCATCTCCAGAAATATTCCTCAATTTCCAGCATTTCCTAATAAACTTTCCCCGTCTTATTATAAATTGAAAAGAAGGTGAAACTATTGAAATATGCTAAAGAGAATGATCATAATACATGTGCGGCTATAATTGCTAAAATGAAGCTTTTCTGTTTAGATAATGCACAAACGTGTTATGACTTTTATAGAAGCACGGATCTCATATTACTAAAGTATATGATCTTTCTCTTAATACAAGAACTAAATTAAAGACCTGCTGCGGAGAAATAAGAAATTAGTAATGATTAAACATCTTAATTCTAATCAATGTTCAAAGATATCGTTAGTATAGTGTATGAAATCATAGAAGAAGTGAAATAAAAGTCATTCGCAGGTTCACAAATAGACAAGTTGAATAAACATCTGGCTCAAATTCAGAATAAGTTTAAGCCTGATCCGAATAGTACACAAAAGTCAATTAATAAATCCCATCATCAACGATTTAGTAGCTGCAACTTTGAGAATTGCAAAACCCCTATTTCGCATAATAAGAGCAATAAGGAATCCAATATTAGCAGTGATAAGTACAAATCTAGTCATCAGAAATAACAAATTAATATATCTGGTTCTTAAAAAATCATTAGGTTCTAAATAGATGAATTAGAGTAGAAAAAGTAACTAGTAAACAAACTAAATGAATAAATTGCATCTTTATAGAATACAAGCAAATAATAGCTAGTGTAGATCTAAGATTCAAATTGCTAAATTGCATCATTAAAGCAGGAACTAGAATTAAAATAACAAGAAGTAAATATATGTGGGTTTATTATTTAGTTTGAAAAATTATTATAATCTACAGAAGCTCTCAAATCAAAAGAACTAGACCATCAAGAAGAGAAAGAAAAATATCATACACTATTTCAAGAATATGAAAATGAAAATATTGAATTGAAATCGAATTTGTAACAACTAGAGGTATGACATAATATAAATTATATAAGAATGCTTTAGAGGTGAGTTAGAACTAATTTGAGAATTACAAATAGGAGACATTCGCTTATTACTAAGCATAATTCATTTAGATTCAACAAGCTAAAGAGAAAGAAATTAATCATTTGAGAAACGATCTAAAAGAAAACTAAGTGAATAGTGTAAATAGAATTATTTATATTAGAATCATTTGTTAGGGGATGCTCTTTATTTTGGCAAATAATACAAAAATCTTGTGGATAGAATAGTAAATTTAAAATCTGAATCTGTGGCTAATGACTTGATTTAATTATAAAAGGAGTTGTTCTATTCAGAGAATACTCTTAATGCCAAATTGAATGCAATTGCTAATTTTTCGGAGAATTTTTTATATAATAATGGATAAGAATCAATGTCCCAAAGTTAATCTACTAATTAGACAGGAAGTTTATATGGTATACCGAAATCCAACATGCAGTAATATAATGTTAGCAAAAAAAATTGTTCTTAGGATTATTTAATAACATAAAAAAATCAATTCGAAATAATGGAGATGCTATTGATATAGAGCTAGGTTTTAGAGAAATTTTTAATCTGATTACTACAATATATGTCACAACAACTTTATTTCAATTATATTATACTTGAGTGTAAAATTTATCTAAAAAATCCAATTTGATATACTAAGGAGAAGGAAAATAAAATAATATATTCAAAGTTATTTAATATAATTGATAAATATATTAAATATTATTTATTTACCCACTTTTATGTCTTCAAGCATCAATCATTACAAGTAAATTCTGAATTGAATGATAGGTACACTTGTGCATCTAATTAAAACACAATAATAGATCAAGAAACTGTTGATGTATCTGATGTTGAAAATTATCATGCATTAGAAATCAAGAGTTTGGATTATCTGTTTGTATGCAAAAAATCTTCTAAGTGTCTTTACTTAGTATCATGTATCGATAGCTATGAAAAATATTATCTGAATTCAGATAAAGATATTTCGGATTTCGTTCTTGCTTATTTTGCACATTCATATTATCTAATAATTATTCAAAATAATGAGATAATTTAATTTTTCAAAATTGATTGCCAATATCAATTTTCTTTGGCAACTGAACTCAAAATTGAAGGATTACAATTACCTAAATTATATTGCTCACAATACATAGGTGCAATATTAATTGATAATACATAAATATATCTAATTCAATTAGACAATAAAATAATCAAATCATAACTGAAATAAACAGCTAAATAAGTGATTGCTACAAAATGCTTAAAATACATATTTATACTTACTTAAGATTCCAAATTGTAAGTCCTCAATTCAAAAACATTATAAATCATCAATGAACATAATCTTAAATATACAGAATCAGAACCCTTGAAATTTTAATTGTTTGAGCACAACAATCAAATTGCACTCTTCACAATCACATTAGAAAAAAGGATTATATTTTGGACTTTCGAAAAGGAAGACTTACATACTTCAAGTCTTTTGCCAAATGAATCTGTCAAATTTAAATTTAGTTCAAGGTACTTTATATTAAATCTATTTAAAGCAGATAAGAAGTAGAATTAATTGATTTTCAAATTGATTCTACCCAAAACTTCCTTTTCATTCTATATCAGACATAAGAAATGGCAGTACAGATTTATGTGGCTCAATTGAATCAATCTCAAGTAATTAAGTTAATTATCATTCGACTTAGATATAGAAGAAAGAATAGAGCAAAATTAAACATATCAAAAAGTTTGTTAAGGAAAGATCAACATCCTCATTCTTTATATAATTCATAATACCACCTGAATAAACCACTAAGTTCTTACATGGAGGAAATAAATGCTAATCAGAAAAAGAATATTTAGAATTTTAATAAGGATTTAAGGATTTCTAAAATCAAGTCTTAGAATTCACAGATCATGAATTGCCCTATATTTTTGGATTATAATCTGAAAAGAGGGACAAAATTGAATTGTGTTGGTTTTATAGTGATCTTGTGCTTGGTGCAGTATTACCCGAGAATTTACTTTAGTTATATGACTAAAATACTTCAAAAAAGCAAGGCTCGAGTATTATTCAATAATCTCAATTAATTCCACCTCCCTATATTAAAGAAGAAGATACACAGTAATTATAAAAGTAATAATAATGGGAAAATAATAACAAATAGAATGATGCTAGTGAAATTGACCCATTGATTAAGGCAAATTAAATTATTGAAAATGAACTCATTCCAAAAGTTTAATAGTGTTAACAATAACAGTAATTCTAAATGATAAGCAATGATGTGAAGAAGGATCTAATTGAAGACATTACATTCATTTTTGATATCAAGGATTTGATCGAAAGCCAAGTAAAGAAGGAAATAGATAAGCAAGGGTAAAATGATTAATAAGCATTACTAAAATTAGAATAACAATTTAAATAAGATTTATGCTAATTAGAGACTAGAATGGAAGAAATAGTTACCCAAAATCTGGAACTATATCAATAGACATGTGAAAATTTTTTGATGGATAATTTTAATTAGGCATATTTCGAGTAATTGATAGATGAAAGAATAGGCAGTCATCTTAAATTGTTGGCTAATCAATAAATATCACAACCTGAAGTAAATATTACATTTACTTTATAAGTGTACACAATTGGTCTAAAATTCAACTAATGATTATCTAAAGGAACAAATTGGACAACTTTACTAAGTAGAATTAGCAAAGATGTCCCAAGGAGTAGTGTTGATATTTGAAAAGGTAATTCAATACTTCAATGATATGTAATACATAGACCAAACTAAATTGGTAAATTTTAATGCGTTCATTGACAGTTCTACTCAATAACTTCAAACTTTGAGTAAAAACATTGCCTAACTGGCTGAAAATAATAGGCCAGGACAAGATGCTCTGTAGAAATTAGATTAACTGATCTAATAAACTGAGTTTATGGCAAAATAATATGAGGATGCAAAGAAAGGTCTCAAGCTAGCAGAATTTTAGTAATAGCACCCTTAATAATAATAAAATGTTTAATCAGAAGATAGATTGTAGAAGATTGAGGAACATATTGTGAAATTAAGAAATGATTTATAAGTGTTAACTTAAAATTAATAAGTGTAAATACAGCCTGTAACAGGAATGGATTAATTCATTAAAGGGATGGCTGCTTAATTAACGTAATTGTAGATCAAATTGACAACTCCTTAAATGAACATTTAATCAATCTAAGAAATCTTGAACTAATTGATATTACAATTTCAATATTTTATACTTAAATTTGGATCATGATTGATTATTGTTTGTGTGGTTTATATATATATATATATCAATTTAAAATTAATAGATTAAAAATTAAACTACATTCAAGAAAAACATATAATTTTCATTAAGTTTTCCAATTTGGATTACGCTAATAGTTATTGATATATTAATTATTATTTAAAGCAAATGATTAATCATCAAGATTCATCTTCGTTTGAGCATAATCGTTTGCATTAAGAGATGAAGTAAACAGCTCAATTCTTCAATCCATAATTGAGTTCGTTAGGCCAAACTATAAAATATTAATAAAAGCAATTATAAAGAGTCCCATTCAAAAACACAAAAGATCAAGCTTTCAAAATTAATTCTGAGGGAAAAAAGAATGTGTTAAGTTAATAAGTTAATCAGAAGCGACCCTCATAACCATCTTAACAAGAGAGTATAGCTAGATCGGAGAAGTAATTTGTATAGAATCAATACATAACCCCTGTTATGCATAAATATGGGTATGAAGTGCTACCTAACTAGCTCTCCGCCCAAATTGATGAAAGTTCCATCAGTAAAACCTTTCTCTCCACCTCAACCCAAAACTAATTCAGAGTAAGTAATCATTGCTCAAAACAATTCTGTTGCCTCAGGCATCCAAAGAAGTGCAAATGGCAGATTTTTTTAGACTCCCAAGACTACTGAAAAGGAATTCAATATCAGTATGGCAGACCTACAGCCTATTCCGAAATACAATTCTACAAAAGCAGCTGAAGAATATGTTAAACCCGAATATCCTTCCTATCAAAAGGCTCTACTGGACAGTAGATAATCTCATTTCAACAGTGAACAGATGCAGAAGTCTAATTCGACAGCCTTCCTGCCACGAATCAAACCTCCAATTTAAAAAATTAACATTAACCAATTCATAGGCTATGGATCAATTGGATAATAATCACAGTAAGAAACTGCCTTGAGAACTAACTCTTCAAAGTAAACGATCACTCCTGTTAATGAATTTATTAATTTCAATTTACCTGAGGAAGACATTTCGAGGAAATCAAGAACTGCTTAACACCTTCGGGATAATTAGGAACAACAATTGTAATTCAAATTTGGTTAGAAATTGAAGAATATAGATTAGCCTGATCAAAATCATTAATTACCTTCACTACAATCACCTTAATCAAACTCTAAATAATAATTTACATTTCAATCAACGGGAGGTTCAGGAAAACCAAAAAATTTCTTAGAAAGAACACCTTAAAAAAAGATAATTAGTAGGTTGTTTTAATGAAATCAGATAATAACTAAGTAATTTGATAATTTTCATATGAATTTTAAAATAATGATATTTACTATCACCAGTTTATATTAATTATATTATAATTACATGATAATTGAGTTGGAGGATAAATTGACAGCTTCAATTCACCTATCGAATTTGCAGGATCAAATTAATGCAGTTCCACAGAGCGATTTCTAGCGGAAACTATTCTTTACGATCTGTAAATTAATGATTGAAATACAATAGGTTTTGGACATATCATTCATATATTCGACAGTTGCATCGCTATGTTTGTATATGATAATCCATTAATACTTTTAACATATTTTGCATGTTATTCAGTTGGCTAGTTAGTAGCCTTGAATAAATATGTGCAGCGATGTTAATTTTATTGTTTGATATTTTAAATCATCTTGATTTGCGTATTATTTATGGAGACGCAACAAGATATTATCGTTTTAATTGCCTTCATTATTAAATCCCTCATAAATGGATACATGAATCAGGGACTTTAGATGATAAGATTTCAACTGATAAAGATATCTGTGAATGTTGGATACTTGATAACTATAGTTTTCAGTCTCATTGGTTTGGTGTGCAAGAGATTTGAGTATTCTCTTTTTCGCTTTATATGCGTTGCCGAGTTTTGTTTAATAGTGATATTCTTGAAACAATTTTCTCATGTCCCTCCTCTGATGGAGGAATGCCTTGATAATGAATTTGACATTTACATCAAATATATTGAAAAGTGTGCTGAGAGTAACTCAGTTTTAAATTACGAAGAATAGTATGATAATATTGATTAAATAATAAATTAGTAAGAACTCTAATGAATAGATTTCAATTATTCAAACCTTCTAGGTAAAAGTACATAGACCTACCATGAGAAAATTATTCACCAAATTGTCTAAAATTAATGAATAAATTTATAAGTACTTTATTTGTTCAACTCTCCAAGGGTTTCTATTTTATAGGTATTTGTCTAATTTTAATTTGAGTAATCTGACATACATGAAATATTTCAACTCTGATAACAGCAATAAATATATTGATATTATGCTACTGTCCTTTTTTGGGGCTCTTAGTAAACCATTTTATCAATTTATGACTGGATTGTATACCTAGAAATAAGTGTATCAAATTTCATGTAAATTTACTGTTATTTTAGAATCAATTTGCATACTTAGTTAATTGTTGAAGTTGAGTTACATCTATTTGTAGTCGGATGTGATGCTATTGATAGCTAGTTTGTTGCAAGGAGTGTTCCATTACAATATAACCACCGATATCCGCTCAGTAACTTGGTCGATAACCTAAGGATTACCGTACGATGATTTTGGGATTGTCATAAGTGTGTCGTCATCTTGGGGGGATGTTTATGGCCTATAGTGTTTATGACTTTTTGCATGAACAATTGTGGGAATTCCTATTCGTTTAATTAATAGTAGCCTAGATCATGTTGTGTTACTTTGGCTTTTAGACCAAAATTCAATTTTGATAATATATTTATTATATTAATGAACTCCAATAAAACTTATTCAGAGACTACTTGTGATTGTAAGAGTCTGAGATTGAATGTATCAGCCAACAAGCATGAAACAAATTGGTAACCCCACAAAATTAAGATTAGTTCAAATAGACCAGCATCTAGTAGTAAAGCATCTTCCAGCACAATTCGAAAGAAATCATAAAGGTACATGTGTTTCAGAGATATTAGTGACTTTTAAGCTATGCAATAGACATTGGGATAAGGTTCATTTGGTTGGGTCACTCTAGTTAAAGAGATATCAACAGGGAAATTGTTGGCAATGAAGGCTGTACTGATGATTTTTGTTATAGTATACAGATGAAAAAGGCAGAACTGTTTAAATACTGCACGGTTGACAATTTAAAGAGGGAAATAAAAATTTAACGTAAATTAAACCATCCAAACATAATTAAATTGGATAGTTATTTTGAAGATAAAGTAATATGCCAATTGATTCCCTTAGACCAACGTATACTTGGTACTGGAGTATGCAGAAGGTGGTTCCTTATTTAAATAAATAAAGAAACAGCGTCATCTATCTGAAGATGAAGCTTCTCATTATCTTTATTAAACCTGTCTTGGCATCGATTATCTACACAAACAAAAGATTATTCACAGAGATATAAAGGTTACTTTGTCTCCCTATTTTGTAGCCAGAAAATCTCTTGCTCGATAACAAAGGAAATATCAAGATCTGTGATTTTGGATGGTCGACTGAAATGGGCAACTTGAAAAAAGCATTTTGTGGCACTATTGAATACATGGCACCTGAAATGATTAAATCTCAAAGTACTAATTACAAACTCGATATCTGGTGTTTGGGTGTTTTGCTCTATGAAATGGTGCAAGGGAAGCCTCCTTTCACTGGCAGGAATGACTAAGAAAAATGCTAAGCCATTCTATCAGGATCCCCCCTCAAATACGATGAGTACGTTTCAGAAGATTGCAAGTCTCTTATATCTATGATTCTTCAGTAGAACCCTTTCAATAGACCCTCTATCCAAGGAATTCTTAGTCATCGATGGATGCTATCCAAAATCAAATAATACCAACCTCTCAATGAAAACCTAACCTATCGAAGTGTCTCATTATTAATTGACGAATAAAATCAATCTCCTTTATAAACTTCCTTAACTGTGATGTCAGAACGCAAGACCACTAATAAAGAGTGGGAAGACATGAAATAGAGATCCCAACACTTTGTATTCCAGCATCCTTAACAAGTGTCTGAGTAACCCCAATAAACCTTATTTAAACGTATATTAATATCCCTTGGCTGTATTAATCGTTGAATTGTAATTATTTCAATATCGATATTATTTCATACCTATCACACTACGTCCATTCAATTTCATTCATTTACCATCTAAATCAAACCAAGTAATTTATCTATTCAACCAAAATATTCCAAAGGAAAATTCTTTCCTTATAAATACTCTACCATATTTAGTTTACTTCGGTGATAATCAAATATTTTTGCATCCATAGAAATTATTATAATAATTTATTTACTATCTTTTTCAATTCAATTACTTGTATATACATATTAGATATTTAAAATATAAATTTTAACTAAATTATTAAAAGCGTATAATCTATAATAACATTTAATTAACTCAACTTCTTTGTTTTCGATATCAGGAAGTTAGGAATGCTTAAAGGGAGCTTCCACTTTTGTGAAAATATGTGCTTAACGATGATTCTCTCCCACTTATTAATCTACTCACAGAAGAATTTAATAATAACTTTGGTTGGCTCCAAAATTATTCTAATTACTTGTTACTTTCAATCCTTCTTAGTTTCCAATATCGTTATTATTTCAATTCAGGATCAGTTTTTGTTTATATTCCCTTGTCGTGTAAGTACCTCACGACGCGTCTTTCAATTTCACTTATCTTCGAGTCTATATACAAATCAATGGAATCATTAAGTTCATCCTTTGTACATTCACTTTCTTTTTCATTTTTTTCATTCAACAAGAATAAACAAGTGTTAATACTATCCATCTAATTTAATTATTATTAATTCAATCTTTGCTTGTCCCTTATATAATGTCAAATGTTAAGAAAACTACTAGATTTCAGCGAAAATATCAAAAGAAATTTCCTATTGCAGACTCACAAAATGATTACAAAATAAACTTGTCTTAATGTATGAAATATAATCAATTTTATTAAATGAGTTCAGTTATGACTAAGAACGGAATAAGCTGAACTTTAATGTTGTGAATAATTAACAACTTTTTTGTATATTAATTATGTTTTTCAATCGAAATTGACCAACAATTACAATTCAACAATTTACATGAGATGGAAAACTTCGTTTTAAATTTTAATTAGAGTTTAATAAGAAATTAACAATATAAATATAAAATCCATATATATACTAAATATAATTAAAAATCAAAAGCTCAAATTATTTAATTCTTTAAGCAAAAGGAAAATGCCAGAAATCTTGAAATTAAGTGCATTATACAATTAATAATTTGTTAATAATAGCATTTCTTTGATTTCTAAGTCAGTCTACCTATGCTCATTCAGTTTTTATGAAAATTTTGATCGATAAAAAGCTTTTAATCCCTGTTTTATGTCTTTTTGATTCTAATTTATAGTCGCTTAGTCAATTATTCATCTTTGCTTTCTTCAGCTTAATGTGTGGCTTTTCTTAAGTCAATATTATGTTTCTTATTGAATCAATAATTCTGATAATTTCACTTATGAGAAATGATTTTTTTGAAGATGAATCTAAATTTAATCTCTAGAATATTGATATAAATATTATTATTTAAAAGGATTCAATTAAGTAATTGGATTTCAGTTAATATATATATCTATCTTATATTATTCAATTCAAATATATTTATTGTAATTTTAACTATTTTACTATTGTGTCAATGAGGTTAGAGCTTTAATCTTATCTTGAATGCTTAAATTTGATTGCATTTATGGCATTTGCGAACTCCTTAAGGAACTAGGGAGATTGTTATTATTCAATTATTCCTAAAATAACTTTTGATTGACAAAATTTGCCTGTTTCATTTGATCAACTTAGTGAATAGATCTATTAATTTAAGCCATAGTTTAATTAATTTGATCTTAAATAGAGTTAGTCTTGTTGGGATTTACAAAAGAACTGTAATTATTATCAAGAGAAGAATGTTAGGTTGAAACAATTCTATATGTGGAAGAGGAGGAAGGAAGTGTAAGCTATTTTTATGATTACTATTATTTAATTAATTAGACTTATTCTTTTTAATATTTCTCTAATTATTATTGCAATTAATTAATTTATGAATCCTTTTGTGAAATTAGGTTTTCCAATAATTCTACTTTCTTATTCTTCTCTAATAATTATAAATTAAGTTCTCTATTCTTTTCTTCAAAGTTATCTTGTTTTTGCACTGATTACTTGTTATCTAACATATCTTATAATGCTTAAATTTAATTTTTGTATAAAATTAATTGCTCTTTAGTTTCCAATTTATATTGATTCAAGTTCTTTCTCTCTTGTTCTCTAACTCTGGCTTCTTCAGCCTCAAGTAATTCTCTATGAATTTGCTTTTCTTCTAAAAGTTCTTGTTTTAACTATCCCAATTGCAATTTCAATTAATTGATCTCCTCTTATTTGGATTATAGTTTAGATTGAGAAATGAACTTGTTATCATCAGTTTCAAGTTTATTTTCTTTCCTACTGATTTCAGATTAATAAAATCGCTTAGATGGAAGGCCTAAATAAAATAAAATTGAATTTAACTTTCAGTTGATTTAATTTCTAATGAAGATGAATTTTTCAGTAATTGGACTACTTATTCTAGTTCCTAATTTTTCTATTGTAATTATTGACTTGATTGATGCAATTGCTAATATTATTATTGCAAATTCTAGTATTTCTGGGCCCATTTTTCAATTTCTTTAGTTTATTCTTCAACTGTCTAAAATTTAAATTAATAGTACTGTTATCAACTCTTCCATCTCTTGTGGATATTGGGTTGATTTCTGACTATCAATTTAGCCTTAGAGAATTTCAACTTCATTGGTTTTCTTTTTCAACGCAAGTGTAAGTCTCTCTACTTAGGTGGTTAGCATGATCAGATTCTCTAAATATTTCCCATATCTACTTTATTATTTTGATCGTCAATGTTATCAAAGTTAGTCACCTTGGAGTTCGACTCTTTTTACTTGAATGTGATCGAGTCCATTGAGTATTAAATTAAATATTATTAAATAAAGATCAAAGTTGTAAGAAAGGATGTTCCAGGAGTTATTACAGATTTGCTCTTTAATTGGGATCTTTATGAAGACAACACTGCACAAAATCAATAAGTAAAGGATCCTCACCCTTCTTGAATACAATCTCTTCTCTACATATCCTATCTTATTATTTGTATTTATTAACATCTCGAAATGGAACGGTATTATTGCATAATTCAAAAAGTAATATGCCTATAGCCCAAATATCAACCCGTTCATCATATCCATCATACTAGCTCATATTACTTGAGCTCAGTATAATTTCTGGAGACATATAATCTAGAGTTCCACAAAAAGTCTTTCTTCGTTTTCCTTTTTAAATTGAACAACCAAAGTCTCCAATTTTGACTACATCATCTTGTGTTAGATATATGTTTTCAGGTTTGAGATCTCTATGCATTATTCCCATCTGATGGATGTATTAAAGAGCAGTAAGAATCTATTTAGTTATCTCTTTAATTTTAGATTTAGTGAATTGTTTTTAATACAAACTGCCTTTTTCACAATACTCAGTTACCAAATAGATCTTTTGATTATCTTAAAAATGTGTGAATAATTGAACAATATTTTTATGTTTGAGTTTGGATTGAATATCTATTTCTCTTTAGACTTATTAATTGAGATTACATTTTTGGATCTTAAGTTTTTCTATAACTTTAAGTGCATATGGTTGTCCAGAATTTCTAAATTTAATTATATGATACTTGGCCAACATAACCTTACTAAATTATCCCTATCCGATTAACTGACAAAACTGGAATTTAAGCATTGAAAATAGAGGCTCCGTTTGGTAGCTGTAGTTTCTTCTGTGTGTTTTGATAACATCTTCTTAAGTTGTGTGCATGTGTAAATATTCATCATATTTTGGAGTCACATAGAATTAAGGAGGAAGTCGTGATTTTGGTTGCATAGACAAAGAATAAAATTTATTAAATTAATTTCCGATAGTTATGATTGTGTGTTATCAAATTTAATCACAACAAATTTGCTTCCTAATATTGGAGTTGAAATTATAACATTTTGATAATAATATATTTATAATTATCTGTTAGTATGGAAAAAATTAGCGTATGCTTAAGAATACGACCACTCAATCAAAAAGAAATTAATGACAACGAAATAATAGCTTGGGATGCCAATGACTCAAAAATTTAACTCAATAAAATTTGCTTAAAGGAATTGATTGCTTAAAAAAAAGTAGTCAATAGTTTGATATACGAATTCAATCATTGCTATGGACAACAAGCAGACAACTATTATTTGTTTTCAACTTCTGTCAAACAAGTAATTATGCAATCTTTAGATGGCATTAATGGGACTGTCATTATGTATGGATAGACAGGGTCAGGCAAAACTTTTACGATGTTAGGAAAGAGGAATTAGGAGATGCTCCAAAACAACAATAGCAACATCTAATAATTAATCAAAGATAGTTTTGCTAATAATCAATACAACGATGTGGGAATTTTGATCTACTCAATGATGGAGCTTTTTAAACAGATTAATATTGTATATGCTACTTCTATATCACTAGGATGAAAAGAGATAGTTTGAAATTAAATGTAGTTATTATGAAATCTACAATGAGTTTATTTATGATCTGTTACGTGAAGAAAATGAGTTATCCGAACCCCTCATTTTTGGAACTGATTATCGTAAGGTATATTATCCCCTTATTTAAATAAGGAATTTGTCATCAAAAACATCAAAGAATTCAATGTTACGTCCATTGAAGATGTGATTGCGTGCATTTCTAAGGGAGAAAAAAATAGACATTATGCAGAAACCATATTGAATCATCAAAGCAGCAGAAGCCACACAATCTTCAAAGTGCTCATTAGTGCTTACTCCAATGAGTCTGAAGAGGAGGAAAACTTTACTTTTTCAACTGAAGCATGCATCAACTTTATTGATTTAGCAGGAAGTGAAAAAATAACATCGAGTCCAATTTCAGATGATATTACTAGAAATTCCAATAGGAAAGATCGAAATAAAGAGAGCTCTGCAATCAATAAGAGTTTATTCTTTTTAACAAGAGTTATTGCATTAAAAACATAAAAAGTTCCACCTCAACACATCCCCTATCGTAATTCAACGTTAACTAAATTATTAAAGTATCTAATCTATTGTATGTTCTTTAGATCTTCACTCACAGGAAACTTCAAAACCTTGATTCTATTGAGTATTAACCCTGGATTGAGTTAGTATGACTAAACACAATCTACTCTTAGATTTGGCACAAGTGCAAAGTTAGTTGAATCTAAAATTGAGTAGAATGTCAATTTCGATGCTTCCTACTCTAATAATTAATAAAAGTTAAATTAGTTAATCCAAAAAAACAAACAAAATGAAAAGATCATTTAAGATTAATAAAAGATTATTGACTCATTAAAATAGTAATTGTAAGCATCATAAAATGGTTCAGAAATCTTAACAAATTTTAAATAATCAGAAGTTTAATTAGTTTCAAAGCCATCAGTAAGCCAATTCAATGAAACTGATGTATCTCTTTTGGAGAAAACCCAAGAATTAAATTCATAATTGCAACAAGAAATGGAAAAGAATGCGCTTTTAGAAAAGAATTGTACAGAACTTCATAAAAGATTACAGAAATCTAATGAATAGATTCTTACATATTTCAATTCCCATAAAGAAATGGAATAATAAATCAAGGAATTAAAACTGTAAAATGAGAAATTTGAAAAACTTTCTTAAAATGCCCTAAATAGACTTTCGTGCTATGAAGGATAACCAAATTTCAAAAAATTTAGTTTAGAAGATCTTTAAAATTTAGAACATTAAATATAATAATGTTTATAAGAAATTAAGGTAATTAAATTTCTTAAAACCTAGATAGAAAAATAAAGAAGGAACTCATTTTAATAGTTGAATATAGATGCAATGCCATTATTTACTTAACCGACAGAGACTTTGAGATCGGATAGAAGTAGTGCTAGTTAAGATTTTCGTAGAATAGAGGAGTAATTAATATAATAAAAGTAGAGAAGACTCATTGCCTAAAAGCTATAAGAAAACTCCAAAAAAGGATGTAAAGCAATTGCAACCAAAAAAGCAGTAATAAAGCTATTTCAAGGCCACTTCTAATAGATTATCGACGCTTTCTAATAATGAAAACAAATCTCCTTTACTAAAAAAGCCAAATTTGAGAGATGCAAAAAATTTCGCTAAAAAAATTTAAGATTAGAAAAGTATTTAAGAAATAATAGCTAATTTAGATTAGAAACCGACTTAGGTTTAAGAGGAGTACAGAAGTAAATCTAATGAAAATCATTCCTAGTAGGGGACTTAGTAGCCGGAGCAAAGCAAATTGAAAAATGATATATAATCATTGGCTGATAGATTATATTCTTTGTCAGAGAAGTTCTAGTTAAATAGGGAATCTAGAGTGAGTCAGAGTAGAAAAAGCACGAACATAAATAGAACCGATATAATTTATGAGACCGAATCAGAGTGCTAGGAGACAGTAGGACAACAATACATAAAAGCAATCGTTCAGCTATGAAATGATATATTATAATGATTTCAAATGAAAATTCACTTTTCTATTCTAGTTCGAGGACGAAGATAGGAGGGGCGATATTCTAGGTTTAAAGTGGAAGTGGGGGGTGAGTTGATGAGTGTGAATTTATTGTTTTCAAACTTAACTTTGAATATGATTAATTTATTATTTATAGGAAATGCAGAAGATAAATGATAGAAAGCAGAATGAAGTTGCTAGAAGTTCTAAGAAACGTTTCTCAATTTCAAGGGAAATTGCAAATAGAAAAATGAGCAACTCTAATTTATTCTCGTCGGAGGAAAGTAAAATAAGAATGATAGGAAGCAGACATTCAGTTTCATCTATCAAAAGCAAATAGAAATTGAACATTTCAATGAACAAAGACTTATCTTCAGGATCATCATCTTTTTCTAGTGATTCAGAATCGAACAAGGAGAAGATGGACTAATCAATAATTTTAAAGGACAATATTGGTATAATATAATAAGGCCAATCATCCTTTTATTAAGTGTAGGATAAATTAATATTGCCTAATATGTCATTTGAATAAGATTTCATAAATCCGTTGGATATCTCTGATGGAATTGAAAAGTCTATTTTAAAAGTTTAGTTTATTGATTTTGAACATCGATGGGGAATGAAATAAGATATCAATATTCAAAAACAATGTGGAGGAGATCAAATGCTCCAATCCTAAGTAAGCGACGGGATGTCATCGCAACGATCCTTAAAGATGTCTCATCGTAGCAAAAAAGGAGCCTTTTAATCTAAGTTGCAAGCAGTTCAAAATAGAGTCAAATAACAATTAAGTGACAGTGACGAAGATGACTACGTTGATAATGAAGAGGTAGAGGATAAGTTAAAAGGGAAATTTAAAAAACTGTATGAAAGAAACCCATTTGAGGATCCTTACTATGTTAAGTTGAAGGATCTGCATGGATTTGAAAGATTGCAATATGAAATAAATGTAAAATTAACATTTCCATTGTTAGGCTTATAATGATGATAAAAAATTTCTGAATTTAAGAAAATCTATAGTCTATTACTCATTATTTATTCCAATCTTATGTAAAAGGATAATAAGGAGTGTTCCATTCAAAATCATCATGTCCTTTCTAATTCTTTTTAATGTCACACTATACATATACTCTTAAACCAATTAAGACCCTCTGTCAACCAAAGATATGGAAAAAGCAATTATGATTTGTTTCTTGATAGAGTTGGGGATCAGAATAGTAGCTTCAGGTGTATTAATTCCAAAAGGAGCATTCTTCAAGAATTTTTAAGACATATTTGATTGCATTTTGGTTGTAGTTTATGTTTTAAACATTAATTATCCTGATGTATTCATAGTAGATGTATCACCTTTGCGTGTGATAACTTTGTTACTGTATTTAGGAGACATCTTTTCAGGGTTGGGAGTGATGTTGAAGGCATTGAAATAGTCTTTTAGATTTCTCTTAGAGGCTTTAATGATAGTAGGATTGTTTTCTTTATTTTTTGCAATCACGGGAGTTTTTTTGTTTCAAGGATTATTTAATTATAGATGTCAATATGATAATGGAGATGAAACTGACGGATGGGTTCAGTGCAATTAAAATTCATGTTATGAGGAAGGAATGTCTTGTAAATATTCATCATTCACACCAAAACTTCCGACTTCCTTCAACAATGTCGTTTATTCATATGGGCAAGTTTTGAGAACTATTACTATGGATGACTGGAGTTGGGTCATGTTCTTTACGATGAGAATCTATCATCCATGGACTTGGTTGTATTATTTATTCATTATTTTTGTTTGTGGTTTCTTTGGATTCAATCTAGTTATTGCAGTCATCAAAATCCATTATGCTGAAGCTGCAGAGGAGAATGCAAAGGAGGAAGAAATGAAGTAAATACAGTAGAAGATTAAGGAGAACAGGGAATTGCCAGAAAGAGATATTATTAATGTTTTTGATGTGGCTTTTTTGAGATATATTGAATTTTTTCCTGTTATTCAAAGATATCGTTTGGCTTTAAAATCCCCTTATCGAGGCTTTAAATTAGAAGAAAATGTCAATGAAAAAGGCAATTCAAATAAGTAAAAGGGACCAAGAATACTGTCTGCTAAACAAAAAAAGAATGAAGATTAAAATCCAAAAGTAATAAAATATTATAACATTGTTTTAGTAAGGTTATTTTAAAAGGTTATTTTATAAAATTTAGAATTTAACAGTAAAAAACATTCTATTGCCAAAATTCTACTTACTAAATGAGAAACAAAAGACTATTCGTGTTAAAAGATATACTGAAGACGAGATTGAGTTGTAAATATTAGAAAGATTAAAGTCTTTATAATTCTCCTAATTGTAATCCTGCGTCAATTAACAAATTCATTAGAAATTTGAAAGTGAAGGAGATGTTTTGCCAACTTTAAAGTAAATGAGATTCCTCTATAAATAGTTTGCCTGATTGCGAGAAAAAAGAATTAGAAAAAGAAATTATCAACATGAGGAACATCAAAATACCTGTCGTTTATCCTGATATAAAATAAAAAAAGATTCAATAAATTGTATATGATAAGAAGAAACTAAGTCAATTTCCAATACGACGGGTAAAAAGAATCAAATTGAATGAGACTGAGGATGAATAAGTAGAAACCAACAACTCTTTGGATCAAAATCTTTTTTTTTAAAAACAAAGTATGGCACATTCTCATAAACTCAAATTTTCATAAAATGAAGGCAAGGTTCCATTTGCCATAAAAAAATAAGACTAAAATTGGGTCCATATCCAAGGATATTATTTAAATTACTCAGGAGTTGCATTAAAAATTAATGCTAAAATTCAGAAAAACAAAAACTCCTAGCCTTCCAATGAATTCTAGTATAGATTACTGAGAAGGAAGGATATTCAATAGAATTAGATTTCAAAAAAAACTTGGTCTGGAAATGATGTTCTCAAATTAAATGAGTCTAGATTGTTCAATTTCAGAGAGGTGTTAAAGAGGCTTAATTTTATCGACATCTAAATTTGGATGCTTGGGTTTTAAGGTAAAATTGAAACTCTGCGAAAGTACTCTTATATTTTAATTACATCTTAACTAAGCTAATTATTTTTTGATAGCGTAATCTTAATCAATTTTACATTTCTATCATTGTAAGGAATAGCTGATTCAGTAACAATATCTAATGAGGAGGATGTTTCGACAATATTTCTATGCATAGAATTAGTAATTAGATTTTTTGCTTTTTCATTCAAAGATATCTCTTAAAGTCCCGATTATGTTCTATAGTCCTGCATTGTGATTTTGAACTTCATTGAACTTACAATGAGTTCTGTCATGACAAACTTAAATGAACAGAATCTTAGGTTGATAAGGGGGACCAAGTGTCTTCTGTTTTATCGAGTGTTGAAATATAATAAAATGGCAGTGGCGATTGGACATATAGCTTAGAGAACCTTCAGATAATATATATATTTGACCTTCTTATTTTTTTTGGTTATCTTTGTTTATGCTATGATTGGCATGGAGATGTACGCTGGATATTTCGATTAAACTGATGCACTAGGATAATTACATTCATATGATAATATTCTAAAGGCGTTTATGACGATATTCAACATCTTAACTAATGATGATTGGTATGGAGTATATGTTATGGGAGGAAATATCAACTATATATTTGCCGTAATTTATTCGTATTCAATGGTTATATTACTGAATTATATAACCTATGGTTTGGTGTTGGCTATATTGTTGGATGGTTTTGGAGCTATAGACAAGGAAATGCAGGAGTTGGAAGAAGAAAAAGAGTAAGAGGAGGAAAAGAATAATAATGAGAAACAGGAGGAATAAAACTCACAGATCACAGAACAATAGGAAATAAACGAATTCTAATTGAATTTAAATCCTTTGATATCATAGATTAATTTAAGTGAGACCTAATAGAAAAAGTCTAAGTAGAATTTAGTATAAAACTTAATGAAATCAATCAGACAAGTTCATAAGGAGATTTTAAACAAATATCCCACTTCATATGATGGAATCTAATGCAAATAATCGTTTTATTTATTTGAAAAAGAAAATCTTTTCAGAAAAATATGTTGCAGAATAGTCACTTCAAAACTCTTCAATTAATTTATGGATGTTGTTTTATATTTTTCAATTGTTGTCTTTGCTTTGAAGACATACAATGACTATGAGAGCGATTCTTCATTTTATCCTGAAGTCTTGCAATTCATAGCCAATGTTATATTTCTGTTGGAGATAATTTTCGGTAGTATTGCAAAGGGAATGTGGATGAATAAAGGAGCTCATATTACATACACATGGTAAATAGTTGATGTCATCTATATAATTTCATTCTTCTTCCATTTTTTATCAAATCAAAACCAAAGCATAATCGTGGATTTATTTCTATATTTAGGATACTTCAGAGTGATGAAATTGATGTACAGAATATCATGGTTAGACACACTTCGATTGGCATTAGGTAGATCCTTAGCAGACATTTGGAATGTACTGATTACTATGCTTTCGGTGTGGATTATATTTGGAGTCTATGGAATTATCTTATATGAGCAGCAGTTTGGATTTTGTGATGATAAAATGCAATTTGAAATTAACAAGCGGGAATGTTTAGACTAGAACAGGACATGGATCAATTATAAACATAATTTCGACAATATCACAATAGCTATACCCACTCTCTTTGTAGTGTCTACTTTTGATGGTTGGGGTGAAATTATGTAAATATCAGAGAACAGTTAGAATCTAAATATAGGCCCTGAAGCATTTAATAGCTACATACATACTTACTTCTTTTTTATCTCATTTTGTTTTATTGGGTCAATGTTTTTCTTGAGTTTATTTACAGGAGTCTTATTTTCAAACTTGAAAGCCAATTAGAGCAAAATAGAAATGTCGGATATCACCAAAGCTCAACTTGAATTTATGGAGATCTCATAAATAATTATTAAAGACTTTCCATTGTATTCTTCACCTCCCACGTCTAGGATTAGAAGATTTGCATCTGATGTAACAAACAATAATGCTGTTCAAAAGATTATGTTTTGTTTATTACTGCTGGATTTACTAGTGCTATTGCTCTTCTTTTCAGAGATGGATGACAGCTTCTTCAGAATTTTGAATAATACTCACAATAGTTTAACCTATATCTACATCATTTGGAATATCTTACTGTTTTAAGCTTTGGGAATCAATAGATTTTTTGATAATCATTGGAGAAGATTCTATTTCTTCTTGATTTTAATAGCCATTATTGATATTATAGCTGATTTTGAATCAGATTGGGCATTGGTCTATTTTAGATCATCTCCAGCTGATTCAGGATATCAACTCCTTAGGTTATTCTTTGCCATTAGATGTTTAAGGATAATTTTGATTTTCTAAGGATTGATTAATTTGTAGAGATTAATGAGAGTCATGGTTTTTGCTATGCCATTTTTGGGGAAGATCTTCTGTTTATTGATCATAACAATGTATATTTTTGCACTTTTTGGCTGTCAATTATATGGAAGATTAGAAAAAGGTTAGGTGATGGATGATTAAATCAATTTCTAAAATGTTGCTTAGGCCATGCTCTCCCTTTTCAAATGCGCATCAGGAGATGATTGGAGAACTATAATGACTGATACTATATTTTATAACCCTTATTGTGCGGAAGATGAAACCTATTGTGGAAGCATTTATAGTTAAATCTACTTCTTCCTGTTTATGTTGCTGTCCAATTATGTTCTATTAAATTTGTTTGTCTTAGGCTTGGTGGAATAGTTTGAGCAATTCTTTATGCTCTAAAATTCTATGATTCAAACCTATGTTGAAAATGTGGATAAGATCAAAACCATTTGGTGTAAGTACTCTTCCGAAACTCAAGGGCAAGCAATGCATTACAAGTTTTTGTGTCGTTTCTTATTGGACATAGGGAAACCTTTGGGTGGGGGAAGTGACGAGAATTTATGGGATGTCGGTAAATTAGCTTCATCATTTAAATTACAATGGTATTTGTTATCAATAATAAAATAGTGATCATTTTGGATACATTCAATATAATCAATTAATATACGAACTATTTAGAGTTTGTTATCATGTTGAAGTGTTCAAGAATGGCAATCCTTCTTCAATCAAGAAAATCAAGTAATTCAACAAGGAAATGCAACTCCGACTGATATATTACAGAAGAAATAGGTTCCTACAGAGAAGCAACATCAGTCCCATCCTGCATCTGAAAGCCAACTTCAATATTTTACACGATTATCTGACTGTCCTCATCTTATACAAAGCATGGGAGGCTTACTCTAGAAAACTAATTAAGAAGCTCAACATCAAATAGAAACAATTCACTGAGGAAGATCTGGATGAGCAGGATTCTTCATTTGATAAAAAATCTATAAATAACCAATAGTAATTATTTCAGTCTATTCCTTTAGCATTGATTAGGATTGTAATTAATTTCTTGAAGATGACCTTACACAATAAGTTGTATCTAATGAAGAACCCCGACCAGAAAATATTCATCCAAACACCAATTGTTCAGAGGAAGACCATCCTAAAAAGGAAGACATTCCTGTTTACAGATGGCAGAGTGATTAGCAATCAGGAGGATTATTTGAATCAGCCTTAATATCTCCAGATTAATCTTTCAAAATAAGAAAATTTTGATTATTTCATAATACTTTTGGTACTCTATAATTTATTAGTTGTTTTATATAAAATAACAGAATTTTAAATATTAGTTTATAAATTGTTTCATAAATTAATTAAAGTTCAGCACTAATTAATCTTCCATGAATTTAGAATATTCATAAAAACTTTCACGAAAATCCAGCCAAGATGATTGTATCAATATGGATACCGATTTATAAGATAAATGTTCGAGTTAAATGGAAATCGAATAATTCTCCAATAGAATTGAAACTCATAAATTTGTAGTTGGTATCTCTAAACCTGGTGAGATGAGAATAGGACTACAAACTATAAACAAAAATAAAATTACTGTCAAAGGAATACTAGGAATACAAGAAAAATAATGAAAATATTTAAATTATATATTCTTGATATTTGTTAATTTTATAATTACACTATGACTTACTAGGATCAAATGCTCACAAAGTTCTAATTTATCTTCAAAATATAAAAAATGCCCAGTATATCTTCACTTTTTATCAGCAAATCAACTTCCACTAAGTCTAATAAAATAACTTATTATTTTTTTATAATGAGAATTTTAATAATAAATTGCTATGATAACAAAGACCTTGAAAAATTCCAACATTTCCAATTTCATGTTATGAAAGTAAAATCTCCAATTAATGTAGTATTTAGCGGAGTAAAAGGAGTTAATAGATACAGAAAATGAATTTTATGTTCGTAATAGGGATACAATAGAGGACTTTCTATACGAAGTAGAAAGTTCTTATGTGAAAAAGGAAGCAGCTCTAAAATTCGATCAACTTGATGTCATATTCATTATTGGAGATTGTCATACTCGACCTTGGGCTGCTCACATGAGTATAGATTTAAGAATCATAGTTAGCAAAAATATTGGTTTTGTTGAGAATGTGTTTAAGAGTATAGAAGCTACTCTTTGCTTCAGGATTTGCCATGTAGGCCTTGGTGTACTTATCAGCATCTAATATTGATAGAGTAATATCTTCATATCATGTATAAGCCTATCAACTTAATCAATCAGAATGGAGGCAAATTATCAGATCTGAGAGAATTAAAAATTCAGATTTAACAAAGCGATATGTTTTTGGAAAATACATCAGGGGATTTATATGTTTTTAATTATGAAACTTCTGAGTGGATTCCAAAATTGAATGTAGGCATTCACTTAAGGAGTGCAGCCCAAGAATTCTAATCAATAGGAAGGTATGTTGTTAAAGCTCCTATTTACAAACCAAAATAAAATGGCTCATTTCTAAGTAAAAACAAAAACACTGAAACCGTTGTCTCTATAAGAAATGTTTATTTATAACATTGGGTATTATTCATTAAATTAAAACAACAAAGGCATTTAAGGATATTGAATCAAGATTTTTAGCACCATTATTGAATAGATGGGATGTACACAATTTCTAATTCAATAATGCTGAAAAGAAATTTATCTGTCTAGCAGAAAGTGATGAAGGACCATCAATAATTGAGTACCCCAAGGCTTTGGCTTGCATGTTTGAAATTGATACCAAGTACCCTTTTACAAATACTCTGCTCAAAAACTTTGTATAATATGCTATGTACAACATCAAAGTCTCAAAGTAAGAAAACTCGATTTCATATATTTAAGTTCCTCTAAACCTTTCAATTCTATTGAGAATTATCACAAAGTTAATACAAAGTCGTCATCTATTTTAGATCTTCTGAAAAACACTAATAATTAGAACCAAAAGAAAACCACTCTCGAATTAATGCAAATCAGAGGCAAGAATGGGATAGCTTCGCATAGTCAATAAAAATTAACATAGGCTTAAGAAGAATAAAAATTATAATCCATGTAGCTTAGTCTCAAAAGGAGAAGCAGTATCGCCCATGTAGGATTTACACTAAATAAAAATGTACCAATAAGACCAGTGGAAGTTAATGCTGTTGGGAAAAGGAGAATAAAATACCAACAAGGTTAATAACATTCGAGGAAGATAAGTGCTGACGAAGCATATTTAAAATCCTAAAGAGACAGTGAAGATGATGTTTTGAATGAAGCACAATCAGTTTAGAAAACATTGCCTCTCAAAACTGCCAGCCAATCAGAAATACGGAAAATGTTGCATCCAGAAATTTCTAAGTCTTGTTTGGAAGTTAGAGAAATTTGGATTCCAGGACATTTATCAGAGTAGGTGAAAACTCAAGGAGATAGAAGGATAAGTTAGATTGGAGGATCATTTCAATCGACTCAAACTTCTTAAAGGAGGAGATGGATTTGATGAAAAGTTTTGAGAATAATACTAAATTTATATTATTTATATGCTTTAGTCTTTTTTAAATTGCTTCAAAAAGTAACCGAAGTTTAGGATGAATCGCGATTATGAGAAGGACATCTTATCTTCAGTTTAGGACATTTTGCCATAGTCCTTTCAGAAACATTAGTTTAACAAGTAAAGTATGCATCAAATAGAAAGCCATAATAAGGAATTTTAGGCAACAAATGATTTAAATAGGTTGAATTAAGAGTAAGGGATTTTTTCACCAAATCCATCGTAAGCAAACATTCGTTTACACTTTTTAGAAAATGTTGATGAACAGTTTTAAAAAAATGAGAATCCTTATTATTGCTAATTTTCTTTGGATTATTTTGGAATGAATAATAAATTTCGGCAATATTGCATTTTAATAAATGAATCTCGAGTTTATCAATATTCTGTGTACATATTCGTATTATTTCCAAACTATTTAGACAACATTTTGTATAGTGATTTTGATGATCAAACCTTACAATGATCAAAAGAGTGGATTTGGGTTCAGTTTAAATGACGATTAGATACTGGGGGTAATAGTCACAGCAGATGTGATATTTTCTGCTCATCACCTAATATCGATAGTTTCATATGGGTATTTAGAATAACTATGTAGGTTATGGAGTTGTAAATACGGATACTACAGAAACCCAATAGCATTCATAAATGGAATAGCATTGTTCTTCGCGTTAATTTTGAGACAATCTTACTTTTATACGTTGAGAATCCTATTTTTGCTTGAGTTTTTTATGCACTACAAAATTTTAAGAATAGTCCGAAAATTTTGTTTGACGGTAGAACATTCATTTATCTCTATTGTTTACATCACCATAATAATTTGTTTCTTCTTTTACGTGTTTGCTGTGGTAGGATTACAAATTTGGACTGGGATTATAGGAAATTAATGCATCAACAAAAATAATGAGGTTGATTTTTATCCGACGCGATTTTGTGGTTTGGGAAGATCTTGTTCAGATGGATATGAATGTTAGCAGGCTCAATTTGAGTAACCATTCATTTAGTATTCCCATAATTTCACTAAATTTGATTATATTCAAGAATCAATGGCTAGTATGTTCATAGTCCATTACATTGAAGGATGGGTGGAAATTGAATAGAGTTTGGCTGACTCATTCAATAAATATGTGAGTACAGGGTATCTGTGGACTTATATTTTTATTTCTTCATTCTTTTTATAAAATTTGGTGGTTGCCATATTCCTGAAGTAATCTCAACAAGAAGTTCATTTGGATGAACCAGCTTAAACAGTGCTATTTTTAAATAGTCACACTAAAATATAATTAACGAATGAAAAAAGAAAGACTGTGTTTTAGAGTCCCAATTATCTCAGTAGAAGTAAACAAAGAGTTATGACTATGCTTATGAATTCAACTAAACGAACTAGTGATTAAAAAAAGATTAGAGTCATAATCAAATCTATTTTGTCTTCAAAAATAACACAATATTTTTACAGTCTGTTATTTCTGGCTAATCTTGTTGTTTTGTCTCTAAATGATGAATCAGCATATAAAAACAAATTGGAAGGAACATTAGCTAAAATAAATGTGGTGTTTTTGGTAATTTATTTAATAGAAGACATAGCAAGAATCTATATTTGGAAATAAAAGGAAAGCAAAATAATTGTGTTATTAGAGTTTATTTGTGATTTTGTTGGTTTGGTAGTCCAAGTCAATTAATTGGAACATCCCTTCATCTTAAATACAATCAAAGGAATACGATTACTCTGGGTCTTCAATTACTAAACTAGTTGGTCTAATTATCGAGTGTTATTGTCAGCCTTATGGAAGTCTTTCAACAACATCCCCATTATGATTTTGATACTCTTTATTTACGGTCTCGTGATTGGCTTAATGGGTAGAAACTTTTTTGCTGGGAAATTAAGATTCAACGATTTAGGATTCTATGATTTGAATGGTTCCTATATTCCAAGGGCTAATTTCGACAGCATGAGAGAGACAATTACTACATTGTTTATAATCATATCTTCGGATTAATGGTAAACTATATTTTATACGACATTGGAAACTGGATCTTGGATTCCGTATATCTTTTTCATTTGTGTCTAGTTTATTTGTAAATTTTTTATACTTCCCTCTTTTTTGACTTTGATGCTCGATAATTATGAAGATGCTAAAAACGAAGCTGATATTTCAAAAGCTAGGGCTACTAAAGTTATTTCGACGATGCAAAACAAATCTAGAATAGTACCAACAAAGGAGACCTCATTGTTACAAGTCAGCAATTCGTAATCTGAAAAGAAGCGCTTCTTTGGAAGATTGTCTAAGGTCTCTGATGACAGTGAGAAAGAGGAGAGTCATTCTAAATAACACCCAGCCTTGAAAAGACAATAATCGAAATATTAGTAGGTGCAAATTTTCAAAAGCAGTGATGATTTCTAAATAATGTCTCTTTATTAATCAAATTGGAAAGAGTTCTTTGGTAATTCATCCCTTTTTATCCTGCACAATCGATCTAACTTAAGGAAGAGATTACACATTCTCATTCAATCTAAATATTATGATTGGGCAATGAGTTTCATCATTTTGTCTAATTTAATACTCTTAGGGTATGATGCACCTCTCAGAAAGGAGAACTTAGTTATTGATGTATTCAACTATGCTTTTACTGGCATTTTCATTTTGGATGCATTAATCAAAATCTTAGCCCAAGGGTTCTATTGGAATAAGTCGGAACCTCAAAAATCCTACATCATGAACAATAACAATTAATTAGATTTCATTGTCCTCATTATTAGTTCTCTTGATGATCTCAATATTTACAAGAGCTAATACCTCAAAGCCTTCAGAGCTCTAAGAACACTAAGGATTATGATCACATTACGGGTAATTAATTTCGATATATGTAGAGAGGATCGCAAAATGAGTAACTTAATCTAATATCCAGATCCTTACTATAAACTATCTCATTACTTTCATCAATGATATTTGTAACTGGCATAAGTCTGTGGATTCTGAGTATCATATGCATGACAATATGGAAGGGCAAACTCTATTTCTGCTCTTAAGTATCGTTGAAAGACTTTAAAGAGATTGTCAACGTAGAGGATTGTCTAGCCAAAGGAGGCTAATGGATAAATAATATAACCAATTATGATACAATCCAAGATTCCCTACTTTGTTTATTCAGATTAATCATTGGAGAGGGTTGGACCTAATAAATGTTTAGTGTATCTGACATCACCAATAGAGGACTCAATCCCAAAATTAATTCATCATCCTAATACCAATTCTTCTTTTATGTGTTGATCTTTTCATTGAATATCGTATTGCTCAATCTAATCACTGGCTTGATCATCAACAATTACAGAACTATCAAGGAGAACATTGCCAACTTTTAATAATTAAATGAATTTCAAAGACAATGGATATAAATGATGTAGATAATGCAAAAGAAGAAACTTATTTATCTCATACCCAAACCTTCATCCAAATACAGACTAATTTGTTATCATTTGGCTAGCAACCAATATTTCGAGGCTGTCATCCTAATTTTACTAGTGGTCAATCTAATTTTGTAATTATTCCTCTCATATCTAGTTGTTCATCCTATAGTGGCAAGTAGAATACCACCACTTAAGAGGCATTATATGGAATGAGTATTTTCTTCATAGTAATTTTCCATGTTGAGTTGTTCATCAAACTACTAGCATACTGGGTTCATTTCTTCAGAGATATTCTCAATAAATTTGACATAATCATATTGATCGTGACAGATGTGCTATTGATAATGAAGGACAATTTTGATTTACCTAGACTTTACACGATTCCACTCATTATAAGATCCCTGAGAATCATACGAGCCAATAAATTATTTAGGTTCAATAAATAATTGAGAGTTCTCATTGATGTGATCTAAGATCTGATACCTACCCTATTAAGTGTCATAGTCTTCATTGCAATCACCATAATCATATACTCGCTTATAGGAGTCCAGACCTTTTCAACAGTATGGAGCACGTCCTCAGATCCTCAGTATCCCTATACGATGGAGGAAAGCTAAAGAACGAAATCCTTTTCCAATTTCCTAGATGGAGTATTAATTTTAATAGACATTTCAACTGGCTAATATTGGTCATTGTATATGGCTGATTATACCATTGATACCAAAGGATGTCATGCATAAACTCCTGAGTAATTTGAATCGGAAGGTGCTCGGGGTTGTAGTACAATCTTTGGTTATTTTTTCTTTATTAGCTTTCTGGTTTTGATTCGCATCATCATGACTTCGTTGTTCTTAGCCATGATCATTGAATCATATCAAGAATGCCAATTAGAAAATACAGCTGCCATAAATCCGTATTAATTGGAGGACTTTTTAGTTAAGTGGTCCGACTATGATCCTCAAGGTACAGGTTGGATAACCCCAGAAGATTTTGCATTTTTGATGTTCGAAATAAATCCACCTCTGGGGTTTAAAGATGAAAATTCTCAATATTACGACTTTGCTGCTGCAAGTAAAATAGAAAACAATATTTAGAAAATCAAAAATTGAAGTCCCATTTCTATAATCATAAGAAAAAGATGAGATTATTTAAAACTGAGATCTTTCAAAAATTAAGTGATTATCAAGTGTAAATCTATCAAAATAAAATGGTTCATTTCAAAGATATATGTATCCAGTTGGCTTACAATGCAATCAAAAAGAAGAATGAACTCAAAGGTATCGAATAGATTGAAGACAAAATCATTCTCCGCTAAATACGAAAGTCATGGGAGTCCAGATATCCTGATCTGGTTGGAATGAAAACTTAACAGTTTGTAGTAGACATCTTTGCTTTCAATTCCATCACTGACATTTTGAGAGGGTATTAATGATATTAATTTAGAGTTATTGAGAGGAGGAAGATCAAGAAAAGAATCAAAGAAATGCAAAAGGAGAAAAACTTAAAGCAATTAGAAATTAATGAGAATGCTTACATCACTACCAAAACACTACTTGAGAGAAATAAAGGCAGACGAAGGAGTTAAATAAGAAAAAAGGTGTATAACTTTTAATAAACCAATACCTAAAGAAGGAGTGAAATCAATGTTGAGCTTGATCAAGCCATCCATTAGCCAAAGAGAAACATGCATCAAAATTACTAGAAATAATAACAAAATAAGGATGACAAAAATTCCTTGACCAGTCTCAACTTTTATATTGATCCTGATGAAATGTGCAATGGATTTCCTATGAAAGTAGTACATGAAACTCAAAAAATCGATTTTCCTGCCATCAAGTCTGATAAGAGTTTAGGAACTCTCTAGTTGACTCAAAGTGAAAAACAAGTCAAGAAACTAGGGGGGTACATTTCGGAAAAATGCTCTGATGAAGAAAATCAATAAGATAGTGTAATATAAAATTTCAAGAGAGATGATATGTTTGAATGATGCAATATAATATTATTGAGCTTTTATTTTTATTAATTCCTCAATCTTCATGTAGATTTATTGATATTAAATTTATTAGAGAATGTAAAATGCGTCTCCCTTACTTGAGTTATTAAATTGCTTATTTTTAATATTATTTATATTGAGTTATTTATGAGGAGAGCCTTAAAAAAGAAGAAGATAAATGATAAATTGGGGAAACTATTATTCAATGGCTTAGTGCGGATGCAATAAATAATCATCAGAAACAAAATTGAGCCAACACTATTTAATCTCATCTTTGCAAAAATCCTTCTATTCGTCTCAGCCCTACAGGAGATATAGTTAATCACTTCAACAGAAATTCAAAATCAAACTTCCATGCAAATTCAGAGTTCTCTATTGGCTATTCAATAGAAGTTTTCCATCAATTTGATCAAATATGATAAAGTCGAACCATTGTTTTTTTTGTTGCTCTCCGTTCAAGTCATATACTTTTTGATGGTAGCAATTGTTTATGTTGATAAAAATGAAAAATTTATTCTGGTAGGATAATTTTTCAAATATTTTCAAAACATTTATCACTTGATAATATTTCTGCCCACTTTGAATATTTCATTTAATTTTGCACTCTCCTTAAAATATATAGAACTCTCTATTATCGGAATCATTTTAGGTTTATCACTAGAAATTATATACTGTTTTTGTAATATTCAAAACAGTTTAATTGAAATTGAAGGTTGTTACTCATCAAGACTGGTGAACTTGTTTTACTTACTTATGTAGTTTATAATTTGCTTTGTAGTGCAGAGCAACGAATAATATTTGGTGGCACCAATTCTTTTGTTGTTCTCAAGATTTATCATGATTACATAAAAGATAAATAATTATCAGTATAACAGTTGGTACTATTTACAAATCTCAAATTTCATCATATCGTATATAATAGTGTTTTTGATAAAACAATATTGGTACGATTTGGTTTTGATCTATATTTTATTGATTAGTATTTAAACTTCAATTCGGTAAAAGAGACTAGGCGAAGAATTATTTTCGAAAAATTCATAAACAAATTTATTCAAATATGGCCTTTTTAAAAATCCAGAATTAGTAAATTAGTTTACATCATACTCACAATTTTTTACAGCCACTCAAGAATAGAATGTCATTAAATACTAAAAACAAGTGTTGTAGAATGGTGATATCCCTGAGAGATTAAGTATATTGTAGTATGTGTTTAAGTACAAGAAAATACAACTCTATTTAAATTTAATAAATATCGACAAAGCAAATTTAAGTTTTTTGCAATAATCAAGTTTGGAGGCTAATTTATTAAATGTTATTTAATACTGTGATGGATTAATTAAATCTCCTTTAAATGTTAATTTGTACATTAAAACGCTTCTTTTAGAACAATAAAATTATTAACTCTTGATTAATTTTATAGATATAAAAAGCTAGTTCTATCTCTTATTGACAAGGGAACAATCTTTGGATCAATACCTTAATACCTTTAGAATATAGCTTGACAAAATCTTAAGCACACTAGAGAAATACAAGAATATCTTTGAAAGACAATATGACTTGGAAAGTGGAAGATTATTGGAATTTCAGAACTCAGATTAAATATCTATTAATATTGTATCTTCATATTTGTTTATTTTTTACAGTAATTATTTTAAAGTAATCAACAAAATTAATGATAGGTTAAAGATCTCTGGAAGAAACAAAATGACTTGCTTGCCTACGATAAGATAATGAATACTAAATTTCAGAAGAGTAAATATATATATTTAAATAATTCATAGATGAGGCATTCTTGTTGTCATCAAGTTTCATTTTGAATTCCAATAATATAATCAATAAAAATAATAAGAGACTGCTCCAAATCATAGGAGACCAACTCGAACCAAAACAACTAGTTGATATGTTGCCATCATTTTAAAAGACCGTTTATAATAGTTTTGTCAATCAGTATTTATATTAAGGTCTAGATATAAATTAGCCTTTGACTCTATATTTATATAAAGATGAATATTTGGTCGAGTGCAATTTATACATCTATGTAACAATTACGAAAGATGACATCATTTTGTAAAATTTAATTGTTATTAAAAACCAACCCAACCATTTTGCTTTATTTGATTCAGAAGGGAAAATGTTAGGGATCTCTTAATAAATTTATGAATTTTTAACATCTAAGTCAGACAATGCATTTACAAAAAAACTGAGTGTCTCTGAATTCGTCCAATAAGGAATGATCCAATATTATCTTCCAGAAATATACTCTCATATTTAAGAACTAGCTACTTAGTATTCTTTAGGGACATTCCAATAAGCAGTGAATATTGCTTCTAGATGGTAATTCCCTGTAAATCATAAGAAGTGTCTTGACTAAACTTAAGCATTAGGACTTGTTAATGATGAAGCAACTATTTCCTCGTAATTTAAAAAAATCTTTTATTCCTCTTCCACAAAGCGATTGCCTTCTTCTAGATAACCTAAATTAACTGATGAAGTACCCACCATTAAAGATACTAAAATAAAGATTATGCAAATGCAAATCATGAACTAAATACAAGCACTTGTAGTTCCACCATCAAGAATGAAAAGTATAGATTTTGAAGGATCATTGGAATTTGTACAACAGAAATTTATAGAGTCAGATACTACCTACTTTGTTTTGAAATTCAAATAGATAGAAGAATTTTAACAATAAAAAATAGCTTAAATTCCTTAAATAGAAGACAACTAAAATATATCATTAATCACTGATGAGTCGTAATTTGAAGGATTGTAAACAGATTATGAATTCATTTCCAATCTTATCAAAAGCAAGAAATTATATACTCCATTAAAGTACAATATTTGGATACTATTACTAATGATTTGTGTGACCACAATTTCTTTACTGGTGAGTTACCTGTTGAATTATTACAATATGATCCACTAACAATATGATGTCAATTTTTTGAATACTCCGTAGGCTATGACTTTCAACATTGGAGCCTCCTTCATGTTGATGTGGAATCAGTATTGTATTGAAAACTAACTTTATCGAATTAGTCCGTACTTAGAATTTAGAAGGGAAAATTAATTAATATATGTTTTCGATTTCTGGGGCAGTGTGCATGAAGAATATACAATGAACCTAAGTAAGAAGAGTATTCAATTGGGGATGGATACAATTGATTTAATTAGTTATTAGAATGGCTAAAGGACTTAAACTAGTTTGGATTACTATTAGTTTTATACTATTATGAGAGAAGCACTGGTAAGACAGTTCAAGAAAACAGACTTTAAGAATATCACGACTTTTGATCCAGATATACTCAAGACCAATGGATTAATTAGATAGAATATGTTAAACATATTTAAATTTCACAATTTTGTACTAGATGATATGATTTCATCAACTGAGTAATCATTTTCTTAATTTGAGAATCAGACATTCATATTTTGTGTATATTCTTCGATAGTCATATTATTTCTTTTGATTATCTTCTTTATTATCAATTGTAGGTTATTAAGGACTGAGACCAAATTAATCAGACTTTTGTAATATTTGAATATTAAAATTATTCAAGAATAGATAGAAATCTTGCATTTTTAAAAAGATCAATTATCAAAACTATTACTGATTTAATTTTAATCAAAAGAAGAACCTGTCACTTAAAAGCAAAGTGAGAAAGTTATTGCAAATTAACCCAAATTTAATCCATTAAGCAAATTGGAAAATTATAATGAAAAGTATACTTTGTTGATAATCTTGTCATTAATTATTGGTTGCGAATTGATATTGTTTATATTTGGATCTTAATTGATTTCCAGATTATATAATAGTCAATATTAAAGTAGTTTAATCCTTACAATGAAGTACCTAAAATTGAAGTCAAGACTTGATTCTGCAGTAATAGTGGGGGAAGTCATGAAGACTGAACATATAATCAAGAACAACAGTGCAATTGAATACATAAATTAAACTGATCATATTGAATTCTTTTTCAATAATATTGATGTTTTGCTCTATCTTTCAGATTAGATCAATAATGAATTAGTCACCACAACCTCGTATAATTAATCATTTCAGCAACAATTAATTGACATCTTTAATGATGACCTCTGCACTTACTATACCAGCATATTGAGTTTTTGCTAAATAAGTAGCATCAAATAGCAATATTATGAAAATGAAAATTATCTCACTTTGATTGATAAAGGCATTTATGGGATAATTTAGGACTTAAATAAATTATCTAAAGAGGAGTTCAACTTTGAAAAAGTTAATCTAGGTTATGAGTTTGATTAGAGTCATTCAGAGTAATTTCTGTCATCACCTCTTCATTTCCACTTATTTCTACAATACTTCATTGAATTGCAAACTTGCATCTATTTTTGTTTCTTAGATATTTTTACTGAAACACAGATATTAAGCAACAAATTATCAAATTAAATCTTAACTTATCTAATCACTTCATCAGTTGCGTAAATATTTGTAATTATTTTAGATTTCTCATCTTTACTTCTCTTGTGTCAGCTTTTTGGATTAACAAATAGTATAACAGATTAAATCAATTGAAGTTGATTGCTACATTGTTTCCACCTGTCCTAATTCATCAGAAAGGATTTAATAAATTGTTGTACTCCTAATTAATACAGATTAAATGAAATATTAATACTTTTATGTTTCAATTTTAATATCAAGACAAATTTATTTAATTTTAAACAGATACCCAAAATAAAAGATACTTTTTTAAATATTAATAATATTATGATGCTAAATGATGTATTAAAGATATCTATTAATTTTTAATTATAGGAATAAGAATAAAGAATTGAATTCAATTAGTACTTGGAAAAATTAATATTCATTGATTATGGGAGTATGTATATTTGTATTGATTATTTGTGTTATTATTATTCGTAGAATTTGTTTAATGGAAAAATTAAGATGTTTAATTATGAGGATAAGTTTGGAGAAAATTCGAAATTTGTAATTTAGAAAGAAATCAAGTATTTAGAGATTGAGATTGATTAATATAAAATAGAATTTAATAAAATTATGATAACTCTTCACTTTTTTTACAACATGGAAAAACCTATTTGTGAAAAATTTCAACTCATTCCTGTAAAATTTAGAAAGAACCTTTGTTAAAGAGTAAGAGACTTAAAGGCAAGATAGCAAAGAAAGAAAAAGAAAAAGGAGAGAGGGAAGTACAGAAGCTATAGTCTAAATTTAAAAATTTGTGCGCTCAAATGGATTGAGGAAGGAAGAGATGAAAGAACGATAGCTGAAGAATTAGACATTCCATTGAAGAACATTAGAAGGTGGAAAAAGCAAGGTCCTTTTCGTAAGAAGGGGTGTGGGCGCAAATCTATTGATTTGGAAATGGAATAAAAACTGGCAGCATGGTGTCATGAAACTATCAGAAATACAAATAAAAGGGTCTCTCGAGCCATGATTTAAACATAGGCCTTGAAAATGATTAAGTAAGGAGTGGATTTCAAAGCAAGTAAAGGTTGGACAGATAAATTTGTTAGAAAATATAAACTAATTAGAAATAAAAGGATTTCAAAATCATGAAATATAATATTAAAATATAATAATATTTATGCAATCACCTCAATTCTAGAAATCAAATGAGAATTCCTCAAAAAGCGAATAATTTACTTACGGATGGTTACCAATCAAAAATGATGTCGAATAATCAATAGTTTCCTATTTGGATTAGTTGGGAATTAATCAACTAACATAAGTTGAAAAACATTGCAATTAAAGAAATTCATTTTATAGTCTTGATGCAGCACTGACACCCCCAAAGCAACAAAGGCGAGTTTCCCTGACGATGGACTCAGAACTTTTTTAAAGAAGAAGCTTTAGAATGTGTTCTGATTAGATATGAATTAAAAACGAAAGAATAGAGAGTAATTAAATATTTTTATGTTATTTATAATCTATTTATCTCTCTTCATCTTCATTAAATAAATTTATTTGATTTACCTCTTTAGTGTGTAACAACTGAGGAAGTATTTAGAATTACACACTCGGAAATAGTCTACAAAATGATTAAAATCAGCAAGAAATTATCACAATTTCTTTATTGAATGCAACTTAATCTTAAAATCCCTTGTTTGTAATTATTAATATTAGAGGTTTGCAATTTAAGAAAGATAAAATTTAGGCAAACATAATCACATAATATTTTTTAAATTTAGGATAACAGAAATTGTTGTTTATTCTAAAATATGGTTTGAAAAGAATGTTTAAAATTGGAAATATCTAATATCTTAAATAATCCCTTTTTAAATAATTATTAAGCGAAAAGCAAATAAAATTACTGAACCATCATTAGTGAATTTTATTAAATTAAAATTAAAGAATATATGAAAAACCATTCACTATATATGTTCACTTGTCACAATAAATAGAAATAATTAATGAACTAGTCTAACCAAGGCAACAGAAATTGGAATAACATATATATTGATCATAAGTGTTTCAAGTTAGTTGGATGAAGCATTTTAAGTAATTTAATTTACTAGAAAATAAAATTTAAAAAATAAAGCTTTCCATTTGCAAATAAATACATTAAATATTATGATAATAAATAAAAAAAATATCCTTTGTGGTCTTATTTTCATTTGCATCAATATGCCTCTGCCGTTATCAGGTATCAAACTAATTTTTCACTTTTATGACTTAACAGGAAAGTGTTGAATTAAATTATATTTTGAATTATCATCTATTTGCACTCTAAAATATAACTAATTAACTATATTTAAGTGACGCTTAATTGTTGTAAATTTTATAATGAAATTTAATAATAAAGAATTTTGGTATTATTTGAAATGCTTTATTGATATTGCTCTATCGGGAATAATTTATAGTTATTCAAAAGATTCTTTTATAGTATCCATCAATACAATCATAATTCAGTTACTGGGCATTTTATTATCGCCTTGCATAGCGAAGAAATTTGGTGGCAAAAAGAGAAAATACATATAGATTGTGATGTTAGCGGCACAAATGGTGCAAATATATTATTGTTGCTTTTATTTTACAGAAATACTGAGATATGGTTATCTTCTTATAAAATTTTATGAGAAACAATTAATAGATGTTCTTTAGAAATAAATTAGTTACATCATCCTAATCGCTTTGAATGCTGTGTAATTATTTTTGATGATCTCTCACAATGAATTAGGAGTTACATACATTACAGTAGGTTATGCAACTATGTTGATCATCAAAGAAAAACATTTAATTATAAGGAAATAGGAAAAAATTAAATTCGAATAATTATCAAAAACAGAGATCAAACCAATATAAAATTAGATTAGACAATCTTTGTTAATTAATCGGATTAATGAATCTGTTAGTCTGAAGTGGATGAATAAATTGCAAAGTTTCCCTGTGGGAATCGTAATAGTTAAAAAGGACAATTTAGACATACTTTTTGAAAATGATTAATTGCTATAAATTTTTTAAGCTGAAAGAGACATTGGCAGATTCATCCTTGAGAGTTTGGAATGCACAATAATTCAAAAGAAAAACACCTATTTTACTAATCAAACAAGCATAGTTTTAGAGAAAAATAGTCTTCTTTAGCCTTCTGGTTCCATAAATCTAACTTAGCAATAAATTTAAAACAAAACATTCACTATAAAATAAATTCTAAATCTATTAAATTTAGGGCAATTAGAGAAGATTAAGTCAAATGATGATCAGTTAGAATTATCTGCTACTTTTTGCAAGGGAAATGAAGCATTCTTTGAAGAGAGAAATCTATTATTTAAAATTTCATATGCCCAAGATGAAACTGAATATTTGATAATAATTCAAGATATTACACTTTAAACAAATGTCAAAAAGATGGAAACAAAAGAACAATTCATTGTAAAAATGATTGATTCTTTTTCTCATGAATTAAGAACACCATTAAATAGCGCAGAGCTATTTTTATAAGGATTAAGTTAAACAAACTAATTACCAATTCAATTGAAGGAACATTTTATTGACCCTGCTAAGAATTCATTAAGATTGTAAGCATATATAATAAGAGACATCATTGATTTCACGCAATTCAATTAGAGGATGATTAAATATCACTTTTCAGATTTCAATTTTGTTGACATCATCCAAGAAATAAACGATTTATTTAAGCTTATATTCTAACACAAGAAAATAGGATTGCATGTTAATGCTCAAAGGTCTATTCCAAATATCATAAAGTCTGATTTCTATAGAATTATGCAAATCTTAGTTAATATTATCTCGAATTCAGTTAAGTTTAGTTCTTAAGGCTAAGTTGAAGTGGTAATTCAAGGGTTTGATGACTATGTATTATTCAAAGTCTAGGATTAAGGATAGGGTATAGAACCTTAACTCTTAGCAAAAATCTAATAAACTCTATAAGACTTTGCATTAAATCGAAGCATTTCTCAATAGCATGAGTGGTAAGGCTTAGGACTTTTAGTAAGTTAGATGAATTTGATAACTTTGGCTCCTTAAAATAAATCGCATCTCTAAATTACTTCAAAAGGAGTAAATCAAGGTGTAGAAGTTAAATTCAGAATTAAGACTCAAACCTAAGTGTTCTCTTAATAATTAGGTTAAATTAAAACATTCAAAAGAGGATCTCTAGCTACACCTAATACAGTTCCTGATCTTAGCGAAGGCTTGTAAGGTATTACATGTATAGAACTATTTTTATAGGGCTATTAATCATAGCTAATTCTGTGTGTAAAAATACTTCAGTTAAGAACATACCCGTCAAGGATCTTTCATCCGTGGCCAATTATTATGGGAAACCATAGTAGAATTAGATGCTGGAAATTTAATGTTAATTTGAGACGGATGTTTAATATTAAGGTAGAAAGAGATATGATATTAGCTTTTAGATTCTGATAGATTTGAATTGTCTCATCAACTTATGTATGTATAATCAAATTTTAATCCTAAATTCATAACAAATAAGCAGAGTTAAAATTCATTAGTGTCTAGAATGCAATAAAGGATAGATGATCAAAGTTAAATCTAATCCAATTTCAGTAAGGTTAAGTTGAAATTTACATGTTAATGTCAAAGAGCTTTATCTGTGGATGATGATTCTTTCAATTAGAAGGCTCTCGAAATGATTCTGGGACAGATGGGATTTGAAATACTACTTGCATATAATGGTTAATAGGCAATTGAGATTGTCAAAAATACCAAGAGATGCAGTGAGGATTGTTAACTCTATGTTTTCATTTTGATGGATTGCCAAATGCCAATTTTAGATGGCTGGCAGGCAACTAAAAGATTAAGAAATATGATGATTGGGAAGATCATTCCTTTCATTCCTATTATTGGATTAACTGCTTTCAATGGATAATATGAAATAGAAAAATGTTTTGATAGTGGAATGCAAAAGGTGTTGACTAAACCATTGAATATTGACGATTTCAAACAAGCGTTGATTCGCATTTATAGGTAGGTTTGATGAAATAGTAAAGTAATATGAATTATTGTTTTGACATGATATAAATTTCAAATTTTCTTATCTCCTTAATCAGGTATTTTAAGCATTTCTTAATAATTATAAATCATTATACCTTTGATTTTCTCATCAAATGATGTATCATCTAAACTACTTAAATTAATTGATGGAAAGTAGGCCTTTGGATCAAAGTACCCTAGAACATCATAGAATCATAATCAACCTTTTGCAATTAGAAAGTTTTATCTTAAAACTATTTCTTTGACTTTGTTATCATCAAAGTATATCATATCATCATAAGGATCAAATTCTTAGGTTCCAGGTTTTCCTAATCTAAGGAACTCTCGAATTTTTTCTGGGTCTAACGATTATCCTTTAGGAATGTTTTGAGTTGGCTTATAATTTATAACCTTATAAATTTAAGACCATGCCTCAGGGTCATTTCTATCTAAGATTTTACAAAAAAGGAATTACATTTGTCCAATAAATTAGCGAAATCTTGCATCACTTATTCTGGTTTCTGCATGTTAATTTTTTAAATTATTAATATTTTTATACTTATACTCATCTAATTCTCACTGCATCTATTTGAATTAATTTAAGTATTAAAGATAGTAATTTCATTATATAATCATGAAATTAAGCAACAGGATTTTATTTATGTTTTTTGTTTTAATATTTTGGTTCAATTTCAATAGTAAAAATTTTAAAATATTCTATTTTATCATTATTCATCTATTAATAAATAATACTCTAAAATCTTATAATTTTTAATAATTAGTCAGTAGTATTATTATGGCCAAATCTAATAATTCTAATTATAAATGAACAACCATTGAGAATTCTTTTGATTTTTTTTATATTGTTGGAGAAGAGATCAAGAATTTTTGAATTGACTAATAATTTAATATTTTCTATTTGAAAATACTATAGTTCTGAAAACAATTGGTTGAAATTTATACATTTATCAATAGCTTCTATATTATTTCAATCATATATATAAATAAAATATTAATAATTTTAAGGTTGATAATCAACCTTATTTTTGGAGCAGTAAACCTATTGGCAGTTATTTTGTTGATTTGTTTGTAGCTTCTCCAGGANGGATTGTTAACTCTATGTTTTCATTTTGATGGATTGCCAAATGCCAATTTTAGATGGCTGGCAGGCAACTAAAAGATTAAGAAATATGATGATTGGGAAGATCATTCCTTTCATTCCTATTATTGGATTAACTGCTTTCAATGGATAATATGAAATAGAAAAATGTTTTGATAGTGGAATGCAAAAGGTGTTGACTAAACCATTGAATATTGACGATTTCAAACAAGCGTTGATTCGCATTTATAGGTAGGTTTGATGAAATAGTAAAGTAATATGAATTATTGTTTTGACATGATATAAATTTCAAATTTTCTTATCTCCTTAATCAGGTATTTTAAGCATTTCTTAATAATTATAAATCATTATACCTTTGATTTTCTCATCAAATGATGTATCATCTAAACTACTTAAATTAATTGATGGAAAGTAGGCCTTTGGATCAAAGTACCCTAGAACATCATAGAATCATAATCAACCTTTTGCAATTAGAAAGTTTTATCTTAAAACTATTTCTTTGACTTTGTTATCATCAAAGTATATCATATCATCATAAGGATCAAATTCTTAGGTTCCAGGTTTTCCTAATCTAAGGAACTCTCGAATTTTTTCTGGGTCTAACGATTATCCTTTAGGAATGTTTTGAGTTGGCTTATAATTTATAACCTTATAAATTTAAGACCATGCCTCAGGGTCATTTCTATCTAAGATTTTACAAAAAAGGAATTACATTTGTCCAATAAATTAGCGAAATCTTGCATCACTTATTCTGGTTTCTGCATGTTAATTTTTTAAATTATTAATATTTTTATACTTATACTCATCTAATTCTCACTGCATCTATTTGAATTAATTTAAGTATTAAAGATAGTAATTTCATTATATAATCATGAAATTAAGCAACAGGATTTTATTTATGTTTTTTGTTTTAATATTTTGGTTCAATTTCAATAGTAAAAATTTTAAAATATTCTATTTTATCATTATTCATCTATTAATAAATAATACTCTAAAATCTTATAATTTTTAATAATTAGTCAGTAGTATTATTATGGCCAAATCTAATAATTCTAATTATAAATGAACAACCATTGAGAATTCTTTTGATTTTTTTTATATTGTTGGAGAAGAGATCAAGAATTTTTGAATTGACTAATAATTTAATATTTTCTATTTGAAAATACTATAGTTCTGAAAACAATTGGTTGAAATTTATACATTTATCAATAGCTTCTATATTATTTCAATCATATATATAAATAAAATATTAATAATTTTAAGGTTGATAATCAACCTTATTTTTGGAGCAGTAAACCTATTGGCAGTTATTTTGTTGATTTGTTTGTAGCTTCTCCAGGAATACCATCCATTTTCTATATCAGATTCCAATCATAAATATTGTCCATCTCAAATTCACTCTTTGTAAATAAGTTTTTAAATAAAGTTCTTAAGTAATTGTAATCAGGTTTTTCATCTAATCTTAAATTTTTTACATAAGTTAAGTATGTAACAAATTCTTATGGATATCCTTTGCATAATGATTCAATTGATATTTAAAGCTTTTTCCCCATAGTACTTTCATGGTATTCTTTTTTCATGCTTACTTTCAAGTTTTACCAGGGGAGAGATCCTTTTAAGAAGTAAATCATGACATAACCTAATGATTCAAGATCATCTCTTCTTCCCTTTAATTTAAATGTATTATTTACTTGCTCAATACCAAGAAGGGCATTGATTGAAGCAAACCAGACTGCCCCTGTTAAACTTTTACCTTCCTTGTAGGGAATATGTTCGCCATCTTTTTGAATATATTTCTTTGCCAATCCAAAATCAATAATATACACCATATGAGCTCTATTTAAATTTAAATCTAAAGTACGTTGTGCCTGTTCCAATTAAAAAGTTGTCAGGTTTAATATCACGATGTAAAATGTGCCTAGAATGAACATATTCAATCCTTTAAATCATTTGATCAGCCAACATTAATACTGACTTTAGTGAAAACTTTCTGCCGCATGAATGGAATAGATCTTCTAAAGAAGGGCCTAGGAGATCCATTACCATGATATTATATTCACCTTAAGTTAACTAAAATATGTACTCTCTGATGCACAATAGTAAACATTTGGAATTCCTTTATCAATTACTGAGGGTTCTTTTAACAAGTATTAGTATACTTTTCCTTCAAAAAACAATTGTGGATGTTTAGTACTAACAGGCTCAAGTTTAACTACCACTTCCATGTTTGTTTTGAGATTGATTCCATGAAATATTTCTGCATATTTACCTGCACCTAATTTCTTTGTTAATTTAAATGAACTCCCTATATTTATGTCCATGAATGATAATTATAATTCTAATGTTGCTTAAGTAATAACTAAATTAGGTTGATTTAATAATTGCTGTATCTTATATTTTTATTAATATTTGTGTTTAACAATAAATGTCTAATTCCTTTCAATATGCTTTTATAGATTCAGTCATATCTTATGACTACATAAAAAGAATCCAAGAATTCTTATAATCTTCTCCTTTGAGCTCGTGAATTATTATTTTTTGCCTGCTTTTAAGAATATTAGTTTATATCTTATTGTGCTTCCATTTCCTTTAGCAAATGTTTCCATTCACTAGCGATCAATTTTGTAATTCCTTAAAATTGTAAACCTAGTTTCAGGTTTATAAAGACTTGAATATTGCGATTAAAATCTCTCCTTCTTGAACTAAAAATATTATTAATTTACAATAAAAGTGATGAAACATAACAAGGAATAATTAATCAACAAGGAAAATCTGAAAATAATTAGATAATCTGAACTGATTCAAAATACAGTGGTGTGGACCAATAAAAATTTGTTCCTTCGTTATTGCCAATCTTAGAATTATTATTACACTAGAGATGTAAATGAAATTCTTGCCGATACTTCATCAAAAGCTGTAATCAGATACAAGGATTGGTATGGATATGATGACGATGTAATGTTTTCAATAATTCTAAGGATGAGTACCTAAAAAGGTTTTATTTTACTGATGAATATCCGCAGAAGGTCCAGTTATTAACTGAATACTATAAAGTAAAATTAACCATATAACAGAGTTTCATACAGATATTGCCAGATTATTTATGGAACCAATTGCGACCTTGCTAAACAAATACTACGATAAGAAGCGCAAATATGAGTACTATAGGATTGCTCATTTGATTGAAGAAGAGAATAAGAAAAATCCCAATCGCCCTCCAAAAGGTATTGTTGGTGAACGACCCTCCCCTGCTAATTCTCAGGAAACCCAAAAAGAGGAGGAAACACCTACAGCAGCAAGGAGAATCAGAAATATTCAAATTTTGAAAGACCTGAGTTGGTTAAATAAATCAAGATTATTAAACAAATAGAAAATTGATATTTCATGCACATTACAAGAAATTTGCAAGCATCTGGGTAATTAGGCTTTTGAACAATCCTCACTTTTTATCCAGGCAGGTAAAACAGAAGAATTGCAATTGAATAAATTTCTAACCTATATGAATCAGTAGGTGAAGAAAACCTAGATCAAAGGAGATTCTCAACACCTAAAGCCTAAAAAAAGGTTGACTCAACCTCATGAATTGTTAATTTAAACTTTGATTTAAAAACAATAAGAAGAATCTAAATCTAGGTTTGGTTCTCAGCATTCTAAACAAAACACTGAATTATTGCTACAGATGAATAAATTATCGAAAGATGTTAATGTGAATTTTGTGAAAAATCAAGTTGATTCCATATTCAAAAGCAAATAAAGTAATGAGAATCCTCAAAGTCTAACAAGAGTTGATCAGAATGAACAAATTAAATAATCTGCCAATCCAAAATCTAAAACTATTATCTAGCATTAACCCAAGATCTCTACTCAACTTTTTCTGAAAGACTTGAAGAAAAATGTGCAATCTATTCCTTAATTACTCAATAAATATAATCAAAATAACATACCATCTCCTGCAACCAATCCTCATAATAAGGTCTCCACATCCAATCAAACCAATATAGGTAATTATTCTCTATCATCTTTGTAGGCAAATTAAATCTAAAATAAGTATCTAAAATATTGATTGATGAAGACCCTACAGAATAAGAAATCAAATGGAAAAATGGATCCTAAACCCATCGACCTCAATCAGGGACTCAAAACTTCTTTTCAAACAGAAACAGTCCCACTATTTCCAGGGGAGCACAAAATGATCTAAAAATAAACAAAATCAAGTAGACCCCAACCGCATCATAATAAGCAAATTCAAAAACAACTAAATAATCAGGATCTCAAACGAATCGAAAATCTTCTCAACCTAATATTCATATTCGTTATACATCCAATCAAGACAAAGTCATTAATATCAACATCAATATTAATGATCATCCAGAGCTGTAGAAATGTAATTATAAAAATATCCTTTAGAATAATAGTAAAAGCATAAGAAAAATTAATCGGAAGGTAAACCTCTTTAGTTGAATACGAATTTACCTGATACTTAATAAGAATACGTTTGTTTAACTGACAGAGGAGGAGCTAGCGAATTTCTATTCAAAAATAGCATTGCTGCTTCTTGTCAAAATTCGCCAAAGACTCAAAAATTAAAACGAGTTAGTAGCGGAACAACAACTTTGAAGTGCTCAATGAGTACAAAAAACTCCTTAATACAATAAATGATATCTTAAGTAACCAAGCAATAGTAAAAATAAGAAGTTCTTCCATCTTAGTTTAGAAAACCTATTTGAAAATTAGAATTTAATTATTAATTTTAATATTAAAATAAATATTCCCTCCTTCCTAGATTTTGAATGAATGATAATGTTTCTAAAGCCTTTTTGTGGATGTGATAAAAATCCAAATATTGGGGTGTTTCATATAATGAACAAGCTGATAAAATGAAAATAAAATCAATGCCCAGTTAGTTTAAAGTATAATAAATTTAATTCATATTGCATTATGGATTACTGTATATATACAAAATTTTTAATAAATTCATTTCAAAAAAGCAAATACTAGACTCATAGCAACTCATTAATTAATTGATCTAATTTTCATTTGAATATTTATTCCTGAATGACGCATGCTTATGCTATGAACCAATAATAATTACTCTTTTATGCAATAAATATGCTAGCATATAATTAAAAATAAAATAGAAGATTTATAGAATGGGGAACAATGGTATTCTTTATTTGATAGAAACTAAAAAGCTTAATATTGGAGTCAAAAAAGTAATATAACAAATGACTACTTATTTTGAATAATGCATATAAATTCTATTAAGCTGATAAATTGTCTTGTATATTTCTTACGTAATTATATAATTTCAATAATATGTTAAACAGATTTTGTTGATAGTAATATCTTAGTATATAAAATTATTATTAATGATTCCGATTAGGCATTTTCAGAAGTTCGAGTTAACTAATGACAATTAAAGTTGATCTTTCAAGGTCTTCAAAATGCCAGTGAGAAAAACAACTTTGATTTAGATAAAACTAATTAAATATAAATCATAATTTGAAATTGAATAGCCATATTATCAAATAACTGAATTAAATAACATTGATATATATATCTGATAGATATATAAATTAATTTTATATAAGATTAAATAATCAATACATATTGTAAATTCTAAAGGGTTGTTTCTAAGTAAATCTAAGAAAATTTAAAAAATCATTATCTGAGTTATCAAGTACCATATTTTGCTAAAAGAAAGAGAGTTTGAGAAGCAATAGTCAAAGTTTCAGTTTTCTTATATTATATTTTCTTTGTCATTTATCGACATATTTCATAAGGGTCAGGTGATTTTTTGCGTTTTACATAGCCATTTAATTTTCTTTTAGCTACTAGGCTAGAGCCCAAATAAACTTTCTTTAACGGACTATTTGATCTCGAAGTTTTTGGTGTAGTTTTTTAACTAGTGATTTGAGAATGGATTGTGATGTTATTGTCATGGTAATCCAATTTTTGTTAAACTCTAAAGTTAGGACTTGGAATATTTAAGTCAATAACAATATTATTGACAGCGCCTTCATGCTGAGTTGAAATTCTCAATCTTTTGAATTTGTTGGGTGAATTTTCGTATTCTTTATAAAAGTAGTTGGGCTTTGATTTGATTACATTTAGAGGTTGTTATAAAAGTTCAAGGAACTAAGATGGAGGTTCCTTGAATTAGGAAAATTATAGTGCTTTATCAAGCATATAAAAATTTTAATAAGCTACAAATTAAAGTGAACTTCTTATGTTTTAAGCAAATCTATTAAGGTTGTAAAATAACAAATAATAGAACAAATTTTCCATGACCTAGTTATAACTTAAGTTCTATTAGAAAAAATTTGAGAGAAAGGTGGTTTTGAACTGAAGTTGGAATTGCGAGGATGGGTATAGATAAAGGATAAAATACGAAGGCATTTCCTATTTTATTATTGAAAATAGGTGAATTCAAAGATATATTAAAATATTATAGTGATTGTTATAACTTAGTAAATAAGTAAGCAAGTAAGTAAAATTATGATTGTAGAACAAATAGACATGTGTGTGTAAACATATCAAAAGATGAAGCACTATAAAGTAAGGTTGGTATTCCTAATGAAACTGATTAGGGTATAGGAGTATTTGATATCAAGGATTGCAAATCAATCTGACATTAAAAGGACTTGCTCATTAGGATTTGGTTAAATGAAGGTATGTAGATAAAAATAAAGAGTTGTTGGTTGGTAATACTAAAAACACACCAAAAGGAAAGTAGCTGTTAATATAAAGTAATTAGATTAATAAATATTTGGAGGCATTTATATAATTAATTTAGAAATTGAATTTGAATTTCATAGTTAAGAAATGTCATAACAAATGCAATAAATGTTCAAATAACAATAAGCTTAATAATTTTTAGCACAATAATTTTCTAGCAAACCTGATAAGATCAAACTTTCAAATTTGATTCCTACACAGATCAACGAGAACTTTTTTAACAAAAAAACCAATGATGTCATGGAAAAGAAACCTTTATCACCAAGATCAAGCAATTAAGCAACTAAACCGTCTTAAAAACCATCCCAACAAATTGCCATTCATAAATCCAACACTTCCTTGCAAAATAAAAGTCATATTGTAAATGAATAATTCTAAGAGAAATTGAACCAATTTAGTAAGAGGAGAGATTATTCACCCAATTCCCAATTAAGCAACTATAAAAAAAGCGAGGAATTCATATAAAGGAGACCTTCTTCACTTGTGAACGAAGAATATTCAGCTACTCCTTAAATTAACAGATTTATAGCAAAATCTCCAACCCCATCCGAAATATAAGAAAGCGTGGCATCTCTACTATAAAACCATTAAAGTAATAAATTCTTATGTTAATTCAAGCTATTCAATCTCCAAAGGGTTCAAATTCACAAAAACCAAAGACTAATCCATTGCAACTGGGACCTTACTTGTCAATCCAATAGTAACAACCAAAATCAAGCCATAAATTGAAAGGGCATAGTTCAGCCAATTCAGTCTCATATAATTTGAAACCAAATATTCTAAAGAAATGCGATTTCGGAATGAATCACACACCAACCAAAGTTACAACTACAACTTTAAACACAGAACATAGTAAGAGTAAATCAGTTTTGGATGAGCAATGCATTAGAATGATATATTATGACAGAGAAAAGGAGAATGATATGAATTTGTTAAACATTGGTACTCCAAGTACTTATTTGCATTCTAAAATATCGATTGAATAATAAAGTGTAAAATATTAACATTGATAATAGGTTGGTGAAAGTTTAAATAGCAAATTCCATTAAGCCAAAACATTAACTTAATAATCACCATATCAAAATACTAGTGGATCTAATGATCACCTACAGGAATCATTTCCTGTTAGAACATGCATTAATCATAGAACCAAGAAGGCTAAATACTTTGTTGATGAACATCAAAAATAGACATTCTATTGTTCACAATGTGCTATTGTTGTTGCTAGTCAAGGCAAGATTGTACAAGATTTAAGCCAATTGATTATCAAGTCGTAAGAATCCTAAATATTATCATTTTAATCAAGTTCAGTAGATTCAAATAGACATTCTAATTCTTTAGATGTTAATTTCAAGGAAAGAGAATTAAGTGGATTCTTAACTAAATTGGAGTACTCAAATTCTCAAAGAGGCGATATGTTAAATTAAATGCAAAATCAAATTGAAAAAGTTAATGCATGGTATGAATCTTAAATTGGAAAATGTCAATAGTCCAAACAAGTAATGCAGCAGATAATTAATGATGCTTGCAATAACAGCACTCAGATACTGTAGAATTAACGATAAGAATCTTTAAAATAATTATCTAACTTATACTATGTATTACAGTAGCATTAATTGGATGCCTAAAATATCAAATAGGATATTGAAAAGAATTGGACTGAAGTCTTAGAAGATATAAGGATGGAGCCTTTCAGGAAAATCATGGATTATTATTAGTCTGAATTTGTGAAAATGAATGAATTCCAAATTCAGTTACTATCATCTACTATTCAAATGAAGTCTTTGGCGAAAACAGATATGCAGTCTGCTTTAGCTTTAATTGTGTCTAAGTATTGACTTTCTCTAAATATTAGTTTTCAATTAAGTGAATCTGAACAGCAATTAATTCTGCATAACAATTCAATTTTCAATCAAACGATTAGAACATAGCCTACTCCTCCTAAGAAACGAACTGATACTGTGGAATCTTAAATCAACTAATCAAATTAGTAATAGAGAGTTAAAACCGATTACAGTGGATCCAAAACACAACCACAAAACAATGAAACTCCATCTAATTTTTACTAATATTTTAATGATACAAATATTTATTAACTAAGTGCTTCCAAACTATAATAATAACAATCACAATAACAATAACACCCAAATAAAAACAATCTTTATATTTCTTTTGAAAATAAAGATATATTTATGAATATTTTGGAATCTGAAAAGAATTCCAAATAAAGCATACATGAAGACAAATAATCTGTCACTTCCAATCCTATTATGATTTTAGAGAGTTACAGAGAATCCAAAAGAAATATACCTGAAGAAGATTAACAATTAAGCGATCATGAATCACCCAAATCCACTCCTCACAGTCCTGCCAGTGGATAGACTAAACAATCAGTCTAAAGAACAGCCACAAAATTAGAAGAGCATGCTCAAATACCAAAGGATGCTTTCTAAAAATAAAAAAGCACTTTCAGAACTCTATTTGATAATACTGAAGATCAATAAAATAGTGAAGTCCTCCAGAATGATTCGAGTGTCAGTCCTGCTAAAAGTGAGAAATTCCGATCTATTCTAAACAAAATCTCGAATAATCAATCCAAAACATAATAGTAAATTATCCCATTTATTCCTTTATAGATTTTATCAATAGATGATTCAATCTAGTCAAAAGTTTGTGTTAGAAACACCTGACATTAAGAAATACGAATTATAAGGAGTTTAATGTTTATAATATCTACAAGACACTGAAACATGTAAGAAGGCTATTTTATCAAATAAATAATCTTAATTGATGGATTCAGTTCAATAAATGAATCTGTGTGATGATCAATAAGATCCAAGTGAATTCGAGAATGACGAAGACAAGGAAGTGCAATAGATGTTTAGTTCTAAAGAAATGAAACATTTCAGTGATTAAAAGTAAATGACATATCCCAGTGAGTCAAGTCAAAATAATAGTCATGTGGAAATACGAAAAGACTAATATCAAAAAACACTGTTTTGTTCCCCACAATTCAAGGATTAAGACATTTTGAATGTATCTGAAAGCAGTGGTGATTCAAATTGATTTTTTAATTAAAATATAAATCAATTAAATTTAGATCCTAAAATATTTTAATCAATAATTATCAATAAATTATTTGCGAAATCATAATAAATAAAATGAATTATTCTCACTGGATTAAAAAAACTATACCAAAAAAATAACAAATGGAAAAGGCATCCCCAAATACCTCAAGTACTTCTAAGAAAAAAATCATTAAAGAAGAATTTATAAGCATACGAGAATTGTATAAGGAGGAAAAATGGTAGCAACTAATTGCAATTTCAAAACGAAATAGAGGGTTGTTCTAAGAGTACGACTAAATTAGAGTGCAAGGGAGAGACATCAATCTTGGAGAGGCAGTTTTAATCAACAGTGGCGATAATCATGAGGAGGATTATGTCGGAATTATCAAATAAATTGTATCTGTAATGGTCCCTAGAACAAACAAATACATTTGCTTATGCAATGTTGAATGGTACATGAGAAAGAGTGAGGTTATTAAAAACCATCCAAAAAGTAATGAATGGGCTTCGGAATAGGAAATCTTTAAAACCAAACTTTCTGAGTATATTTTGGCTTAGACGATAATAGACAAATGCAATATTGTAACATGTAAAGAATATGCTGAATTGAAGGAAATAGAGTCAAATGTTTACTTTAATAGATTGTCATGGGATTTGGAAAAAAATAAATTTAGGGGATATGATAAACTGCAAAAATTTTGTTTGTGTCATTAACCTTTAAATCCTGATAGAAAATACATTTAAGTAAATAAATCGATATATGATAGTGTGATTCATGTAAGGAATGGTATCATTTTGAATGTGTTGGAATTCTTGAGGAGAAGATGGGGAATGGCCATTATTTTTGTTCAATTTGTAAGTGAGTTAGTTAACATTATTTATATAATATTTTTACAAATAAGTTGTCAAATAAGTTCTCAATCCTTTTCTTCTTCTTCTTCCTCTTCTTCAATATCAAAGCATTCCTGTTCTATTTTATTATCTCGAAATAGATTGATCATATTCTTTTTTTCAATCAATTCATCAAAAATGAGTTCGAATTTGTTGTTTTCAATAACATTGTCTGGTATGAATAGTTTTTTATTTTGAGGCCATTCTTCAAAAAAAGGAGGGGGGAAAATTGGATCTACTGCAATCCTAAAAAGATTTTCAACCATAGTAGGTATGATCCTGCTGAGTAGTGGACAAGAGAGTTCCAAACAAGGGTTTGTATTTGCTTCAATCAACCACAATTTGAAATTGTCATCAATCATAAAGTCCAATCCATAAAGCTTAACATAAATTAAAATAATTATACCTCAAAACTATTAATTCTACGATGTGGATCTATTTTACCATAAGTAGCCTTCATCATTTCAAGAGCAGCAGACTTCATCTTTGGATAGATGTCTATGAAGAAATTAAATTTTGAATTTGGATGATTGGCTTCAACGTATCTTTAAAATTCAAGATAAGATATTTTATTTCCAGGCTCATGTTTTCCATAGTCTTGATCCTTAGATTAGACAGCATCGTTGGTCAAATGAACAAATCTATCCAAGCATTTCGTAGTGAACTCCTTTGATGATGTTCTAATGTAACCCTCTTGATACCAGTATCCCTTGAAGATCCCATTTTAAGAAGTCAATAGCATATAACATCTGATATCGAACTTCCTCTTATTATATAAAAATGGATTGTCTATATATTATTATACAATGTATGTTCTTGGTCTACCCTCTTGAATTTCCTCGTTGATGATCTTGTTGATTTCATTAAGATCATTACAAACAGTGATTCCATTGCCTCTATTTGTTAATTCGCCTGGTTTGATAATCCATAAATTAATTGGAAGCTTCTTTTTATCCTTCCTCTCTCTAGTTCTTTCGATTTCTTTAATTTCCTCAGTTCTCCTATTAAAGTATTCTAAGAACTTCTGATATTCTATGTCATTAACTCCTTTTTATACATGAAAAGTGACTGGTAGTAACTTATTATAATCCTCCTTTGTAATTTAATAGTAATGCTTCATATTGTAGAACAAAGCTTTTTTGTTACCCAAATGCCAATTGTCCTCCATATGATTGTGCATCCTAAAGGTTTTGCTATCCTGTCTTTGATTAGTACAGAGAGATTTGATGTCTTTGAGCAACTTTTCAGTGCAATCACTGAAAATTAGTTAGGTGTCTTAACATCCGGTATCCTCCATGTAGTTTAAGATTTTCTAGAGATCTTGTTAATTAAAGATTCTTCTTAAAGAATAGTAATTTTAGGGTCTCTTTTATTACTGTTAAGGAGTTGACTTTAATTGACCTGCAGTACTATTTAATTATTTAGGTCTAGCTTCCATGTCTGAGTCACTGGTGTCTCCAATGGTTTCTTCGTGACTCAAAAGGAAGGACTCAGAACTCTATGGTCCTGAATCGACAATGCAGGGATGCAATTAGGTTATGCAAATGTTTTATTTTAATTATGTCCAGGACATATTCACTTTGGTGATATCCAATGTCTCCACTTCTTACCACCACCATCGTTGACGGAACATGTTTTTGATGAGACTGCCGTTATTTCCCTTGCCCACATAATAAAAGTAAGAGGGAACTTCCAATTTGGTGGGACAACAAATACATTAATTGTTGGAGAAATTGATTTTATTGATAAAGCATCTATAGGAAGTGTGACGTTATGTTAACTTTTCTTTTTATTGATTCTGTTGTTAAAGTGCTATTCCTTGATTCACTTTCTTTTTTTTCTTTGGTACTACTTTTTTTTCATTTTAAATGTCTGTGGCTTTAATTTATTACTATTATGAGGAAGTAGAATAGAAAGCATTCTGTTACTTCTTTTCTTTTACTCCTTTGGATTGCGGGGTTTGAATTACAGCTTATTTGTTTTATAGTTTTTGTCTATTTCTAAGTGGACTAGCATGAAACAACTCCTTTTAGGGTGTTCCAGATCTGCTTGTTAGATGATCCTCCTTGTCCTCTTTTGACTTTTACATGAAAGGAGTTGAAGAAGTTCTCCCCATCTTATGGACACTGGTTTCATTTTCTATCGTTGACTTCTATTCACCCTATCCGAATGCTCTATGTTTTCTGGCTAAAGTTTTTTGCATTGTAGGTCTACTATATAAATATGGTATACGTTTCAATGAGAGAACTTTTAAAGGTTTCAGCGCGTTCTTTTGATTGGTTCTGTCTCTCCTTTTGTTTCAGTTTATTTGTAATCAACTTAAGAGGAGGCAATAACTTCTTTGCTATCGACGTATAATATGATTTCTTACATTTCTCTTATTCTCCTTGAGTCTGCAGAATCTGTGGTGTTGTTTACTCTTCCTTACTCATTCTGTCATCATCATTCTGCTTAATCATCATCGTTGAAGAATTGTCGTAAGTCTAAAGATTGATCTCCTTCTATTCACTATGCAGCATCCCTCTATTAATGAAACTTGTAAATATATCTGAACTTGTCCGGTCTTTCAATGTCGTCATTTTAGTTCGCTAAGAGATTGATAAATGTTCTAAGAGTTAGGGATGCACCTTTGTTCCAATCAGTTATTTTTAGTGAAAAGAATAAAAGTCTTTGCTGTTTGAGAAGGTGTCAGCCATTTTCTACGAATATCTAGGTTGTGCAATCATTATTAATAAAATAACTATTAAAATTATAATCAAATCAACTATATGACAGTCCTTCACTTCTGAATGACATTAAATACTATTCTCCCTCAGAAAACAATTCATAGCTCTCTTCTTTATGGTCTATCTTAAACAATCTCTCAACATAAATAGCATATGACTTTATTTAATGCTGATAGTGCTTCTTTAAATATTATTTATATTCAATATTACTCTTTTTATTAATCAAAATTCAAATTCAAATTATATGCTTCAAACACTCTCCAAGTATGTCGATATTGAGGATGAATCCATTCGAAATATGATCAAAGAATTGAAAATTCTAGAAATATAAATTCCCCAAGATTAACAAATAGAATTAGTAAAGCAAATATTTGAAGATCAAAAAGCTAAACCTGTACAAAATTAGAAATATTAAATTCAAATAGGAAATCAATATGATTTGAATTTGATTGAAGAACATTTCAATAAACCCCTTTTGTGCGAATACTTAGAAAGTTAATATACTGCATTAATCGAATTAATTAGTGAGATCTCCAAATCTATTTCAGAGATCTCCTTAAGAATTGATTAAAAATAGTCTGCGAGTAATAAGCAATAGGTTTATAAATTTCAAGAGGAAGCATAAACACAAATCTTGTCCTTGAATCAACCTCTAGATCATTCATCATTAACTTCAAACAACAAAGACATTTACAAAAATGAAATGGTCTAATTCATTAAGGAATAGAAGAATAATATTGTATATCAACAATAAGTATCCCAATTAGAATAAAAAGTAAAATAAACCAGGAAGATAATATTTGAGAAAATTGAAGAACAAAATAATTTATCTGATCAAGTGGTGCAAAAAATGGAGATGAACATTGATAATGAATTGAAGCTCTTAGAAAAAACTATAGAATTGAAATTTGTTGCTAAAGTTGAAAGTGATTTACAATAAGAAGTTCTAAAGATGGAAAAGTCAAATGCCAATATTACATTCAACAAAGATGCCCCATAATTCTAAGATTCCGATTAAATAGATAAATAAGTGAATTAGCTATTTAATCAAATTTGTTAAACATTTTAAGATATAAAAGAACAGAAAGTCAAAAATAATGATTTAATCTATGATCAAATTCTGAATAACATTGAATCCTAATCGAAGAGCTTAAATAAAGTCTGCTAACAACATGAATCCAATACATATTAACTCTAAGATTATATCAATAATTACTCAGATTCTTAACAATAAATAAGACATCATTAAATTGAAAAGATTAAAGAGTAAAAAAGAGATTACGAATTTTGTCAAAGCTTTTTAGTTGAATAACAAAGTGATGAAGGCGCAGAAATCGATGAATTTTTAAAATAGGCTTAAAACTATAATTCAGTCCTAAAAGTCACCGAATAAATGGCAAATGATGTATAATATTAATTAATTTTAATAGTACAATTTATCAATAGAAGGGCAGAAACAACAATTGGAATTGATTAAATAGTATTTATTGAGATTGTAGAAATTACTATGAATATTTAAAGTTCTTTAATTACATTCTTACCATCAATCCTACTTTATCAAATTTATTCAGTATTGATCAAACAAGAGATGAATTATGGGGGGAGTTCATTGTAACAATAAAATAATGATTATTTTGGATTTTGAAAAATGATTAAATTTTATTAAAAAAATAATAAATGGTGAACGTCCCCAAAAACAGAAAGACCTATTGCAGAAAATGTGGAAATCATTAAAGTTGCAAAGTGTCCCAATACAAAAAGAGCAAGGAAAGTCCTTTTGCCTAAGGCAGAAGAAGGTACGACATGAAGCAAGCTGGTTATGGTGGACAAACTAAACCCATCTTCAGAAAGAAGGCAAAGACAACAAAGAAAGTTGCCTTAAAGTATGACATTTGTTAATCGTTTTAGACTTGAATGTGTTAAGTGTAAATTGAAGTGGTTAAAGGTCATCAAGAGATGCAAGACTATAGTATTCGTTGATGCCAATCAACTTAAAAAACAATAAGAAGCTAAGAAAAATGCCAAATGAGATTTACAATAGTATAAGATACATTAGTATTTAATAATCATAAACATATTCTTTGAAATCTTTAGAATCAAGTTCTTATTCTCTCTTATTATTCTAAATACTCACATCAAAAATAGATTTAATTCAATTTCTCTGTGGGCTATTCAAATTGAAAATGAGGCAAATAAAATATTCAAAAATATATAGTGTCCGCATTACATATATATATTTTTAAAATAATGAAAATTTTCGGATTAAATAGTAAAGAGGGTTCCAGAATATATAAGCTTTGATATGACATGCTCTCTTTTAATAAAATGAACTTGATTAGTTTTAATAATTTTAGCAGATGGATTGAACATTAGATTAAAATTATTAGGCTAGAAAAAGGTCTGATTGGTAAATGAAAATAACTCCATTTTCAATAAATAAATAAGAAATATCAGAAAACCAATCGGTGTTAATAATAGTTTCATGTTCAAACTCAATTTTAAATATCCTTTTTAGTTAATTGTTCTTATTGTAAACCTCTAATATTGCAAAGAATGCTTTCTTTATTATAATAAACTAAATCTACTTTAAATAAGGGTTTTATAATTCCAAATAATGAGATATTCTAAATTAGAGAGACGAGCATATCATCTTTTAGGTTAGGAATAGAGTAAGATGATAATACTTTGAAATTTTGCATCTACCTATTTTATGATTTGATGAAATAAACAAATAACAAAGATTTTGGTTGAATTTAATATATTTATTCTTTTATCATATCTATTTGTTATAATTTAGTACTTAAATTTGGAAACATGTACTTATGCTTAAGCTAAGCTCACCTCAAAGCTGTTTGCTGAACTGAAAAATCAAGTCGAATCAGAATAATTTCCTCACTCCTTCTGAAGTATTCAGTTTCATTTTCATAAATACTGAAAATCTCCTAATTATTAATATAAGTATATAAACTCACTAAAGAAATAAGATTTTAATCTGGAAAATTATCAAACCAAAAATTGACAAAAAATGATAATATTTTTATTTTAAATTAATGGGATAGTGTTGTGCTCCATCCACAAGTATTCAGTATTAAAATCCAGCCCAACTTAAACCTAAGGCAGAGGAGGAATATGATTTTAAGGGAGTCGTAACCAAGATTGATGGCTATTATCGAGGATAAGTTATTCGTTAAAATATTGATTACGAATTTTTTCATTTAAATACAGCATTATGATTCATAACAATATACATTATTATATATATTTTATTCATCATGAATTTTTTTGGATCTAAAAAAGCACAAGCTCCTCCTCCTGAGCCAAAATTATAATCAATGACTAAAGAAGAACTCAGAGATAAATAAAGATCAATGAATAAAGAATTGTAAAAGGAAATGAGGGAAATTGAAAGGTACTTAATTATTTTATGTTTTAAAAGACAAAATTTTTAAATTGAATAGGCAAGGAAGAAGGCTGAAGACTTGCTTCAAAAAGAAATAAAGAAAGGAGATAAGGCTGACAAATTTATTAAATAGACTTATGCAAAATAGGTCATTTAATGTTAAAAACAAAAGGAGAGAAATCTTTTAAATAAAGGAAAGATTTAAAATGTTATGTATGGCATAGATAATATGTTTGCCAACATCAAAATGGCTCAAGCTATGGGATGCATCTCTAATGTTATGAAAGACATCAACAAGCTGATGAATATTAAGGAAATTTCAGCAACTATGTAAGATTTACAAAAAGAAATGATGAAAATGGGTATCGTTCAGGAATAAATGGATGATGCTATGGAGAACATGAATGACGATGTTGATCTTGGAGACATGTAATAATAAGTATTCTATTACATGTATCTTAGGCTGATGACTTAATCTATTAGATTGAATCTTAACAAGCAGGACCAAATAAGTTATTGCCTCAACAACAATAGATGAAACAATAAGAAGCTAATTAGGATTTGGATGATTTTGAAAAGAAATTATAGTAATTGTGATATTAACTATAAAATATAAGATTTAAACATTAAAACTCATTATTCTCATGTATCATTCAATCGAATTTTATGTACTAACCTATTTTCTATTCTATTCTATTTTGCTAATTAATCGATTCCAACTATTTGATATTAATTTAATCTAAAACAAAATACATATTCAATAGAGTTTCAAATTCATTGTTTTTCCTCTTCTTGTAACTTGCTATCTTTTGGAATGTTATTCCTATTGGTGATTTGAATTATATTTTTTATGATAATATAATAAAAGACGACCAGCTAATTTGATAAAAAATTATATAAGAATAATTGCTAAAAAAACTTAATAGACTTCATTTAATCTAGATGCAGTAGTAATTATGAATTCTAAAATGAATACAGTTTTTAAAAATGGATATTTATAAATTAATTAATCAAATTTAATTATATATATATTTTTAGATTAATATTGATGATAAGTTTTATGTACATAAAAAATCATAATTCATCTTTTGATTTTTTATTCTTTTTCTTTCCCTTTTTTAGTTCTTTTTCTAATTCTTTCTTTCTTTATTTCTCTTCTTCCAAAATCTCTTTTAAGATTTCTTCATCAAAATCAGAAAGTCCTGATTTTTGACTTGCTTCTTTTCTTTTTTAAAATACTTCCTCACAATCTTTTTCTAAGATTTCAAGTTCTTGTATTTAGATGTTGTTTGACTAACCTTTATACTATCTCTCTATGAATTTATTAATAGATTCATAATCGAATCTTCCTATTAATTTAGAATAACTAAAATAATAATTTCAGTTACATCTTCTTGGATTTCGAATATGCTACAAAATTAGGTAAGGAATCATCAGAGATGTCAAACTTTAATAATACTTCATCATGACAAGAAGCATCAATATAAACAAAGGAAGCCTGCTTATCTCCATGAGCATTTTTAACTCTATCAAGTACTTCTAATTGATATTCCCATTTTGTCAAGATCTCATCATGTTTCTACTATTTGTGTTCTCCATTCAGAAGTGCAATATAGCACAACTTTTACTTTTTGGTACATTGTTCTAATAATTATTCTTAAGTTGAGATTTCAATGACTTTTTTATGAGAAGTCTTTTTGGTTTCGTCAAACTAAAATAATCATATGTTTATACTGAATCTATGAAACTCTTTATTTCCTCATAAGAATGTTTGCCAGTGAATAATGCCTATCTCACTTATTCTGGTTTAAGTTCTTCATCTAATTCCTTTTTATCAGCAACTTCTCTGAAAATGATTGTAATAGCAGGTTAAGAAGGAATTTAAAATTATTTGATAACCATGTCTGGAGCATTTTTGAAAGACAAAAACTTGTACTTTCCATAATATTCCTACAATTAACTAAGAACTCTATAGGTGAGACCTACAATAGGAGTTTAATAGAAATAGATAACAACGATGTTGTTGTCAGCAATAAATTAACTCAATTGCATTTGAAGGGTTTATTCATTGATATTAATAGTCTTATCATCAATTAAGTCTTGAATGTCCTTATTAATTTCTTCCAGTTTATATTCTTTGGTGAATGAGATTTTGTTGGATTTCTTTTTACCCGCATTACCAACCTAATAGAATCTAATGCTAGGGTAACTCTTAATGAATAATTCTTTAGCTAATTCTTCATCTTGTGGTGTGTCTACTTGTAATTCATAATAATCAAATAAGGATTTATATTTCTTGAGAGAGTCATCCCAGGCTTTATGCATTTGATCTTTGTACACATGAACAAGAGCAGGTTTATCATTTCTTAACAATTACTTATTCAAAACGCTTTAATCTAATTTAGTGGGAGTAATGACTACTGGTTTTTAGGTGTCTTCTTCTTGATCATTTTGTTTATTTCTTCTGTTTCTTCTATCATCATCCTTTGGTTTTTCATTAACTTATTCATATGGAACTCTATCTTTTGAAGCCAAACTTCTAACAAACTTTTTAATTGGTTTGAATAGTAAATCTCCATCGAATATATCATGATTGTAAGTGTTATCACCATTATTTTCTAGTCCAATAATTTAGGGAAGATCTTTGATATCAAATTAATCCAAAAGTGATTGAGTTTCTGGTGATGCAATAATCTCACCAAATTTGACTCTTTCAAAATAATGTAAATTAAGAGATTTCAAAATAGGTGATGTTTCTTTCTTTTTTGTAAATAAGATAACTTTATTTAGTTTTGGATCTGTTGTTTCAAAATGTTTCAATCCTTCTAATGTGTTGATTCTAATTACATGGTTGGGTATGAACTTGTGACCAAAGGTTCCCAAGGATTGTGGAGATGCTTCTCCTTAAAATCTATGTTCAGTTGCTATCATGGGTTCTTTAGTGTAGGGATTGATTTTAAATTGAGGAGGTTCAAAAAAGGAGATTTGAGGCAATTATTCAAGCATATCCTCAGAACAGTATGGTAATTGATTGCTAAAGTAATGTATGAAGAGTACGCAGAATTTGGATCCTTGTTGATTTGGTCGCAATTGGCTCCAAAAACATTGATTATTCCTTCTTAATCCTCTGCCACCTTTTCTACTAATGAGGCTGCCATTTAACAATTCTCACACTCTTCTGTGTAAAAGTAAACCATCGATACAAAATCTGACTCCAAAATTGCTCGAAAGTCTTACATTTTGTTGGCACTCTTTATGGTGTATGAATTTTCAAACAAAGCCTATGTCGATAGAGTCAACAAGGCAATTAGAATGAACTTATTCATTAATAATAATAAATAAATATGTCGTATAAACTATTGACGTGTGAATCAGATATATATTAAATTTTATTTAATTGTCATAACATTTATCAATTTCAGAGTTTGTGAACATTTTTTTTCAAGATCTCCTAATATTAAGTGTAATTTGCATTCCAATTTTGTAATAATTGTGGAGCTGACACCTTGCAAATCTCACCAATTTGTTCCGTGTTCTATTCCTTAACATCTTTGTAGGCTGATTCCATTAGATAAGCCAAGAGCACATCCTTTACTGAAATGCCACTCACATCTTAGGTCGTTATTTCTACGCTTAGTTTATTGTAGACATTGATCCATTTGGGGTAATCTAATTAAAAACTCAAAGTTTACGACTCATCTGATCTGCCAAGTGTGAAACTGTGTTCATGAACACGAATGCTTATTTGAATGTTTCGAATTTGTACTCTTTGGCCAAGGACTTTGAGTTCTAAACCTATAATTATAGTTTCATACGATTTTCCAATTCTTCTCCAGAGCATGGATTTAGAGAGAGAGCTACACTTCGGTTTCGTCCAATTTGGAAGGAACAATTGAGGCAACATCCTTAAGATCTTTAATGAACAATTTGATGGAATCCAGGTTGGCGACTTTGTTAAGTGTGAATCTATATTTTGAGAAATGATGAAGCATACTAAATGTTAACTTAAATAATAAGATTTATAAACAGTTTAATGACATCTATACTAATTAACTTACATATTATAATTGATTTCCATTTTGTATTGACATATTATTGATTTTTTATATTAAATTCCTCGTGTAGTATTTAAATGGCTTCCTTTTAAATTAACGAGATAATTTGCTAACACTCAAATAAAAATTATTTAAAAATATGCACTAAACCGACCCCAGATAATAACAGCCTTTCCAATTGAACAACGTCTACCAAGGTTCACCCATTTAGAGTCAATATGTAAGATGAAGATTCAAATTCTTATCTTAGCTTTCGTCTCCAGGAATCCCATAACAATTTTAGCAATCTCCTCAAAACCCAATTATTCAATCCCCACAAACCTATTAGCCTCAATAATAGTTTGTATTACTAATTCATTTATTCAAAGAGCTCCCCCTACCAGATCCCCCAGTCATAACAATTTCTTTAGCAACCCCAAATAAGACAACCTCAACTACCTCTATAATAGAATCAAATTCTGCCTGTTACTTCTCAACCCTTCATTCCTGCTCGATAATAAAGTCCCATCAGCGTCAGACCCTCCTATCAACCAGTTACTGTCCAAGTTGCCCCTCCCGTTCAATAAATGGTCTTGCAATAACCAGTGGTACCCTATGTTAACAATAATTTCCCTAGGCTGTTCAACCCCAAACCCAAGTCTAAGAGTTCAGACATGTCGAAAGACCCCTCTAAGTCATCACCGTAGATGGTAACTATTTAGTTGAATATTTACATCAGAAATCGAAGCTCCATGGAGACTGAAATGTGCCACCCTAGAGAGACAGATCTTGGAATTATAGATATAAATAAGAAAGAACAACGGAACTATCGTAGAAGAGACAGTTTAAGAAATATAAGATGATACAAAAGTGAAAAACCTAGAACTATAAAAATTGGAGTTAGAATAAAAAATTCATGAGGATGAACAATTGATGGATGAATTGAGAAATAGACTTGAAGAATTGAGACAAGAATATGAGGTAATCATCACTGAAAAGGTTACATATGCATCAAATGAAGTTGAAACTTGGATGAAAAAGTATGCCAATTTAGAGAAGAATTATGCTCAAAGCACACAGAAAATAGCAGACTTAAAGAGACAATTGGCACAAGTTGAAGCTGCTGACAAAGCCATGCAAGAGTAGAAGAAGTCTGAAGTTCGTACAGAAGTCCGTAGAAGTTCTAAACTTTATTGAATATAACAATTTCATTAAACAAGTTAAGATATAAGAATAAATAAAATCATTTTCAATTACACATCAAGTAATTAACAGCTTGTTATATTGAACTACTATTTTATATCTGCTTCAATCTAAAATTCTTCTCATTCTCTATCCTTACATCATCAACATTTAGTAATTCCATCAAGTACTTCTCCAATTCCATTAATTCCTATTAAAACGTATTATGAAAATATTACATCATCCTTTTTGTTATCAAGATATGGAATGATTGGGATTCCATTGTTCAATTGGTAAGCAAAGGAATAAGCAGAATTATCAATTAGGATTATATCTTTTAAATTTCTGTTCAAAGTTCTTAAGTCTTTTATATGACATCCTTCTGAGAGATTTATGCAATCATTTCGATAGAGACAATACTTCACCAATGATTTTGTTGGATCTAAATAGTCTATTATCTAATTCGCATAATCTTCATTTGAAGCAGTGTATATCATAATTTCAAAGTGTTGAGCCATTTTTTATAAAAATTGCTGAGCATATGGTCGAACACTAATTTCAGCCTAATTTGAATATACTTCGAATAGATACTTTCACTGTTAATGTATCGTTTAATTTAATGTTTATCACTAGATCTTTTGGCATAAGATTTGATTCATTGCAATGCACTAAGGTTTCGTCTAGATCTATAACCAATGTCTTTTATCTCTCTTAGAAAATTATTATGATGATTACTTATTTAGGGGTTGATTTTTTATTACATTTCATAACTTTCAGGTTATTTTAATAACTTTGATTTTTAGAGAATTCCATAGGTTTAAATAAAATGATTGAGATACATTTACGCCATAAAAGTATCGACGTAATCTCCTTTGATCAAGCTTATTAATTTATCAGTGTAATAAGTTTTTCTATTTTTATGTTAATTAAAATCTTCAGTTTGAATTTATTTAAATAATTCCCCCTCTTTCGACTCTTCATTAGATTCATGAACTGGTTTTTGATTATTTGAAAATGATTTATTGTCTGATTCATTCTTTTCTAAAAATTGACTCTCGAATTGTAAATCCACTGCTGTTGGCAAAGAAGTATTACTGTCCATTGCGAGTAATGACTTTTAGTGAGACTTAAATCTTTTGAGCAAGACTTTTCTTTTTGTCGCTTTCTATTTACTGAAGAAGTTATTTGAAAAATAATACTTTTTAGAATTGTACTCCGGAAAGAGATTATGTTCAAGACTTGGAATTTATTCGAGATCTTAACCCTCTGGAACAGCTAGAGGTGTGACAGTCTAGATAAGTTTATTAAAAGCACTTTACTTATGAATCATTTTAAGCATCATGTCCTCTCAAGAAAGCCTCCTCTGGACCTGAAATTTAAGCCTCATTTTCTTTAAGATGTCTCGAAGTCAAACTTTTTCTTGTTTCTACGTTGTCCTAACTTAACTTAGGAGAGTCTTCGTTGACTTATAAAAACCTATCGGACTATACACAAATCAATTTGAATGATACCTATTCAACAAATTTCATCTTCTTTTTTGATTATTTTTATGCTTGGACTGTTCGTGAGAAATGTCTCTCGATCTTTTTAGCTATCATATTTTATATTAATTATTTATTTGTAGAGTAATATTATAGATTCTAAATACTGACCCTCAGAAAGGTTCCAGTGCATCTATTTCTCTGCACTCCATTCATAATTCAACGAGAATATATACGCATAAATAATTATTCATTCAATTTACATTTTAATTTAGCAATATCGTTTTGAAAAAAAACAATAATATTGAGTAGAGAATTTAATAAAAAGAGAAATTTCATTATTTCACTTGTAATTTTGATAATCAACACCCTTCGATTTTCCAAAACCTTCTTTATTCTGATATCAAATTCAACTTTTCATTATTGACTATAGAAACCACTGAATTATGCATCTATCCCAAATAAAACAAACTTTAATTCTTGTCCTTTCAAACTTTCATATGTAATCAGAAAGTCAACAGGTTCTGCTATTCATCTTCAAGATAAATCAAATTTCACTTCCCTTGCCTAAACAATAGTAGATATAGTTACAAATTATTTTCATTTCAATAGCATCTTCTAATATCAAATATCTCAATTAAGCTGGTAACATAGATTACTATACTCAATATTCAACTATTTTAAAAACATAAAATTCATTAAATTTATTTCAATACTAAAAAAAATTAGCCACTTTATATTCCATTTTGTATTTATACACATATCTTACCTAAATTATAATATTAACAATTTCAATACAAATAACTTAATGATTACTTCATCCTTGTATTATAATCTCCTAAGAACAGACATATGCTTTACATTCCTATAAGCAATTATCAAAAATATTTTGAGTAATTAAAATCAAAAATCTAAATTATTTCATCTCCCGCATATTAATTACTAATATATATTAAGTAGATTATTGAATCCTCTCTCAATTGTCTCTTTAAACATTAATGCTTTGGGTATAGTGAGTCGAAATTAAAATTTGCCATCGAGCCTAATGTCTAAAATTTAATCAAATTAAAGACTTCCCTTATATTTTACACAAATTCTTGTCTTAATAGAAAATTACTTCATGTTTCTTGTTTAATTTAATCTCTTTTGACTAAAATCTTGATAATACTATAGATCCCTACGCTATACATCAACTATTTCTTATAAGAACAATTCTAATATTTTGTGCTGTGAAATTGAGAACTTCATATGGCTTTTTTATATTCTTATTAAAAATATCCATGCTTAAGATTTTCATATAATTATAATCCCATTATGAATTATTTTAAGAGTTCGACTTAGAATTTAAAGTCTTGGATATTTTGATGCATAAATGATTACCAATTTTTGACCATTGCAACTAATTCCTATTAAATTATTATTATATAAGATTTTTGATATAAAAATTAATTCATATTCAATAACCACATCCATCTATTATTAACTTTTTTAATTCTATTATCATTCTAAATAAAAAGTAAAAGGGGAAGATAATGATCACAAGTATCACAATCCAAAACTCACCCCATATGAAATATACTCTTTTGCCACACCTAAGAGCAAATAATACACATTATATACCTAGATCTTGGGTGTCTTGCACGACTGAATTTCTTATTCAATTTCATAAAAGGTTGAGATACAGCTTTTTTAGATGCTCTAAATAACAGTTTTAGTAATAGCCAGGGTCCTCTCAAAAGAAAAAGGATAAGACGAGGGAAAAAAAAAACCCACCTCCTTAGATCAGTGTGCTCTATCACTTTTCTTGTTTTGAATATTCCATCGTTCCATACTTTAATATTTCTGTATATTTACTTGCACATCCTCTGATAGACCAATATTTGTAATGATATGCATGATAGTGTTACATACAAACCCAACAATACTCGTAGCCACATCTACATGTCATATGATTGCACCCTTAATTTTTTTCAACAGGAGAATTACAATCAGGACAATTTTTAATATTGTAGGCATCTTATGCATATTAAAACTGCAGATCTTAGTAATTCTACTTTTAATTAAATAAAATCAACCTCACATCGTGTATTCTAATGAGCAAGCCTGCCACAATTAAAGCAAACTTAAGCTCCACATTTACATTAAGTAATGTTTGAACGCGGATTTCTTTCTACATAATATTAACAATCTGGTACTGGACACCATTTTTTATTTGAATCCTTCTGAATCTCGTTTTTATATTTAAAATTCAAAAATTTTTTAAACATTTCTGTGGTAACTGAGTGTTGAACTACAGAATCTTGGAATATTTCCCTACAACCTTGCTGCGGACAAGGAATATTATTAACTTATGCATTTCTAATTCTTTCATTTAAATACATCATGTAGCAAACTCTATAAAGTTAAATTAATATTACGAACAAAATTGGTGCTCGCATCCAAGTAGTTTTTCTAGTCGTTTATTGTTAAATCCGCAGATTAGACATGCCAAAAAATAATCTTATTTTTTCTCTTCCTATTAAACATGAGGTGACTGTGAAGTCTACCTAAGTTGATCGATTTGATTAACATGTAAATAAAAGTCTTATTGTAATTTTCGTTAGGCTTCAATTTTAATATCTATTTCATCTAATTAATGCCTTAATTTAGAATTTTTAATTACATAATCCCCTTTAATTCCTCTTGTTGATCATCGAATTTAATAATAGAAATTTAATCGTCATTTTGATCCTTGGATTAACCTTTCTATTATGCCTTTCCATTTTATTATAGCAAAGAATTCAATCCCAATTTTTGTAGGTTATTCAATTGATACTTACTTTATTTTGGGGCATTAGATTTAAGTTATTTTCTTCTCAAATCATAAGTCATGTCACTTTATTATTTTTTTAATCCAGGAGCCTCATAGCATTGTAAATGAACATCTGAATCATCACCACCACTTTTATTTAAATTTGTTTCTATATCTGGGGATTTGTTTTATACTTGAGTATTGGGTGCACTTAATTTATAATATAATCTAACTTGTTGTTTAAATTCTAGATCATTCGTGAAATTTGATGTTATTCACTTTGGTATTTATGAAGTGTGATTTCTTCAAATTCTTCTGTGGGTATCATTAAGCCTGACAGAAATAATTTATTATTATTATTACAACATATCTAGATATTATACTAAATAACAACTCTTCTTTGTGTAAGATTTTGACAGAAAGGCAAAAAAAAAAAGTATGTGTCTTTTTTCTATTGAAATATCTATGCGAATTCATTTAAACATATCATCTAACATATCAAAGAATAATCTTGTAAATTTATTGATCAAACTCAATCAACGTATAATTATGGATTCTACCATCAAGATTAAGCCTTTTATGATATAAACTTGAATTGGAAGAGCAATTTAACTATATAAATTCTATTATATCGAAAGGATTTGTATCGAATTAGAGTTTCATGTTGAACAGATCCATTTCATATATATTAACTACGTTGGATATTGATATAATATCTTACATACATTTGCATTTATTCTCATTTCCATTATAATTTTGCTTCTATTGTTTCTATTGAATGTATAACATAGCTTTATTTTAAAAAATTTAAAGATTTTTTTTTAATTTATGGGCAAAAAAGAAAAAGGAAAGCCAAATCCATTGGGTGAAGTGAGCAGAGATTACACTATTAATCTTCACAAAGCTGTTCACAAGGAGACATTCAAAAGAAAGGCTCCACGTGCTGTTAGTCACATAGTCAGATTTGGTATTTCATTAGATTAATGGGATAGCTCAAAAGAATATGTTGACAGAGGATGTCAGAGTTGATCCATAATTGAATGAAGCAATATGGGCTAGAGGAATTAGAAATTTACCAAGAAGAATCAGAGTTAGGTAGTGCTATTAACATTATTGTTTGCAGACTTTAAAGAAAGAAGAAGGAAGAAGATGATGGAAAAGGAAAGTACTATACTCTTGCTTAGTACGTGCCAGTTGATTCATTTGCTAACCTCAAGACAGAAATCACAAAAGCATAATGATTCCAATATTGTACAATACAATATATAAATACATTAAATTATTTTCAATTTAAATTGTTCTCAGATTAATAATTCAAAGGCACAAGTTATATGTTATAATTTGTCATCTTGAATTTTAATACCAATCATACGAGATTCCAAACAATAATTTCTTTTTATATCAACATAATCAATTCTGTTATATCTTCATGCATCGAGAGTCACTTTAAGATTTCCTAAGAATGCGCACTTAGGAGTGATGCTAAAGAAATAATTCTATTTTTAAGTGATAATAGAATGACACTTGTGTTAATTAATTAAAAGAATATATAATCGTGAACTAACAATGAGTTTAGTTTTATTATGAACAAATTTAGTTTTATAATGAGATTTTATAATGCACAAAAGATACACAATTTAAATTATAGTGGGATGGATGTAATTTAACAATGTGTTAAATATCCTTGTCCCAGCAATGTAAGGAGTATAATTCAACACAAGAAGGAGCTTTAATAAAATGTTAGATGGTAATTTGATGTTCTATTTTTATTTTATAATTTTCATGCATCAAGATTGAATAATTTAACAGCAGAAGGGTCGTTGATCACAAATGCTGCTTTCTAGGATTGGCGTACGAATTCTCGTACTGTATTTTCACTCCTTCCCAATTTAAACAACTCCTATTATAAATCAAATGAATGAGTATACTTTCAAATAGAAATCAAGTTATTTTCCTCTCTATGCTATGAAATCGTTGTCAAGGTTTCCAAAAAGCCTTTTTTCTGGAAATTTTGGTAAATGGGATTTGAGATTCTTTGATATTTTTGAACTCAAACTCTCTAATAGACTGTATCTAGTTTGAAAAGTCCAGAAAAGATTTCCTTTCTTGATTCTAATCTCATAGACTACAAAACTATTCTGCACAACCTTAGTGTTGATAATCTCGATTTCAAAGTCGTTATTCTAGAAAAATATTTAAAAATAATAGACTTACCTCTACTGTCAATTGAGCTTTGGCTTTGATTGGTTATCTTTTTTTTAGGAAGGAGAGAATAGGTAATTCTGCCATCTATTCATCAGTCAAGGATTATTGAGATGGTTATAATTAAGCAAACTATTGATTTGGATTGGACATTGTTGTTTTTGATTAAACAAAAGGGGTTAAGGAAAGTTAAACAGGTCTTAACTTATTTTAATTAATGTAATTTAGTCCCTGAAATTGCTTTTTTATTTATAAAAATATAATGAACCAAAAGAAAAAAAAGAGAGTACTTTCCTTTTAAATTTAAAACTTGACAGGCACATTATCAGAAATGTTTGATAGTTAATAGTCAACCAATAGAAAACTAAATGATAAACCTAGCATCAATACATTACAAAAGATATTGCCTTTCAATGAGATTGACTAATTCTTTTCACCAAAGGAATCTGGTTCAACTACAATGAGATCCATTCCTAAACTCCGTAAAAGTTCCATTAGTCCCAAACACTCATACATATACTCAAGAAAGACAATTCAAACACCTTTAAGAATTAGGTCATCAATAGTTATGTTAAATCAATTTGAATAACAGTTTGCTGAAAGTATTCAATGTAATGATCAAATTGGAGCTATAGAAAGTATCTAACATGTTTGATAAGGTTTGCTAAATATGATGGTAATTGCAGTTGAATAGGATAACATTGCATTACTGATAACGTTTATGCGTCTGAGTGCATTAACATTTATCTCATTTTAGGAATGGACCAAGGCTCTTCTCTTTTTATCACATTGCAAGTTTCTAAGTGAATTCACAAGATAATTTAATGTCATCCAATGGACATTTCTTCAAATTGGAATTTTGTGTAAATATGTTAAGAAATACGAATAGGGCAAAATATTCATAAAGAAAGTAATACATCATAATTATAAGCAGTCTTTGGAATATGCATGGCATTTGAAAGATATCGATTAAGAAATTATCTGTTATGAAGAACTTGGTAAATTGTGCTTTCTCAATTATGAATTAAAAATAGCTAAATCCTTACATGAAAAAAGCATGAAAGGCACTGTAGAAAAAGAAAAGTCACCCATGAAGATGGTTTCATCAAAGGGAATGTAGTAGATCATGAAGATGTTACCTTAAGAAGAGACGAGTTTGGGATTACACATATTTTCTAAGGCTGTAAATTTCCCAATCAAGTTGATTCAATGTTAGAACCCTCTTTATTATTAACGAAGATAAGTGAAAAATCAATATATGATATCAAATAATTTAGAATGTATACCAAATTAAAGAGTTATTGATATTGATATTTCATTAGATGAAATGCTACAATAATTTTTTAAAGGAAAGAATTTTGCTTTTGAAATTCCAATTCCGATCTCTGTTGCTGATGAATATGAAAGTATGAAACCAACGAATCAAATACCCAAGATACAGCAACTAAAATAAACATAAACAGCAACATTAATAAAATTATAATCCTTAAAGTTACATCCCTTATCAAATAAATAGCCCACAATAATCTTAAACGATTTTTAAAAGAAGCTTCCCTTGGAGGAAATGGTCAGATAGCGATTAGAAATGAAGTTTTAATCACCTTCTTTTACAGAAACATTGAGGAGCAAGAAATTTTCCAGTAATTTAGAATAAATAAGATTAACGCATGAAAGAGTCGGAATAGCTTTAAGTGTGGAACATTAAAAGAGAGGGTTGGTTAGATATGCTTAGAAGTTACTTAGTTAATAGTAAATTACTTTCATCTGATTTATAGTATGTTTTACAGATATTATATTGAAATTTAATATGATTTAAATATATATGATCATTCAATCTTTAGTTCTGGTAGCATTAGCTATAATATTTGTGAATTTCTCATAATTTTCAGACTCTTGAGCAATTTCTTCAAATCCACACCCATTTTATCCCACTAACATTCTTGCTATCATCATTTTTTCATTCTTTCTCTGTGCTTACTTCTTGTCATTTGATTTCTTCTACTCTTTATTTTAATTATTATTCTCTGTATTTTCAGCTTATTTGGTGGTGTCAGGCTTGTTACCCATTTAAAGAAAGATCTAATTTGAATTTTTTGATTAAATTAATTTTAATAAATCTAAATCAAGGTACTTAATAATGATCTCAATTTTTATAACTATGCATAAATGCCTTAATATGTCCTTCTCCAACTCCTGAACCATATTCATTTGGATAAATCCCACTCATTTCTTGATATTGTTCTTCTTTATTTTAGGCATTCATGATTTCTAATAATTATTACTTTGGAATCCATTTAAAATCATCGACTTCAGTCTCTTGAATTTTCACTTAAATGTTGTTGTATGTCTCATTTAGTTTAACTTCGTAAAATATACAGAGAGTTTGCTTTTATGGAAGTTAACCAGCTTATAACTTAGTCGGATACACTGATTCATATAAGACTTTAAGCTCCATTTTATTTAAAATTGGTGAAACATCAATTCCAGTTTCTTCTTAAACCTCTCTTAAACATTCAGATTCTAAGTCCTATAATCTTTCTACCATTCCACCAGGAAACACCCATGTTTTAGGGAATGTTTTCATTTAAGAATGTCTTCTTGTTATTAAAAAATTATCATCTTTGTCACACAACATGGCTACAGTGGCTAATCTAATTTTGCTTAACTTAGTGTCTTTATTCTAATAATCTTGGTTGAAACAAGGACAATTAGTACCATGTAACATTTCTGCCTATGGCCATCCTTATTGATTTACTCCCAAGAGAAATCTAGCCTAATCCTATTGGTATTTGTAGGAGAGTAGTGGAGTGTTAAGAAGTTATAACAAACATTTGCCAGCGTAGAGAGTGTCATCAATATGAACCTCAACACCATAATCGATTTTTTACATTATAAAGATTAAATGTACATGATTTTATTATATTATTTCAATAGCCCAACTTCTCTAACTCTGAATTGATTGTAGCAAGTTCCTTAGCTCCGATGGCTTTTCTTCTGAGATTTTCTCTGGCAATCTTTCTCTTGTAATAGGTAGCACCTCTAAAAGAAGCGTTAAAAATGCACGATACCTTTGCTTTCTCTTCTCTTCGAGTCTGTTAACAACAGCTTATGAATTCCATCCAACTGAGGCACATAAATCACCTAAAGTGCAGAAGGGTCTGTGATTCTTGAGTCTGATCAATTTGATGGCATCTGGAATAACCTATCTCTTTCTTGTGTCATAGGGAGGGGGGACTCCTTCAAAGACCTTTAATCTCTCTAAAGCAGCTGCTCCTCTTTTTGATTTATATTGAAGCATTCCTCTGACTACCTTCCAAAAACATCGTGATGGAGTTCTGTAATGTTTGTATCCTCTTCTTGGATTGAAGGCCATTCTCTTATTGAGATATTCTTCAAAAATGACTCTGTTTCTGAAGAGGGAACCTGCTTTAGCAACAACTTCATACCTGATTGTTAAATCAACTCAGTTCTGACTACAACAATTCTTTGACCTCTTTACAACTCCTTGGCAATATAAGAAGCCAATCGACCCAACAAATGGCCCTTACCATCAATCACGATTTCTTTCTCAAACATTAAATTTTAAATAAATTTTCAAATCATTTCATCTATTCCATTTTATTATGAGCCTATATATTTAATATCATCCAAATATATATATTCACATATTCTCAAGGTAGACTCACCCCAAATCAGACCCTCCTCTCGAAGATTCCTATATTGTAATTAAAATAAATAAAATTATCATTAAATTTGAGTCGAATTAGTGCTCCCAGTCACTCCATGATCATTGTATTCATAATCCTTGAACATATCTTGAATAGAATCCCTCCTCAAAGCACCCGCATTCTCCTAGATCAGAGAGTCCTCGGAGTCATGGTCCGAAGAAATCTACCTTTTAAAGTCCTTATCTTCAGAAGAGGCCAGTTCACTAAAAGGAGAAGGCATGGTCTTATCAATCAGACTCTACCAGTTAATATGCTAAAACCAAGGATGCTTCTTAATGGATTAAACCCCATCAAACCCCAATCTGTATTATTGCTTTCTCTATAATAACTACTCTTAACTAATTCTATTTACTTAATTGCAAATATCTGCACTCTCACTACTCCAACCATCCTACCTTTTGATATTCACTTACTTAGTTAACATCATTTCTTTGATTTCCTTTCGAGATCTCCCTATGTAAGGTCTTTTTCCAAGCATGAATTCGTGGATCATAACTCCCAAAGCGAAATGGTCAACTCCTATTCCATGATTCTGTCTACACATTACTTCTGGGGCTGTCTAACTTAAAATAATTACTAACCCATATATCCTGGAGTGCCACTTGTTTCTTAACTGTTCTCTGGCTTCAATACTCTTGCTATGCCAAAATCTGTTAATCTTGGATACCCCTTCTTGTCGAATACTACATTCTCAGGTTTAATATCTCTATGTATAATGTTATTGTTTTGCAGATACTCTAAACTCAATAATAAACACGCTATGACGAATTCTAAATTTATCTAATTTTGTACTTGTTTGCCATTCTGTAAAACGGCGATTCACTCCTATATGATACCTTAAATCACCTCCAGTTAATAAATCCATCACCAAATGAAGGTGATCGCGATCTTAAAATGCAAAATGAATATTGGCAATAAAGGAATGTCTAAGTTTACTAAGGAGGATCTTTTCATTCATGACTGAATGGACAGACTTTTTTGATAAGATTCTCAATAATATATTATGAAATACCTTGCCTTACTCATCTCTTTCATTGCATATTACTTTCTAGTTTTACAGAGTTCTACTCTCCACACTTTTCCAAATCCTCCTTTTCCGAGTACAAATAAGAATTTAAAACTGCCTTTATTTAGATCTTCTCTAATTAAGGATTGCTAATGTAGCATTTTCTCAGGCGTTTACACAAGTTATTTTTTAATCCCAGTTTCATTGTTCTTTCTCTGTAATGCTTTTTACTAACTAAGTTACATAAACTCACTAATAAATTTTCATTAAAGATTGACATCTAGATCACGTATTTTGGACTTTAAGGTACTTGAGGAGGACTTACATTGAACATTCTTGATTCTGCACGACTCATATTGCGAGTCCTCCATTAAGGAGATACGGGTGGCGATACAGCAATTGACACCTATTATCCACTAGGCATTTTGAATGAAGGTAATTTGGATGGTCTCTGCTACCTTGAACGAGTGCTCACAGGACTTTTGAATAATGGTTAGTAGTTATGAGGTTCAATGAAGTTTTGGTGGATTGGGAGCATTTCCTTAATATTTCTGCGAGGTCCGATATTCATTATTAAATATTTATATCAAAATATAGGGAAGTTTTCCGGTTTTCTCGGTCTATGTAAGATTCTTGAATAGCGAGAATGTTCAACAAAAACTTCATATAATTGACCAATAAATATCAATATAAAAATAATTAGAAAATGGACTTTACTGCAGTTAATCGATCTCCACTAAACACGAGCAAAACTAAATAAATGTATACTTTCTCAAAGGCCAAACGATGGGTTGATCCCAAAGACAACGTGTATTTACACACATAACTCAAATTAGTTGCCCTCCAATTTATCAGCTGCCAACTACATTGAGCAAGAGAGCAGCTGGGATCGGATATGGAAAGAAGATGAACATAACCCAGGAAACCATTTCGCCTGCTCCCAATTCCTATTAGGTTCAGACTGCCAGAGAACATGGATGGACCATGGGATTGGGTAGAGATGTAACTCTATTGTTCCAATTCTCAAGCGAGCCAATAAATTTGAGAGCATATTCTTGGGATTAGTCCAAAAGACACCTGGACCAGGATCATACAATTTTAAAGATCCCTAGTCAGCAGTTCGTTACAGCATAAGACAGCGATTACAAAGCAGAAGAAACAAAGACAGAAAACCCGGACCGTATTCCTATGAACCTATTCTAGAGGCGAATATGATTTACCGAGCAGCATAAACAGTCGAGGCAAGTATGCCCTCAGTTAATATCGAGAGTAATTATATATGACGCTATCAAATAAAAAGTTCAGGAGCTGTGATTCTCTCGCCTCCCAGAGCCCATTCTGACAGAAAATTAAGAGAAAGCACTCCAGGACCAGGGTCATACAAAGAGACAGGCAACATGGACCCACTGGGCACTTACTTTTGCTCCAAATTTGGGGCAAGCAGATGCAACAAATTTCCCAGAGCTCAGCGCATACTCTCAGAAAATAGAGAGGGATCACCTGGACCAGGACAATATAAATTGCCTTCAGATTTCGGATTCTGATATATAATTATTGTTATTTTAGTTCAACTACCTTTATCTTTTTATAATAATTTATCCCTAGGTTAGTTGAAAATGAAATAATTAATAACAAGAAGTCAAATAAAACTTAAACTGGGAATTGGAATAGGAATAAGAAAATAAATTATATGAAATCTAATCTAATATCATTTGTATATACATGTGAACTTTTCATTAGAATATTATAGATAAATAAATATATATTATGAAGTAAGTATCCCATTAAGGTATAAATACCTTCCTTTAAAGTTGAAGCAAAATAATTTATGCATCCATTATTCTATCAATAAGATATACGAAATTAGTGAATATATTATTATAATAATAAATTCATTCACATTCTAGTAGAGTCTTTATTTTTAGCTTATCTTATTCACTCAATGCACTAACATATTCTGAGGGTCTCCCTGGAGAGATCAAGGATTACTAATGTGTAAGTTAGGTAATTTGGACTTGTTATAGTTAGATTTGCAATTTCAACTTTTGATTTTCTTATAAAAGTTTATCGTATTCCTTTTCAATATTTTGATATTTTTTCTAAAGTACATATTTAAATCAATTACATTTGATTCTTTGATTTATTTGATTTCTTTCTATAATTGCATGATTTATAAATCTTTGTCAAGAAGTTGTTTTTAATATATTATTGATGGTTCTAATAAGGGGATAATGAATACTTTGCTTGGAAGACTTCTCGTCATCCTAACTTTCGCCGGTAGTAGTCTTAGTGTAGTTTGACCTTTCATTAAGTTTCTCTTGGACGTACGAAGAGACCTTATTTGAATTATACTGAGAATCGGTATTGGTTTTGGATGAGTATATCTTGAGTGCCTCTTGAATGGGGATACTTTAAGCCTAGATTACAAGGGACGGACTTACCTAGGTAGGTATTCTGGTTTTCAATTCTGTGGATTGTATAATTTTGGGATAGACATGTGAGGTGGTTAAAATCTTGGATGGTGAATTGGATCTGCCATCAAATTAGTGACTTCTTCTTGGATTATGTGTAACAACAACATGTGTGACAGGAGATTGTTTTCTGGATTCATATTACCTAAACAAAACAGAAGCTGACTAACGATGATTGAAGTTCTAAGATGTAAATGATAATTTGACTTATAAAGGAATCATTTCTTTACTAGGTTCAGATGATGTGAGGTTTGAATATTAAATTTAAAATACTCACATTAATATTATATTAAACATCTCTAATTCAAACTATTTTAGTTCCATGGACTTCTTTCAAATAGCAATGCTAAGCCAATTCCAGATAATTGTCTTTAGTAATCCCTCCGCCAGCTAAAATTGTAAGTTCTGGAAAGAGTCCAGCAATCTATTTAATTGAATCCTTCCCCTCCAAGGCCGATCCATACTTTCCTCCTCAAATAAGAACTCTATTGACTCCTAAACTAATTATCTGCCGTAAACTTTCATGATAATTACGGCAATCATCAATGGCCATATGCAAAACTACTTTCATAGGGAATGCAACATCAATCAATATTATCATTCTCTCCATGTCAATACTAAAATCAGTCGTTAAGAAGTCTGTTAGCAATTTGTTTAACTTTCTAATGATTTGCAAATCTTGATATCTTCTATCATAGTTTCAAATTCCTCAACTGTATATACAAGATCACCACCCCTTGGTCTAATCATCACAACTATTGGATGTTGAGCTGCCTTCTTTATGGTTCCAAAGGAAGGTGTAGTTCCCCCTTGGGAGAGATGATTACACAACTCTATTCTATTAGCTCCATTGTTTATTGCAGTAATTAATTCAGGGAGTAATTATTAACACGGACTTCTTTAATAATTTATTCCGTTTTTGTTAATATATATATTTTCTTAAAATGAGATTCGTTATCTTATTTTGTATGCTCGGATTCGTGATCTGCGATTTACCTGTCCATTGCTTGAAGCACTAGGTTGCAGGAAAGTGGAGACTATATTTGGAAAAACCAACTTAAAAGGGTGTTGGACTGTTGCCATGTGGTCATGAAATTCCTGACAGAGCCAAGACCTCATATATGGCTTATTCTAGCAACTTTTAACCATCATAAGATTTTGAAGTTACTTTGGGAGATGATTACAAAGTTAAATCCAGTTCAAAATCAGGTGAATGGACTATGGTTTATGATGAAGGTTTTGAAATCAAACTAGGTAATATGAAGTATTTTGCATTCTCAAAATATGAGCCAAAGGGCAGAGAGGGAGTGTCATATTGTGATTAAACTCTTGTGGGATGGTACACCAATCAAGACACTTAGGAGAGAGGATGTTATAGGGCTGAAAAAACCGAAAAGGTTGAGTCATCTGAATCTATCAAAACAGTCAGCATTGTCTAACCTGAATTTATGGATGATGACGATATGAAATCTTTGTCATTCTTACAAGTTTAAGAAAAAACACCAGAAGTGAATCACGAGGAAGTCGTCGAGAAGTTGAATCAGAAGGAAGGAACATGGAAAGCTAAGGTCTACGATCATATGAAGGGCAAGAGCTTTGCTGAAGTCGCCAAGTCTTTGGGAAAGAAGCTCGGATTCAAAAAGGACAAGTCATACAAATAGTAGGATCAAACAGCAAATAAAGTGTTCGTTCAAACTGCTGACTATTCAGATTTACCAAAGTCTTTCAATTGGAAAGAGTATATATTTGTTACATAATGAAAATAGAAAGCTTGCACCCCCTAGACAATAAGGATAATGCGGATCTTGTTATGCAATAGCCACTATGTCTATGTTGTCAGCTAGATTGAAAATAAAAGGCGAAAACGTCGATCTCTCACCTTAATGGTCTTTGAATTGCAACTATTACAATCAAGGATGCGATGGTGGCTATCCTTATTTAGTGAATAAATTCGCTGAAGAACAAGTACTCGTCTCTGAAGGAGCAGAACCATATCAAGGATTTGACGGATCTTGCAATTTCCAAAAGGCCAAGTCTTAATCAAAAGTGTATTCCACCAAGTTTATTATACATTCTAATTTCTTATAGAAACTACAAATATTTGGGAGGTTCATATGGCAGAGTCTCAGAACAAGTCATCATGTCAGAAATAATGAAGAATGGTCCTGTTGTTTTGAGTTTCGAACCATCCTACGATTTCATGTATTATGAATCTGGTATCTATCATTCCAAGGCTTAAACCAACGATTATGCAGAATGGGTATGCAAATCATATTTATCGATAGGAAAAAGTCGATCATTCAGTCTTATGTTATGGTTGGGGAGAAGAAGATGGCGTTAAGTTCTGGATGTTGTAAAACAGTTGGGGAAATCAATGGGGAGAAGGAGGAAACTTTAGAATGAAGAGAGGAGTTGATGAATCAGCTATCGAAAGTATGGCTGAAGCCTCAGATCCATATGTCATAAATTAGAATTCAAGTACAAGCTTTTCTGAAACTAAATCAAATGAATCTGATTTCGATTACGAGGACGATGACAGCATCTTTTCCTTCAACTAGATTAGATAAAACCTTAAATGAAATTATATCAGCATTAATCATAATTACAATAATTTATGAATAATATAGATCATTTCATAAATACATTTTTCCTCCTTTTGTATGTGACTAGATCCTAAGTTGTTTTTGTCGAATGGAATTTCCGCATGATAACAGCAGGAAACAAACAATACCGTTGGAACTCATTCAGTATCCTCATCTTACTCTTGTCTATTTTTAATTTGACATTATTGAAGTTGAACTTTGGATTGTAATGGATGAAATTCTTTGGAGCTTCGAATTCTGAGTTTTAACACATATCATATTCTGAATTTATTCTTATTACATCATCAATATCATTGAGTAATTGAGGATCCACTTTCGTTAATTACTTAATATGATCATATCGTATTTTCAATTACTTCAACTGTGATTATTGACTAAAGTAATTCTGATTGTGTCTGAATTTCTTTAAAATAGTCATCATAAACTGCGGATAGTATTTGTCTATCAGAGTAATCTTCTTCACTAAGTGTTTGAATCTAAGCATTATTTATTTCCTCGTCTCCTCATTGTTCTTCGGTTTATTCTTGATACTTTAATAGGAATTCAAACTATGAATTTTAGCTTCTTCCTCAACAACATACGGGATATCGTACAACTTAACAATGTTCTAATTTTCCTATTGCACAATAAACGAGGCCCTAATCAGAGACTACTGCGGATTCTTCCGCGAAGGATACCTGGCTCTCTTATTCTCTTAACGCGGTATTCGTTTTCTTTATTAAGTGGTAGAAATTGTGTGTTTTTTAATTATTTTTTCTCTATCAGGTACATAATGCACAACTGGACATTCATGAGAGTAATGGGTAGAACTTTAACAAGCATAACATTTCCTTGGGAAGATAGTGGTTTCGTTTCCATTGAATAGTAAATAGTCCTTCATTTGGCAATAGATTTCATAGTCATTTGGGAAATCTTTTAGAGTTTTTTTGAATTTCCTATGTGACAATGTCATGAGCAAACAAAAGCCTTGACTCTTGTAGGTTTCAGGTTATAACTTGCCTGTTATGAATGGAATAAGACCTATAGTTTGATTGGCATTGAAAGATTGTAATTTTAGATTGCACTATTAATCTCCATACATGTCAATGGTGCCAGATTCTATATACACTAACTCCTTTTTGTCTCCGACGATCGTTTCAGGTGCCAGAATCTTGGTTTTTAAGGATTTGATGAGTTCTCTTTTGAAGGCAGGGGTAAAGCGATACCGAAATAAGGCACATTGATTCAGAATTACAGAATTTGATTCTTAAGTCAATCTCTCTTTTAAGTTCTCAGATAATTGGTTGATCATCTATCCAGCCTCATCCGCATCCTTCTCCTTATTCAATTGCCAATAGTAGTTTAGATATTAACGAATTTCACTCTGTAATGGAAATGGGATTCTTTTCTTCTGCATATATGAATTGATGATTCTCAATTTGCGTTTCTTATCCTCGCCATATTCGCTAATCTTGGAGATGATGGCTCCTACGGTGTTGATACTGTAAGGCAATTGTAAACTTGCCATAATGATGAATAAGCAACATACAATCCTTTCCAAATTACTCTGCGGCAGAACATCACCATATCCAATAGTGAACATAGTGACTGTCGAATAGTAAACCGAGGATAAATATTGGATTTCCCACTCCTTGTCAACAATATTCTCCAACCAACTTACTCCATAATTGTTATGACTATAGTCACCCACCTAGAATGATTTTATTTTTTTACCCAAAACCAAAAGCACGAGAACATGTGAATGATAAAAAATAACACAGCGATCAGTTTGACAAGCTCGATTATGGATGAGGCTTTTTTACTAAGGTTTAGTCCTTCTTCATAATACTCCAAGCATTCCTGTATAGTACTGTAATGCACTAAGAAGGTCACAAGAGTCAAATAGATTTTATAATCTTTAATATATTGGGTTATCAAGGGATCCTACGTGAGTATCTAATAGACCAGTAATTATATTGTTGAAGTCCATTCCAGTCCAAAACATTTCAAAAAATTATGATAAACTATCTATTTCCGATCTGTAACCAATTGGCCTTGTTTATAAAATGCTGTATTCAAGCCTACGATCAAATCTCCCAGAAGAACCATTTGAAATATAAAGGATGTTAAATTGTACATGTCAAACATGAATGAATATTTACTCCATGCGATATCCAAGGGGATCAGAAATAAAAAATATAATCTTGAAACCAACGACGCTGAGTCCCATATCAACTTTATAGAGGATTCCGGCTGAAATAACTCAATTCGTTTCAGACATTAAATCAGCATATTCAAATATCTAGAAAAAAATTGTTTGATCTTCTCGAAAAACTTCAACTCTAATTGCAATGAAAAGTTTTTATGCATTAGTCTGATATTAAAGGTAGAGGAGTTTCGATATGAGGTTTTGTCTCCAATAAACGATATATATTCCTCAGGAATAACTCCAAATCTATTCGTTTGCGATTTCAGATTACTACAAAATTATTGTACGTAGTGAGTCTTGCGTTCCGACTTTTGAGTTAGCATTCTCTAGTACATCATCATCGATTCACCTCCTGAAGATAATTACCCTTTGATTTACTATCGAAAAGGCTATGCCTCTGTGTGATTCCCCTCTGTAAACAGCTTAGCACCTGTGGTACTAACACGCATATTTTCTTACATATTAAATAAATTATTCAAATCAAAATCACATACTTCCTTCTTCTATAATTAATGATATTTCGATTATCATCCAAATCTTTAGTTATGACTTTATAGAGTTTAATGAACAAACTTTAAATTTCATATTTAATCCAATCTCCAGCCGACTCTCCCTTCCAGGGACTTTGCAAACACATTGGAAATGTAATAAATTCATATTCATGATTCATTTAAAAATTCGTGTAGATTGAACTTTTTTAATTTAATCAAGCCTAAAGGTTCTGAATCTTTCCATTTAAATTTGAACAAAGTCTTCCATTCTTATTAACTATTACTGTCCAACAACCAAACTAATATATCAATTCATTTTTTTATTCTGTTTTCTATAGAATCAATAGCCATAAATTCAAACGACCATTAGAATGAATAAATCAACCTAATTGAGGATTTAGATATGATTGTATTTTCGTTATTATCTCTTACTCTTCCTATGTTTCTTATCTGTAAATGAACTGAAGAACATTGGTTTAAATTATACTGACATAAAGAATATTAAATTGGTTGTACTTGCTTCTTCAATTAAAAATCAAGAAAATTATTCTTAGTAAATTTGATTAACTCATAAAAACTATTTCTCACTTAGAATAACTATTTATCATTACAACCCATCAGTCATTCAAATGAAATTACTTTTAAGTTCTAGAAATCTCTCATCCTCCCTCTTATCAATCAACTCTGCAACCATAATAATCGCAATATTCCATTGTCTCACTCCTTTTAATGCTTAAATTCTTGTCAATTATGCGTCCTCTCTTAAAACTACCTCACAAATAACCAATTTATTTGACAATTCTCGAAAATCTGCTGATTACCTTGTTCTGATCTTTGTATTTATATAAAATTTACTTCTATGAAGAGTAAATTGAAAATAAACTTATTACAATCTTCAAAGTATAAGAAGTCGCCATCCATCTCCTATAAAGATTTAAACTGCTCAATTTCTTTAGTTATACGTTATTATTTCTAACATTTTCCTATTTCCTTCATGAATCCTAAAAAGAAGTGTTAAGATAGGGTAATCATCATTGATAAATGGTTTACTCTGAATTCAAAAAGTTAAACCAAATCTTTATATCCAACCGTGGAGAATAAAGCTACTTTTGAAAAAAATATGTTTCAAAAATACTTCACTCTGAAAAACCTTGAAATGTTCAAATAATTAATTTCTTCGTTTCATAAATATATAACACTGTGTATTATGGAGGACATCGAACAAAAATACACAAGAAATTACATTGAGAGGTAAAGCTAAATTTTTCCAAAAATGTATATAAAATATGAAAATTCCTTATTTAAATTATATCCAACATAGTTTTAACTGCCTCATTATGTTAACCTATTAAGGTGTCTTGTATTGTTTTGAATTACAAGATTCGATTTTTGCTATAAGATTAGATATCCATTATTTGTCATTAATTCATAAAATACTACTATTAGATCATTGAATTGATACTTGTGTTTGAAAGTACTCTAAATAATTATAAATGCTACTTTTCTGCAAGTCATCATTTAAGAGAAATGATAGCTTGCATTTTGTAAATCATATTATTATTTTAGGTAGGTTTATCATTTTCCAACAATAGATGAATACATGATAAATTATAAATTATAAATAAACTAATTTGAATTTGACCAAAGTCAAAAGTTATTAAACCTTAGTCAAAATATAAGAAGTACAATAATATAAATACTTAAATATTAATAATATTGTTCAAGGTTTTTTAATTGACGAATGTTATTACATGATGAATGCCAGAGATATTCTATTGTTTCTTTTAAATAATTATGTTTTCTTAATTTCTCCCACCTAATCTGACTGCTTATATTTGTATAGATATTTTTGGATGTATAAATGAGGATAAAATAGATACTTTATTAATTGCTAATACTTTTCCTAAAAAAACATCTACACCTCATTAGTATTTGATAACATTGATATTTTTGTTCGGCTCAAGACCTAATAAAGATTATCTCTTGGTTTGAAATATTTATATGATTTCTATATTTCTAAAAGTATGTCAAATTCCGTTTACAGGAGCATTTTTAGTTTGAGTTCAAAAAATTCCAATTCATGAATCGTTTTATTCGAGTATATATTTTTAACATGTTATATCCTGGCTTTTCGATATTAGATAACTTTCAAATACTCTCTATATGAGTAAAGTAATTTTTATTAAGAATCTTCAACTTGTTTTTCGAAAAAGTCATTCATAAGATTAACCTTTTTAACAATTGACCTAAACTTTTCTTTAGTTTCCTTCAACTTTTTATTGTTCTACATAATGTCCCCGATATCTTGTAATGTCTACTTTTTTCTTAAAAACTATTTTTTCTATTAATTCTGATTCTTTAGGGATTCCTCCTTAAAATCAAATATTTATATTTTTGAATCATGGTTGTTGTTTCTAAGGTGAGATTTTTCATCTGAATTATCAACAAACTATACTTTCGGAGTAGCTGATTTGTCTTCGTCAAGTTCTTCATATAGATATGTTAATTGCTGATTATCTGATTAGACTTGCTTAGCCACATCGTTTAAAATACTTTAACCTAGAATAGCCTTAATATAGCATATATCCTTTCTTTTTTTTGTATTATCCCTTTCTTATTCTCTACTAAATTAAGCTGATTTTATAATTTTCTCCCGATCTGGTTTAAAATGAAGAAGCGGACATGAGATTGCCTTATGAGTTTTGGATTTACAAGAGAAACATTCCATAGTAAGTAATTCGCTTTCACTATTAAATGTCAGTTCTTCAAAAAAGGTATAGAACATTTCATAATCGTCAGGGTAATCCTTTATTACATCCAAAAAGTCTTTCCTAGTTATTATTAAGAGTTTTGTAAATCCTATAGTCTTATACTTTTCGACGCTAGGATTACCTGTTATGAAACTTACAAATCCAAAACTTTCCCCTTCTTTTAATTTGTACACTCTTGATAATTCACTCAATTACTCATTTTCTATAAAAACTTCAATCTACCCCTACTCTATAAAAAATATTGATAAACTATGCTCATCCTGTGATTATTTCGTATAATCAAGAACATTCTCTGGTGCAATAGTGATTGAAGTGATTTTACTTACCAAATCTTTTTTAAAATTTAATGAAAAGTTCTCCTTAAAAAAAGGACTATTGTAAAGAATCCTGGAATTGGCTTCAAATATCAATCTCTATTTTAGTCTACTTGACAATTCGTCAATGATTTCTTTCTCCTCATTTGATTCTTCATTTCTTTTCATCGCCCAAAAATAATTTAAATATTCCCTTATCTAAAATTGCAATTCATAACTAATATTCTTTTGTTGCATGTAATTATTGATAATGTTAAACTTTCTTTTCTTCTCCTTTTTGAATCCACTTATCTATTCAATAATAGAACTGACTGTGCTAACACTGTAAGATAACTAAACACTGCAAACAGACATAAATATAATTGAAACTATCATTTCTGGATTAGTTTACGGAGTGATATCGCCATATCCTACAGTGAACATGGTTACTGTTGAATAATAAAATGAGTACAAGTATTGATCAGCAAAAGATTTATCTAAAACTTGCTTTGCCTCTAACCAACTACTGCCCAAGTAGGTTTCGCTGTAAAGTCCAACCCAAAACCATAAGCAGGCAAATACATGTATAACGAAAAACAGCAAAACAAACAGTTTTGAAAGTTCCATTAAGGATGCTGCTTCCCTTGATAAATTCAATGCGTCTTCTAATTGTTGTCTTAGTTAGGTGATATTATTATATTGAACGAATTAGAGAAATAGAAATAAGTAATACGGATTGTCAAACACATTAAATCCATAGTCATATTAATTGGAGATATTGTAGAACACAATTAGTAAAATGTTGGCTATCAATTCAAAGCCATATGCCTTACTTATCTGATGTTTTAGTATACTCATCCTATCAGTTACTAATTGTCCTTGGTGATAATATGATTGGAATAAACATACGAAAAAATCCATTATCAAAAGAGTTATACAAATAACTGTTGGAACTTCTAAAGCACAAAATAATAATTAAATAGATGGCCAAGCTAAGTCAATTGGGATTGTAAATAGCAAATAGAATCTGCAAATAAATAGAATACTGTCCCAAACTACTTTAAGCTTTGAGTCTGGTTTGATTAATGGAATTTTTTGGATTAGACTATAAAATCTCTGCATTTAGCTTCCTATAAATATTTTTGTTCTCTACATAAGAAACTACTTTCTTCTAATTTAATATAAGCTTAATTTTTTACCTTTGATTCCCTAATTGAGCTTAGGTGTTCTCTTGCAAGCTTTAAATTAATGGTTTTATTTTAATTGCGAATTTTCTAAAGCCAACATCATCCAGAGAGGATGCTTTATCATTAATCACCTACAAATGATATTTAGTGATTTTTGAGATCAATCTTCTTTTGGCAAGAATTTAATGGATGAATTATCTGATGTGTAAGAGTTGCACCAATTTCGCAAAACCTTTTTTAGGTTCTGATCTTCTCATGAATTATTATTACTTTAACTTTTCTTATTCATGATGTTCAATCAAAACCTAAGGTATTTCAAAAACTCTTTTTGAATCTTCCTTACTTTCACTTGCTTCACTTATACTTACACTCACATTAGGGACTTCTTATTCAACTTGGTATGGCTGTACAAATAACTGATCTTCATCAGGAGGCTCTTCCGTACAAAGAATTGGTCTATTTTTTAACATAATTTATGGTATTTTGGCAAATATATATTTCTTCTTTTCAAGACAATATAAATTAACTGAATATAATATTTGCAACTCATTCTGTAAAAGTTGGCACCAAAGGATCGAATCCAAGTTCCTCAACAGGAATAACAAACTCAGCCAATTTGCCATCATAAGCCTTAACCATATGAGAATGAGCCTTTCTTATTTAAGTTAGTTATTATTGCAATTCAGCTATTTGGGCTGACTTTTAGACATCAATTTCTTAATACTATCTTGTGATGACATCTAGATTAATCTGATAAAATTACTCATACTGTTTTGATCGATATTTGCTCCTTGTAAGACTTGATTCAATTGCAATTCCTTAATTTCAAGTTCCTCTTAGATGGCAGATGTCTTCTTTTCCAAAATCAGATTCTATTATATAATGTGATACAAGATGTACTTATAAACCAGTCTTTTATTAAATAGATTGAATTGTTGAATTGAATTTGTCTTCAAGAGATTTCTTTTCCCTCTCCATGTATTGGAAATGCTATAATTTAACTTCATATTCGTATTCTAAATTTCTAAATTTCTTCTCAAGTTCATCTATTTTCAATTTCAATTGTTCCTTCTATTGAACAACTTGGGCTTGTTCTTCCTTCTCTTTAATCAAAAACTTAATTTCTTCTTTGATGGCCTTGAGTGGCTCATTCAAATTCTTAGACTCATTTTCAATGGATTACAAGAGTTTCTTATCCTTCTCTTCCTTCTTCTGATGGTCTGTAATCTCATTCTTTAAACTCTTGATCATATCTAAATTAGTAGCAGTGATATCAGAATAGTAATTCTTAATTTCTGTGTATTTTTTTGAATGTTCTTTGGTTAATTACTATATTCTTAGATCCTTTTTTTCTTAAAGAATTTTAATGAGATTATTTCTTGCTTCTTCCATCTCTCTTCTTAGTTTCTCCATTTTTAAATGATACTTCTCTTTTAAATCATTCGCCTGTCTTTCAAAGTTCTATCTCAATTAAGTAGCTTGACGATCATATTCAGTTTTAAGTGCGAACATATAATCATTTTATGCCAAATCAGCCTCCTTTTATTGAACTTTCAATGATCTTATATCAGTCTTCAATTCTCTGTCCTTCATTCTATGATCATCTTCTAATTGTTTTAGAGTGACTTCTACATCCTTTCTTAAATCACTCTACTAATCCTGATTTTAAAATAACAGATGCTTAATTCTAATTATATAATGAAACCTTACTTTTATTTGTAAAGATTCAATTGCATAAAGTGATTCTCCTTTAGATCCTGAATTTCTCTCTCCTTGTTAATGAAATCACTTTTTTTATCATCCAATTCCTTTTTTGCAATGATCCAGTTGTAATTTATCTTTTCTCTTTCCTATTGATATTAGGAAAGTAATTTCTCTTCGGCATCTATGTCTGTTTTAAGTAATCTAATTTCTTCTCTCATTTATTTCTAGAGGAGTTTCAAAATTATAATACCTTGTACGCCTCATTTTCAACATCGTTAACTTATTTAGCCTTATTTTAAGCCTCCAATTCTGCTTCTATAAACTATAAATGAGGCAAGCATACTTGATAACTACGGCTTAGAATCGGTTGGTTTGGGTTTATTCTTGCTCATCGAAATAATTATTTATATTTATAATGCTCATTAAGAATATATCATTATAAGCAATAAAGAGAAATTTCAATATAAAAAAACTAATTATACATAGATTATAATATGAACTTCTAAAAAAATCAAACAAGCAACGTAGCATTTATACACCCATCCAATTCAGGATTATTTGTTACTTGAGCATATTTACTCCAAATAACTTTACCAGTTTGAGTCACTAAACCCAATTCACTAACATTTACTTCAACTACTGTTCCCTTTGTGATCACACCAAGAGTAGTATATAAGGCTGATTATGGGTTTTTCTTAACTCCCAATAAAGGCAAACTAAATGTTGTTTTGAGTTCAGGATGAGTAACATTGGCTTTCTTAAAACGAAGTCCAGTAGGTCTAATGTACCTTTCAAATTTGGGGGGTTTACGAGTGAACGTCTCTGGAACAAAACATACCTTGTTAATCCTCCTTTTCCAAGACTTTTATTTTCTCTTTCCACTCTCAATTACTTAGAACATCTCTCCCTCAGACATCTATTTCACCTTTGCAATAGGAACATCCCATTTTCCTGCTTTCTCTTATCTAATCGTTAAATAAAACACTCTACCTTTTTTGTTTAAGCATGTTTGTCAACACCTTCGATTACTGTTATTATTCTCTATCTAGTAAATATGTGGGGACTGCTCCATCCTTAACATCTTCTACATTGACTTCGATATCTTTCTCTTCATGAGCTAACATTTATTTCTTCATGAGTGCCTTCTCCTTAAATCTTTCCTTGTTAAACATTTTGGCCTTGAATTATTAGCAATTTTCTATACTTTAAGACCCTTAAGATTTTATGCTTTCTCTGCCAATTCATGAGGCTGTCTGGCTGCCTTTTTTCTTGCTCTTTCTTCTGTATCAAGTCTTTTTCCAAACCTTTTTTGATGAAGTTCAATGTAATCGTGTTGTGGCATTATAAATCACAAGTTTTTATATTTAAAATTTATTAAAATTTTATCATTCATGATTTTACATTTACTATTTTTAATCGATTCTAATAAACTTAATAACGAAAGATTAAAACACCAAAAGATCTCTCAAATTATTGATGTAAACTATAATCATATTTGCGTCTCCCTACTACTTATAATTTAGTAAAATCATACNATGTCTGTTTTAAGTAATCTAATTTCTTCTCTCATTTATTTCTAGAGGAGTTTCAAAATTATAATACCTTGTACGCCTCATTTTCAACATCGTTAACTTATTTAGCCTTATTTTAAGCCTCCAATTCTGCTTCTATAAACTATAAATGAGGCAAGCATACTTGATAACTACGGCTTAGAATCGGTTGGTTTGGGTTTATTCTTGCTCATCGAAATAATTATTTATATTTATAATGCTCATTAAGAATATATCATTATAAGCAATAAAGAGAAATTTCAATATAAAAAAACTAATTATACATAGATTATAATATGAACTTCTAAAAAAATCAAACAAGCAACGTAGCATTTATACACCCATCCAATTCAGGATTATTTGTTACTTGAGCATATTTACTCCAAATAACTTTACCAGTTTGAGTCACTAAACCCAATTCACTAACATTTACTTCAACTACTGTTCCCTTTGTGATCACACCAAGAGTAGTATATAAGGCTGATTATGGGTTTTTCTTAACTCCCAATAAAGGCAAACTAAATGTTGTTTTGAGTTCAGGATGAGTAACATTGGCTTTCTTAAAACGAAGTCCAGTAGGTCTAATGTACCTTTCAAATTTGGGGGGTTTACGAGTGAACGTCTCTGGAACAAAACATACCTTGTTAATCCTCCTTTTCCAAGACTTTTATTTTCTCTTTCCACTCTCAATTACTTAGAACATCTCTCCCTCAGACATCTATTTCACCTTTGCAATAGGAACATCCCATTTTCCTGCTTTCTCTTATCTAATCGTTAAATAAAACACTCTACCTTTTTTGTTTAAGCATGTTTGTCAACACCTTCGATTACTGTTATTATTCTCTATCTAGTAAATATGTGGGGACTGCTCCATCCTTAACATCTTCTACATTGACTTCGATATCTTTCTCTTCATGAGCTAACATTTATTTCTTCATGAGTGCCTTCTCCTTAAATCTTTCCTTGTTAAACATTTTGGCCTTGAATTATTAGCAATTTTCTATACTTTAAGACCCTTAAGATTTTATGCTTTCTCTGCCAATTCATGAGGCTGTCTGGCTGCCTTTTTTCTTGCTCTTTCTTCTGTATCAAGTCTTTTTCCAAACCTTTTTTGATGAAGTTCAATGTAATCGTGTTGTGGCATTATAAATCACAAGTTTTTATATTTAAAATTTATTAAAATTTTATCATTCATGATTTTACATTTACTATTTTTAATCGATTCTAATAAACTTAATAACGAAAGATTAAAACACCAAAAGATCTCTCAAATTATTGATGTAAACTATAATCATATTTGCGTCTCCCTACTACTTATAATTTAGTAAAATCATACAACAAAAATAATAACTTTTATTTATATTCTCATAAATCTTAAATTTTGGCAACGAAATCCCCACTTCAAAATAACATTCTTCTCCTTAAGTAATCTCTGATACTTAAGTTAATCTATACCTCTTCAAGCTTCAAAGTTTATTATCTCTATTGAAATACGAGTAATAATTATCCTCCTCAAGGTTAGACCATTTAACTAGAGTAATTGTGGATTTAGACGCCTTGATATAGATCTAGATACAACCATTTTCGCTTGTTTTATAAGGCTTCAATTTCCAATAATCCTAAATCACATCTAATATCTTTCCCATAAAGACTAGCAAGTTTTAAGGAGTTGTAATAAAGGAGATTGGCAATATATTCCAACAAAGCGCAACTGCCTTGATGCTTCGCTTATATGACATACAATTTATTTCAATTTTGATAAACAACATTGATTCATTAACTTTAATACTCATTAATCATTAGGTATTTATTCAAAGCATTCGTAAACCACTGTTGATTCAATAAAACTCTTGATAGGTAAAACGCTGCAAAATGTCCTACGCCAATGAAGAATCCTGCAATGGCTGGGTATAAAATCCAATATTTTAAAAACATTAATTTTTATAATTATACTTTTTTTCATATTTTTCTAAGTTTTCTCCTGAGGAGCTGTTTCAAGTCTTCCTGAAGAAACCATTGAGATGTACATTGACAAAAGATCACTAAAAAAAGTTAGAAATTTTAATGAAATTTATTATAATTATTTTCAACTGATATTTTGCATTCTACACTTAGTTTTCAAACAGATATCATCGTTATAATAATTCAAGTTTAAGAAATATAGAGAATTTTATGAGAGCCGTCTGATAATTTTTATGTTGAGAATTCAAGAATATTGTAGGAACAAAATTGCTTCCTAATGCTATTTTTTGTACGAAAAAGAAATTTGGTGAAATTGATATGTTTTCCCGGCTTTTTAGTTATGCATGTAAATAAATAGAATACAAATCCAAGTGTGTTAATATATATATAAAAAAGTTTGAAATTTAAGAAAATATGATTGTGAAATGCTTCTCTGTCTTAAAATAGCAAAAATCTGAATAAAAACAATGTTTGATTGTAAATAACTAAATTAGTAACCAAGAACTTGAAAGCCTGTAACCGGTAAATTTATATTCTATCTCTATTAGATTCATACCTTATTATCTCCATTATGCGGGGATTCTTAATGTTCAACTGAGAATAGTTCCTGCTTCAAATTATAAGAGAAAATGATAGAAGAACTTCTATTAGATGATTAATTTGAATCGATCTTCTCTGATATCGATAATGCTGAGTACTACAGATAAACTCTTATATTTAAAACTAGTATAATCTTAATAGATATTTTAGTACATGAATTAAAACAAGCCATACCAAGGATTAGACGATCATTTGATGGATTGGTGATGCCCATAAATGAAATGCTAATTGAAAAATAGCACGATGAGTCATACAAACTAAGGATTATTGTAATTTAAATTAGTAAAATTAGACCAAGAAATTTATTCATCATAATTTTAGAATTAACATACGAGCACTGTGTAGATTCATAGAAAAAGTAATTGAATTTAACATAACATTTTAAAGCAGTAAAATATATTAATTACAAATATAGATGACATTATTTAATATCCTGATGAATCAATTCACATCAATCCAATATCTTTGGTGAGATGCTCAGATCAAAAGTAGACTTGTTATGAGTCTCTTAAAGAATTTTTGTTGAACCAATTTGATTTGTGTGACAGTATACAACTCATCCTTGAAATATTGAAAGATTTTGAAAATCAAGATTTAGCAAAACTCTCAAGCTACCAAGTCGTGGATAAAGATATCTATAGACTGAAGTTGTAGCTTACAAGTATAATTTACAAAAGAATGTAAATTTGAATCAATTATTATCAATTTTGAAATTTTGTTTTTAATTCATATAAAAATGATTTACTTTCTTTATGAATACTGATAATTCCTATTTAGATACCGAAATTTAAATCGGAATATTTAAATGATAATAAAGCATTTAGTCAATTAATATTTAATTTATGTAAGTTGAGAATAATGCAGAAGAAGAAAAAAAGAAAAAAGAGAACGAAGAAGAATCAAAAGGAGTCGTGACAATGAAACGCAGATTGATAGCCTCTTTTGATCTTTTCTAATTTATGCCTGTTCCCAAAACTGAAATGGTATCTTCTAGAAGAAGCTTATATGGAAGTCTTTTGATGATAGGATGTTTTTTAGCCTATTTTATTTATACTCTCGTCGGTACTTATAAAGATTGAGCTTTTAGCATTTATTACAAACAACAGTCCAACAGTAAATTAGTACGAAGAAATCCTGGACGCCGTAAATGTAACATTACCAGACATAGCTTTTGGATACTTTTTTGGAGATCCGTATATATTATTTTGAAATCTATGTTAGGTTCACAAAAACCATAAATGACCCTTCAATCTTCTATTTTGAGATGTTTTAAGTTACTAAATTCTAAGAAGTCTCGAAAAAAGATGTAAAAACTTAAATCCCGTTAAAATCTTGCAATCCTGATTGGGTCCCAGCTTCTAATTTTACTATTCTTTGCCCAAAGTACAAATTATTATATACATTTAAGTGAGTCTGGAAATATGTCAGGAGCTCTATATCAAACTCCCGAGTTTACTTATCCAAGAATTTAAGTGAATTATTGCACTTAAGGAGGCAACGTATCCTGTATCAGTTAGTAAGAAATTGCATAGATTGCAGCTGGGTATAGTTTATCATTCTAATTTACAAAGTGGAAGAATTTTATTGTACGTTCGGGACAATTCTCCAAACTTCGATCTTACAACTGGACAGTCTGTAGACAGTGTGCCCTATTCTACTTATTAATACTTTCTAATGCCTGGATTATACCCTAGAACTGAAATTTTCTTCTAACTTGAAAAGTATACAATTAAACCGGATTTCTTGAGAAGATGGCAAGATGATGTTAGAATGTTTTTGAGTACATAAAAAATCAACAGTTGGATTACTAATGTAAGTGTGTACAATACTTACAATGCGTATCAAATAGGATTTCGGACAGAATTGGTATCAAAAATTATATTAATTTTAGACATAATAAATCTCTGTTTTAACTTATTAAACATCCTTTGATATGATTTCAATAGTGGGTGCATTTTGGGGAGTTTTGTATTTAAATAATTTCTATATATTAGATTCTCAACTTTTGCAGCATATTTTTTGGTTTATAATTAAAATACCTTCTATAGAGAGAATAGATAATGGGAAGATTTTGGTAAAAAGATTGGTGTCAGAAAAGCAGCTGATGTCTTTAATTTAACCGAAGAAGCTCCACATTCAAAAGTAAATGATTCCATTGTCTTTGAAATGACAGAAATTCATCAAGAGAATAACCATTCTTAAAATGAACAGAATGGAGTTTGATTTATTTAAATGTTGAATAGAAAACTATAAACATCATCTTAAATTTATGAAAAATAACCTATTTTTTAATGAATAAAATTTTCTATATAATATAATTGTATCACAAATAATATCGATTTATTATTAAAATTTAATATCATTACTTTTTGCTATACATAATATAGAAAATAGGATGGGCAACCTAGGAGATCAAGAATAGTTTTAGATAATCAATAATTGATTTATTTTACGATTATTGTTGTTTGGGTATTTAGGTTTATTCCAAGATTGTTATTTTTTATTCATAAGTACTTATCAAGGCTTAGGTATCTCTTTAGGTAGTTTCTGTAATCGATTTGTATTCTTTTTCTTATTATTAAATTTATAAATCTCTATTCTCTAATTTAGTGGCTAATTTTTTGTATTCCTCTTTTAGTTTTGCATATTTCTTCTCCAATTCATCATATTTCTTCTCATTTTGTTTTTTCTACTTGATTTAATCAGTCACCATTTCATTTAATTGTTGAATTTCTTCTGATTGATGTTAATCTTTTTTTTTTAAGTTACTAATTTCTTAGATCTATTCATTTAATTATTAAACTAGTTGCAAATTTTAACTCTCCAACGATTGAACTTTCGAACAACTTTATTTCCATTATTCTTCTAGTTCTTCATACTTTTTTTCCAATTCTTGAAATTCCATTTGATTTTATAAAAATTAATGTTATAAATATCTGACAAAAATACTGATAATGTGTAAGAAATTAGTACAGATATATCTAATTAAAGTCTGTATAATCTCAAAATTAATAAGTGTTTTATTTTGACATAAGTAATTAAATATTAACATATCATTTACTTTAAAAATGAATTCAAAACACCATTACAATACTCAAAAATTAACCTTGACTAAACCTAATAAGAAATCATTATTTGGTTCTGATGACGGAGAGAGTACCACACCACAATCCATCAATTCCACTAGACACAAATAGGAGTTTTAAACTGATGATTCTGATTGTGGTACTCCGAACACCCCTTCAAATAAGTCGCCCTCCAAACCACAACAGTCTAAATTCAAACCAAAACCTACCACCATCTAATAACTCTTTACAAATACAGCTAGAAATGTTCTAACAAATAAATAAGTCCATTCTGATGCTGAATCAAAGCCCTAAAAATAACATGAAGTTTCCATAAAAAATCATCCTTTTAGACATCTCATATTTGGTGAATCAGTTTCAGAAACTAGTTTTCATAAGCATCTCTTATTAACTCAAAGAGGTTTGATATATGCAACCAAATGTTTAAAAGGACCCAGCGAATAATTTATTAAATTACGCCAAGTAGAAGTCCCAAAAGAAGAAAATAAATCGAAGATTCTTCTGTTAGATTTAGATGAAACATTAATTCATTCTTGCAATAGTAAAGAGTAACCCTAAGTTAACATTAATTAAATCAGCTTCAATGTAAGACCATATACAAATTATTTTATAAATAAATTATCTTAGATATATTCAATTTTCGTTTTCACAGCTTCATCATCCTCATATGCAAGTGCTATCGTAGATTATTTGGATCCAGATTAAACTAAAATTATTGGGATATTTTCTAGAAATCATTGTATGGAGACAAAAAATGGATTCTTTATTAAAGATTTACGAACACTAAAAGATATAGATTTAAGTTCTGCATTAATTGTGGATAATTTGGCTCATTCTTTTGGTTTGTAAATTGACAATGGAATACCAATATTGGAATGGAATTCAGATGAAAAAGATTAAGAACTCAAATACTTAACAGAATATCTCATAAAAGCCAGCAAAGTTGAAGATGTTAGAATATTCAATCGAGAAAACCTTCGTTTAAGAGAATTAATAAACTACTAATTATGAATAAATATATGTTTGTTATTCAATTATGATTCATATTAAAAGTTAATACAGTGTTTGGATTGAATACCAGTTTTGCTTTTGTTTATTTTAGGATAGAAATCCAATATAAATATTGATTAAATTCTTCTTAACTAAGTTCAAGGTTTTTTTATATCATCTCATATCCTTTAGTTTCAGCTTCCAATAATAATTTATTTGCTGTTGCTTAAGCTGCTTAAGTGATCGTAAAGGCATCTGCTTAGGCTTATGCATGGATCGCAAAGATTTCTTAATCATTTTCAGCCCTCATAACAAGTATGTCATTCAGAATCATTTGTGCCTTTTATTCAAATTATTTCATAGTTTTCTTTTGGACTTCGATTTAAGTTTGGACTATTGAATCTTCGTATTAATCGGGTAATTCAATGTCCAGAATTTGAAGAGATACACAATTGGCATGAGCCTTTTTCAGTTCTTCTTCCAATTATTTTTGCATAACTTCTGTTATGTTTCTCCTATTGGTCCAATATCTGGGAGCTTCAAATCTGCCAGCTGCTTATAAAATGGTATCTCTTGCCATTCTTATAAATGTTGCTTCATAATTAAGTCCACCCATAGCATAGAGTTAAGCGATTTCGTTTTTGATTAGTTGATATTGAAAAGACACATGCAAACTAAGAGTAAGACCTTCAGCTGTTCTAGTTTTGAGGGGCTAACTTTGGGCTCGTTTGTCATCTGAAAATTCTATGCTTTGTCTGCTGCCAGGAAAATTAAAGAAGGAGTTGAAGGGGCCTACCAAATATCTGCCTGGAGCATAGATTTGTTTATCGCATTGTTTGCTAATGGAATTGCACTTTAACCCCCAGTTTGTGATTTCTACAACATCCCATCCGATGATTAAAATAATCAAGAGGAAAGCAGCAAAACAAACAATAGAACCTAATATTATTTATTATTACATTATTTTATTTAATATATATTGTAGATATAAATACTATTTAGTCAATCAAGTCTGTTCGAATATTTTTATCTAAAATAATTCTCACGATGATATATAAATTAGGAAATATTGGAATTAATTTAATACATCCCTATATAATTGATTTCATAAATTTCTTTGATAAATTAGAAATATTTCTTTTTTATATATAAATCTTATTTAATTATGAGCGAAAATCCATTTGAGGTCCTAAAGGAAGACATGGAAAATGAGGAAGTCTATTTAAAAGTCAATGCTATGCATAGAGTGAAAGTTGTTGCCACTTTGTTGGGTAGTGATAAAATAAAGTCATAATTAATACCGTATTTTGAAAGTAATAGCAATAATTTAAAGTAGCTCTATTAAAGAAAGAAGACGACGAAGTACTTTTTGCATTGGCTGAAGAATTGGGAAATATTGCGTAATTGACATTTGATTATAATTAGTTAAATCATCCCTAATTAATCATCCTGCCTCTTGACACTCCTAGAATAATTGGCGGGGTTTGATGAAACCGTGGTAAGGGAACAAGCTGTTAGATCCATTACTATTGTATGTGGATTTTTGGCTGACAATGAAATAGCTAACACAATAGTGCCAATGGTAATTATTTCTTTTACAATTTTTATAGATTATTAGATTAGCTTCAAATGATAGTAATTTCACATGTCGAGTATCAGCAGTCAGTTTGATGTGTCCATTGTATGCCAGAGCAGGCAATCAGAAGGAGAAAATCAGACAGTAATTCAAATTTGAATATTAATTAGAAAGTTTACTGAGTTGTGCAGTGAAGAAACCCCAATGGTCAGAAGGGCTGTGGCAACTAAAATTGGTGAAATCGCTTAGTTTATGGATAAGATCCATGTGATTCAGGATTTGATCCCTGTTTTAAAGCAACTTTGTCAAGATGAATAGGATTAAGTCAGATTATTATGCATGGAAAGTTTAATGAATATCGCAAAAATATTGAATAGTGGTGAGAATAAGACCAATATTCTACCCCTTATCATTTAATCAGCTGAAGATAAATCATGGAGAGTGAGATTAGCACTGTCTAAAATATTCGCAGATGTAAAATAAATATACTAATATCTAATTAGTTAGCTGAGGCTGTTGGCAAAGAAATTGCTGATTCTTCACTTATATAAATCTTCTCTAATTTATTAAAAGACACAGAATGCGATGTCAGAGTCATTGCAGTCAAAAGTCTCGCAAGATTCATTAAATTTGTGTCACCAGAAAAATTAAATTTAATTGTTCCACTTCTATAATTACTATCAAAAGACCCTTTTTCCTAAGTGAAATGTATTCAGTATTGTCATTTTTAGAAAATGCATGTGAAGTTATTGGTTAAATTGCTACACTGTTACCAAAGGAGTATAGTCAAAGCAAATTATAACAATATTTGATTGATTTAATGGCTGATGACAATTAAGATGTAAGAAGAAATGCAGCCAAATCAGCAGGTTAATTTGCAGCTGCTATTGGTCCAGAAGCCTTGAATCAATTTGTTCCTTTTCTCAAAAAATGCATGGACGATCCTAAATGGAGAGTAAGAAAAGAAACTATGCAAACTATCATTTAATTGGCCTTGTACAATTTCCTTTATTTATAATTTAAGGACTGTCAAGAACCCAGACGTCTTCAATAAGTAATTAGAATCTGTGTTTGTAATGTTTTTGAAAGATAGAGCAGCTGAAGTTAGATCCATGGGATTAAGCTAATTGCCTGCATTGATTGCTACTTATAAATAGGAATGGGCTGTTGGCAACTTCTTATCAAAATGTGTTGAAACTCTATCCAAGGATGTTGGATCACTGTATAGAATCAATGCACTTTATGCAATCTAATAAATTTCTTTTGCTGTTGATGGCCCTGTTGCTTAGGACAGATTATGGCCTATTGTTTAGAAGTGCTTAAAAGATACTGTTCCCAATATTAGATTTGTTAGCATTAGAGTTGCTAAATCTTTGTCGAAAAAAATTGATAACTAATAAACTTTGAATCAAATTAAATAGTATATTCTAATTTAATTATTTCATAGAGCAATTAATGAATTAATAGAAGATCCAGATAGAGATGTCAAATTTTATGCATAAGAGGCATTATAAAATTGAATGTCCAAAATAATATATATATAATTATATAATTATATACAAATGCAGAAATTAAAAGAATAATGTTAAGAAGCATTATAATTCTCTTCAGATTGTAAATTATGTATGTTATCATTTTAGTGTAATAACAACTCATCCAAATGAAAAAGGATCTGCTTGAGAAGACATAATAAATTGTCAAATTGTAAACTTCAATTTCGATGATTGATTGCGATGCTTCAGATATACAAGACCTATTTTGGAATGTTCAAAAATAAACATTGCTTATAAAGTAAACAGTTAGAGAAGCAGAAAAAAATCCAGACAACTAATAAATTATTCAAAAGCAATTTGAAGAGCTTCAAGAGAAAATTATAAATCTTGAAGAGCTAGTCTTCAATTACCTTTTCAATAATAAAATGAATCTGAAGAAGAACAACAAAAAAAAAAGTGATTAGAATAAAGAAAACAACGAAGATAACGTCAATCAAAAAGAAGTTCAAAATAAGAAGAAGTAATATGTCAGTACTATAAAAAAAACTTAAAATCCCTTTAATAGTAATTTCATCAATGAGGAATCAGATGAAGATGATAAACAGCAATTAAAGAAACGTAGGAAAAGATTAAGAAGCAATATTGCCATAGACCAATCGAATAACCTCATTAATGATATGTTTAATTTTAATTGATTTTCCTATTACTATTCAATGAGTTGCTGATTGATTATTGGGGGCTGTGAAGGGTCTTCTTTATTCTAAGAAATCATCAAATTCTCCATCTGCTCGTCTATAATTTTTTATTCAACAATTTACCTATTATTCAAATTTGGCCTTTATTATGCTGCTCTTAATTGTCTCATTACATTCATCACTATTTCAGCTGTCCTTTCAATACTTAATTGTTTTCCAGGACCCAACTTACTCTTCTCATCCTTCACTAACTCACTAATGCTCTTAAATATATATTTACCTAATATGATCAATTACTTAATCTTCAATAGCCTTACCTCCATTCTTTCTTTACTCATAGGCTTCTTATTGATTTGCCAAATACTGATTCCAAACGGAGTATGTAAATAATTAATAAGGGTGTGAGTTATAAGACACTAATTCGAAGTCTCTGTCTATCTAATCAACCATTCTTCTTTCACCACCATGTTTAATTTATGTGACTTGACATTCAGCTATATGTGGAACAATGAAAAAAGTCCTCAAACCCATTTGAAATAATTCTTCTAATTCTCTATTTCCAAAGAAATACTATTTGCAATGTCTAGAGATCTTCCTGTATGAGTGATAAGCTATTAAAATATAAAATTACGAAACCTCTTAAGAATGAGTTATGGTCATATCTGCATCTAATACCGATTGTAAATTCTGAGCTGGAAGGACGAGGAGCATTGAAATTTTTAGGATGCCAATTATTCTTCCATCCTGCCCTGGTCCAAAAGAAGGATTTATTTCTAATTTTATAAACCATAGTTTATTAATAATAATATAATCAATTGAATTTATCAATATCAAGTGTATAGATTCAAGACAGTCAATTAAATTCTAACTTTTTCTATTTTATTCTTCTAAAATGATTAATAAAGTATAACGCACTAAAGATTTTCAACAAGAATTGCAATAATACTGAGGTTAAATACTCTATAGATAATTAAAATTAAACGTTAAACTGAAAAAACAAGTTGTTTATCAAGATATCAACAGTAAAATAGAATATCTCTTAATTTTGAATTTTTGAATTTTTTAGAATTCATCATATAATTTTCATTAAACTAATTTCATAATTCAGATAGATATATTTTTTAGATTATTGATCCTGTTTGATTTCATTTGAATTTTTTTTTAAGTTAAACATATTAGTTACTGTAAACTATGTATCTCTAGTCAGCTCTTAAGGTATGTACGAACTAAAGTGAATATCTTATCAACAAACTAGTCAAATAAATGGTAATGGATAAATTAGATAATCAGTTGGATTATATTGAACAATATTGTATTTGTATGAGAATGAGGTACTTTTGATTTAAAGCTATATATATAGATGTTTATCTTGGCATGTTAATGAAAATATGAATTGCTAAGGTGATTTATTGGATTTTGATAAGTATGATGAATCTCTTAATGAATAAAAATGATCAATTTAGTGAAGTTAACATCTACTAACTCCTTATTCATTTTACAGATATATTTTGAGGGCAAAGAAATTATTTCTCGGTATGGTATATAGAAATTACAAAATTATAGGAGAAGTTTAAGAATACAGCTAAAATATCAATCTATATGAAAACAGAAGCTAAATAGCTTATTTCATCCTTACTTATGGTAAATCTTTTTCTTCCCAATTTAGCAAACATCACCTCTTAAAAAAAAATATACTTTTCTACAATAGAAAGAAAATGGATATTATATGGGATCCCATTTATCTATCTAGACTGTCTTTCGTTGCTAATTTTTGATTATAAGCTGATTTCGGCTTTATATCTAAGATGGATGGTTTTATTTAGGTTTAAGTTAGTGTTTATTTTGTTTTGTTAGGATTCAAAATTTTAAGAAAACGAATGTCATTATCAAAGAAGATGCGAAAACTTTAGTAATTTAGTTCACTTAAATAGTAAAATACTAGATAGATTTAGAGACAAAAAATTCTTTATTCAATTAAGAAATAAAAGAAAATATTATCTACTAAATTATTATCAATTACAAAATTAATTATCAATACCTAATAGGGTTTGTTTCTAATGTTTCTCCTCAAAATGATATGATTGAGAGACTGTAGAAAAGATTGTGAATATAATAATTTATTTGATCAATTATTAAATAGTGATGTAGAAAAATCATAATTCTGGCAACTTGAATAAAATAAACAGCTATCATAACTAGAATGATGATGAAGAAGATTGCTAAGACTTATTCGGTGAGATTTCTGAAGTCCTAAGTTTAAAGTGTGATGAAAATTTTAATCTTTAGTAAATGTAGGATGATAAAGGCTTTTATTAATCGAATAATTCGATCCTGATTAATTTGAATGAAGGCATAAAAAATATTTAAGCTAACTACCCTTTGAAGATTAATGAATTTTCACAACAAAAAATACGCAAGGATTTCAATCTCTATAAGAATCCAAAAACAGATGATGCTTCCAAAATGCATCGATAAATCAAAAGTAGAATTTATAAATAGTACATATCTCGCAGAACTAAAATGAAGACAAAATGAACTTTGATTTACAAATATTTTGTATAATTACTTTTGATTTAAATATCTTACTTAATATATAAATTATATTTTTTATCATCGTTTAAGAAGATTTTTTGATTAAATAGATACCAATTGATAGGTTATCAAGGAGTGGATCTAATCATGAAAAGTGGAGAGCTCAAAATTAAAATATATATAATATACATCTTTATATACATATATAATAAATATGAATTATATTGATTAAGGCTCGGCTCTTTCAAGAAAAGTTCCCAATCGAAAATTGTCCAAGAAGAATTCTTTGTTTTATTAAGTATTGAAGTTATGTGAGCATTTCTAGCAATCAGTTTTTGAGAATGAGGAATTTATGTAAAAGTATGAAAAGAATGTCGATCAATTAATCACAGTGATTGAAGAGCCAGAATTGAAAGAAGTGATCCAAAATAGAAATGAGAAGTTTTTCTAAGTTTTGGAGCAAATAATCAAAGTGGAATCATCAATTAAGGAGTTTGCCAAAGGGTAATCCAAGATGTTAATTTAGGTATTAAAAGTATGGATTTATTGTATCTGATACAGGAATAACTTATAGAGAATGGGCACCAAATGCAAAAGAATTAAAATTGAATGAATTTGGCTGCACCACTGACAATGGAGGAAATTGGGAAGTATTTATACCAAAGGATGATGATGATAATCATCAAATCTAACATGGAAGTACTCTGATCACCTATTGTGACTAACTCGAAAGAGCTTCAGTATGGAGTAGTGTTAAGCAGGGAGAGTAAGCAATATTTTGGAATCCAGACAACAAGTACGAATTTCAATAATAACAATTGCAACAAAAGCAACAAAGCAAAGGGTTGAAGGTCATCAAGTAGAAGGCAACGGAATTGTAAGGAGTGAATGGATACAATACAATAATGATTACACAATAATTACTAATGTAAGTGGATGTAAATTAAATAACACCAGATGACTTGAAAAGAAACATAGACACTCTTCATCAAAAGGGTTATTCTGTCATAATGGAGATTGATCATGAATAGATAGGAAAATACTTGAATAATTGGGATGGAACTGGATATCAATACTTAAGAGAGGGAGTAGAGCAGTTGGATTATGGAAAATGGGAAGTCTTGAGATTATTGTTGTCAAACATATCTTTTTGGATCACTGAATATCAAATAGATGGATTTAAATTTACTAATATAGAAATATAGGATGACATTGATGCAACAGTCTACTTGATGCTTGCAAATGATCTCATTCATGACTTGCTACCCAACGGCATTAGCATAATCTAAGACTTGGATTATCCAGTTCTCTGTAGAACAATCAAAGAGGGAGGTTTGGGTTTTGATTTTCGACTATCTAAGTTACAACATAAATAATACTAACCAAAGACACTGTTTGAAAATACTGGGACATATACTTAAGCTCAAATATTAAATGCACTTGTGATTGGTTCAGTAAGAATTTCATTAATTGTAGGGATTGATATAAGAGATTGCGGATGATAAATTTGTATAATTTGAACAATAATTTGGGTGGTTGCATGATGAATTTGCAGAAGTCAATTAAGTAGATTTTGTGTTGCAAGTTAAAAGGGGCAAATTTACATTTTTGATAAATCATACAAATGAAGTACAATTAATTATATGAGATAGAACAGAGAAATTGAATTGAATTTAAAGATAAACAAGATTTTAAACAAGGAGGATCAAAAGTGGGAATAGTTGGATGAAAATACCATAAAATTAACAATTGAGTCAGAATAGGGATTGATAATTGAGTGATAACTGATAACTAATATGAATTTACAGAATTTATAACAAGTATATTTTTTATTGTTATTAATAATAATGTAATTTCATTTTTATAAATTAATGAATTAATACAAGGATGAAGTTTCTATTATCAAATTATTGGATTATTCATAGTAATATTCGCTTGAGGTTGCAGTTATTTTAATTTATTTGCCTAAAAACTGAATATTAAGTGTGAGTATACTTGAAAATGAGTTCTTAAATTTTAAGATCTCTTCAAGTGAAAAAAAAAATGAAGAATAGATACTTAATCATTTAGAATTGAGTTTGCAATTTAACATTAAAGTAGTCATACAATACTTGTTATTTCCTCATTAGAAAGATGAGGACAATGAATATCAATAATATCGTAATGTGGAAATGAAAAGATTAAGTTGGCTAATATAAAAGTCTATATGGATATTATCATTGTGATAAATGAGGCATTATTCGTTCTCTTTTTAAATAATAGTAACGCATTTTTATAAGTCAAAATGGATTTAACCAAAATCACAAAGAGAGTCTTAATGATTCTTTATGCATTTCCTGCTCTTGCTACTTTAATCGTTGTTTTCTATTCAAACAAGACTAATTACAGACCTATGCTCAAAGTTTTCAGTATTTTTATTGTAATTCATTATATGTTTACTTTGATTGATATTTAAATTAGAATGCAATGATTTGAGTGTGCATCTGAAGTATCTGCACCAAAAGTACTGTCTTTTGAATTATATTGATCATTTTATTCAGCTATCCTTTTTCTTTCCATTCCCTTAATTGTGAAATCATATATGATTGATCTTATTATAATACTATACTCAAGGAATTACTTTTTGCCTTTTATGAGTAATTCAAACATCATACTTTGACTCTTATTATACTAGTTCTGTTAACTAATCCTATATCTGTGCCGTATTTTTTAACTGTATGATTGTTATTATCTTATTTATATATATCTCTGGTAAGAATGGAAGCCAGTTAAAAGGTGAGTATATTCTGAAATAAGTTGGTATGTTTCAATTTGTTTATATTTAACTTATATTAGTAAATATACATAGAAATATCACATGAAATAAGGTTGTCCTTGAATAAACTATAAGTCTACTGCTTTTCTACTTTTATTGTACTTTCCAAAGTATTCAAGAATAAGAAATGAAAATCTAATGATATTACCATGTTTGGCAGTTCTTAAGAAATCCTTCGTCATGCCTGCTTTAGTGAGATCATCACAATGAACAAACAAGTCACTTCCATCCATGTCCATAATTATGAAGCCATAAGATCTTGCTTCGTCATAAAACTTCAAGGTTCCAAAGTATCTTATCTACACATGATTTCAATACATTTACATTTGACAATATGTTAGTACCTTCTTGTAAATTTAAATTAAGTGATTGTAAAAGGTCATTCTAAGGGTTTGGGGAATTAATCACTGAGTTGCATTCCTTAAGAAGTAGATCACTCTCTTGATTTACTTCGTCCAACAATTGCATTTGTAAACTGGTGCGAGATATATTGGAGGGAGATAATGGCACATTTTTAATGTTCAATTTATTGGTTCGATTGTCCTTTTGATCAGAGAAGTACTTAAAAGCATCTGAATAAGATCTTTTATGTCTTCTGATGGGTAACCCTATTATTTCATTGATAACATCCATCAAAATATCCTTGATAAGTTTATGCTTTTCAGATGTGCCCTTTTTGCCCACCACATAAAAGTAATTTAAATATCGAGCCAGATATATGCGTTTCTTGTATCCAAAATTGATCACTTGACATTTCAAATCTTCAATTTCACAAATATCATAAATAATGATTTTTCTCTCCAATTGTTAACTTATAATGTTGAGATCATCACCTTTACAAATTTCAGTCAGTACTTTCCAATAAAACCATGTGCCGTAAAGTGAATATGAAATTGCTTTCATGAGATCCTAACTTTTTGATTTAAGCACTATACCATAGCTGATGTGAGTATTTCCTTATCGTCCTAAATTAATAGTTGTCTGAATGACTCTATCATTCGAGCACTTTCAAAATCAGAATTAAACTTATTCAGAGAGGGAGTTAATTGTAAATCATACAATTTACTAGGGAACATTAATTATTTTATGAATTAAATTAATTCTTTAAATAAAATAGTAATAATATAATTCAATTAACAAAATTGCTCTTTTTCTTGTTCTTATGATTGTTATTGTTGCTTTAGCTCTTAATTATATGATGAAATTAATCGTCGTTATTCGTTGAATACCCATTCACCAAAATTGGAGTCAAAGTAGTAATATCTTGGATATCTTTCTAGTTTTGAACAACAATCTATTGATGTCTGACGTTCCTTGAGTGATATTGCAATTTTATGATAACCCAGCATAATCCAATAAATAGGATCGATATGCCTATTATACAATATCTCGTGATGACATTCAATTGATAGATCTATCTCTCTAGATTAATATTGATATTTTGTTATTGAGAGAATTCGAATAATAATTACTATTATATGTCATCATTTTATTTCTAATTTTACATTTCCTTCAATTTATTCTTATTAATCTATTATAACTACTCCTTCAATAATTGGAGGTTATGAGATAGTATAACTATATTTTAAGCTGTGACTTTAAATAGGGATTGATTGGATTCGAAAGGAATCACATCTAAAAATTGATTTTGACTCTTGATTTCATCAATATTTGACTGTTGTACATCAAATAAATAATTGAAATAGCTGCATGTAGAATTGTTAGAATTTGCATAATTAGTTATTATCTCTTTGCATGGCATTCTAATTCGTTATGGTTATTTCACTTCCTCCCTTATTGGTTCAATTTTAGGCAATTGTAATTTATATCTTTTGTGTGATTGTATTAGATCTCCAATAACAGTTTATCCAAATACTCTAAAAATTTAATAATCCTTATACCTTATTTATGTTAATGTGCAATGATATTCTGCTTGATGAAAATCAATGATCTCGATTTTCAAATATCTGAGGAAGTGCGATTCAAATTCGAAGTTTTACCATTCATTTATATCCTCTAATTCGAATGCTTACAAAAAATCCCAGGATTCAGTAGGATACACAACACTCCCAAAAACCTCAAAACATAGTTATTCTAAAATGATACCCTGAAATTTTTCATTGTTGACGAATAAAACTCTTTATTAATAAAGTAGATCGATTCCAATTGAATCTCTTCTTTTAAACATATTATAAAGTGCAGTTTTTCTTGATTGCACTCTGTAATCATATAACTAAATTCAAATTAGAACAATATACGTTTCTTGATTATCCACCAAAATATTGTCTACTCCTACTAATTATTTGCTTTTTGTGAGAATGGTGGCCCCACCAAAATAATTGGCGAAGTTTATTTGAGATGGAATACTTTTCACTTGAATTCTAGATTCCCGTGTAATCCTATTATAAAGCAAGGCTGGTAATTTTTAAAGTGAGGATACTGTCTCCTCCAATGTGTTATAAGCTGCTTTAAGATTAGAATCAATCATTTTCACTGCATAGAAGAGACATAAATCATGGATCTATCTACCATTAATAAACTCTGCCAATTGTTTATTCTTCTCTGCAGGATCTTCTATTTGTTCTATTTGTGAAAGCTTTTGTAAATCTTCCCTTTTGAAATAAACAAAAACCAAAAACATAATAAAAGCATAGTAGTAGTATTTCATTAATTAAATTAGTTAAATTTTGTGAACTTCACAAAACTTATTATTTTTAATCAAAATTTAGTTTCAATTAAGATATATATATATAAATACAATGATTATCATAAATTTAGCAGTGCCATAAACTCTTTTAAAGATATTTATCCATTTCCATCCTCATCAAACAAAGTAAAAAGATCCCAAATATCACATTTGCTCAATTTATCTAATTTGCCTAGTAAATACTCAAAATCCTTGAAATTGATGTACCCCTTCCTTTCCTTGTCCACTTAAGAAAACAATGTACTAACAGACACTGATTTTTTCATCAGTGTTTCACGAATTCTATTCAAAATGATTTTTAATTTTTGGTAATTCTTACTTTGGAGAACAAATTGTAATTCTTTAAGACTAATTTTGCCATCATTATCTTGATCATAATTTTTGAATATCTCTACAATGTTTTCCTACGATAATTTTGGAGCAATCTTCTTAATGAGGAATTCGAACTCCTTTACATCAAGATACCCATTTTTATCTTAATCCATCTGCTTGAATAATTACGGCAATGGTATTTAATATATTTTGATAATGGCCTACAATTCGTATATGATTTAAACGGCTATGGACTTCAGAGGTGCAAAATCGTATTCACTGAATAAATATTCGAATTCTTGAGCACTTATCAGACCGTCCTTTGAATAATCAAATTTTTCAAATAGTTTCCTACCAACATCTTCGTCTTCAGAATTCATAATCTTCCTCAACATATTCTGAAATTCCTATTAATTTATATGAGTCTTGCCACATTATTTCATCAAGTCCTTTGCTTAAATTTTATGCTCAGAGCATACTAATTATATGTTATATAAGTATTCTCTTTCCAAAACTGTAAAATCCAATCTTTCCTAAGTAGCTTATCTTTTCAATCTCCCTTACGTTTATAATAAGGGATGCTTCAGTAATTCGGCCCAACTCATCCTATTACATTCCTCAATCCTTAGGCATCTCTTAATGAAATCCTTGATTTGAGGTGAAACTTAAATCTCATAAGGGAATTGCAAGGGCTTAGTTTTGATTTCAATTAAATAAGTATCGAAACTCCTGCATAACCATGGAGTTCTCCCAAAGAGGAGTTCATACAAGACCAACCCCAAGGACCAAATGTCGCATTTATTTGTGTATTCTTTGCATTCTAAAACTTAAGGTGACATGTACAAAGGAGTACCAACTTGGGCTAGAGTAAGCATAAAGGAAAGTAATACATCTTAAGACCTATTTGGGGGGTATTTTTGCAGCTAAGCCAAAATCTGCAACCTTATAGGTATTTTACTTAAGTAAAATATTATCAGGCTGAATTTATGTTGAATTAATACTTTGATATCACGATGCATGTAATTTTTATGCAATAATTCTGTTAATCCTTAAATAGTTTGCGAGATGATAGCAATAGCAGCAGATTCTTGAAATCTTTAGTTTGGTTAATGAGACAAAAGGCGACGCAGATCACCTCCTTCACAATATTCAATAATTAAAAACAGTTCATTGTCTTGTTTATCGCATAACGCCTACAATTAGTGACAAGTGAATACGTCTAAAATTCTGACAACATTGGGATTTTAGAGTTCCATCATAAGGACGATTTCATTTTTGAGTGCTTGTCTATAGGTTGGGTTGTTGTAGAGCTTGAGATTGAGAATCTTGATGGCGACATAGGAATTTCCTGAGATTCCTCGATAAACACTAATGGTCTTAAGAATTATAACCTACCGAAAGATCCCTCACCAAGAAGATCTCTGGTGTAGTTAAAGGTATATCGATCAAATTGACAATTTTGGTAGGGATCAACATATTTTTGAGTGTATCTGATGATGTTTTGCAGAGTCCTGTCCATTATAAATTTTGTGAGGAGTAGTGTTGTTTGAATATTAATATTATATTATTTTATAAATATATAACAAATTCAAAATGAAATGCGATTTTTGTGAGGAGAGTACCCCTTTGATTGGTAATAATCCATGTGTTATAGAGACAGATATCATGCGTCATTCTTTGTTCTTGAAATACTCGCAATCACAGAATTACCATTACACTAAGGGCATTACGGAGATCTTACACAATTACCGTACAGCCAACAATATACTTTACAAGGATGTGATCACGTATGACACACCTGAGGAATTGCTCTGTAAAATCTATAAATGTGACGTAATGTATGAAAAACTGCAAATGTTGGGTGAGTATTACAAGGTACTGATTCATAGTCATTTCACTAGTTCCATAACGATATCCCTCGGTTATTCATGCTTCCAGCCATAATCCCGTTGAATTACTACCATGACAAGAAGAGGAGATTGGAGTACTTTCGCATTGCCAAGTTGATAGCTCAGGAGAACAAGAATAATCCAGACAAACCCCCCAAGGGAATAGTAGGAGATTCGCCAATGCCGTAATCCAGCCAATAGGTGACTGCTCAAGATCCCAGCTCCTCTGACGAAGTAAGACAGAACACCCTGAACTTAGCCGATGTATAAATGTGAGAAGATCCTTGAAGGTATCAGCATCATTGAGCCCAAACCGTAATTCGTGAACTTCAAGTAATAGCTGCAGCAATATAAACTTATGCAATCTACCAACCCCAACTTCAAATATGAAAACTACAAGCCTCCTAATAAAGAATAGTAGAATTTATAAAAGAAACCAGTTATACAGCATCGCAAATCAAGTATAACAAGTATACTTAATATGCTCAAGACATCTATTCCAAAAGGAGTTGCAAAAAAGAAAAATCAATCCTAAAAATCTGATTAGTTGCACATTGTAATTTGTTCAGTTTTTTAATTTAGACTCCGAGAGAAGTAGAATATAAATCTCCAAGTAATAGAACATTATTACCAAATCAATAAAGAATTGCTACTCTTCTCAAATCACCCAAATGCACTACTCCAAGAGCTCCTTAATAAAGTCCACAGCTTCCAAAAAAAGTGTAATAATTAGAATTAAAAGTCATGTCTGATTTACAAACTCTTTTAGCCAAAAAACTAATCAGAGATTCCAAACAATGTTGCACTGTGCATTTCGACAGTCTGTCTCTTGCGTAAGATCCTCGCAGTCTTACTTAGAGATACGAAATAACAAATCGTCTTAAGGGACAGTCATCTAGGAAGAAATTGAGCATCAAGGAATTGAATTAGTTTAGGAGAGTTAAAATTCAGGAACCTCTCTCTAATAGGGAAGTCAGTAGGAAGGTAAACACAAAATCAAAATCGAATGATAAACCATTATAAATTAATACGAGTGGAGAGTAAAAACTTGTATATTATTAATAAACTCATTCTGCGAGATAAGTGACTAATTCACAGCAATCAACGATGCTGAAGTAGAGCAGTGGGTAATCCTCTTCTCAGCAAATGCATCATCAGAAATCAGCCACGGGAAAGGCTATTGGAAAATCCATGAAGTAGACCAACACTTTCGATTCTCAACTTTACAAGGTAGCACTCAATTTGGCAGTCAAATCAGTTAGGAGCAGGAAATAATGAATGGAATGAACAAAATATTTATATGTGTGTTACTTAGATTAATTTAAATCTTAGATATTTAATTAAAATGGAATCACGATCCTACAATTTCTCCACTGCCAAAAAGAGATCAACTCAAATGGAAAGCAAAGTCATTTTGTAATATACCTCATCCTATTTCATCACATAGTTTCCCAAGAGAAGATGAAAACGCCCCCAGAACAATTATTTTGAAGCAAGAATGCCCAGGAGAGCTAGCTGCATTTAAAGAAGTAAAAAGTAATCCAAATATGATTTAGTGTGTTGTAAGAACTAAGGATGAATCAAAATGTATGCAATTCAAGGATGGTACCCCTTTGAAATTAATAAATAGCATTATTGGAATGTGGTAAACCTGCTTTTAGAAAGGCCAACACTACTCCAGATTATCAATTCTGAGCAGTATTAAAGAGCATAACATAAATATAATTTTAATCACAATATTTACAATACTCCCCTTTAATCTTATTTTTATTGATTTTATATTGATTTATCAATGTTAGCCAATTCCTACGCCCAATCTCTGTACATAAATCCACAGCAGCAAGTAGCCCCCCTACCCTTCGGATACACTACCAACACACCCAGTATCTTGCTCATATTTATTCTTAGCCAAGCCCGTGTATCAACCCTAACCACCAATCGAAACAGAATATCAAAGTAGCTCTATGCCCTATTCTTTTAGTGTAGGTGTAACCTGAACCACAAAGAGAGCAAATAATTGTGCAATAGCCGATGCCAAACAAAACTATAACTATAGCTAAACCTAAGAAATATTCTTATGTAATCGTTAAATTTGAATTTGTAGTTGGTAGATTGGTTACTCTACATATTACCAATAGCATTCTTCATCATAATACTACTCATTATGGCATTACTCTTTGCTTCCAAAGTGAAGCACTTCAATCCAGAAGGTGCACACAACACCCTCGAAACCTTAAAAAATAACATGCTATTGGCCCCAATAGAAGATATAGTTGTTGCAACCACCTCCTCATCTGCACCAACTCTCAACATGATATCATATTTCACACATGATGCAGTGGAATGCCCAGATGGTTATGGAAGAACTCATTTGGGCTAATGGGATGGGGTTTCATCTGGATGCATATGTGAGAATGGGGACATTAGTCATTCTCTCACTTGCTTCTATAAGTCCAATTGTAAACGAGTGAAATCTCACGATCCAGAATTATTTACAACATGGCAATAAAAATAATATTGTACTAAATTATATGCCGAATGGAAAACATTGGAAGGTGCTGCTTGTGAGACATCCTACAAATAGTGTGGGAATGTTTGTGTTCCATAATCCAAAAACTGTCCACTCTCAGGTTTACTCAAAGATAACTCAAGACAGAATGATAGAAATGCAATTAAAATCGGAACAGATAATTACATTAAACAATTTGAGAACTCCTCTCCCATTGTCAGTCTTGAACTTGTACCAGGAATTGGAGAAACAGATTCCTCTCCATGTTACAATCACAATTTGAATCCCAAATTCTAATCAGCTAAATATTACCCTCTAGCCAAAAGACCTGAAATCGGATGTGATAATTATAAAGATTTGCAATCGCATAGAGTCACCTTGAATACCTTCTCTGCTCATCAAACTTATCAACAAAATGGCTTGACTGATGTACTGTCACAATTGCCTTTCTATCAAAATTACGAAGACAACTCAGATACGTATGCATTAGAAGCCATCAAGAAAATTCAAATCAACTCCAACGAAGTTTGTTAGAAGCTATCTCCTAAAGATATCGATTAAATCTCTAAAAGTGGACAGAGAGTCTATAATTCAGAGAGAGCCATGTCCTTAATCATTATTATCAGTGTAGGAGTTGTTCTATTCCTAGTCCCCATTTTGTATTTGATGAAAAACAGAGTAAGTCCAATTTCATTTATTTTAGATTTTCTAATGCATTGATATGACAGATTTCCATTAACCCAAGTTCTTATGTGGTATTGGATTGATCATTGCCATCTTATGCATAGGATTAGGAGCTGTCTATTTAAATGAAGTGGATGGAAATGTAATTTTTACTATCCTATTTAGAATGGCCTTAAAGAACATAATGTTTAATTCTCTAAATATCTTGAAAAAAATTGTTTCCCCGACGAAGGCTTGAAATTGGTATCATTATTATATAATCATACTTAGGCTATTTCTCAAGTGAATGATTTCTCCAAAAATGCCTACATCAACACTTATTCCTTTGTCATTGCAGCCTTTTATGCCAGCATCGTTTTTATTGTACTTTTAATTCTTTTTGTTGCCTACTAATACTACACTCACAAATCGTTGTTTGACAATCCTTGGACTCCCAGATAACAGGAGTATTCAGAATTTCATTGATACATATTATATAATATTTATTATTAAAAATAGTACACATCATTACTTAAATGTTATAATCACAACATATAATAAATAGCAAATTATTGTGAGAACTACTAATAAGATGAATCCATATAGAATGAATTTTCGCTTGTTTCTTCTTTCGACTCTCTTCTCATCCTATGGTTCATCTTATATTTCAATTGTAGTAAACTTTTCATTTGTTTAACAAGAAGACCAATATATTTTATCATTCTAACCCAGTCCCTTCTCAAATATTTACAAAGAATTTATGAGATCATTAAAGTAGATTTTCATAGATTTGTTTGTAGAAATATGAACAAACAATCTAGTATCAAAGGATCCTATTCTTAGTTCTTTTGAAATCGTTTATAATTCTTAGTTTAAATCTTGACTTTAAGTATCTATTATGCTTAAACTACACGGAAATTAGTTAACTAGCTGTCTAAGCTCTTTGTTATTTGGTTTGCGGTCGTCATTTTTTAGTATTATAAAGTAAGTTTTTAGATTTAAATTAGTGCACTCTTATAGTATTTATTTAACGTTCTCTATCTTTTAAGAAGAGTTGTCCTAGTACTCACTCAAAAATATTAGTGAAGCTATTTAATAGCTAAAATTTTCCTTGATTGTCATGTTTCTCATTGTTTCATAGAAATGATAAATTTAGTCCTTCAAGGCAAAGAGAGATTTAGTATTTTGCTCTATGGTTTTTTTTAAATCACTCAATATATCACTTTTTCTAAGACTAATAGGACTCAATGTGTCATTAGTTTATTAATCAGAAGTCACAGATCCTAATTTGCAAGTGAGGTCATCAATAGAATCCATATAAATTTAACCTATAATAATAATATTTTAATTTTGATAAAATTTTAGTTTTAAAGATGATACATTATATTAGTTTTATTATAAAATGTTTAACATTCTCTTTAATATTATGAAATTCTGAATACTAATAATAACTATTTATAGGGGTAGTCGAATAATAAGTAAGTTAAATCTATTTCATTAAATCATAATACTAAAATCTTATTCCTTTTTAACATCAGCCATAGATGAAATTTTATTCAAAAGATAAATTTCCTTTCTACATTGATTAACTTGTAGACAAGTTTGGTAGAACAACTGGTTATGGCACTTGAATCTATGCCATAGAAAATCTCAGAGCTGTTTTAGGAGTAGCTATTTGATAGATTGTATTCCCATAATTTAAAAACTCTGATTTAATAGTAACTTCTATATCTAATAAGTATTCCCAATTAATTTTCATCATTGCATTAACAACATCAAGTAAATCCCAAAAATTATACATTATTCAGAAATTCATATACAGCAAACACATTAATATATTCATCAGTTCTTAAGCTTCTAATTTTCCATAAGCTTTGACTTTTGAGAATTGTATCTAATTCTTAACTTTTGACTTTAATTCCTAAAGATTTTCTTTATGGCCATTTTACCAAAAAGTAATAATAGCTATTTGTTTCCCAATAATTTCATATGGTAACACAGCTGAGTTAAGAAGTGAAAATGAGAGAATATAGAAATTATTACTTTTAAAAAGGCATTGATGGGATTTCTAATTAATAATGATTAGATTATATATTATACATATTTTGATTTCTCCATTTTAATTCAGAAAAATATTTTCTATTCTTAATTAAGAAATTGGTGAAATGAAAATTTGCTGTTTTGATTCATTTTCATAGACATGATGTATATTAATTAGATTATTAGTCTGTTTTAGCTGAAACTCTGATCTCCAATTAACATTAGTATATACAAAATTCTTCATCATCAATTGCTTTGATTATGTAAAAAAGTAATACGACCCCACTGCATTATTAAATTATTTTATAATTTGTTACATTAAAACATATTGTATAATCATTCAGTTGATTTGTTACATCATAATAATTAACAACAAAACTCAGGATCTTTTTCAACTTATTTAGAATAGCTGCTCTATTCTAAAGTTAAGAAAGCAGGATTCATCGTTGTTTAAATAGGTTAAATATGTATAGAATACTCTACTTTTATGGTTTCAACTACTTCTGATTGTCTCTTCTCTTTCACACTCTTTAAATGATCTTGCCTCTCAGCATACTCCGTTGTCTGCAGAAACTCAGATACAGGCTTACGCAATTAAGGCATCATATTTGGAGATATGGGAGCACTGATTGAATATAATTGTTATCGATCATTACTTATCACATTCTAAATGGAATTAATAAGAACCCTTTTGAAAGCTTAGTTTTAATAATCCTTAATTTCTAAATAATGAACATTTTCTGGAAGTGATTCATCGATGAAATCATCAACACATGCAATAGTTTTCCTTATTTCTTTTAGGGACGATTCATTTTGAGTCTCCTCTAAGTTTGGAGACGATTTGATCATCTTATTCCTTATGAATTTTATGATCTCGTTGTAAGAACCGCACTATCTTAATTTACCACTCTCCGATCCCAAGAATATATATTAAGCACTTTGTTTTTAAGAACTCAATTGAAACCAAACATGCAGAGCATTCTACAAACTCGTGTTTTAGTGCAAGCTGAACATGATTACATAAATGTCGCTCTGAGGAATAAATGGCATAGATTTCCGTCTTCCTTATTAATATAAACATACTATTATTCATTTGAATCTAAGGAGACAACCCAATAATGGATTGTTTAATATTAGCAATCCCCTATCCATATATAGGATATAAAAAAATCAATTGACGCAATATCTCTGTCATTAACCTTAGTTTCAACCTCCAGCATTTTTTCAATTAACTAATGTTTACCTACTCCTTTGTCTCCAACTACAGCAACTCAAGTTATGAAAATTATATAGTACTTTATTGCTTTTTATTTTGATGTCGAAATGATAGGATGCATATCCATTCTATGTAGATTAAAATAATATTAAATATAAATTTGCATTATTTACTCTGTCTAAAAGATAAAAAACTTAAGATTCCATTATTCTATTCGCATAAAAGCCCAATTTCATAATTTATACTTTTCTATTATAATATTTATTTTTGTGTTCCCTTTTTATAATTAAAAGTGGTTAAGCATAAATCAAGTATATTATAATCTCTTTCAAAATAGGAAATTACTTCTAATAGTTCATATCACCTTATAAATCATATTCTAACTAGCTTATAAATCCAAACTAAATGTAGTAATTTTAACCAAATATCCATATAATCAAAAGTATGAACTACAAAAATTCTCACTATTTTAGTATTCTTACCTAAGATCTTTGTATTAATCTTACTTATTAATTAAATCCAAGTTTAATTATAAATAGCAATTTGATCGTTATTTCTAAGTAATCCCATTAATATATATAAATAAGGTGAGCAAATTCCTGTTTTACCACTCTCATTATTTTGTATTATTTAAAATCGAGTTTATTTATAAATTCTTGGGCTTTGTCATTTAAATCTTAATGAGCAAGAGGGATCAGCTTCTTGGTTATTAAGTTTTTTTTTTAAATTTCTCTAACTTATTTGATTACCAGCCATCATATTCCTCATGACTGTTTGATATTTATGTTAATTTAGCTTAGATCCTAAAGGAATCACTTTTTATCCTTAATATAATAAACATCTTCTAATTGAAAATCTGTATTATCAATAGGATATTAAATATTAAACTAATTATGAAGTCCTTTTAATAAATACTGCTAGAATTCTGTATTATAGACTTTAATTACTAAATTCTATTCAAACGAGTTATTTGGCACAATAACTAAAAATCTATATCTACTAAATCCAATATCATAATGGACCCAGTTCGCAAGTTGCTGTTCTCATTGAAATCGATCATTTTAGCAATATGAATTATTTTATGTTTTTATAGACTTCGGTAAAAGTGAATAATTTAGGTTATAGATAAATATAATTTGTGGTAAATAAATAATTCATCCTATTATAGATTAATGTTAGATCTCAAATGTTGTTTAAGTAGAAATGAATCTTTCTGAGTCCCATTACATAACTTATATTATCCTATCTAGTTGGATTATTTTAATAAAATTAAATCTGCCTATATGTAATTTCAGAAAGAATATAAAGATGCAGCCATTTATCAATATCTGGCTATTACTTTACTTAGATATTGTTCTCTAATCAATGCTAATGCAAATTAACTAATCAAATATATCTATATTTAGAATTTGTTATGAGTATCAAATAGAATTTTTTAAATATTATTAAATATAAATATCAAAATAATTCTATTTTCAGATAGAAATACAAGGTTTAAATAGAATAATGTATGCTAAATTTCATTTTTCACTAGTTAAAGCGTAGCATTATACATCAAAATCATTAATATTAGTAACAAAATGTAAAGTACGAAAACGATTCTACTTTTATCCGTTCTCCTAGCAACAACCTTATGTGCTAGATTAAGTTTTAATTCAAAAGAATGCAATAACTATTTGGAGAAGTTTGGTACAGCTGACAATGCTGATGGCTCAGGAGCATCCAAAATTGCCTTCGCTGGAGATGTTGCCTTTGTCACAGGAAGTGCAAATGTTAAAGTCAATATTAGATATTCTGATGTTACTTTCTTTAATGATCCTAAATATTATGGACTAGTCCAACAAGATGGAAATACAGCAGAGCAAACTTGTTTGGATATGAAACTATTTAAATACACTTCATCATCCTATGCTGATAAGAGTGAAGTAACCGCACTCGCTATAACCCCTTCCAATAACTTTTAGAAACAATGGAGATACTATTCTTTCACAATCAAAGGAGAAGAATTAAGTCAATATTTAGTTTAGACTACTAACTCAAATCAATTTATCTATAATGGGTACTTTGCTATTGCTTACTATGCAGCTGAAACAGATCAAGTTCAATATACCTTCTTCTTTTCATTTACAGTCACTATTGACAAAGCCACTGGAAGTGTGTTAGATACTTCCTTTAAACCTTTGAGCTAAACTTCCACTGCCTCATGCAATCCAGATCAATGCACTGCTCATGCTGATACAAGTCTCAAATGGTGCAAAGATTTGACTTGTGCTGAATTTGTTACCCCAAATCTCCATTTAAATGATTAGTTTGTTTTGTAATAGGTAATTAATACCAAAGGCATGGAGGGATATTACCTTGTAAACCCTGAAGTTTGGTATACAGGAGATGGGCTTAATAAAAAGGCCACTATAACAAGTTTCAGCAACAGTGTTAAAGGCTAATTGACTCTTTAATTAAAGGCTGAAATTGCTTGGACAAAAGTAGTCATTAAAGTTACTTCAGTACTTTCAACTACTGCCACAGGAAGCAGAAGATTGTTAGTATAAACAACTTATGATACTGTTACTGGTTAAAGTGATGAAATTACTTGTATCAAAGTTGAAGGAGAAAACAGATGCGCCACTTGTGCAGAACAAAAAGAAATCAACGGTTATTCAAGTGATACATGCAACGAAACAGAAGAACCATTGGCAGATTCTTATTCTAATTAGATATTGGTTGGTGCTCTTGTTTTGTTGGCAATTATTTTGTGATAATGATTTTTACATAATATCATTTATTTTTATATAAAAAACAAATGTTTTCTTTTAAATAAACATTTTATTTCTATAGAGTTCCTAATAATAATACTCGAAATTTAAGAAGTATGCAGACGATATGGATAACATAATTAAATGACAATTCTTTACAAATTCAATTAACCATAAAGAATATGTAAATAGTCATAGCTAAAATAGACTCTGCAAGGATTAAGTTGTAATCGCAATTCTCATAGCATGTCATTAATGTTGAATATGCAGTGTTTGAAACTCCTTTACATTCTTCGTAAGGATAGGTGGCATTATGTTAATTGGCCATAAAACACTCATTAAAGTCTTTTAATGCTTGATTACAAGTACTGTCTTTAGTGCAATTTGAATTTTCCTAAATTGATTTAATTTCGTTATACATTGTCACAATTCTTGGCTACACAGTCCTAAACCTCGCTTAAGCTTATTTCGTAGCATTTTATCATTATGAAAGTCAAAAAAATCAAGTATTTCATTTATATAATAATTATTATATTCTCAACACTTTTAATGTATAGTAAAAATAATAATATGATATTAGCTAAATTTAGTTTTTAAGTAATCTTCAATGATTTTTAAAAGAATGAATTATCCTAAATTAACTTGCTTGATAAAATTCTACTGCTCTTAAAAGTTACTAATTATACTATTCATTTTCCATAAACTCCTAAAACTTGATCATTTTTTAATTAGAATTCCTCTACTTATCATAATTCAGGAACAATATTAAAAATGGACATCAAATTTGTGAAAGATAGGAACCGAATAAACAAATAAAAATAGATATAAGATAAATGAAAAATTATTCTTTTAGCAATCCATCATAAATTCATTTTATTCAAACATTATTTTATTATTATTAATTTCTCCTTTGAAAATCTGGCAGAGATCTTTCTATCATTTATTTTAATTCCTAAAATTGATATAATATTATTGAATACTGGGAATTTGAGCTTCAAATTCAAATATCTCAGATACTATTATCTGTTTGATTATATATATTCTTGAAATAAATCGTTTCTTGGTCCTTAGTAGTTGTTTCTTTAATCGTTATAATCAATCTAAGCGTCGATCTAGGCAGCAATATAAACATATCCAAAACACTGGACTACGGAATATTAACAGAAGTAGATTTATGCAATTTAGAATCTTTAATATTAATAATGTGTACCCAATGATTCCAACGATAAATGCAGGTATTAAGGGTTAATATAGGTTGATTTGGATGCTTTGTTAAAGTATGGGAAATTGTTATTTGATTGAGTTTATTATGAATAGAATTGCCAAGAACAAAGAAACACAAATAAGGCAAGCAAATACTTTGACAATCAATAAAAAGAAGTCATTAATATTTCTTATGATTTCGAAAGTGTTCAATGCTTCCCCATCTTCGTTAATTTCTAAGGAATCCTTAATTTTTTTAATAGCCGGACCAATATCATCTTGATTTAGATCAACTTCATAATATAGCACCTCTTCAATAGCTTAAGATATTAAGAGAATAGATTACTTGACAATGATTTGAATGGATTGCACCTTACCTTAAATAAATTATCGATGGTATCCTTGATAAAGTCTAAAATAAATTTGACAGGAGAAAACAATAGCATGAATGAGATCTTGCTGATAACTTATAGATTTAGATTTTGAACAGCGTTAGAGCAGTAGAGTATCAACATGCCTAATTCAAGGGGATCTTTATTTTGAGATTGATTGCGAGTAATCTAATTGTTTATCCAAATTTTAAAATTGCTGAAGATGATTGATTAGTAACAACCATTGATGACATAGATGATCCATATTACAAATATAATCACTGAACTGGTGGAGAGTGTAATAATTGTGTTTAATTCGATTTTTTCAAATGGACCCAAATTTGAATCACTCTTTAGTTTGAATGTTGAACCTAGAAACCTAATGTTAATGATCAATATTTACAAGCAAGTGAGCAATAGAAGTAATAAAAAGGAAATTAAGAATCCCAAGAACACATAATTTAACGGTAGTAAAAATTGATTATCTGCCATAAATTTTTCAACATATTCAAAAATGTCTGCTAAATCTTACACTCTATCTGAATTTTTGTAGAGCCAATACGTTCCATACAAAAATGTTAACACAAAAATGCTTCCAAATACAAAATTCAGGGTCTCATTAGGTTTGTTAGTCATTTTGTATATGTAATCTTCATCGACCTTGAAATTATTAATGATGGCCTATTCGGTTTCATAATTTCTTGCGAAATTCCATTGGGAAATGAAATAGATTCCAATAATGCCAACAATAAGTAAGGAAAACAAGGAGAATGCCCAGACTACATATGTTGTATTAGCTTTTAATTGATCCAACAGGACTGTGCAAACAAATATGATGAAACAACTTATTAATGCAATGATATGCCAAGTCTACATGACATCATTGATAATCATCCCTATCATTCCAGGAGACGAGAAGTCTTTGACTCCGTGATAATATTCCAATGAAGTGGGCATACACACATTCCCTTTGTATTTGAATGACTCATAGTAACTAACCATTTTTTCTGGGTACAACACCGAGGTCAATTTCTTGCAGTCAGGTATTTGAGTGTTGGGAGCGCATTCCAACTCTTGGGTGTCGGATGTCGGACATTATTTCACACACACAATTCGATATTTGTATTCCGGAACAGGATTAACGAAGTAAGCATATGGATAATCCTCCAAGCCTGGGTCTACTCCACAAGCATAAGCTAATAGTTTGAATTAAATATTTTCTTACCGTCACTATCGAAGCCTCTTGCAATTTTATTTGGTTTGCCCAAGTAGATTCCTGTGAGAGTGGATAAACAAACTATGATCACTGCGAAGTACAGAACTGCTTTACAGATCTTCATTGTTTTTGTATTTATTAAATTTAATAACAGCTTTCATTAACTCAGAAATATACTCTGTAGGGCCTAACAGATCTCTAAATGATGATTCATCCAAGACATATAATTAAGATGTGTCTTCTCTTTTAATTGAAATCAATATTATTATAATAATAACTGCTGAATGTATATTGATCCTGCAGATACTAAAGCATGGGCTCAAGAAATGAAAGAGTATCTCAACAATCATTTCAAATAGGTATTAAGTCAACCGGAAACAACCAATTGAGTTTACCAAGCCCAAATTCTTTACTCAGAAGGAAATGAAATTGAAATAAACTGAGTTCAATCCAGTGTTGTAAACTTACCAAAGTGCTGAAAGAGATGTGAAAGAAAAGGAGAAGGATTATCAAAAGACATCCACTTTGGCATAAAAGAAAATGGTAATCGCATTAATAGATAGCTCTCTAGGAAATGGTCAAGAAATATTTACATGAATACGATTTAGTTAATCTTGAACAAGTCCCAGGAATAGAAAGACCTGATGAAAGGGAGAAAACCAAATAATGTCTTGTAATTTTATGTCCTCATCCATAGTTACCTCCCAATTTTAATGATTATAATATTATTACCAATGAGAAAAAAAGCGAAGAACATTACAAAAATATGAAAGTAGTTGTTTAGAAGAAGGTTTATGAAAAGCCTGTTATCAATAGGAATAAGAGGGATTTCAATATTGTTACCAACTAGTAAAAATAATTCTATACTTAGATTTCTTGAAAATCATGAATCCAAACAATCCGAGAAGGATCAAGCCACAATCAATGGCATTAATGAAAAATGCAAGAAAGTTCGAAATTACGATATTGTTTAAGGAGCCTACTATGATGAAGAGAAGGAAGAACAATATTAATAGTATATTATCCCATAAAACTGAGGAAATTAAAATAGGATCAACAATAGCATGGCAAACATTTTAATGATAGGTTCCCTCCCTCTTGGAAATTCAGAGAGTCTGTATATTTGGATCAAACTAAAGACATCCCTGAAGAAATTAAAATGATTGATGAAATCAATAGAAACCACAAAAAAAGATTCGAAATTAGACATGTCTTAGAAAATGAATACAGAGAAAAAGATGTTTAAGATCAATTGAGAACTCAAGATAGACTAATCAAAAGACATAAATATGATGATATGATCAAAAATTATGACAAAGGTAATTGTGTAAATTTAATTACATCTAGAATTTGACATCTTAACCCTATAAAAACCAGAAATCGATCACATAATTAAAGCCTTACCTCCAAAACCCCCTCTCAATTCCTGGGACAAAGTGTAAATGACTAAATCTCCCTCTGATGCTCCATTAAGAGAAATCAGCATCCCTGATGGCATTGAATTTTAAGATCGTGGAAATTCTCTTTAAGACACTTAGAGTAGAGTAAGATTCCCTTAAGTTTTGAGATAACAAAGTGAAAAATCACAGAAATCTGCTCCAAAATCACAAAAATCTGTTATACAATCTTAAAAGTCTAATCCAGGCCAAACAGAAATTAAGTCAGGAGGTTTTTTCTGAATTACAAGAAAATAAATTAAAGTCAGATAATATTCAATAATTCTGATTATTAGAATTAATTATCTAATACTTTAAATTTAATTAAATGTTTCTTATTATTTAATTTTTTATTTACTCAATTAATAGTAGATAGTAATATATATATGTAGAAATAATTATTAATTATTGAGAGATTCACTTATAAGGGGATACTACAATTCCTTAGAATAAATGTTTAATTCATAAGGTCCCCTAACTTAGTTTGGATTCTTTAAAAATGTCATAAAAAATTGTTGTTTTAAAAATAGAAATTCTCAACTACAAATCTAATATAATGCAAATAACCGATATTTTAATACATATTAAGTGATTAATAATGATGTTAATTGCTATTCTTGAATCCTGTAAGTGATCGGACAAATTTAAAGAATTTTAAAGGGAATGTTAATATATCAATAATTCAGTACTTGAAGTTAATATCATTTAAATTTGATTTAAGAAACTATGACTATCAAAAGATGCGACAGTGGCACCCTTACTTTCTCTCATTTTTCTTCGCTTTAATACAAGATGTTGGTTAACTATTCTCACCCGTATTGATGTTAACTAATATACTGTTTTCAAGGTTATCATGTCCATCTTTTTAAATCCAGATGTTTTAGTTTTATTTTTCTTTATTATTCATTAATTATTTTAATAATAAACATCAATCACTTCATATTATATCTCAAAAGCCAAGTTAAATTTGCTATTCCTCAGCAATAACTAAGGTTCACTTAATAGTTTCTTGTCACTCAATCTTAGCCAAGTTCCATTTTTTGAATTTTAATCATCTATAATGAATTTTGGCACTCCATCCTTCTACACATAAGAAATTATGCAATGAATTTGGGATAAGGATTGATGAATAGGATATCCTATGAATTAGTAATTAGTTCTCTTCAAATCTCTACCTACACACCAAGTTTCACCAATTTTAAGGTTAATTTATTTTGTGTCAATTAACTCCTTATCAAATGCAAGTACTAGGATTCCCTCTTTTTCATTCACTTCTAAAATTTGAAAAGCTTGTTTGTCTCCAATATAAAAGACCATAGCTTTTTTAATTCTCATTTTATTGGCATTTACAAAAGTCCCTCTCTTAGATCCTAAATCCTATAAATGAAACCTATCTTTTCTATTTCATAAAAATACCATTTACAACTATGATCCTTGCATGTTTCGAGGAGATCTTGGATTGATCTTATAAAACGTATTGATTATCCTGACTTCTACCGAATGTTGCTCCTATCAAATTTATTAATAATATCTAATATATTTCATTTTCAATTTTACTTTATGAAATTGTTCAGATTTTATCTTCATTTGATGACTCACATTTAGAATAAATGGATTCATTATAACGCTCTACAAAGTGTTTTATTCAATGGATGTAATTAATCTTATTCTTTTCTATCTTGTGGGTGTTCTATTTTACATTTCTTCCTTCTTTGTATCACTTTTTTATGAAAAAATGACTTTTGACTTCTAGTTAAATTCCTATACTTTCTTATCTTATTACACTTCATTAATTATGTGTTCAATATTTATAGATTTGTTGAAAGGGTCTTAAACTTTATTATTATTATTACTATTATGATTATTATTACTATTATTATTATTATTATTATTATTATTATTATTATGATTAATATTATTATTATTAATATTGTTATTATTAATATTGTTATTGTTATTAACAAATATAGATTATCCCATCATTACTGATTAGCCTACCATTTCTGATTATCCTAAATCATTTTTATTTTGATCTTAAAATATTACTGATTATTGCATTTATTCAGTTTAATTTTGAGGAAAGGCCACAGAAGCTTGCATTTTATTCTAAAAATAGACAGATCCTTCCAACTATTTTTCTTGCTTTTCTTATTAAGGAAAGTAAACTGACTCTTTCATTTACTATTAGGGAGGAATGAAGTAAACTGACTCTTGCATTTATCTCTGCTCATTTTATGGAAAAATTACCGATTCTTACATAGGCTTAACATCTTATTATGGGAAATAAACAGACTCTTGCATTTATTCTTATTAGGGCACTTAAAAATATACACTTTCTTGCATTTCTTAATTTTATGGAAAATATACAGACTCTTACATATTTTTCTAGTTATCAACAGAACTCTTGGAAGAATCAATTAAAGGAGTAGCTTCAGTAGTGGTAGTTTCAGTAGTATTGGCCTCGCCAATTGAAATATTTTAGGCCTTCTATTCCAACTCTTTTTAGCAATATATGAGATCTTATCTTTAGCGTACACTACTTTCAATTCCAGAAGAAGCCTTTTGAATTTTCTAAAGATCAACATTTTGTTTAACATGATTGACAGAATTGGATCTAAAAGCATCTATGGCAATTGATTCGTGTCGACCATCTTCTAAATTGAAGACTTTAAAAGTTTCCAAGTTATCAGAGGTTTGGGCTTTTTTATCAGGAGATTTCTTCCAGATTTATGGACATTTTGCTTTAAAATAGAATAAATCATAATAATCAAAATGGCTAATTTATTATCCCTCTGTTTAAAATTGATCAATTTCTAAGCAATTATAAATAGTTTGGTTTAATGTATTGGCTAAATAAAACAACATTAAAAACACGTTTTGAATATAGGTATATTTTTATAGTTAAGTCAGTTTAGAATGTGTCTGCAATCTAACATTTTGAATCTTTGTATTATTTTATAAATTGAAATCAAATAGTTTGAGCAATTGACTAGTTTCTGTGAATGGGCATTTTCCCAAAACTGAAATCACAAATCCATCAATTAAATTCTATCTAAAAAGCTAATCTAAACATTCCAATTTAACAATCTTTAATAGAACACTTACCTAATCAACATCCCAAAAAAGAGGAGATTCTTTAGGTAAATATTATGTATTAGTGAATAAAAGTTTGATGAGATTTGATTTTATATAGATGTCATTATTTCTTCTATGTTCAATTGATTTGTCTGCTATAAATATTTACTTAATATAGCAATTGACTTGCTGAAGAATTTCTTATAGCAATTCACAAGTACATTTTCCTTCTGGTCCAGAACATCGACAACATTTTCCTCTTGTACATATTTTACTTCTATGCAATCCTTACAATCTTTTAAGTGATTGACGATTGGCTTCATAAATATTAAGGATGAAAGACCATATTTTTAATTTAATGATTTGATATTGAATGTTTTTATCGCTAAAATTTCGATAAAAGAATTAATTCGCCAAACAAACTTCTCTTATAACTTCATTCTGCAATCCTTATGCCTCTAAAATGGATATTTTATCTTAGACTTTATCATGATTTCTTCTCTATTTAGCACCAAGTACATTATTTAAAAGTAAATGATCGACATTTAATTGTTTATTATTATGAATCTAAAAATCATAAGCTTCAATCTAATACTCTTAAAATATCTTTGGCCCATTCTAGTTTGTAATGATCACAAAAATTGCGTATTTGATCTATTGTCCATTAAGTTGGAAACGTTTTTTAAGTGTTAAATGATTGAAAGATGGACTCTAATTATGTTAAATTCATATAAATAAATTCAATAAAATTTTGCTTTTAAATTGTCTTAATGATGCAAATCAGTATGCAGTCAATTAACATAGTTATTAATTTTGAGATTTTGGACTGAATATGAACATCAAGAAAGTATTTAGAAGCTGAATATCTCTTCCTTTTATATTAGATTTCCGAGAATTGCTTTAATTTCGAGTATTTTAATATATTTGTTATTAGCAATAAGTAAATGTAACTAGATTTTTTACATTTAGAAACAGAATGGCTTACATCTTTAACTTTGCACATTAAATACCTGAATTTATAATTAATTCACGCTTATCAATTAAATTTTCTTTAATAAAAGTCTTATTCACCCTTTTCTCTTTTATTAAAGAACTTAAGTAAATACTTTTCTAAAGATTGATAAATAATATCAAAGATCTTAATTTTAATGATCAAATGAATTCATAATTCTAAATGAATGCCATTATATGCTAATCTTTTTTCTTCTCAAATTGATCCGATTATTCACGTTATATACTTTTACTATTTATTTTCTAAGATTCTGCCTTAAAACTACCTTTATCAGAGATAGTAAACCATAAATACCACTCAATTATTAACAAAAAAGAAACAAGCTTTTCATTAATGAAAATATTTGAAGGGCGACATGATATAATTTTAGCCTAACTTACTTTAAATATTCAGCTCATATATCCTCTCATTTAAATTCTAAATAATCTTATATCAACTAAAATCAATTTGGGTAATAGGCTCTCTTCATTATTTAGATAGTTTAGAGGTTGTTATTAACTCTTTAGAATAATAAAATTAAGAGATAAACTATTTTGTTAATTATTTAACCAAGTAATTTTATTTTACGATTGTTTCTTGAGTATAATAGCTATTTTAGGATATTCTGAATTGTATTAATGATTTGATGATTGCTCATATTAACTTTTCCATATAGTAAGGAATCAATTTCCCAATTTCCCTTCACATAAACCTTCTCTTATTATATTTAAAATTGCAAATATCCATTAGATATATGTTCCTCTATATGTAAATAATGTTTTGGATTCATATGAAATTAATAATATTTTATTTCAGTAAATCTTCAACCGAAGAGATGACAACATATACACTTGTTATTATTTATTTATATGAATATCATTATTTTATCTCCTCGTTGACTCTCCTTTTTCCATCAGCAGTCACTTTTAGAGTAACAATAATCTTGACTTTGGATCTGTTATCCTCAAATTTCTGAGTGAATGTATTGATTTTCTCAATAGTTACATAATCTAAGAGTTATTTGATTATATTTACTCTGTCTTTGAAGTTATTCAGCCATCCTAACTGCCTTTGAGATTGTGTCCCCCAATGCATGTACTTCCACAACATCGAATCTCTTCAAATATATTTTGGCAACGAAAACTGATGTTTTTGGATGAGTCTTTCCACTCAAGTTATAAGCATTAGTCTCTGGGTTGACGAGAGTCTTCTTTGGTTAGTCCATTAGTTGTGAGGGATCTGTAATAAAATATAAATATTGGTAATTTTTATAATTTATCGAAAACTATTTCACCCAAATTTCTTATCACCTGCATCATCTTATTTTAATGATTCTTATTCTATTCCATCATGTTATTTAGGTTCAGGCCTCTTATATCTTCCAATATTAGAAATTTCATATTAACCATAGATGCAGACAACCAATGCAAATAGCAGACAAGGTATTATTGAGGCTATCCAGGTAGCAGCCCACTCAACATTATCATCATAATCCTTCATATTATCTTCACCTTCATACACGAATCTCTACAAAAATGTATAACAATATCTTACTCCTTTTATGAAATTCAAATAGGTTCCATCAAAATTTATCCTCTGTAAGGCATTAACAGCATTTGATTGCAATAAACTATTCAGTAATTCCGATTTTATGAATTAAGGTTAGGTCAACACAAACCAATTTGCATTTCCGCAAGGTCTATGATTTCAATATACTAAATAATTACGGAATGTTAATTGGAGCTTTATAAGATACATAACTGGTCATGTCTGAATCATAGGCTCCGAGAATATTTTATTTGAAATTGAATGATCCAATTACTTGTATTTGATTTGTGACATTAATATTTATTGCGTATTTAATATTCTACGTCTCAGAGATCACATAAACTGGTATTGATAGTACTGCATAAAGAGGTTCAACATCGCAGCTTTGATAAAGTTAATCTTAAACGAAATAAACTTGAATTTCAGCATCGGGAGCTTTTGCCCAAAAATCGAAATTATGTTCTGCTGGTCCTATTGTGAAATACTAAGATTGATATCTGGCAATATTGTTAACACCCCATGATGTCAACGTGATTCTATTTGTTTTATATTGAACCAAGGGTCCTTAAGTATTATTCATCACTAAATCAATTATTTCTTCAACATCTAAACTTATCTTGTTACTAAGTAAACTCACCTAAGAAATTTCGAAATTCTTAGTATCAGTTGTTATTCCTTATTTACACTATTCAAATGCTAAAATTAGATAATGATTAATACATGTTATAGTTTAATAATTCCATTCGTCATTTTAAGTATTTGGCATATCTGATTTAAATATATAGCTAAAGATGGAAGATTGTTAAAAACATTATTGAGCATTCAGGTAGACTACTTCGCAAATAAGAATTAATAAAATGAATTTCATTTAATCTCAGATATTTATTGTATTATTAATTATTTGTTATACATGAAATAAAAATTCATTTGTAAGCTAGATCTTATCAATAGTTGTATTTTATGAATTGACTTTCTTTAAAAGGGAATAATTAGAATATTACTATTAAACTATTATTATCTTGTGAAAAAAGATTTCTTTATTGCAATCTAAAAATTTATTCCACCTTTTAGATCAACCCTTAAAATACATATCAAATTTAATAAATACATAATAATTATAAATTTTTGTGAATCCTTAATAAACTATAATTATTTTATATTTGATATTTGAAATCATAATTAAACTAGCAATTCATTGGTAACATCAATGATTTAGGATAAAAATTGTACTTTTTAATGATCAAGGTTCTATTGGGAGAATTGCTCAAACATTTTAATTTCTTATTTCATTTATTCTATCATCAAATCCCTATTTCTCATTTGCTGATGAATATTTTGTAAATCTGTTTAGTATTGAGTCTTGATTTTCTGTAATTCTTTATCCTTTTCATCATTCAATTTTTGTTTTTACTAATCTAAACTAGGAGGCTCTTGGATTACAACTTGCTAGTCTGTCTAATTCTCAGATTATGAATTTTTGAGATTTTGCAATTCAATATCTTTTTATTTTGATTCCTCTGTTAATAACTATATTTTTGTATTCAAGTAATTAATCTAATACAAAAATAAACTATACTTTCTTTTCATAAATCTACTGCATCAAGAGTATTTCTTATTATTTGAGTTATTCAAGCTTCTTTATTTCCTAATCCATAACGTTCAGAATTTAATAAATAAATAAATGGAATGAGTATATTTGATAAATAAATAAATGAATATATTAATCACAGGTTGTAATCGGGGATTAGGAATGCTGTTAGCCAAAGAATTAAAAAACCATCATGTTATCGCAACAGCCAGAGACATACACAAGTTAAAATAAGCATTACATGATCAAAAGCATTGCAATTTGGAATAATTGGATGTTAGTAATGAAGACAGCATTAAATAATTTGTCTCTACCATAAAATAACCTATTGATATTCTAGTTAACAATGCAGGCATTATTGAGACGTAATTACCTAACAAAAATAATCTTGCATAGTAAGTATTTAAGGTGAATTATTATGGAGTATTAAATCTCACAAAAGCAGTTTTGCCCTACATGAAAGAGAATGGAAAGGTTTAAAAATGATAATGATTTTAGATAATTGTAATATCTTCAGATTTGGGAAAACTAAGAATTCAAAACCATGTCATTTAAGAATAATTGAACAAATAATGTAATAGGGATCAACTTGAGATGATAGTTCAAGAATTTATTCAGAATATAGATTCAAGGAATGATTTTGGCTAATGGTATAAGGAATACAAAGGAATTTATTCAGCATCTAAAGCCTTAATTAATGCATATTTTAGACATGTTTTGTCTAAAGAGGTAAAACAGCAGGTATTCTGCATTCACCCAGGATGGTTGAAGACTGATATGGGAGGACCAAATGCACCAAAAGAGCCTGAAGAGGGTATAATTACTAGTTTATACGTAATAAATAATAAGATAAACGGAACAGGTTTGTATTTTAATGACAAATGCGAAATAGAAGAATTTTGAATGGGGAATCTGATTATAAATAATGATAATTTATTATATATTTGGACTCCTGTATTGTATAAATGCATCATTTGATTATCCAACCGCATGTGATTGCAATGAACACATAGATTAGGAGGCTTGTGAAAGTCATAATTGTTATTGGGCATAGTCTGAATGCAGAGTGGCTGAATGTGATTAAAGATCATTATAGAATTGTGTTGGTGCATCTTAATTCTTGAGTTAAAATCCACTATATTGTTACGTGAAGAATGGAAGATGCGAGAAATTGGAGAGGTGTGAAGATCTTCAAATAAGTTAAACTAATGTTGGACAAGCTAGAGAATAATGTTAATTATATTAATGTGCTTATGATCTTGTGAGTGGATACTGTTTCAAACCAGAGAAGTGTGATGATATTTATGATCAATTCACTTGTGACAGTTTTTTGATTGCTAAGAGTAAGCCTTTGGAAATAGATTCCATTTGTTATTGGGATGGAAAGTGTAAGGCTAGAAATTCATTTATTGCTAATTGTGAATCTATCAAGGACAGGGATGTTTGCTAGTAGGGAGGATGTCAATATCGGGAGGAGGAGTGCAAGGAGATTGACTGCAAAAGTAGGAGTATCAAGGAATGCAATGGGGAGTATGTGGATCATAAGGGGAAGGTGTTTGTATGTTATGAGAACAATGAGGAATGCGAGTAGATTGAGACAGAGAAGTTACACAAAGTGGTATGCAATTCTATGATTGGACATACTTATAAGGAGAAACAATGTAGAAAATGCATTTCATATGCAGATCATTGGAAATGATTTAATTATAATAAATAATGTTAGTGTAGTTTAAAATGAATTGTTTGCGCAAACATCTATTGAAGAGCAAAACGTACTACCTGGAAGTTCTTTAAGATCAAATGATATTATCAGAAGTAAATCTTTGAGTAAGCATGGTAGCACAAGACTATGCAAAATCCAAAATATGTAGTCCTCTTCAACTTTGAGTCTCGTGTGATGTGGAAGAAATCGGAACATGAATAACTCTGTAGCTTTGGTATCCTCTACCAAAAGAGAATCAAATGGTTCTGGGGGGACCATAAAGAATTGAATCTTCTCAAAATGTACCTCTCCAACAGGGTTTTCTTTGGGAATATATCAATTTTCTATGAATCTAGTCAGATCATTGGTTCTGGTGCATCCTCGAAGGTAATTCTGCTTTCCCTCACTCTCAGGTGTGTCTCGTGAAGCGGAACACGGATGTATTGTACTACGCAGCTAAATGTATCTCAAAGAAGTATCTGACAGGCAAGAAGTCCACTGATCGCATAGTATGTACATCTATCAATTTCTGATAAGGCTAGATTGCAATCTGAAATCGAGATTTTATAAAAGATCGACAATCCGATATTTGTCAAATTACTGGAAATTTATGAAGGAGACAACTCCTACTATCTGATAACTGATTATTACGAGGGTGACACTCTTTACAATTTTATTCGAAACACTCAAAGCGACAGTTTACCCAGTTACATAGTAAGGGATGGAATTAAAGTTACACTAAATAGTTTATATAATTTTAGACCTTGCTGCTTGGTCTTTAATATTTGGAGCATATGGGTTTGATACACAGAGATATCAAACTGGAGAATATCCTATTAGCCAAGCAGAATGAAATCAAGTCCCTGAAGATTATTGATTTTGGATTGGCCATCTATGAGAATACATGGACCAAATTGTCTATCTGTGGAACACCAGGCTATATTGCTCCTGAGATTCTAAGGGCTGAAATCAAATAAAATGACTATTTCACCACAAAATGTGATGTCTTTAGTGCAGGAGTTATATTTTACAAATTGTAATTACCAAATTTACTTACCAACTAGGTTAACCAAAAGAACCTTATTTAGAGCAGACAACACTGCAGACATCATGAAGGCGAATACTCAATGCGACATTCGATTGGATGAGCTAGAATAGAATGTTTAGAAGGAAGCCCTCAATTTATTGAAATTGATGCTGGAACCTAATCCCAATATTCGACCTACTGCTTCGTAATGTTTAGAACATCCATATTTCTATTGCTAATTAGAAGACATAAGAATACTGCAGGAGATCCTAGACAAAGTGACAGGCAGCTCAGAATTCACAAGTATTGTTTGCTCATCTATATATATTCAGAGGAGCATTAAGATACTCATTCAGTTCCTAATGAGAGTTAAGCTGCCTAGATCAAGAAGTGTCCACCGACTCAATACAGAGTTAGAGTGGAGTAGAGAAAGAGAACTAGGAGTCCTAGAAAATACGCAGACTTTCACTTCTATTTACCATCCTTTTGTCAGATGAACTCCTTTGAAAGTGAAGGGAACTCTTCTAATTCAAGTAGATCTTCAAAAATTGAGAACATCATCATCAATGAGAAGGAAAGTGAAAAAGATTCTGTAATTGAGGAGAACAACAAGTTTCAACAGTGATCAAACTGCATTTTTCACTTTTCAATTATAATAGATAATCAAAATATAAAATAATTAATAATCAAATGATCTCGAACCCTATGATTGAATCAGATTAGAACAATCAAACTCGTAGTGGCCAATCCCAGGGAACTTATTAAATAGTTAAATCAAATCAAATAGAACTTTCGGTTAGGAATAAACTCATCGAATAAGAAACAGAATATCCCAAAGTGCCACAATCAAGAAAAACAGAAAAACTCTTTTGCACTAAATGTAACTCAGTGGTAGAATCTGATGTTCAATATGAAATGGGAAGGTGTAGTTATATTGTAGTGATTGTGCTCATAGCTGGTATCATCACTGCTATTTTGGCCTTCCTTCCTTGTCTCCTTGATAATTGTAAGGATGCCCAACATAGATGTTCCAAATGTACCAAACTAATAGGAACGAAATAATTTATGTGTGGATGATAACCATTACTAGAAAACTATATATTATTATTAATATTTTATCATGATCAGATCCTTTCATTCTGCTTCCTTTCAACAAATCTCATACGTACCTCCTCTGAACCAACTTCGTCGAAGCAGCTGCCATTGTTCCCATTGTTCTACTTCGAATATCAAGCAAATCACATTACCCAATTAGCAATATGAAATCGTCATGCATAGAAAAATGAGACTCGCCAATCTAATTATAGACAACTTCAAACCCACTGATAAATATCTAAGGTCCAAAAACAAATACAAGAACTTCAGAATATTCTCTCATAATCGTCAACAAATGATGTCCCCAGACAATTATCGTTCTCCACAAAAATCTCCATCAACAGATCAACAAGATGAAATCAAGGTTCATTCCTCAAACAAGAAGGCGTCCCCCATGCACTCCCAGTATTTATAACCCAAACAGTCGAATTCCTACTTTTTAAATCATCTTAAAACACAAATGACAAGGATAGATAAAAACTTAAATTAATTAATACAAACCAGCAGATAATAAATGACTGAACCAGATGAACCTCTTATCACGACAAAAAGAACCAAATAAGCTATTATCAAGACGATTAAGACACATCACCCTTATCAATCTGCCTATAGCATTGCAATTAACAAAAAGTTTGGGCCTCCCAAGAAAATGCATACCACCCCTTCTAATCTACTCGCAAGAACTTAATAGAGTTTATCTAAATACGCCTTTAATTTTATTGATTGATAATTTATCATAAAATTTTGTCTTTAAATCATACTCACTTTCTAATTATTATTTTCGAATACCATAAAAAATATTTCAATTTTCCCCCTCTTTCTATTATTTTAATAACATTCAATGATTATCTAGCATTTCTAATAAAAACCAGTGTTAATACAGTATATTATTGGTGATAAGATTTGAATATTAATTCATATTATAAACAAAATTTAAATAATTAATACTTAACTCAAATATTAAATTATAATTATCAGTAAATTAGATCCATTTCATATCACTAATTTATATCACAATTATTTGATCATAATATTTTAGTATACTATAATTAACTCTACTTCTTTAGTTAGTTTACAATTAACACATAATACTAATGATTGTCTGTGATGAATAAAAATAATAATTTATCTATATATATATTTAATGTTCATTTGACTTTCACTCTATCAAATAATTTATCTACGACTCCATTCAAATTGTTAATCAAACTAAGGGAATGTTGATATAAATTATCATGCTTAACTGTATCAAACAAGATCAAACAATCATTTCCTTAATCTAAGGTTCCATCTATTTTCTTGTCTAGAATTAATTCAGACAATCTAGTAAATATTGAATTGATACTTTCTTTAGATGATTTCGACATCAATTTACATTCTTTAAGTGATATAATCGATTTAAACTTTAGAGTATGGTTGGATGACTTGAAACAGATTCATTTCCAATAAGACTTCATATAACTACTTGATGTGTAATCTCATGACTTTATCACCTTCGATTTCTTCCCTATATTCATCTAAGACCTTAGTAAATTCAATAAGAGATTTCTTTTAATTGCTATTAGAAATGGCTTTCATAGCTTCTAAGTGCTAATATTAATTAGATGCACATAATTACTCTGCCTGCATATTTCAAACCATGCTTTCCAGTTAAAATTTATTTGACTTCATCTGTAGCTCCAATCATAATCTTGCATAACAACATATATTTAAGAGTGCCCAAAGCTCTCTTGTCTTCTAGATTATTGAAGGCTTCAAAGGCCTCATAAAAATAGGAATAAGAGGTTCTATAGTCTCTTTCTTCTGCATAGAGCACACCAGCCATCATATCGATTTCAGCTTATACATGTGGAGGACAGTAAATTGTATTTGAGCAGGCTCTAGCTGCTGTTAATGATGCTTTGGCTTTAGCTAGATTGGTTTATCCAAATTGCAATTTGCTCTCAATTAGATAGATTTCTAGAAGCAAATGCTTGTCATCAGCCTTTCTTACTTCAACTACTATTTTATCAATGATTTCGATTCCTTGGGTGAATTTTTCTTATTCATTATACAATGTTGCCAATCTTATTTGCATCTTGTGTTTTAAGTAATTCTTCTTGTCTCGTGCACATTAATCGATTAAGAATTAGCACATGTCAACTTACAATTCAATTGTGCCTTCCAATTAAGCTACTTGATCAATCATTTGTCTCATAATTTTTGCTGCTCTTGTTTGATTGAATCCGGAGAAATCGTGTGTTTTCATAATCTAAAATACCAATTGAGGTTTGTGTTGTTTGCAATACAATTAAGATAATTTATTATATGCGCTTTCCTTGTGTTTCAAATGCTCCTCAGATTTTGAATCTTTTTCTATCATGATTAAAATGTACCAAAAGATAACAATTTCAATAAGGCTGTTTCCAAATTGTTTGTATCTAATCTAGCATTGTCTACTTCTTATAAAATGGTTTGAAATTCTTCTCCAAGTGTTGCCATTCGTATTTAATTGATTGATTTAAAATTAAAAATTAATGATAAAGAATACTAATGTGAACTCTTTTGCTTTGATTTTAATTATTATACTATTATGAATTTTGAATCAAATATACAAATAATATAATTTACTAATCCTCTTCTGTCTTTTAAATGAATTTTCTCGAATGTTTATGAGGGTATTGATAATTTGGATATAAATAAAAAGATTTGTAAACGAAAATAAAAATCTTGAGAAAGAAATGAATACTTAAAATAATGAAGTGTTAGGCGAGAAATTAGAGAATGTTGAAAAAGAGAACTCATTCACATACTAGGAACCTCATTATCAAGTTGATTAAGAAATGGTAATGATTCTGATTAAAATGAACTAGTTGGAAGAACAATAGGAGGATATTCAATTGTAAGTCTATTCACCATAGTAGTTATTACAATTTAAAAAACAAAAGCCTGTTCATTTTGAAGAATTCAATTTAGATGAAGATCCAAAAAAGAAAGTCTGCATCTAATGGCAAAACTCTATAGTTGAGTAATCTGAACATCATCCGATTGGAGATTTGGAGAGGCTAGCTGAACAATTGCAAAGGGAAAATCATAAGAAATTTTCATATCCTAAGGATTTGCCAGCTCCTTCCAATGAAGATATTCGTTTAGAAGAATTGAGCATGCGCTTCAGTCCCTCTATAAAATAAGATGAGTTCATATCAAATTATGTTAAAAAAGACGATCTACTCAGAATCAAAGTTGGATTGTGTTATGAAATTTTAAATGATGAAGAGACTTTGAAATTTGAAGATTGGGTTGAACAATTGTGTACCTCAACCAATTATGAATCTCTAAAGGAAATGGCTAGGAAATAGAAGGTTAAGAGATATCTTGAAAAAAAGCACAATCGAACTTATGAGAAGAAAGTGCATTATCACATAAGACAGAAGGTTGCTGAAGAGAGATTAAGAATCAAAGGCAGATTTGTGACCTGGGGTTAAGTAATATTATTTAAATATTCTTTTTAGGCTCTAAAGATGCTGAATGGACAAGATTAGAAGAAATCTACGTGTCAAAGTGATTATGTCAAGATCAAGGATATGATGAATGAACGATTTGTTGGACTCAAAAGTAAGAAATCACTGAAATTCTGATTGTTTACAACTTTTGTGTATTTAATATTATATTAATTAATGGACAAACAGTGTTCCATCTGTAATAAGGAATTCTCCTTTATCAAACAAAACAAATCAAAATGTAAAAGATGTGGACTTGTAGTATGTCTTGATTGCAATAAAAATGAATTTAAAGTAGCCATCTACTTCATTCTACTTCCTAGATCTCTTCCTCCATGTTGAAACCCCTCAAAAAGGAAAAAGTTTGTCTATAATGCAAAACTGATTGTTTGTATGTGGAACAATAACTAGAATAGCTCCATCAGTCATGGAACAAGGAATCCTAATTATAAATTGAGCTTTTCCAATAATCACTCAATCCAGAGCAATATTAATAGCTCATCAAGATTTCCAAAGGCCAAAACAATTTTAAACAGAATCTTGAGTAAATTAAATCTGATCTAATCAAAGTATTTGATTACTATAGTTTAGTGTTTCATTACCCAAGAAATGTTTAATTACTCATTTTAGGATTGGATTTGTCATTCAATCAATCAGATGAAAGTCAATCAAATATTTGATGACATTGAAAATCTATTAATTGTATTTTTGTATAGAAATTCTTAAGTTGGATATTCCTGCGAATTATTGTAAATTTCAATAGTTCTACTGACCTAAATGAAAGATTATGCTGCTTTATAATTATTAGAATAACTTTATGAATTAATGCCCTATGAATACTGGCCTACTTCTACTTAGGAACCTAATTTGCAAACTTTAGTTTAGGACTTTTAACTTGCTTTCAAAATAGATTCAACCCAAATTTCTTAAATCAAAAAGTTTATGGAATTCTTTTCTACTCCAAATACTCAAACTTTATTCATAAAAGGATTAAACTTCTCTTGCTTCCATATCATATTTTTAGAACTTGTTTAGTAGATGAACTTTGAGGTGATTCAAAAATATTTGATTGTAGTTGCTAAATATTGTTTAAAATCATTTGGCTAATTTGGTTTTGATTACAAAACAATAGGCAAGCAAATCCTCAACAAAACTGATTATAAATGTATCTTATTTATTCCATTATATTTGAGCTATCACCTAGATTAAATCATTATTGGACTAGAAACTAGGAAACTCCCAACTAACATTTTCAAGTCCTAAAAGTAGCATGATTAGAAAACGTAATTCTGTTTGCAGCATTGAAAACAGTAGTTTTATAGATACTCTGCCCTAATTAATGACATAATAGAATTCTTAGAGGGAAATTAAAGTTGAAGACAATTTTATTTTTAATTTCTAAAATGAACAAAATTTATAGATAATTCAATTAATGTAAATGATTGAACAAAGGAAAAAAGAACTTTATGAGTTGCAAATCAAAAATATTGCTCTCAAAAATCAAACCCAAAATATCAAATAGATATCCAAATAGGAACATGAAGATTATTTAAAAATGGTTGATAAGATGTCGCAAGAGATTTAGGAGGAAATAACTCAAGGAGTATAGATATACTATTAGAAATGATTATGAATTTTATGTTTAATTTTATCTAATTTAAGATACTGTTTTATAAATTATTAGGCATTCATAGAATTATTTGGAAAACTAATATAATTGAATTATATTAATTCAAAATGATTTAACAAGAAAATCAAAAATATAAATTCTCCTCCAAAGATTACATCAATCCCAATTCCTCCTTTAAAAAATACGTCAAATAGGAAAATAAAGTTGAAGATGAACAGGAAATCTTAAAAGAGGAAATTCATCGATAATAATTTTCTACAGAAGATTTTTATGAATCCTCCTAAATAAACAGCGTAAACAAGAGAGGCAAGATACAAAAGAGAAGGGATAAAAACCACGTTTATAAATCAGAAACAAAAAATATTCCAAAAAATTTTGGAGTACTGTTGAAAAAATATTTAAGTATTCTATTTAAGTTTCAATTTAGGCACTAAATGGAGAGAAAACGAAGCCATCAGACTCTTTTTAAACAATGGGGAGAACAAAAAAAACTTCTCCAGATAAGATTTCACTAAACTCTTCAATGATAAAACAGCAGCAGAGTTATCGAGATAGTACTTCTCCGGATTTCAAATAATCCATGATCTCATGATAAGCGAGAAAATATAAGACGTCAAAAACCATCTTAAATATATCAGCAAATTTTATAATTCTACTTACAATAAAGAGGAGCTTGATGAATTAAAATTATAATGACATATATTATTTTATAATAAAAATTTTCCTTAATATTAAAATAATGCATATAAGATTGTTATAAAATATCATAATTTATATAGTGAATTTAAAAGGATTGGTTGTGTTGGTTAACTTAAGTGAATTGATAAAATTTGAGTAAATAAAACATTTTTAACAGAAATTTGACTTTATTTAAACTTTTCTACAATATTAATAGAATTAGTTTAGACAAATAAGGAGGGAGTAATTCCTGTACAAATATATATTTATAGTATTATATAAATTTTACAAATTAATAATTTATGGGGGGATGAAAATTATTATATTATAATACGGCTTATGACGGTAATATTTAGAGGGTAAATATATTATTAATTTTAATACCAATAATGGAGGACAGCTGTGTCTTACACTTGTTACCATAATCGTTACTTCCTGTTGGAAATGAATTCTCCAGATAAAATGAATTAAGTGACTCATTAAGCAGTTAAGGAACTAATAATTAGGGGGAGATGTCCTTCACTTAAAACGTAAGAAGTCTACCTACCTTAAATAGGAAGGAAGTAAGAAGTCTTAAAGTACCAAAAAGAAAATCAGCAAAGACCAACCTCAAAATATGAAAAAAAATCAAGGCCATTGGTCTACTCAAGAACATCAAGTTTACGTTGAGTTCCTCAAACAACATCATAATACAACCATGCAAAATCAACAAAACAGAAAAAATAATAAAATCTTCAAACTCATGTCAATGACAATTGGGACAAGGTCGCCTTCTCAATGCAGGTATAAAATATTAATATAAAAGATCTCATCATCAAAAATTTAATCCGTTTACATTAGCTGGGTAAAAGAGAAACAAGAAAAACAAGAGGAGAATCAGTAAATTTTCATCATAATAATTTTAGACACTGAAAACATAGCATTTGCTAGCCAAGTTTAATAGTATTACACACCAGAAATCAAGTCTCAATTAAGTAACTAATTATTATGATCCACAGATCCCTGTCACTTTGAGTACTTGTCCAATTATGAAGACTCCCGTCCTTAGTTATAGAACTTTTGTTGTAACTCTAATGATGAGAGCGATTGGTGTTATAGATAAAATTGTAACCAATATTTGGAGGGGCTTCTTGAATGAATTGATTGTATTATATTTATATTGTTTTAAATATTTATATCATACACAATATTTTCATATCTTAAATAAGAGGTAATCTAAAGAATTAGAGTGACTATCACAGACTTTTTAAAATATGTTGATTTTACACCTCATTGTTGAAGTTTATGACAAATAACAATTTGCATAAATTTAATTTTTATATTTAAAACATTTATAAAAATTTTATTAAGAATCAAAATTAATAATTTAATGGTCTAATAATTTGATTATTGTGTTTGATAATGATTGTTATTTTGGATCCAAGAATATTTTATATTCAAATAATCTTGGTAACATCATTCTAAATATTATTCATTTTAGTTATAATACGCATGATTATTATATGTAATTAATAATTATAATAGTAAAATAATGGATTCTTTATCTTTGTTTAAGAGGAAATAACAATAAGAAATATAATAAGCTCTAGCATATGAAAGACACATTCGAGAAAAAGAACTACAAAAAAGTTAACTTGTGTTAAGATCTTGTGAAAGGATGTAATTGATTACTGATAGATAACTACAAAAATTAAAATAGAGCCAGATGTCTGTTGTGAAGCACCAATAAAATGAGCATAGATTTAAATCATAGGAAAGTGATACAATTCGTACAAGGTAATAGAGTTTCTTGTACATTTAGACCTAAAATAGAGCTTGAGTAGGAAGCATATGAGAGGTGGATTACTAATCAAAAAAAGCAATTAAAAAGAATAGAAACAGAAAAATTGAAGAAATTTGAGTCAAAGATTGAAAGAGCAGAAAAAATTAAGATCATGAAAGAATAAGAACATAAAGACAAATAAAAGTTGCGCATTGAAACAACAATTTAAAAAGAATAGATTCACAATGAATACACACATAGACTTCATGTAAATATTACTATATAGCATTTTAATTTAGAAATTACAAAAAAAAGTATACGCAAAGCAAATAAAGTTTGTTTGACCATTATATAATAATATTTGATAATTAATTATATTCTTGTTATTTTAAGATTAATGACTCAAATTAAAAGAAGATGTAAAATTTACCTTATGTCTTAAGCCTACCTTTGCTTGTAACATTATTAGATCTTTAAAGATTCTATAAAAATTTTTGATATTTTCTTTATACTGTTTAATATATATTTTAAACTCCTTTTTTTTGAGTATCTAATACCCAAAAGAGTTTGGTATTTAGTAATTAATTTTTAATACTTATCCTTTTTTATAAGTTAGGTTCATAATAATTAAACAAAAAATTAAGGTGAATCTGCTGATATATTAACTTTTTAAGATCAAACCCAAATTAATTAGCATATTGTTTTCTGATGTATCGATTATGAAATAAATTATGGGCTCCAATAAGCTGAAGTATATTAAATGTTATAATTTTCCTTTACTCTCAAATAAACTTTATAAATATGCATATATGTCAGTATATTCCAAATTCTCCAGCTATTTAATAGTTTCCAGGCCCAGGCGTAATAGTTTTGTTGCTTCCAAAACGTTTGACCTTTGAAAAGGTAGTTGTTTGGCAATTAGTCCAATTTGAATTTGCATATTTTGGAGACATTTCAGTTCTGGGTCTATATTCTTAAGGTCCAGGAGTATCGTCAGTAGTCTGACCTGATCTTCCAGAACCAAATCCAGCAATGAATGATTTAGAGTGTTCTTTTACTTAGATGTCATACTTTCCAGGCCCAGGAGAGCATGTTTCATTCTCTATTATAATGATTTTCATATACTTGGTTATAATTTTAACCCAAAATGTGGAGCCTTATTAACTTAGACTAAATTTTGAGCTACTTCATAAACTCCAACAGGAGGTACTTCACTTTTCTGTTTTGTGTATGTTCTACCAACTCCCATGGTATGTTTTTTCAAATTAGTGACTTGATTAAGTTTTTGCTGTTAGACTTGGTAATATCCTGGGCCTGGAGTTTTTGTTCCCAATTTAGAGAAGTCAACTTTGGAGCCAGATCCAAAAGAGACTCCTTTATTAGGGGAAACGAGATCAGTTTTAATTTAATAAAAGGATGGTGAGTTACTAATTTGCTATTTACATGTTTTACTCTCGTTATTCTTTGTAATTGAATCTCGGAGATTTGGGGAAGGTGTATAATTGTTTACTTTTTGAATTATTTAAGGGATTCTACTTCACTTATTTGAATTATTCTTAATGTTATGGACTTTTCATTTATAAATTTTAATATGAATAGAATTGTTATTATTATATGGTTTCATTTTAAATAAGCTTCAACGAATTATTGCAAATTGATTTGTGGTGCTTTGTCCTTGTCGTCGTCCTTCTGATTCGATGTATTGGCTGCATATTATAACATTCCTTTTAGGTCATCTTCTGAGATGTTCTCACCTAAACTCTTTGCTACCATCATCAATTCCTCCAAACCGATATAGCCATTTGCATCTCTGTCAAAAACCTCAAAGGCGTCTCTCAAATCGTCCTCACCACTTTTAGCCTTCTCCTCTTGCATCAATAATAGGTTCTTAAAATCATCAAAATCCAGTTCCTTGTCTTCTGCTCCCTCAGCCTTCTGGTTTTGTCTCAACTCCTTGACCATAGACTAGATTTCATCTTACGAGAAGTTGTAACCCAGAGAACGGAAAACCGAAGTCAGTTCTTAAACTATATAATAATGAATGAGGGGTTTATTACCAGATATACTTTTGGATTTATTCTTATCGAATATTTCAAATGCTTCTTTGATTTCAGCCTCCTTTTCTGCCAAGTCTTCGACTGTTTGTTGTTGCATTTAGAAATAATTAATAATTATAAATCAATAATCATTTTAACAAATTCTAAATTTTCTATATCAATTACATATTAAAAGAGGGAGCATTTTGTTATTTAACATATCCTTCTATTTTCAGAAGAGATTTCTACATTCTTTCAACTGAGATGGAGTCTTTCCTATAGTTTTAATCTAGTGCAATTTTTTCATTTCGCTGAATCAAATCCTAGTATAATAAGTATTTCTATTTACAAATTCAATCTATTTCAATAAGCCTATTATCTATTCTAGAGGCAATGTCGTCAGGATCTGGAAATAATGAGCAAGATCATAATCTGATTATTCGATGACTGATAAACTTTAGATAACATTCACTAATTTTTGATTGCTCACCTTATTCCTCCATTTAATAATCAATTCAAATATTATAGACAGATGTTGCTTTGTATTGAATTTGCCCTTCTGCTTTCGCTAATCAATTTAATCTATTAATAGCTCTTGGAACTACGATTAATAGGTTGGGAGGTGAGTCAATGATAGTGCAATGGATTGCAAGGACGAGTCATTGAATTTAGAGAAATCATATCGCATTAAGTACTTTATCAAATTATCAATCAGAATGTTGAGTTCCTAGGTTAAGTACTTGTCTCTGATCTTTATCACACTTGATAATAATATGGTGATGTCCTTAGAATCCAATTTATAAATGAGGTCTGCTTATTGATTGAATTTATTCGTCATGGCCTTGAACAAGTTTATCAAATCTTCAATAAAGAAGCTCTAAGCGTCGTCTTTGCTGGCACCCTTGACGATGAAGGCCAGATGAGGAAACTTCTTGACAAGCCAATCCTTTTTAGTTTCCAAATGTGGTAGAAGTAATTAAAGGAGTAATTTCCATTGATTAGCGAATTCAGGGTTGTAAAGATTCACTTGGAATTTAAGAACAGCCTGAGAAATGATGAATATCATGTCAAATTGTTGAATGTGATTAAATCTCTTCAAATCGCATTTGAGAAAATGCTAAATATATAAATTTAATGTCTATTGATCAGCGATGCCTAAAGACAGACTATGGGAGATCATTTGAAGGACTCCGATGTTAATAGTGTTCAAATTTGAATTAATGTGTTTCAAGAGAATTTCTTTATTGGATTTGTTGCAAAAGATGTTAGTTTGATGCAGGGCCACAAGTAATGTCAACAACTATTCAAAGTTAATGGTTTGAGTCTTCAGGTAATCATTAAGAGTGGAATTGAAAAGAGACTGTTTGCCTTTGTCCAAGGATTCAAGTATTTTTGAAAATTTGATGTTGCCAGTTGTGGCAGTAAATTAAGAATTGGAATCAAATTTATCCATCTCAAATTGTTCGAAGAAGTGATTTAACTTTGAGAATTAGTAGAATTTGGCAAAGCAAAATCGATTGCACAATTATAGCACTAATATTTTTTTTAGCATTTTAATTATGAAATATTAATTGATAAATATAATCATTTTCTTTAAAATAATGAAAGTAATGACTATGTTGAGCTCTATTCTGATAATTGATTGGTCTTTGATTAGAGTAATTTTTATAATCCTTTACTATTGAAATTAGTCATCTTTCTGATATCATCATCTGAATTGAATCTGGCTGTTTCAGGGTTGTCTTCCTCTGACAATTCAGTCAACTTAATCATGGTGTGTTCTGTGGCCTTTAATAAAGGAGTAGACTTTTTGATTGGCTAAGTATTTTCTTTGTTTTCTTTAACTTATAAGATGCTGGAATTGGTTTGTTGAGTTGATAAATCCTTTTTCGAACTGTAACACTCCTGATTCTTTTTTAATATTGATTGATTGCAAAAGCTGATTAGATTCTTCAGATGGATTGAAATGTCGGCATTTTGATCAGTGGGATTGACAGTGGTATTGAGTGTTTTTTGGCTCTGTTAGGATTCCAATAAGGCTTTGATTTGAATGTTGGCACCAGAAGAAGTGGTTTTTAATTGGTGTTATCCAGTGGCATACTGACTGACTTGTCTTTGGATGTTGGTTGTTTCGTTGATTGGGGAACTGCTTGTATTTTTGTGTTTGGTGAAACTGTGAGAACTAACTTTCCTATTTAAATCTTCATGTGATTATAATTGTAATCTTTTCTTGTGTGTTAATGATTTTCCCACTACTTCAGTGTGTTACTTTTTCAATTTGACATTGACTATTTTGGTATTGGGGGATTTAGGCTGAGTCTATTGGGTTATGGTGGTTGGTAGTAATTATTTTTTGATTCTTGTTGTGCTTTGGGGATTTTACAAACGATCGGTGTTGAACTGATATTGTGATGGGGATTTTTGTAGTTTGTTTTATCTCTAAGATGATTAAATCAAATTGCTGGTGGACGAATTGATTTGATTTAGATCCAATTGGGGAATCTTCTTGCGTATTTGGATGTCGAGATTGCTTTCTTCGATGAACTAAGGTAGGATGTCCTTCAATTATTGGGCTTGTTGGGATGTGATGGTAATTTAGTCAATTTGATTTTGACACTGCCTTGATCGATAATAGCATAATTTACCTTAAGCAATGGCAGAATCAATTGCAACGAGGTTGCTTTGACCAGAGTCAAGTCTAGATTTGAGTTCTGATTTGATTCAATGATGGAAATGACATGGATCAATTCGTAATCGGGCTCTTATTCTTTGGATAGGCATTGCTCCAAATAATCCTTCTTGAGTTGGCTTAAGTATAGCATTCTATGAACTATGAAATACATTCCCATAAATACTGTAATCTTTGGTATTCATATAACAAAATACAAATTATTTAATTTTAATACTGTTAGATTGATATAAATATTCATAATTCTTATTTTGAATAGTGATCTCTAATCCAATTTCCAAATATTTAGGAGATTTCAATCCTAGCCTATTTCAATTGATCGCAATCTTGATCAGTAGGCGTATACAATTCCACACAGTGTCCAGCATTAGTACAATTGATGTGATAGACATCGAAATTGCCTTGCTCCTCAATGATACTCACCCATTTCCATGGATCCTCATCCCCATTGGTGAAGATGATGTTATCAACCTGCAAATCAAACCCTCCGAAATAAGCATTCCCTACATCCTCATCTGGCCATAACTTCAAATCCTCTCCGAAAATATCTTTACAATATTATTTATAAAACTCTATATCCAACCTATCAGACCTCAACGAATCCTATTCAGGGGCAGTTTACCACCACCCAACTTCTGTACAACATTGATATTTCCACTGTCTCGACGATCTCAGATTCTGTTCATCATAAACGTCATCCTTCAAGTAAAACGATCCATATGATTCTAAATTGTCCTCAACGAGAGCCCTGTTGATAAAATAATCCATCTATTCCTCAATCGTCTTCCCCTTCAGATCATTACACAACCTAGTTCTTCCACCGTATTGTATTTTTAAAATGATTGCATCTGTAAAATAAAATAAAAACTCGTCATCCTTCAACTTTTGTGCATTCAATCTCGCCCTCACTACATCAAGGTTGTCTTCTGCATATTAATTCAAAGCCTTTAAATCATCAGCACACTCCTATCCCGACTTCAAGGCACTTAAATACACCTACGTATCAAATTTAGGAAAATCTGTAAGAATTTATACTACTGCAGATGATGCCAAGGCACCCACCACCAAATGTGGATATTGATATCTGTACCAGGCAGCCATTGCACCAGGGTATGAACCTCCAATTGCAATCCAAGGATGACTTTACTTGACTCCAAAAAGCTTATTTTACACAATATACAATTAAAAGTAAGCCAAATCATCCAATGCTTGTCTTATGCCTAGATATCTTTCATTAATATTTCAATTACTTTAGATTCTCAATCTTCAATGCATCCTCTCCGAATGGCATACTCTTACCGTAGAATCTATGCTCCAACACTACAATCAATGCTTTATGAGTCTACGCTAATTCCACTGGAAAGAGTCTCTCCTTTCGTATTCCTGGACCTTTGAGTTTCATAAATAGTTTAAATTACATGTGTATTCTCCACAGATCCAGAATAATACTGCTCCTCCTTCTGGCTAGAAGTACTCCTCCACTGTCCAATATCTTTATCTGTAAGTCTATTTGTTAGTTCTATCGTAATGATCAATCAATTATTCTTCAAACCATCTCTCAGTCTAAATATAACCATTCACTCCCAAAATGGAGATGAATAAAATTAGTGACAATTAATTCATCATCATACAAATGAAATTTATTAATTTTACTTTATTAACAATTTTTTCTGAAAATGAGAAAAATAGGTCCCTATCCTAAATATTAATTTAAATATTCTCAAGATGATTACCCTTATAATTTAGAATACAAGAAATCAGCCCAGATTCAAAAGTCAATAGACCCCAATTAATTATAAGAGTTTTATATCGACATTACACCCACAACAGTCTAACAAGTAACGGATGAATTAAGTCTCTCCATTCTCCAAGGTATCGATGCAGGCAAAGACCTCATTTATGTACGTTTCGCTGAAACCGGAGGACACTGCATCGACCTAAAAAGTTTGAGGTTGATCAACACTCTAAATGGTAAATCCAGACAGATCCATTTGGAAGTACCATTGGGCAGAACACTCCTGAAACAGCACAACAAAGCCTAAATTTCACAGCAACCCTCTGCCTCCAAATTAACCTACACCTAATTCCATTGGTTTGAAATGAACAATGGAAAGTATAGACCTTTGCACTTGTCAATCAGTGATACAATTGAAAACTTCTATCAAAATGCTTGCTAGACTGGCATATCCATTTACGAGTTCACTTGGCAACAACATAGATTCATTGTAGATCTCAAAGAAAACACACTCGAAAACACCAATACCTTAACCATCAATCACATTCAAAGGAGAAACATAGAGAAACAATATTAGGAGGCACCGAAAAAACCAATAAGTAGAGGAGCCTTGAAAGATACCGTGTGGCAATACTAAACTTAGCCTAAGTCATACGAATGGAATAATTATGACAAGGAGAATACGGATGCACTTGAGAAGGCATATCAAAAATACTGCAAAAACTCAACAAAATCAAACACTCTGAATGTAATCAGAAATACCTCAAAATACTACATTGATTTTGATAAGATGATTGAATACAATTTATTTAACAAAGAATCCAGATAAATTCGTAGATTTCTATAAGAGGGTTGATTAAATGTTAAATAATATACTCATAAATATTGCTTTAATTATATTAGTTCATATTATTAAACATATTCGTTAATCTAATGTCAAAGAATCAGGAGAAACTAAAAAAGGAATTACTGGAATAAGTAAGCAGAGATGTTCAAAGTGCTTAAGACCCTCAAAAGGAAGCATTTAAATTGGTTTAGAATGCTAATGAAACCTTTAAATAATTTGAATCTGCCCTCAAAAAGCCATTAGATGATGAGATGCTAAAACAAAGAGGTTCATCCAAAAAAAATGTCTAGTTTGCAGATACCATAAAAACTTCAGCAGATATAGATCGATCAAAATCAGTTGAAAATAAAAAGGAAGAAAAGCCCATCTTATAACCATAAATCAAATCAAATGAAATTAAAGCTATTGTGCCTGAACGTTAGAGTAGAGCGACGAAAAAGGAAGGCAAACCAGAAAAGCCAATTTAAAAGACAAATCCTAAACAGGAGAAGCCAACAACTGTCATTCCAGAAAAGAAGCCATAATAAAAGGAAAATTAGGACTCAAAGAAAAGCAACTAACCAGATTAATCTCAAAAACAATAACCAATATTACCTCAATAGCCAATTCAAGAGAAAGAAAGAGCAAACTAATACTAGAAATAAGTAATATCTGAGAGTGAATCCTCAAGTGGGTATGATGATGCCAGAAGAGAGAAAGGCCACACTTGCAGAAAACACTCAAAGGAGAGGGAAATAGCGAATAAGTATGAAGAAATAATAGTGAGAAATTAAGAATCCGCTTAATAGTTATAGATGCAATTGAATGAATAGAATATTGAAAAAAGTAAATTAATAACTGAAAATACGAAGCTGACTAGTATTAATGACATGCTTTCACAAGAAATAAGAAACTTGAATAAATAGTTGAGTCAGTCAAAAATGCAGATCGAATAATTGGACAAATAATTATACGACTTAAAATAAGCCTCTAGATCTGAGTTATTGATTGTAAAGGATTAACTTTAAGAGTCTAAATTCCAATGTGCAGAATTAGAGAACAGAAATAATTATCTCAACAAAGCCAAAGATACATTTGAGTAGAATCTAAAACAGTTTGAATCTGAAGTCGGAAGGTTGCAGAAGATCAATCTTTAACAAACTCAGGCTGCAGCTCAAGACAAGTTGGCTATTTTAGAGAAGGATGGCACAATCGAAAGATTACAGAAATTGAATCATCAATTGAGTGTTGATCTCAACTAAATAAATACTCTGTATAAGGAAGTCAATGAAAAGCACAAGAGTTTATTGGCAGCTTATAATAGTTTAGAGAATCAGAAAATTACCATAGAGAATGATCTAGAGTTTAGAAAGAAGGATCAACAGGAACATTTGAGTACTTTAAAAGAAAAGATTTAGAAGCTAACCAATCAAAAGAGTGTATATGATGAAGAATTGGCGAAAATGCAACAACTCACTTAAGATGCTAAGGCTGAAAGAGATCAATTTAAACTATAATATGAATAAATGAAGGTGTTATGTTCTGAATCTGAGGAGTTGAGGAAGAGATTGAAACTTAGAGAAGTAGAAAACGAGTAATTATAATGTGAGAATGATAAGTTGAAATGGAAGGTAAGAAAAGATCCCAATGGCATATTGTCAGATTTAAAAATTATGAAATTGTAAGCAGAAGATCCCAATGCAAAAGTATCGATGGAATAATTATCAAAGTTGGATAACCAGGTTAGATAATTATAGGAGGAAAATAACAGGTATCCATTAATTATATATTATGTAGATTAACGGCAGAAAATAAGTAGTTATTAAAATAGATTTAATAAACTGAGTTATATGTTTAAGAAGTTAAATCAATGTTTGATAGGGAAAGATCGTTTTTGGAAGAGAAAGTATTTCACAAAGAGAAAGAAATCAATGAGTTGATTATACGACATCGTCATGAGATGGCTGAAATCGAAAATAAATATCAAGATCTTTAAAAGAGATAAGAAAATGAAAATAAATAAAGACTAACACACCAAAACTACCAACAATAATCCTATTCCCAATATAATTAAGCTGGTGCAACTTAACAATCAGGCTCTAAGGTGTCTCCATACAGTGTGCCTTAACTATAAGCAAAAATTAAATCCTACATTTGATATCTTAAATAATATTAATATGATTATTTTTGTCATTTTAGTTTTCCTGCTTCTATTAAGTTTAGGTTTGATATATTGGGCATGCTACAACTAATCAAATAATTACGGTGCTTAAGAAAAATCTCAGAAGATAGAAGAGGAAACATGTTAATTGATAGAGAAAACTAAATTGAATCATGATACCTATAAGCTTAAATTTGCTTTCCCGTCTAAAATGAATGATAAAGCAATCAAAGTAGGATAGTATATTACTTTACAGTAAAACATTTAAATACTTAGTCATCCAAATGAAGATAAGTTGAATAATAAATACTTTCCAATCAACATAATTGAACAGAAAGGCAAGTTCGAAATATTGGTTAAGGTCTGGACTGAATTTGAGATAGATAGCCAAAATTAAAGTAAAACTGAGTAAGATAACCAAAATGAGAGTAAAAATGAATAAGATAACCAAATTGAGAAAGATAACTAAAATAGAAGTAATTTCAATTCTTGGATTGAGAAAATGATTGTAACAAATATTTAATTTTTAAGCCTGGAGATTCTGCTTTAATAAAAATTCCTTTCGGTTCCTTTTTCTATTTTGGCTATGGAAGAACTTTGATAATTTAAGTACCATTGAGAAGAATGGCGTAGTACAAAAGAATAGTGATGATTGCTTATGGATAAGGAATAACCCCAATGTACTAAATTATTTAAGCTGTGGCAAATAGAAGTAGTGATAAAACAAAATTGCAATTGCTTTATGCAAATAAAACTTAAGTAATATGTAATATTCTATCACTTAGCAAGATATATTATTATACAACGAATTGAAGGCTTTTGAAGCTTCAAAAAAATTAACATTGCACCTCACTTTGGACAAGGTTAAGTTTTTATTTGATATTATTATTAGCCTCACGCTTCATGGATGCATTCCTCTGGATTTGTTACAAGTTCTATGATTTAGAACGCTTTTGGAACCATTGATAAGTACACCTTGGCCTTAGTCTGTGGTCCTCCTAAGATGCGATAGTTGATTGGATAGATTTTTCACGAGTTGAATGTGGACAGCAAAAATTTTTACATGTTCACTTGAGAGAAAGAAGCGAGAATGAGATTATAGTAAATATAAATCACATTTATTTTAATTCTTATAGAAATTTGATTGCGGAAGTGAGTGGTTTTTAGATAGAGGGGATGAATAAAAGGATGATGCTAAGAGACATTTATATATATATATATTGGATATTATAAATTCTAAAGTATTCGTTTTTAAGAGTATTATGGTTAGCATTAATATTAATATAATATGAAGACAATCCTACTTGTATTGTTGAGTGTGTAGATCTTATTAGCATAGGATCCTTGGGTAACCCATTATACAGCATTTACATCAGCTGAAATAAATGACTTGGATGGTAATGATTGGAAATTAATAATTAGGCTGGGTTGTAAAGAAAGCATTTAAAGGGAACACTTTTAGTAAATGCGACAAAGTTAGTTTGGTTGGTGGATATGGAGCCTTTGGTAAAGGAGCAACAGCATTAAAATAATTAGCACTTCCACCTCATTATAAATTAAAGATCAATGTTCAGTTATGGAAGTAATATTGATTAAATAACTAAAACAATAGAATTGATAGTTGGGATAACGAAATCATGTATGTTTTGGTTGATGGTTTCATTTGGCAAGCAAAATGGCACTATTCTGAAGGAGCTAATTTATGTGGAGCAGCAAATGATTGGAAAGAAGCCTTTTATAACATTGAGTTTGAAGTTCCACACAATTCACCAACAGTGAGCATAGTATTGACATCCAATTTGGATGAAGATGCTTTGAATGTAAGGATAATCATATATCATTATAATAGGAATCATGGGCATTCAGAGATTTCAAATTATCATTCTAAAGATGTCATCCAGAATGTGCAGTATGTTCAGATAATAAACCAGACAATTGTTTCTTTTGGACAAACGTAGCTACTAATTGGAATAAGCAAATTTCATTAGAAGGATGGACATTAGACGGAGAAGGAAAGCCTGAAGGAAATGAATGTGCAGGAGTCCAACTCTTTGGTGGTTATGGAAAATTAGGAAGAAAAGCCAATTTATGGAAGAGATTCACTAATTTACCACCACACTATTAAGTCAAGGTTAAGGTATAAATGTGGAAGATTGATTCTTGGGATAACGAGTTGTTCTTAATGGAAATTGATGATTAAGAGAAATTCAGATAAGCCTTTGCCTATAATGAAGGAGTTGACCTCTGTGGTGTTGATACAGGTGCTAAATAAGGAGAAGGATGGGCTGAAAAGATTGTCAACATTGAAATAAATGTCCCTCACAAATTCCCTGAAGTCAAGGTCTTAATGAAATCTACATTGGATGAACCACCTGAGAATGAATCCTGGGGAGTTAGAGATTTCCAATTATTTGCTGCTCAATGTTTCAAAGGATGCACAGGTTGCACTGGGCCAGCTAAATCTGATTGTACTTCATGTGGATAAGGTTTCGATCTTGTCAACGGTGAATGCAAAGAAGGAAGTAATTAAATAGATATATAAATTGATTAGTTAAGTGGATGACATTGAACAGATTCTTCTTTAATGATGAATAAGATTTCTAAGGATTGTATGATTGGATTCCATCGAATGTATTCCAAAATTAAAATCCATTTTCAACTTGTGGACAAAAGAAATTGTTTGGTGGTTATCAAAGATTTGGAGTCAGAGCTAAGGCTGAAAGAAATTTCAATCTTCCAAAACATTCTAGACTCAGAGTTCAATTCTAATTCTGGAAGATCGACTCATGGGATGACGAAAAGTTCTAAGTGTTCGTTGATGGCAAAGTTGTCTTTGAAAGATCATTCGGATTCAGTACTCCAGGATAAGCCAAAATCTGTGGAGCTCCTCAAAGCACTTGGATGACTTACTTCTTCAATGTCGATGTCATTATTGAACATACTAATCCTACTGCCAATATAGTCTTGAGTTCTACGCTAGATCAAGCTGCTGATGATGAATCATGGGGTTTCAGAGAATTCTAATTACTTTATGAACTAAAAGAAGATTGTGTTGAATTGTATACTGAATGCGGATTCAAGGGAACTAAGTATGAGGTCTGTAGAGATACTCCATCACTTGCAAGAGTAATCATCTATTTTGATATCTTTATAGGAAAAGATCAGTCAAGTTAAATCTATCAAGATTCCTCCTGGTGTAGTAGTCTAAGGATTTGATGAGGAAGTTTATAAAGGAAAAACAGTTAAATTCTCATAAAGTTAGGATTGTTTAGAGGAAATCTAATTTTCTTTTATTCAAAAAAAGTTTGAGATTATTCAAGCTGATGACTCTGTTTTGGCTGCAAATTTAAGACGTATCAGATTTGATTGATATAAAATAAACATAATTATTATACAAACCTTTTCGTTAAATTTAGATGAAGCTTTGACTTGATTACTCGCATAAAAAGAAGATAATAGAAATAATCAATAAATTCTTTTATAAGTCTCTGAATACAATTATTTTTTTTGGATGTTTTTCAATTTTATTTATAATCGCGGCTGCTTAAATGCGCAATTTTCAAAACACCATTGATATTAAACTAAATGATCTATCACTTTGTTTAATATCTATGAATTATGATGGCTCTTAATTCATTATTCTAAGGTATACACAGTTAATGTATTATCGCAAAGTTGGAAAATCTTATTAGATTTAATAAAATTAGTCAAATTTCATATGTTATTGGGATATATAGGATTTTATGCTTCATCCATACGAAAACTATTTAGGTGTTGTTCACAGAAAAAGCCATAAAATCTACTACACATTTTATAGATATTCTGGAAAGCATAAAAAATGGCTTATTCATTACAATAAATGGCTCTTGAATGTTGATAATTCACTTCATTTCCCTTTAAAATTTAGTTTAAATCCCTCCTTAGATTTAATTAACACAAACTGCAATTAACCATTACTGGAAGACTTAATTGGAATATATTAATTTTAAGTAAGATAACATGCCAAAAAGTTAAGAAGATATCGAATCTAAGGAGATAGAATCAAATATTTTGATTAATAAAGAATTATTCTATCGATATGCCATAAAAAATTAATAGTTTACAAATACTATCATTTTTAACCCTTACATGTATATAACGCAAAATGTAACATTTTTGATATTACATTTAACGATCAAGGTTTAGTCTTTATATTTTGTACTAGTGGCTTAATAATTTGGAATCTATAAACTTTAAAAAAATAATAAATAATCAAATTAGATCCTATTTTAAAAAGTCTAAATAGTTAATTAGAATTGTACTTTTTAATAGGAGCAGTAATATTTTCAACCTCCCATTAAACTTATTATTCTCTAAATCTAAATTTAGATGAGAATAAAGAATAAAAAATTGTGAAAGGTTAAAAAGAGTATTAAAATTTTATATCTAATGCAAAAGGCAATATTTACTTCCTTTTAGAATATCATTAATCGAAAGGCCAATAAAATAAATTAAGAGTATTTGAATAATAATGAATTTCATATATATATTTTTAATTAAGAATTAAGGTTTAATTATTCTAAAATATAGAATAGAGTGTGGTATTGTATGTTGAAGACACAAAAGTGGTTTTAGAAATTTATCCGAGCTTAAAAATAAATCCAAATATCTTCATAAATATAGAATTTATATTAATACCTTGAAATCATTTAATTATTACCATCTTTCCCAAAATTATGGATAGAGGTGTTTGTATCAACAAAATGATACTTTGACTTTAAGCAATTAAAATGGTGTCGCAAATATCTGTGATTTATAATTATACAACATCACTAAAGAAATGAAATAACTAATCAATATATTACAAAGAATAGTAAACACCTGCAAACCCTGAAATATCCAATCACAAAACTTCTGAAAATTCAATAGCAACTAGATATATTATGAAATCCGTTCATAATAGGTGCAACCATTCTGATGAAAAAAGCTTATTTATCAAAATGATGACAACTTTGAGAAGGATTCTTATCTCAAAATGAATTAATAGACTTTTGGTTAAATTTATTATAATAAAAAATGATCCTCCTTAAATTAAACTTGATAGTTGTTTTCTTATTTATATAATTAAATATAACAAAAATTCAAAGGATATCCTTAGAGAAATCTGTGATGATTTGTACATCTTCATCATCTATTATGATAACATTTTGTTCTTTTTTCTAAGATTGTTTCTGTTTTGATGGACCTTTAATTATATTAGGAAAAAATAATTATTAATTCTAAATTAGCCATGGAGTAGAAATTTGCTGAGCATTATGATTTTTGGAATCCTTCATGGTATAAGTATTTTAGTCATGTTTTATTGCGAAATCTGAATAGTCATATTTTTATTCTTCATTTAACTTAAGATTTTCAAGAAGACCTTACGTTTTATTTGAATTAGTAAATTAAAGTTTTTGTTATTCTTCACATTACTGAAATCCCTTTGAGTTTTCATTTAATTCTATTTCTTTCACTTTTAGTTCAGGTATCAATTTCTACTTTTCTTGTGATTTATTCTTTGATTTAAACCTTTGATGTTATTTTTATTGTCTGAATCTCCTCTTAAATTTTCTTTTTTTTATCTTCAATTTAAGTGTACTTTTTTTATGTGGTTTAAACTCAATACAATTTTTATTTGGTTAATATACAATCTACGAATCAATGAATTTTGCTTACTTTGCTTAATCCCAGATATTTTTGAAAGATTCTGTAAATTATTTTGCTGTTTTGGTATCACTAATTATTGAAATATGCTCAAAGTTATTTGAAAATGCTTAATAGGTCCAATTGGCACTCCCTACCATAGTTAGTTTGCCATCAATGACACAAAATTTGCTATGCATTAATCCTTTGGATTCAATCAAAGATACATTCACTTTGAACCCACTCATAACTAATAGTTTGTTGAGAATTATTTGCTTTCTTTCTTCAAACTCTTCTGAATTTAAATCCATAATTATGTCAACTCTACAACCTTTAGTAGCTAATGAAATCAGTATGTCTATAATAGTTTAATGAGTCAATTAGTAAATGCAACCCAAAAATGTTGACTTACATTTTTTCAACTTTCTGCAAAACCTTGAGAAATTGTCCTCATTTGGAAAGAACAAATGTAAAACGTCAGCTCTAGAATGCTTACTTCTTTCGTGATGCATATTATTATGAAAATTAATATTAAATTCCATATATTTTCAGTTCTAAATACCTAAATTTAACAAGGATTTATGATAATGATATTATGAGTATAAAATAATACATGCAATATCTAAGGATGAATAAATTTAATTAAATGAAAAAGAAAATAAATTCGTTAATCATATCTTACTAAATTTGTTTGGTCTAAATAATTAGGCATTATCACACGTATCAATTAAATCTTTGAGTTTCCTTTTGAAATCAGATGCATTGTTAATTTTGGTACTTTAAGTACTAGTAACAATTTTCTCTGGGGATAATGGACTTAAATTAAAAGCTTTGTTTTTCTTACTTTTAAAAGGAAGATAATGATTCTATTTTTGGCAGAGTGTAATCCGAGATAGTAGTTTTGAGTTTGCTTTTGTCTGAAAAGAAATTGGAATTATAAGGTATCTGGTCTGATCTATAAAAATGAACCAATAAAGTACGAAATTTGAGTTTTAAATTTTTAGGACTTTCGTTATTATTGTCTCTGAATTTCTAGAATTTCACTCACATTGTTTAGTTTGGAGACCTTCTGTACAACATGATTATATTTATAACTCCACAATTCACAGATCTAACTATTTGTTATCAATTGCAATTACAATTTTTTAACATCGATGATATCATCTTTTGGTTTTTGAAAAGATCTTTTGAATGGAATTTATCCCGGTTTCAATAGGATGCTTTGTGGAGCAACCTGTTAGACTGGACTCTCTTCTGCTTGAAGCTTTCTAAATCTCTTTTTATAAAATGTCCTGTAGGTTTCAACCCTTTCCAGTTCAGGAATGTCTTGAGTATTGTTGGGATTGAATTTAGAGATTGTTAGCTTTTTAGACATTAGAATGTGATGCAATATAAAATAATTAAATTTACTCAAATTATAAAATATATTTAACAAAAATAACTATTTGTATTAAATTTAGTAGTGCATTCAATCATCTACATTTATGTGATTTGAATGAATAAAAAGTATTCCTAAAACAAAATTTATTAATAATAATATAAAACTCATCTTTTACTGTAGGAACTAGATTTAATATGTATTTTATATACTTGTATCTTAAAGTTCCAATGCCTGCTTGTTAGATGATTTAGTTTTTTTTCTCCATCTTCTCAGACTTTTGCTTATTTAATGGGGGCTTAAGTATTTGATCAATGGTATTCTGTTTTTTGAGTAGAGGCGTCTGATTGTAACTGGAGCATTAAGTAGTAATTTAAGGGGATAGTTAAGAGAACCTACCTAAACCACATAAAATACTCCATCTGCATCTTCTTATCAGGACCGAAGCTCCGAGTTAGTCCGTACTTATCAACACTCATTTATTGGCGAAGTTAACCTAACATTGTTTTTGGAATGGCAACGATTTCGTATTCATCCATATCCAGTTAATTAAAATCCTATTGCATTCTGAATTGATATTAGTTGTGCTGTTTCTTTGGATCATCTAAATAATAAGGATGTTCTGTTTTAACATGATTTTATTTAACAACTTAAGAGCCAGCATTAGAAAACTTCTAAGCATAGTTGGTCGAGTTTCCTTGATTGGGCGATGATTGGATATGGGTGAAAATATGAGATTTGGTTTCCCTTATTCCCTCAGTGTAATGCCCGAGTGTGGGAAGGGTTGGAGAGATTTCATCCTGTGAAGCCATGTATTGGTTATTTTTTGCAATGGGAATTGAAGGTTTGCTGACCATTCCTATCACTCCATCTTTATTCATCACAGTCATCTTTCCCTTAAAACGCGATTAAAAATCCATTGTATTAATAAAATAATTATAGGATGAAAAAATAATATGGCAATTCATTTATTTTGGACACTTCGATTGTAACTTAATTTACTTATCCTAGGGAATGAACAACACAATTTACTTGAGTCCCAATACAAAAAATACCATGACAAACAGTTTTACAATGAAAACAGATATATATGATCAAAATTTGTAATGCAATCTATTTCTTTTTCTGTCAATTGTACATGGAAATCATCAGTTAAACAAGCTTTTTATTCAGAGATGTGGAAACAAAGATAAGTTTTTGCAAATGTTTGACACTTTGTAGTACTCTACTTTGCTAACAAAAGTACTTCAGATAGTTAATTAATATTTTACAGAAACATAAGCACAATCTTCTGAGTAATAACCTAATAGCAATAATAAATCATGGTACTCATCCGATTAAAAATCCACCCAAAAATAAGGAAGCAATGACAAATTCTAATCAATCATAAAGAAAATTGTAACAACTGATGTAGATCCTTTGAAATCACTTATTAATAGAGTTCAAGAGCAAAACTAAAGCTAGTATTTATCATCTAGCAAACTCACATCTACTTCTCAACTTTCGAATAAGCTGAGTGAGAAATTGATGAAAACTAATATACTCAAAGATCAGTTAAAAGAGAAGATCACTAAATTAGCTATGTAGAATAGTTAAAATTGTTAATATAAATTAATCAAGACTGAATCAGATGCTTAAACTTATCCTACACTTATGAGAGATACTCCAAATTAGACAATCTCCTAAAAAGAACCTAACTTTCACAAACCAAACAGAATCTCTTTTGGATAACAATAAATGTTTAATAATGTTTTAAATGACGATTAAATTATTGAATAAGAAAATATAGGAAGTAATTAATATCCACTTATTGATTCCTCTCCAAAGTTTCTACATCATTAATTTAAAGATCACACCATCCAAACATCAGAAACTAAAGGAAATACCTAACTCCAAAATGATTATAGCAATGATCACTCCTTGGATTTAACACAGGAAAAATCGAGAAGATTTGAAGGGACGTTTGGTAAAGTAAAAAATAGAAATATTAAAAACAGGAAAAAGTCCAATAGTGTTTCTGGTAATCTGTCACCTTAAAGGAGTGACAGATACAATCATGAAATTGTTTCCATCGATTAAATTTAACATAAAAGGAAAATTAGTATTAATAGTGTAAATAGAAAGTATAATATATTAACTAATGAATAATTGCAATGATTAAATATAATAAAATTTTATAACATATTTAAATTTTTACTTTATAATTTATTAAACAAAATAAATGTTTAATTGAAACTAACTTTCCATTTTGCTTAAAATTTATGGATCTCATTCGTACAATTATTGTACATTATCAATTTCTGTAAAAGGTATTGATTTACAATAAAATCAATAATATATGATTATGCACTCATAGATATAGATCAAATAGCAATTATTTAAGTAAATCATAACTCTAAAGAATTATTATTTTCAGAAATCAAACTATATATATAAATTAGACAAAATGAAAGATTTCTTAAGCAGAATTGAAACTTAATGTGATATTATTCGAAATGTATTATTGATTTGCCATGTCTATAATAAATGGAGTTGTTTTTATATAAAACAACAAATCACATAGGTCGAATGTTCATGACATTCTCAAAATCCTACTTGTTTATCTCATTTAAAAGTAATTCAAAATGGTTAATTTTTTCTTCATTTAATAACGAATAAGAAAAGAAAGCCAAATATCTTTAAATGCCTGCAATTTTCTAATTCTTTTACAAAAATACATTGAATTTATGATTTATAAGCAATTAGGGCTATCCATCATTATTATGATTTTATTCTCCATTCTTTGAAATTTTATGAGGATCTTATCATTCAAGTGTAAATTCTTTGAATAATCAAATTAATGACTAGAGAATTAGAATTGAGGGCTGGGGAAACTTATTGAATACTAAATGAATTAATAAATGGAAAATGAATTAATGTGTATGAAATGTTAATTAAATATTATCATAATGTTTTCGGTTTAGAAATGTTCCTATTCAATGCTTTAGAATTTAAAGGTTTAGAAATATTATGAAAAAAAATTAATTATTTTCAAAAAGCATTATTCATTTTCAGAGAGGTCTGCTTTTTATTATATTAAGTTAGTAGCAAGTAATGAAGGATCAGTCAGATGAAAAGCAACAAAATAAATATAATTTCACTTAATTTGAAGACATTAATGGACTCGATTAAAGCATAAGAAAAGTAATAAAAATGGATGGAAGTGCTGAGAATGCTAGTACTAGTATTCAAATTAATTTAGTGATTGATTAGTAGTGCAATTCCATCAGAGTTAATGAATAGCAAAAATAAGTCATTTAATAAATTAAACATCTTGCTGGACAAGGCTCTCATAGGTATGTAACTATCAATCTATTTCAATTTTTAACGACTACAATTGTAGTTTTTCATCTTCCACTTATATTTTTATTGCTTCCTTTATTATTATATTAGTACCGGATATCTAGAGCTTCCAACATAATAAATAAATCAATATAAAAAGAAAAGTAATGCAGATGCATTGATTGACGAAGTATTATTAGAGTAAGACCATTTTCAAATCAATCTCAATTCTAACCCATATATCCAACATTTATTTTTTCTTATTATTTTTACATAGTAAGTTTTTACCGCCAAACTCAATCACTCCACTCATATTCACCAAGAAACTACCACAAGGAGGACAATATAGATTCAAAGGAACTTAACCATTGTGGGTCAACGCATTAGAGAGTCTTCTAAGTGTGGTGGTCTAATTGTATTATAAGAGTGATCAAAAATTGGCAGAGTTTATGAAAGAAAAAGGCCTGATAGATTCAAAGAAAGAACTCAAGCAAGTTCATATACCTTTCTAAATTCAAGGAAAAGAAACCTGGAAGAAAAAAGAAGATCCTTGATAACGATTCGCCCAATCAGGAATAAACCGAACAATAGCAACAATAGTCCACTAATATCAATGTTTATTCTCTGCTCCAATAAGATGTCCTTGATATCCTAATATCTCCATTAAGAAATGACTTTCCATTTGGTATTACAAATATTTCTACATTTAAGAAACCTGGACACCTAAAGAAATCGCTATATTTGAATGCGGAATCTGCAGATATGGTAAATAGTATGAATTCTTATCCCATCTTGTAAAATATTTCCTAATTTAAGATAAAAACAAAAAATGCTCAAGACATCATCTAATTTTACTACTTTTGGAAATTCACAAGTCATTATAAGCTATGGAAAATTAATAAGGCATATTATCATCGCAGTAACCTAAATAACTATGTTTGATTCAACTTTGTTCTTGCATTATTCATGCTCAAAATTATAATATTATATCATATAATTTCCTTTATAAATTATTTATTTTTGGAAATGTTATTGTTATATTTCATATAATTTCTATTTATGCACTTCCATAAAGGATGACACAAGGGGACATTTCTAAACTATTTTTAGTTATATCCATTTCATATGTTTTTCCATCCTAATTACTATTATTTATACATTTAAATGTATTAAAGTCAATTTATAAGTGATTGAATTGTAACTACAACAAAGAAAACTATTTTCTCGAAAGGTAAACTAATTTCCAGTATAACCTTAAAAACTTGAAATTCTATATCCACCAGCGCATGCTATATAAGTGTTGTGGTTAGTTGATTAATAATTTGCACTCATATTATAATTGAAGCTTTAGGCTGTTTACAAATGGCAAACACCAACTCCTGCCCAGTCATTAAATTTCTTTCATAGAAAAAATAATAAATACATTTATTTTGATTATGAATTATGTAATTTTATCTTTAGGCAATGGAGGCTGCATAACAGCTAATCCAAATCCTCCGGAAGAAGCTAATTAAATGTTTAAAATTGCTACCTTAAACTAATTTTGGGCTAACTAATGAAAAGGCCGAAAACTTATAACTACTATTAAATTAAGGCTGATAAGAATTTGAAAATATTGATGATAAGGTTTCCTACTGAAGTTTTTAATTAGTTTACTCAAGTTGAGCAATATTTTACTTATACTAAAATTAATATTGAAAATGCAACCTAATTTATTTCCTTAACAAGACTTGCAGTTGCATTATCAATTTAAACTAGAATTTCTTTTTTTACTTAATTACATAATGAAACGGAATTGAGTTTGGCCTTTAGCGTTTCTAGATATTCTATTTTTGTTTCAGTATTAAACTCTGAAATTCCTTGTTCTGCTCTGCTTTTCTAATATTATTCTTATAATCTATCTTATACTGAATAAACATTTTCTATTAATGATTCTTAAACATCCTTTAAATAACCACGATTTGATAATAATTATTTAAGTTTTTCATTTAAACTAAATTCTTTCGATTCTGTTAGAAAGCTATTAATTTAATATTGTAAATAAACAATTTCTAAATCATTTTATACACACTATTAATTTGATATTTCATCCTCGTTAAGATTTTCTAATTTTGTCAAAATGAGTTGGTAATCAAATTATTATTGAATATTGAAATATGTAAATTCTTACAATTATTATACAAACTTGGCATACAATTACTTGTCCTATTCTAATTATTTTTCTATTATTATTAAATAATGGTCTGTATTGTTATTTTAATATATGGGCATTAATATTTATGTTAATTATTCTTATTCTAATAGATGGATATTTTGATCTTTAAATTATAAATTTTTTTCTATTATTTTTTCAAAATTCTTAAAATTTACTTCCAATTATCTAATTTATTCCTAACAGAGCTTTATTATATAATTTTTCTACTACTCCTTAATATATTTACAATATTTTAATGATTTTTCAGATTATTAATAATAATCTTCAATAGATTTCTACAATTACTAAAGTGTAATATACTTTCCTTCATTTTCTGAAATACATTAAACACAAGATAATCTNATATCCACCAGCGCATGCTATATAAGTGTTGTGGTTAGTTGATTAATAATTTGCACTCATATTATAATTGAAGCTTTAGGCTGTTTACAAATGGCAAACACCAACTCCTGCCCAGTCATTAAATTTCTTTCATAGAAAAAATAATAAATACATTTATTTTGATTATGAATTATGTAATTTTATCTTTAGGCAATGGAGGCTGCATAACAGCTAATCCAAATCCTCCGGAAGAAGCTAATTAAATGTTTAAAATTGCTACCTTAAACTAATTTTGGGCTAACTAATGAAAAGGCCGAAAACTTATAACTACTATTAAATTAAGGCTGATAAGAATTTGAAAATATTGATGATAAGGTTTCCTACTGAAGTTTTTAATTAGTTTACTCAAGTTGAGCAATATTTTACTTATACTAAAATTAATATTGAAAATGCAACCTAATTTATTTCCTTAACAAGACTTGCAGTTGCATTATCAATTTAAACTAGAATTTCTTTTTTTACTTAATTACATAATGAAACGGAATTGAGTTTGGCCTTTAGCGTTTCTAGATATTCTATTTTTGTTTCAGTATTAAACTCTGAAATTCCTTGTTCTGCTCTGCTTTTCTAATATTATTCTTATAATCTATCTTATACTGAATAAACATTTTCTATTAATGATTCTTAAACATCCTTTAAATAACCACGATTTGATAATAATTATTTAAGTTTTTCATTTAAACTAAATTCTTTCGATTCTGTTAGAAAGCTATTAATTTAATATTGTAAATAAACAATTTCTAAATCATTTTATACACACTATTAATTTGATATTTCATCCTCGTTAAGATTTTCTAATTTTGTCAAAATGAGTTGGTAATCAAATTATTATTGAATATTGAAATATGTAAATTCTTACAATTATTATACAAACTTGGCATACAATTACTTGTCCTATTCTAATTATTTTTCTATTATTATTAAATAATGGTCTGTATTGTTATTTTAATATATGGGCATTAATATTTATGTTAATTATTCTTATTCTAATAGATGGATATTTTGATCTTTAAATTATAAATTTTTTTCTATTATTTTTTCAAAATTCTTAAAATTTACTTCCAATTATCTAATTTATTCCTAACAGAGCTTTATTATATAATTTTTCTACTACTCCTTAATATATTTACAATATTTTAATGATTTTTCAGATTATTAATAATAATCTTCAATAGATTTCTACAATTACTAAAGTGTAATATACTTTCCTTCATTTTCTGAAATACATTAAACACAAGATAATCTTTAGAGGCTATTTTTGTTATCAATTTAGACCATAATAATTTCTTAATCATGACTTTCACATCGAAACTTCAAAGATGGGGTAAGCTTAATTAAAAACAATAATTACTTTGATCTTTTTAATTCTTTCATCATCAGTTTCGATTTGTAATTTTGATATATCATAAGACTGTGGAATAATTTCTATAATCTTTTATTTTGAAAGACTAGATATTTGGCAAAATGAAAATTAATTAAGCAATGACTTTATCAATAAGATATCATTTTCTTAATGCTTCAATTATGACTATCTACTTTCTTCCTCAGCTAATCTTTCTTACTTTTGCTTTTCAGTTTAATTTTTAAATTAATCAATTTCTTCATTGATTTTTGTAAATAGTTATTCTAACGGGCCTTTCAGCTCTTAAAGACTATTTTTCAGATTAGTAGCTAAGTTTATTTTTTGTTTGCATTCTTCTTCAATACTTTTTGAAATTTAGTCTTTTTTATTCCGTATTTATCGTTTTGCCTCTCTAATTAATATCAACTCTTTGGGATCGATTAATTCAATTAAACATTGAGGACATAAATATTTATTCTAGTCTTTATTATTCAACCCAATTTTAACTGCTATAAATTCTAATTCATGTTCAGAACATTTCTCTTCTAATAAATTATCCATAATTCAATTTATTAGAATAGAAAATTTCCATACTTATCGTTTTTTATTAACCAAATTCTATCATTTTGATTATTCTATATTATTAATATTAAATTAAAATATATATTAATAATCTCACTTATATTTTTAATGATGGAAATATCTTAATATTGCTAAATAGTTATGATTAATGGACAATACTCCTTAATCATTGAATAAGTTGATCAATATAGCAATGTTATCATGAGTTAATTCTGGGACTATTGCTTCATACTTAGAAAGAATATCTGGTTCATTTTATTCTTACATGAAGGATTCTGATTTTTTGAATGCTACAGACTTTTTAATGGATTCAGGTGCTTAGCCATTTTACATTTAGATTGTACCTAAAATATGGATAATAATGATACTTGGCTTTTAGAAGAAATAGAATCCTATTTATTCAATTAGTTTATAAAATGCTTTTTTATGATGTTTGTAGTCTCTTTCCTTCATTTTTTATGATTGCTAATCTGATTCCTTCATTTTAGATTGCAAATTGAGTGCATCCTACATAAGCATCGAAATATTTGCATCAGTAATATAGATGTTACCATATAAAACATTCTTCTCTTCTGAAATGATTAATTTATCTTTCTCTTCTTTCTATAATGAAGTAATAATTTTATCCTTATTAAGTCCACCTAAAACATAAAGGACCTTAAATTCATGTGCAACTGGATTATACAATAATTTAGTAACAATAGTGCCTTCATCTATGAACACTGCATTCACATCATTTTTAGGAGCCACTTCTAATGAAGTTATCAAACATTTTTGGTAAGATTACATATGCAACTTTAAGAAACGATGAGTTTTAGAAATCATTCTTTGTAAATATGCTCCACTAAAGGTCATTACTTTCGCTTCTCTCCATACTTTTTAAATGAATTGTAAAACATCCATTGATGATACACCAACTTTCTTTTTGGATTCATCAAATAACATTGGATTGTATTTTTTCTTATATTAATAGTCCTATTCGATTATCTCAGTATAAATTTCAAGTGCCAATTTATTCACATCAGGTAATGGGGTAAGTGCAACTGCTGCAAAATTTTCCAAGAGTTCTTGTCTTGCTTTAACTAATTCAATGGCATATTTGAGATAACTTTGTGCTTCTAATTCTAAATTGAGTTATTCCAATCTATCTGATCTTTCCATACTAATCAATTATTATTCTAAATCTATCTTGTTTTGTTCAGTGTCTAAACTATTAATAATAATTATTACTCTTAGAATTGATTAAGGATTGTAAATAATCCACCTTCACATATCTATACCCTTGCCTGACACGATATTCTCTTATAAATAAACAAATCTCAGCCATGGCAACCAAGATTTCTTCTGGTTTTCTATTGAATTCAAATAAAACTGCCTCTCCTCTAATTACACTGATGGCTTTCAATAAACTTTCTTTGGCTTGCATCAAATATTGCAAACCCTATTCCTTGAGCAATTAACAGAAGGGAGGCACAAGTAGAAAGTATTTATTCCTTACAAGATCTCGATGAGGCCTTTTCTCATAGAAATCAGCGTATTTCTTATTTTTACCAGACAAGTACTTCATAAAGTACTTTTGTTGTAAGTTTAATAATAATTAAACAAATCTCATTTTATAAATCTTGCTTTACAAATAATACAATTCTAATCTGAAACTAATAGGTACATTGATACTCTTACTAATTGAAGTATCAATTTTATTAACAATTTCACTAATTACATTTATATCAAAGATGTCTTTAACTGAGGATTTCTCACTTTCTGAATCTGAAACCACTGATGATTCCTATGAGTCTATAGAAACACTAGAATTTTCGTTGGCTTAATTCAAAGTAATCATTATATCAACATATCTTAATGATGCTCTCTACCATAATTCAAGGTTCTTTAAATAGCAATTATATTGGTATTATGTATTATTGATTGTATCGATATCCACAGTAGTGTAAGTGAGTTTAGTAGGTTAAATAAAATTAAAGTTAGGTAATTAATTTAATCCCTTAATGGGCATTTGCGGTTTATCAATATTATCTTTTTTTGTTTACTTATCAGCTCCCTTTCTAACTACTTTTCCGTCATCCTTCTTCTTCTCATCTTTCTTAGTTGTTTTGATTTATTTATCAGTCTTTTTTAGTATCTCCTATTCTATTTCCAAAGGGACACACAGATCCTAGCAAATTTAAATCTTCTCCTGCCCACATTTATGATTCCAATTAGGCACTACTCCATATCCATAGTTGATCATCTACATTAATTATTCAGCCATTTGATAGGCATCATAAAATTGTTATTTTGCTTCTTGAAACTCATTTTTTTCATGATAGATTTCTCCAAGATCACCATACAGTACAATCATTTGAGGGTCCTAATGGAAGTTCTTTTAGCCAATTTCTATAGCCTCTTTAAATTTCTTTATGGATTCAGCTTATTTTCCTTTCTTAAATTGAATTCTTGCTTGATATTCAATAATCAATCTTTGATGGTAATTGTCATTAAATTATTTGCAATCGTTCATCAAGGCTTCCATATACTCTAAAGCTTCCTCATGCCTATTGTGTCTATATAATAGCAGCGTCAATTCGGTTCTTAATTTGATCCAATAAAAAATATTTAATGAATGTCTAGTTTTTCTAGCTTCAACAATTTATAGGATAGTTTCTTCCAATTTTAGTTATGCATCCGTTTTCACAGCAGGTACTTCATCTGCAAGAGGTTTATCCTTGGATTCTTTGCCTTCCTTTCCTTTCTTCTCGGGTGCCTTCTTAGCTCCTTTCTTATCCTCTACTACTCCTTAAGGTTTCAATTAATCCCATGGCAAATTTTCCACTTCCTCACCATTCTCGTTGGTTGACAACTCAAGTGTGTAAGTATAAAGATTTTCAACTGCATACTTGAATATATACAATGCTCTTGTAATTTAACCCATACTAACATTGACTTTGGCCATCAAATTCCTAGACCTTGCCATCATGTACATTCTCTCTTCTCTTTTTTATAAGTATGTCAATCCTTCCTAATTGTTGGTGACTCCAACTTATTTAGATGTTCCTTATAAGTGAAAATAGTCTTCCATTTTTGGATCAGCTAAAATTTCCTCCTTTGGTTTAGTCAATATTCTTTATTCTATTTATTCTTCCTAATTCAACTTATTCAAAGTGTTTCTCAATATGGATTCAACTTTTATCAAGAATTTACACCTTAAATCATTAATTTCCCATTTCTCAATTATATCTCCAGAATGGATATTATAGACTAAGACAGCAACAGCATAATTAAATATATTCTCATTCTACAATCCATATTTCAAACCAAATTCTCTGGTTAACTCCAATTCTTTAAGTATCTTTTCTGTTAGTTATGTGTGTTTCTCATCATACGGAGGGATTGAATTATTCCATTCTAAATTTGAATACCACCACTTACCAGAAATTCTGGATTGCCAAAGTGAACTTGATTAATCTGGCAGATCCTTCTCGTTTGCAATTTATAGTAAAGACTAATAAGCTTAATTGATATATCCAATAGATGAAAAAGCTATAGATCTTAAAAGCTTAGCACGCACTGAATAGAAATTACTTTATAAACGATTGCTCAATTCACCAAGTAAATTAATTAGAGGGACAGCCCTTAGAGCTTCATCTCTATCCAATAATAGCCAAGCACATCTTTCACAAGACAAAGCCAATTCAGCTGGATCCAATACATATCTATCATTAAAGATATTACCAATAGCAACTTCCTTTGAATGAATAAAAGCTTGCCAATCCAATCCGTTAGTCATTTATAATTTCAACACTGAAGACACTAATTCAGATGCTAGAATTGCACTTTCTCTCTGTTGATGACAATTAGCATAATAACAATTATAAGCCAATATGGAACACAATGTAACTCCAATTAAACATTATTAAATGCCATAAGTTTGAGCAAGCAATTAATTATTTTTGTTGCACTCCTGTATTATCTATCTGAATGCACTACTTTTCAATACAAAAATTCTTTGAAATATAGTATCCAAACTCTCACTCCAAGATTCCTCAGCCTAAGCATAATTCTACATTGCAAAATTCAAGGATCCCAATTCTTTCAAAGCCAAGGCCTATGCAAATTTCTCTTGCCTCTTATGCAATAACTCACAAGTTAGTTTGTATTTGGATATTACCTACATACCAAACTATTTGTGATTCTTCTTCTTTTATTTCAAAGTTTGATCCATCAATTACAATTGCTTCTTATCCATAGTGGTCTATTTTAATAAAAATAATTCAGAATTAAATTCTAATTGTATACTTTCTTTACTCAACAATTCGTCATCAATAGCAAATTTTTCATAGAGTTTACGTGCCTGTTTCAGGTTTTCTAATGCCTAATTGGCATCTCTATTTATTTCTTAGATTAGTTTCTCACTTACTTTTAATTAATTCTCAATGAAATCTTGTTTTTATTTTAGCAAATGAATTTATTACAACAGCATTTCTCTATCTGCACGATAATCCTATTCTTCCTAGGGTATTTCTTGTGTTAATAATGATGATCTAGTTTTCTTTTTCTTTGTTTATTCCCAAACTTAAAATGCTTGTGTCCTTGCATTAAGTTCCTCCTGTTTTAGTTAAGTTTTATTCTGGGATTCTTTGAATAGAATGGTCTACGCATGAATTGTAAATGGTAAAATATATTAAGAATAGTAATGAGTGGTCAAATTACAAAACTACCTTGATATTCCAATCAAACTATTCCACTTCTACTCCACCATCAAAGATTAAACAATATATGCCATAACATTGGCCAATAAGTCCATCTCTTTGTACTTACTGAACCAGCAGTCCTTAGACAACTAAGTAAGCAAGGACGGTCTGATTGGTTCAGTATTAGGCAAAGGTGGCTCAAATACATAATCTTATTATGGCAAATGAGGTTGCAATGCCAATTCATTTTCCGCCTGTTCTTTAACTTAGAACCAACCATGATCCTTGACTTCTCTTATGAGCATATTTATACAATTTCCAATGAAACACAAGTCTTACCAACATTGTCCCTGGTGAATGAATGGAGTTATTTGTTCTTTTAATAAGAAATTATACAAGAATTTAACATGGTTCAACATAACAATGTATTGTTTACTCCAAACAGCAAATCCACAAGCATCTGCAACATTTTTAATTATTTGAGTCGATAACTAAATCAATTCTTCCTCCTCGCTTAATTCAACAACTGGCTATTACACTTATTATTTTCCTGGAGGCTATTTTGCAGGTGGTTACTTTTATTGTGCCTATTATTAAAGCTATTATAATTGTTATTCTTTTTATTGCTAAAGTGCTTATTATTATTATTTAATCTGCTTCTGGGATTCATGTTCATTGATTTGCTCTTTCAAGTGTTCAATATCTAAATTAAAGACAGATACAAAACAATCTACATCAACTAGTCTGATTCTATTGCTTTTGTAAGATAAGATGGCTTTCAAAAAGCTCAACTCACTTCTCCACAATTAAACGTACTCAAATCTTTTTGCCTTTGACATGATTCCAAATCTGTTTATAGTTTAACCCTCAATCTTTAATTGCTCATATAATTAAGCCTTTTTTGTGTTATACTCCTCGAACAGTTGAATGGCATCATCATTCCCTACTTTATTGGTTTTCTTGTCTTCAATCAATTCTGGCAATAGCGCAGGATAAAATTCGATGTCCAATTGAATACATTTTTATTAAATTGAAGTGATATCATTGGATATACCAACACTAGGTTAAAATTGATCATTAAAAACAGCAAGGGGTTGAATAATTTTATAGTCTATGTTACTTTAAATCATTCTCCTAATCAATTTACATAGCATTTCTAGATAAATTGGATGCTATTTTGGCAGTCTTTAAGTAGCAGTAGATAAGTCTTTTATGCATTCCCAATATTCTAATCTAATTGATAATTCACTAAATATTTTGTCTATTTGATCAGAGGGATTCTCCATGTATGGTATCAATTAATCAATTTGTTCTTTCCACTTTTCAACAAAGGAAGGGACATAATCCCCAAATTCATCATTCATAGCCAAAAGAGTTTCTTCCAAAAAGTCTTAAACAGTAGAGTTCACTTCATAAAGTTCTCTAATCAATTTAGGTACTTATTTAGGAGGTTATACAGGTTCATCTACTTGTTATGGTTTACCTCCCTTTTTGACATCCTTTTTGGTATCCTTCTTTGTGTCTTCCACTTATTCAATCATAATTATTTTAGGTACTTAATACCACTTTCGATTAAATGATTGCAATTCCGCAGTTATGACTCTTCTTCCTAAAGTGATTTCATTTAGTTTCATACATACTTTTAATATTTCATATGTAAATTTAGCTGATAGAATACGTAGATTGGAATCCCAATATTGTTTAGGTATTTCAACTATAATAATTTATGCCTTAAGCAACAGATGGAATACTTATAATGGTTTTTCTTACTAGAATGACTCTAGCATATTGTACAATTCAGCCACAATTCTTTTGGCAATTGTGAAGTGTCTGCAACTTAAAGAAGTCTCTAATGAAAGCAATAGATAATTGCAAATTCGTAACAATACTTAGTGTTTCTAAGCCTAGGTTCCAGTATTCACAATTTTCTTTTATAGACATTTTGCTTTGATTAAAAAGGTTTCTGTCAAATTTTATATTTCCATCAAACTTACTGATTTAATTCTCTATTAGAGTAACCTTTTGATGTGAATCGGATTAAGTTCGTTGTGTAATTGACGATCGATAAATTCACTATCTTCTGTAAATTAGGTAATACAAAAATCAGCTGCCTCTTCACAAATGTCAAAATTAGATAATTGATAAGCTACTTTGCATAAATACGATGCTAACAAAGGCAAAGGTAATGGATGCAATGTTGTGATGTCGTCTCCTGTTTCCCCTATTCCATTTGATACACCTTCAGTACCATCATAAGCTGCAACAGCAAAACAATATTTCTCATTTCTTTTTAATCCATTCATCGTAACTATTGCTCCTATCTTCTATCTAATTCCAGTGTTATTAAGATCATTACAAGTGAGTGACACATTGACTCCATTTGCACTTATTTTTCCAAATATTGCCATACTTGTTATGGTCTTTTTCGCTTAATCAATGGCTATCATATCCAATAATTTTGGTTTGAAAGGTGGCAATTTAAAAGTAACAGATTCAGAATTCCTACTAATTAAAATTGGTTTACGAGGTACCTATGTAGATTTAATGTATAATGGATTGAACAACATAGAATATGGGAATACATTATTGGAGGTGCTTTGAGTGTCAATGTTATCACATAAAGTGGACATTACAAAGATTGCATCATTGATCCCATTTTCTATGTGTAATTGCTCCTCTTTCTCAGCTTGTTGCAAGAATTTCAGAGAATCTACTAAAAACGATCGTTATTCTGTTTATTTCTACTTCACACTAGCAAGAAGCATGTACAATAAACAGTTGGCATAAGGATTTTTGTTGGCTTGATTCATTATTTCAGTTTCGAATTAATGGATCACAGGCTTTGGCGGTTTCAATTTGCCCTCTTTTTAAAGTGTACTCTATAATTGATTGACATTCTTCTTAATAGTTTGGGCTGTTTCTCCTTACATTATTGACATCTTTTTTTGAATAGCTAATGAGACTCCTTCTACTTCTTCTTCCAAAGAGTTCTTCTTTATTGAATTCTTCTAGAGATCTAATCCTGCTTTTAATTGACATCTATACAATGCAACAGTTAGATCTGCATGTAATGCATTTATGATTAAATCTGTTTCGTTTATTTTTTATTAGATTTAGAAAGTACTTGTATCTTTGTTATCATCGCCCAATAAAGATTGATATGCTTCGAGTAATTCGTATTCCTCCTCATTTAATTCATCATCTTCTAACTGCTATTTCTTGTTATTTGATCTATTTTTTATTCTAATTTCTCTATTTATTTAATTCTTCTGATTAATCCACGCCTCCCTCATTCTGTTCATCATTTCTTCTATTTTATAATTTGAACATGTGGCTGCAAATGGTAAGAATAAATCTTTTTAAGAATCAACACCTCTCACTGTTAATGAATTCCTATGCTGAATTATCCTATCAATGCAAATTTTCAAATTCTCCTCAGCTACTGATGCTTCTTTCTCCTCCTCCAAAAATTTAGCAAGTGACAAATTCACCTTGCATAACAAAATGATGTCCACATAGGGGATCTTGAATAGAATCTCATTCAACACTAACAATCCATTCTTAAAGATCTCTCTTGCCTATTGAATCACCTTGTCGTAACGGCTATAATCCTACCTACTCAGCTCTTAAGTAATTAATAACTCTTAGATAAATTGCATTTAATAGAGTGGTGGTAAGTAGTATTTTCTCCAGAGTAAGAACACTAATTAAGATAGAAAATCTCTTTTTTCTTTTAAGAAGTGGATTCCCAACGGTCCAACCAGACAGCTGCTTATCATGTCCATCAAATCCTTAAGGTGTTATAAATCATAACATATTTCCAATTCTAATCTACTGTCATCCTCTATACTAGAAGAGACCTCCTTTTGATATGACTTTTCTAATTTAATGAAATGAATCAATATTTATAACTCTCTTTCCTTTACGAAATAATACTTATCTGTTTTGTATGTAATATAGATGTAATCCATACCAGGACTTCTAATAAACTCTTTTGGAGTTTATCTGAGATCTAAATTTATTTTCTGATATCCAAAATCTGGTCTAATGAGAGGATTCTTACCAAATAATGGCTTAATTCCTACCAACAATGACATTTTTTCATTCTCATCGTTTAACTCATTCATAGTGTGTTTTAGTAACAAATACGGAACGGTTTTGTATTTTTCTCTGACTCCTGTGTATTGTTTAATAGGTATGGCAATTGCCCGATATCCTTAATTCATTTTCTCAATAGGTCCTTATTCTTCATCTGCCATAACAACATCAATTTCATAAATTGCATTGTCAGGAGTCATAGATTTCTTATAAACCAAGTAAATATAATTATGGTTTATCTATGCTAGTTCCGAATCTGTAGCCTGAACTCCTAATCCCACTTAATCGGTCTATTGTTTTTCTTACTCTTGCTATTATGGTTGCTTTTTATTATCCTTTTTCTCATCCTTCTTTTGAGTCTGCTGTTATTACTATTGCTAATCACCTTTATTCTTATTTCTAAGTCGTTTCAATTCGGTTCTAAGATTAGCTTCATTAATATCAATTTAAATCTTATCATAGCCATTAGGAATATTTGGATAAGGATTAGTACTAATCAATATGTTAACATCTTAGATATATGGAACTTCAATTCTTCTATATTTACACCTGACATAAGCTGAATTGCTGATATCCTCAAAGACTTTTGTATTTCCAACATCATAGGCATGATGTGCTAATTCAATCTAATATTCTAATGGCAACCCTTCTGCCAAAGCCCTCCATTCTTTCTCTTTGATTAATGAGGCTTCGAATTCTCTTCTCTTTTTGGTCATATCATTTCGCTCTAATTCATCCAAAATATTTTTTGATTTAAATTCAACTGTCTTTGTAATTTTATCCATCTACTATTCCAATGCTATTGCTATCCTTTCCATATCATTTTTTAGCATGTCAAAACTGACTTACACTAATTACTCTTTCAGCTAATTGCCCACATGTGTTTACTTAACTGTGTTTGATAAATTTGGAGGTGAAAATCGCAAAGATTCAATAATTGCCAAACATCTAGCTTCCTTGTCCTATCCGAACTCCTCAATCTTCTTTTTCCATTAATCAATAGTGAACACTCCTGCTTGCAATTTAAATTTTAACTCTAATATCTTCAGCAACCTTGTATTCTATTTCAAGATCTTATCCATGTAATCCTACAATGGTGGATCCATTTCTTCCAACTCTCTCAATTCTTAAACCTTTTGTAACCCCAAATCTATTGTTCTATAGGCACAAGCCTTCGATTGCAAGGAATGGTAGATGTGCGCCAATTCGACATAGAGTTTGATCCTCCAATCCAAATACTTTATGGATGTCAACACCAAGCATCCCTCCATCGAAGTGATACAAAATGCCAAAAAATCAATTGCGATATATTAGTATATTGACTATTTTATTATTTATGAACATCTTTACTTTTCTCAAGACTCTGCAAATATCAAATATATAAACTGTTCCATTATATATTAGATAATAATTTGAATTCTTATCCTCGAATGTCCCGATATTCATCACTTGCATACAATCTCTTAATGATGCAAGTAAGGTTTTCAAAGATTATGCTGTGTCCTTTCGTACACATTAAGGATCTGACGCAGTGTATGTTTTGAATAATGTTTATACCTGAATTCAATGAAAACTGTTACTTTATTAAATTACTTTAATGCTTGATCTCTTTATTCAGTTGCATTCTTGTAAATTACGTATGGTTTGTTTTCCACTTACTAAACACCTGCTGGTTGATCCTGGAATTTCACTCCAGGTTTTGCTTAAGCTTACTACTTTTTATCAGCCATAATAATTTAATAATTGAATGAAACTTATATACTAAATCGATTAATTCTTCTCCATTTAAAAAGAGATGTCCTCAGCTTAATAGAACAATTTTTGAGATCACAAAAAATATTGGCGGTAATAATGGAGAATGATAAAATCTAAAATCACAAGAAATGTCACTTTTTGAATACTCTATCCAACAATAAAAAATTTACGATGTGATTATTTAGCAATTAAACATTTTGATTGATTGATTAAAATATAAATCAGTCAACCACAAAACGAAATGAAAATGGTTTTTCAAAATTATTTAGCTAGAATTGGTATGGCATGGTGAAAGTCTAATTAAGTTCAAATATTACATTCATATATTTGATAGTGATGCCACAACTCAATAAATCTAATATTCAATGTTTCAATTTGGGTCATCTAGTTATAATCTAGAAATAATTATCTGAGCTATTCAAATACACTTTAATAATAAGACACTTTTTTCACAAAGAACTCAAATTTTGTTTTTAGATGACATAACAAATATTGAAAGGCAGATTTGAGAGAAGGAAAATTTACTAAATGATATTTCTAAAGTTCATACCTTCCAGGTGAATATCCAAATAAGTAGAAAGAAATCGAAGCACAAAAGAATTGTGTGATTAAACATTTTTGAAGTAAAGGCATGTTTAAAAATTAATCATTTTAATTCTTCATATAGAAACTAAATCAATAATTAATGAGATGATGTTGTGAAGCGTAACAGTATAAATTTTGATATTCAATCTCAACCAATGAAAATTAAAATCAATAATTTATTTATATTTTAGACAACCATATATATTTGAAAAAGAAGATAAAAATAATTTACTTGTTGAGTTATGAAAAATATTAATAATAAGGAGGACTTTAATTAGAGATTCAAAATTATTTGTCTACTCCAAAAATTTTAATTATCCTAATGAGGGTGGATAAAAGGAGAAAATCTAAAAATAACAAATCTGATTGAAAATTAATTATATCGATTCTATGTTTAGAATATAAATATAAACAACTCAGGGTTATTTTGATAATATTTCCAAAGGATCTAATACATTATAGTTATTCTCTAAATCAATAGAATTATCTGGTTTTACTGCTAACCTGTTTGTTTCTTTGCAATTTTAAAATTCCTAATAATTACTTTAGAGTTTTCCTCCCAATGAATGACTCTATTATAAGACTGAATCTCCAAACTGTTACTAAATAATAAATTAAATTCTCGAAATCTCATATAATATATTATTAAACCGACATTTCTCCCTTGCCCTTTCTAATAAAAAGTTATATCTAAGCCTAAAATCCCCAATCGAAAATTTGAGTTTATTATCAGTACTCTCTTTGATCTCCAATTTATTAAATATAGTAAGTTTTACGTTCCTTAATTCAGGATAATACATTGTAATGATTTCGTGATGTAATTAATTCTAGAGAAGCTTATTGTTATAATATAAAGCTATGTATTTTAGCATGAATATCAATTAAACAATGGAACCAACTTAAGCAAGAAATTGACCTAGTTTTGGCATTGTAACCAATTCTTTAACTTAGATACTATCTAATCTAAATAGATAGCATCCAAAATTTGTGAAGTTATATGGTTATTTGGACATTGATGATACGACATTAGAAGAAAAGAATGAATCAACTTACTAATTTATGAGTTCATAATTATTTAAGAATTAGTAGCTTTTATAATTATTAAATAACAATCCATCGTCAATGACTGTCTCTTGCTATTTCAACATAACTTATGAATATTATGGATTAAATATATCAAAAGCATAATAGTATTACTTATTGAATTCTTCTAATTCTCTTGTTGCATGATTAAGTTGATTTAATTTAATGCTTAAAAACAAGAACCCATGAAATTTTTATAGATACTCGTCAATTGTTTTCTAATCAGCACAATAACCATTATCTTACAAAGTGTCATTAGAGCAACTTTCAAGCACAATTAAATATTGTTTCATTTCTTAATGATCCTGATCTGGAGTAATTTCATGATTTAAAACTAATGTGATATTCTCAAATGATATTGTAAAAGGCTTCTCTTAACTACTAAATAAAGGGATTGGTCTATCTATAATTGCCGTATCAATAACTGCATATAAATGAGGAGTTATAATGTTATTTTATTTTCTAAATGGATCCACATCACCTGAAAAATCTTATAGCATCAAATCAATCATGGCAGTTTATATTTGGAATTAAGCATATCCTATTGTTTCTTACTTAAAACTTACATTAGGAGGAATTAAATTGCTTACCCAGTATATAAAAACATATAAAAAATATGAAAGACTTACGCTTCCGGCAATTAGAGTAATTATCCCTCCAACTTTACTCTGAAAAACTGAAGTCTTTTCATTAGTAAGCAGATTAATAGGAACTCCAAAAATATCTATTTTATCAATAGTATTCAATATTTTATTCATCTTTTAGTAATTATTATTTAGCCTTTTAAAAAAATAAATAATATTAATTTAATTCTCACATATAGATTTCTCAAGGTTCCTTAATATCCATAAACTTACATGCACATTTTGTACAATTTCCTTCAACTTGTCTTCATCCTTTGAGCATTTTCCTTAAGCTCAACTTCAACATTTATCTCAATATTTAAATCTTAAACTACAATTATGAATTATTTTATTGAGATAACTTTTCAGGAGAAGAAACTTATCTTAAATTCGTTATGAATTTTAACTTTGCTGATTATCTGAAAGTGTAGTTTTTAATTTTTACCTTCAGAATAAATGAAGTTTGGAATTATATTATAAATATAAATATATCAATTTAAAATAGATTACTTTTCACCATTTTTTACCTCAAATTTTAGCCACATTGTTTATAGTCACAATCTAATCTCTATTCAGATATCTATTTCATCTAAAAGTTAATTTAATTATAAAATAAAATTTGGTAACAATTATTATATGACTCCATTATATTAATTTCATTTCTTATTTTAACTATATTCTAAAAATATTATAATTATTATTATTATTAATAAAGTACTTTTAATTTAAATTTAAAAATAATATCGATAAAGACTTTAAGCATCATTATTCTAAGGATAGGTCTTAATATTTGAGATTTATAACTATGTAAATTTAAATAGAATATAGATAAAAGATATCCTAACTTCCCTTTAACTAGTATTTCTTCTTGACTAAACCTTTTACTCGTCAGCACAGAATTAAATACAAAATTCAGAATACTCCTTCATTAGCATAGCGAGACTGTTTTCAGGTCCTATATCCAGTTTGGCTTTGTTGCTGAGTTACTAAATTTTACTTACCCAAACTAAAATCAGTAATGAAGGGAGTCAGTAACCCTAACAGTAACACATAAAATAAAAGTAAAAAGATATGAAATTATAAAAAGGAACTATCATAACCAAGTTCTCAAATTATCAAATGCAGCTAAAATTATTATTATTACTCTTGAATAAAACTATTATTATATCTCAATTTTCAAATTTAAATTCCTAAATTATCTCATCACTCTCTAACTCCTTTTCGGACCATAAACCAATTTTTTTTCCATTTTCATATTCTCCGCTCTGAGTAATTTAAGAAACATATTTGAATTCGTCAGATATTTCTACCCACTTCCCCAATTTAACCTCATCACCTCCCATTCCATTATCATATGACCCTCCTCCACTAAAATATACATTATCTTAAAGATAGTTCTTACATTTTTCTAAATTTATCTTCATTATATTTCCTATACAAAGTATCCCAATCTCCAATTTTTTTTCCATTTCTATAGTTACCTTGATAAACCACTTCAGAGTCCCACTTATAACTGGGACTCTATTCATTCCATTTTCCTGATTTAGTTCCATTAAATTTTTCATCATATAATCCACCCCCACTAAAACAAATTTATCTATATTATAGTTTTACATCTATTTATATTCATTCTCATACTATTTTCTATAAAAAATACCCCATTCTCCAATTTTTTTTCCTTTTCTATAATTACCTTGATAAATCACTTAAGAGTCCCACTTAAAATTCTCACTCTATTCAATCCATTTTCCCGATTTACTTCCTTCTTAATCATAAAACCCACCACCACTAAGCAGCAACAAAAACATTTTTAAATTACAGAATATTTTTACATTCTCAATTTTTGTTTAAGTTTATCATTTTATTTGTAATATATTTCCCACATACCAATTTTCTTCCGATTCTTATAATGACCTTAGTATGTCACTTAAGAGTCCCATATAAAAATCTCACTTTATTCAATCCATTTTCCTGATTTACTTCCTTCTTAATCATAAAATCCCCCACCACTAAACAAAATATCAACATCTATAATTGCATACATAATTTTATGTTTCCATTCACCATCAAATTCGTTATAATAAATTTCCCAGCTACTAATTTTTCTACCATTTTTATACTGACCTTTCCACGTGATTTATAAACGATCACAAAATCCATCAGCAATTTCGACCCAATTACCAAATTTTAACTCATCACCTCTATCATCGTAATATCCTTAACCACTATATTTCAAAGAATTATTAAACTTTAAACTATGAAAATTTACATTAGTTCAATCTTATCATCGCCATAACTCTTTTTAAACCAAACTTCCCAGCAACCAACTTTTTTGCCATTTTTGAAATTACCCACATAATATATGTCTGCCTTACTAGATATAGGAGAGTAATTTAATACTTCCTCTCCTATTTTATTTGGTTTCCTTAAAAATCATAAATAATAAATCCACTACACAATATTAATTTATAATATATCTACCACCATTTAAATTATTTTTCATTAAATTAATAAATATCCCATCTTCCAACTTTTTTACCATTTTGATATTCTCCATCATACGTTACTTATAATGTATAACTAAACTCATCCGATATTTCCACCCATTTCCCATACTTCATACCATTTTCTTAACCCTATTATCCGTATTATCCCCCACCTCTAAACACATTTTTAAATAAATATTATTGTTTACATAATTACATTGTCATATATAATATTCCATCTTCCAAATTTTTTCCCCTAATTTAATTTTCCGCTTAAGAGAATTTTAGAACTATTGATATTATTAGATCTTAAATTTATACTAATTTTTTGTGAATAATTCAATTCCTTTTTAATCAAACATAAGAAAATTCCTAATAAAAGTGGCATAATTAATTTCATTACTTCAATTCAAATTCATCTTTTTGATTCATTTTCAAGACTTCCCATTTTCCAACTTTAATGCCACTTTTATATTCCCCATGATAAATAATTTAGTTTGTATTACTAAACTCATTGCTCAATGTAATCCAATTCCCAGTCCTAGTTTAATTAATTGCCTCATATAATCCGCCACCTCTAGAAATATTTATATTATTTGATGCTTACATCTTTTATGATTTTATAGTATCATTTAGGATACTCTTTTAGATATTACAAATATCCCATCTATCAATTTTTTTTCCATTTAGATATTGACCTTCATAGATGATTTGAGAATCTCTAAAAAATCCATTCGATAGATCAATCCAATGTCCCTACTTAAATTCATTACCTCCTTCGTCATAAACTCCACCCCCACTAAACAAAAACGTTATTAGAATTCCAAAATAATTATTACATTTTCAAGTATTTTCCATTATCCCAACTCTCTTTATACCAAATATCCCATCTGGCAACTTTTTTACCATTTTTATATTGACCTCTATAAGTTATTTAAGAATCTTTAAAAAATCCATCGGATATTTCAATCCAATCACCTTGTTTAATTCCATCATCATATTCTCCACCACCACTAAACACAAAAGTTATTAATGCTACTATATAATTTTACATTTTCAAGTTTAGCCTTTTATCTTCATTCTCATTAAAAAAAATATCCCATCTACAAACTTTTTTACCATTTTTATATTGACCACTATAGGTTACTTAAGAATCTTTATAAAATCCATCAAATATTTCAACCCAATTACCCTACTTCATCCCATTATATCCATCGTAAACTCCACCACCACTAACAAAATTATGTATAATCTATTTTATTTCTTTACATCTTTTTAAACTTAAGACCAAATAATACACCTTTTTCAATTTTACAGATATCCCATCCCCCAACTTTTTTGCCATTTTTATATTGACCGTTGTAGGTTACTTAAGATTCTTTAAAAAAGCCCTCAGATAATTCAATCCAATTTCCCTATTTCAATCCATTACCTTCTGCATCATATAATCCCCCACCACTAAAATGCGAATTGTGAAGACTAAATAATAATGTTTTACAATTTTAAGGGCTTGGTATCTTTATTCTCTTTAGACTAAATATCCCATTTCCCAACCTTTTTACCATTTTTATATTGCCCAATATACTGTAGTTATGAGTGCTACCAAAATCTTTCCCAAGGTTCTTACCATTTACCATTTCTTTCTCCATTCTCATTATAGTCGCCACTACCTCTATAATCATATTACATCATCCTTATACATTTCTTTATTATCATAGATATATTTCCAGTTCTTCACCCTTATCCCGTTATCATAATCTCCTACTTCATAAAAATTTACTTCCTATTACTAAAGGATTTGGATTTAATAATTTCCAATTAATTCTTTCCATGATCCTTTCTTGTTTCCTTCCTCTGAATATTCCCCACCTACATTTTTGATTATTTCATTTTTTCATTTGGCTATCCATTTGCCTACTTTTTGATTATTGAAGTTTAACTATCCAGACCATTATAGGTGCTTTACTTATTCCAAATTCTTTAGGATTTCTGGTATCCTTGTCGTATCTTTTATTTAATCTCTATAAATAAAAATAGTTAGGATCTTACATTCTTAAGATTTCTCCATCATTCAAGTATTAGACTTCTTTTTCTTCAGTAAATTTGACTTAGAATTAAGTGTAGATAAATCTATTATGTATTTAATCCCAAATAACAATTTTTTATTCTTGGCTACCTTCTTGCCATAATAGTTACTCATTATTTTTAATCCTAAATTTAAATTTTTTGGTTTACCCAACCATCTTAAAAACTTCCTTCAACCACTATTAAATTTTCGTGCCAAAGGTTTCCGCTTCTTAATTCAACTATTACTTCGCTTTTTATAGATACTAATAGTAGTTAGTTTTTTCACTATTCCAATTTTCTAAGGATTTCTCTTGTACAATTGATATTAGTTTATTAAATGACTCATTTGAAGATTTTGTGAGATTGTTATTTTCATTGATTAATTGGTTATAGGATTAATCTTCCTATTCTATCTTGTCATAGATTTTTGTAATAGAAATATAAAGCTCCTCCAAAATTTTCTGTATCTAAACTTCAATGTCTTAAAGTAAGGATTAAAACATCTTCTTTTATTATTTTAAATCTTCATTGTTATCAGATTAGCATGCTGACAATTTCTCGTTGACTATTTTTTGAAATTTTTCAATAGTAACTGCCTATTTCATATTTTCTATATGTTCACTTAAACAGTCTTTACAGAGCTTTCTTTAACACTTATGTTATTACATACAAATAAAATCAACTTAATTTTATGGATGAGTTTAGCAGAAACTCATTTATTAAATTTATAAAACTATTTATTATTATTGTTGAAGTATTCTTCTATTGTTTGGGCTAAAAGGTGGCTAAACCAAAAAAAAATTCAGATTAAATAACATTAAGATTTTAATATCTTTTTTATTACTTTACTTTGAGTTAGTCTACTTAAAAAAGAAGCATCTATCAACCTCAATGATTATATAAATTTTCCAAAGGCTTGCGTTGAGTTGAACAATAAGCTTTAAAATAAACAATTCCAAAATATACCTGTTAACACCAGAAAACAACATTAAAATTACACTTTTAATAAACTTTCGTGGATTTATAATTGAAGTTAAGAAATTAAAATATATATTCTTCTAAAAAGTAATACTTTTAGATAAATCTAAAATACTAAATTACAATTTCTGTCTGAAAAAATATTTTTTATTATTGAGGAATTTAAAGGAAAATAAATCCATTATATAAAAGATGTTAAATTGGTTTTATCCCCTATAATTAAGAAGAAATAACATATTATAGGACAGCTTTGATTTATATCTGATACAAAAAAGGGGTTCTAGTAGATTGAATTACAAAGGATAAAGGTATAACATACAGGATAATATATCTATTAAAACCTCATTATATCCTAATCTTAATTTCAATAAAAGTTTTTCAGTGCTAAAATTCACAACCCATTACAAATAACCTTAATTACAAATCTATTCAAAAATAATAAAAAAATTGAGAATCATTAGGAGAGGGATCATTTATTGTAAAGAGGATCTGTTAAAATATTGAGTCTAAAGTAATATAATTTATTGGATTAAAAACAGAATATTAAATAATAAAATTTCTAAACTTATAAAAGTGCGAAGAAAACACAAATTTTCAGAAATAAAAATTTACAATCGATACTTTGAAGCAAAGTGATCAAATACACTTATGAATAGGAACAAAACATAAGCATAAACAAAAAGGAAAATACCTAAAGATAACTTTAGATAAATAAAAATTAGTTAAAAATTTAGTGTCTGATTTTTGTCAGATGAATATTAAAAAAAATATTATACCTTTCAGGAAAATAACAACTTTATGATTTCCAGGACATACAAGAAGGGATGTTTTTTTCAAATTCATTTATCAACTATTATGTTAAAGTTTAATTAAGAGTAATTTATTTGGATGTTCAAATTCTAATAATATGCAAAGTTCCTTTACAATTCTAAATATAAAAAGTACATCATCTACCCCAATCTCTTCAATAATCAAAAAAAATAAAAAAATTCAATTATAATTTCTAATTTGCACTTCGATTATAATTCAAAATAAAACAAAATTTTGAAATTTATTCATTATAAATAGAATTCTAAAAATTTAAGAAATTTCATAAAGTAGAAACACTTTTTAAAATTTCATAAAAGCATTCATTCTTCAACAAGAATGAACTGCTTTATTTTCTATTTCATTATATGATACAAAATTAAATATGATTAAATAGGCATTAATGGAAATTTTTTTAAGGATGGCGATTCTATTTGCAGATAGTCTAATTCAAATTGACATTAGTAAAGTATCAACCAAATTTATTCTCATCTATTAGCTGGAAAATATAATCTTAAAATTCCATTTTAATCAAAAAAAATTGATAAATTTTCCAAATTATTAAATGCTATATATATATATGATAATACCAAACTGGATAAGGCGAAATTTGACTAAATGAAAAACCTTTGATGTTATCTTAAATTATGGTGAGGGTTTCTAAAATTTATTATGTTTAACAAGAATAGAATAAAATTTAATGTCATCTCCCATTCTCCCATTAGGATATTCATAGTATGTAGAATTGAAGAAGTGCTAAAACTATTTATCTTTTAAATTATATATCTCTTAGATAAATATTTTAACTTAATTATCAGTAGTTTTAGTTATTTCTAATTGAATTTTGCAATTCATTCTCAATATTGTTAGAAAATGATAAATCTATCAAAAAATGCCTTGTTTTATTAAATATTAATTAATAATGGTTTCTATTGTTGTACACACATATTAATATTTTATTTTAATAGAATAAGGAAAATTAAAATAAAACTAATTGGAATTATCTGAATATAATTAATAAATTTGTTTTAACAATGGATTAATCCGCAAAGATAACACTTAAATGCCAAATAAACGATCATAATGACAGCATAAATGCTATTTGTTATAACTAATATTGCAATGAATTCAGATTCAATTGTTTTAAATGTTCTAAGCAAGGAATCCATCGAAATCATATGGAGGATGTTGAACAAATNTGTTAAAGTTTAATTAAGAGTAATTTATTTGGATGTTCAAATTCTAATAATATGCAAAGTTCCTTTACAATTCTAAATATAAAAAGTACATCATCTACCCCAATCTCTTCAATAATCAAAAAAAATAAAAAAATTCAATTATAATTTCTAATTTGCACTTCGATTATAATTCAAAATAAAACAAAATTTTGAAATTTATTCATTATAAATAGAATTCTAAAAATTTAAGAAATTTCATAAAGTAGAAACACTTTTTAAAATTTCATAAAAGCATTCATTCTTCAACAAGAATGAACTGCTTTATTTTCTATTTCATTATATGATACAAAATTAAATATGATTAAATAGGCATTAATGGAAATTTTTTTAAGGATGGCGATTCTATTTGCAGATAGTCTAATTCAAATTGACATTAGTAAAGTATCAACCAAATTTATTCTCATCTATTAGCTGGAAAATATAATCTTAAAATTCCATTTTAATCAAAAAAAATTGATAAATTTTCCAAATTATTAAATGCTATATATATATATGATAATACCAAACTGGATAAGGCGAAATTTGACTAAATGAAAAACCTTTGATGTTATCTTAAATTATGGTGAGGGTTTCTAAAATTTATTATGTTTAACAAGAATAGAATAAAATTTAATGTCATCTCCCATTCTCCCATTAGGATATTCATAGTATGTAGAATTGAAGAAGTGCTAAAACTATTTATCTTTTAAATTATATATCTCTTAGATAAATATTTTAACTTAATTATCAGTAGTTTTAGTTATTTCTAATTGAATTTTGCAATTCATTCTCAATATTGTTAGAAAATGATAAATCTATCAAAAAATGCCTTGTTTTATTAAATATTAATTAATAATGGTTTCTATTGTTGTACACACATATTAATATTTTATTTTAATAGAATAAGGAAAATTAAAATAAAACTAATTGGAATTATCTGAATATAATTAATAAATTTGTTTTAACAATGGATTAATCCGCAAAGATAACACTTAAATGCCAAATAAACGATCATAATGACAGCATAAATGCTATTTGTTATAACTAATATTGCAATGAATTCAGATTCAATTGTTTTAAATGTTCTAAGCAAGGAATCCATCGAAATCATATGGAGGATGTTGAACAAATAAGTAGCCTATCTGAATTTGTAGAAAATATGAATAAATATTTTCGAGATTTTAAAGGCAGATATACAAGTATAATATAAGGACTCGTTAAATCATCAGAAGAATTGATGAAGGGAATGGAAGAAAAATATTACTTACCAAAGGAGAGGATAATGATTTTGAATTTATAATAATTAAATGATTACTTGAATTCAGCTATCCAATTTGATGAATACAAATAATCAATTATACCTATCATTACAGATATGACTAAAAAAATGGAACATTAATTTAGCAATTTAAAGGAATAACTAAAACTATATGAAAATACTTATTTTATCAATGATATTAAATACTCATAAGATATATTTTAGAAAGGTAAATTTATCAATCAAATTTTTAGGCTATAATTTATATTGTAGAGGGGAATTTTAGGATTCTATAGAATAATTAAATATATCAATTTAATTAGATCCTTCTAATTTTTAGGCATTATGGTGTAAAGGTAATGATAATAATTGATAATTAGGTGCATGTTTAAGGTTTTTGGAATAATATAAGGATGCATTAGTTTGCTTCGATTAAGCAATAGAAATTAATCCTAAGCATGTTAATTCTTTAAGTAATAAAGGTAAATTAAATGTAAATTCAATTATTAGGTGCATGCTTAAGAATATTAGAGAAGTATGAAGAATCATTAAGTTGTCTAAATTAAGCACTCTAATTTGAACCTTATAACTCTTTTTCACTTCAAACTAAAGGCATTTTATTATTCTATTCTCTAGGATAATTGTTAGAAGATTAAGGAAACTATGATGAAGCTTTGATTTATTATCAAAAATCGTTGAAGTTCAAACCTGTTGATTAATATGTAAAAAAATTAATTGGTATTTTTGATTAAATAATTAATTTAGAGAATTGCGAGTAGATTTGTGCGCAGAAATTGAAGCTATGATTATTAAATTAAATATTTTTTATTTCAAGTTTCTCATTTATATATTGATTTTGGATGAGAATAAAATGCTATTTTGAAACTGAATATATTATTTTTCAAAAGTTAAAGATCTTGAAGATAAACTGATATATCATATAAAGCTTTGCAAGATATGTCAATTAAGGTATTCCTATCACTATTTAATATAATCAATCAAAATTGTTTTATAATAAAATAAAATTCATCATTCAATAGTTGAAATAGTTAAAATCCATCTTCGAAATCTGTCCTATTTCTATGATTGCAAAATATAATTGTGGAATTAGTAGTTTTATTTTGTGGTTTATGAATTTTTATAATTCTTCAATAGTTTATCTGCAATAAGATTAAAAAATTTGCTTCAAAATTGTTATCTATTTCTGCAAAAGTTTAAACAATAATTTCTAATACATAATTTCCCTGTTTAAAGTTAGAGTTATTGGAATAATCTATGTTTATAATTTTTGATTAAAAAAAGACTTAATACCAAATTTGGAAAGACCATAGATTGGCTTTAAAAAATCAAGGAAATCATGATACATTATGAACACTTTAATTACTCAATCAATTTCTAAAAAGTATAGTGATAGCATGTTTCTAAGGTTAACCCTTTGAAGTATCTAATATATTTTTGGTTGTAAAAAACAACTTACAATGCCACTATTTGTTTAGGCTATATCTTTTAAGCAATTTTACTAATATATTAATATAATACATTACCTCCATTTTTTGTGATCTAATTGGCTTCAAAATCTTTCTTGAAAACTTAATTGTTAGATCATTATTTTCATACCCTCTTCATTTTATGATTTTAGAGTACTTAATAATTTCCAGAATGTAAAATAATTAGATAAAAACTTTCTTAGTGAAGTATTTCTTAAGTAGCTAAATAAGGGATGAGATAATATGTTCTAAATATAAAATCCTTTCAATCTATATCAAAGTTCTAATTTAAGATAGTTTATCTCAAAAAAAACCATACCTTGTGAGAAAATCAGTAAATAGTAGAAATTCTAAAAAATGAACTCAACACCATCATTACCTAATATTTAATGATAGCAATTACATTGTTTTCAATATTAAATCTAAAACTTATTTTATGGATCAGTTTTTATTTACTATAAAATCAGCAATCAATTAACTTGAACTTAAGCAGCCTCGGTATGCCCCAATTTATTATATTCTTACTGGTTCGCTAATGTTTTCAATAAATTCAATGTTTAGTAAAATGATATCACATATTCCTTCACCTTAAATTGTATTTTATGGAGCTATGATTATGTGTTTGATCAACTTTGCAGTAACCAGCACTTAAAACATAAGACTTTATGGCTTTGCGCTAGATATATATAAAAAATTATTTATGAGAAGCATATTTGGATATTTTGGAACTATTTGTTTCTATAAAGGGATTATGTAGGTTAGTGTGTCAGAAGGTCAAGTCCTTATTAGAACTTCTCCTCTTTGAACATCTCTTATGGCGATATATTATTTGAAAACAGAAAAATTATCGATAAGTTTATTTTTTAACTTGATTGTTTGTATTTTTGGAATATTTCTAATAAGTTAGCCTCCTGCCCTATTAGAAATTTTTGGTTATGAAAAAAGAGAAAATCAAGTAGAGACTTAGTTGAGTGGAATAATATTAATGATTTCTGCTGCTATATTCTCATCAATAATACAAGTATTAATTAATACTTTAGCTTAAGCTGTATGATTTTATTTAATCTAGGTAAATTAATTAGTTATTTTATAACACTTTTCAATTATGTCAATTGTAATGACATCAGTGACTTTATTCATTATTCCATCTCAATAATGGTTGGTGCCAAATTATTTTGAAATGTCTATCTTAATATTGATTGGGTCTACTTCATATATTACATAATTATTGATGAATAGATCATATATGAAAGGAAACCTTACCGAAATATCCATGTTAGGTTAGTCCTAAGTTATTTTTGGATATGTAATTGACATGTTTATGGGAATCAATCTGTCATTTTTTAGTGTTTGTGGTATGGGCGTGATTATTGCTTCTTTAATAAAGGTAGTTTTAGATAAATCGAAATAAGAAAAAGGTCATTGAATGATGTATAAAATATAGTTATTGAGTATATGATACATCACTTGTTGTCGAATTCTTGCCATTTTTTGTACTTATAAGCCTTATATGAAATAAAATACCTTAACAATAGTGAACCAAGTTCTTAATCATGTGTCAAGTTTCTAACTTTGTAATTAGGATGATTAAATGTAAAACACCTCATCTTACATCTATTTCAACAAAAAGATTATAATTTTCGTTCAATCTAAACTACAGAAAATTCAATTATGAAGACCGCCCTGAGTATTTGAAAGTTATGCACTCAATTCTTACACATTTATTTCTTAGGAATAATATATCGTCTGTTGTAAAAAAAATTCCAAAATTCATTTGCGGGATTTTCTATCATTCAAATGTTTAGAATTAATATAAAAACATTATCAAAGAATTTGCAATAATAAGAAATTTAATGTTAATTTCATAAATACTTTAAAAATAAAGGATGATCTTTACTCCCAACTCATTTAATGTTAACATTTTACTTCTATTGGAAAACTTTTTTAATTTATTGTTACAATGATATTAGATTATATGAAGCACCAAATTGTTGACCTAGAATAGGTGGCCGTAAATTGCAACATAATATAAATGATGCTTATAAGGGTTATCATAGACTAATTTATATTAATTTAATTAATATTCTTACCCTCCCTGAACGAACATATCTTTGATTAACATATCAACCTCCAAATATCATTGTCTAGATTGGTTGGATAGGTATTATAGCTTAGCTGAATGAAGAATCATGTATTCGATAAATGTAAGTTAATTTCTAGCAATCAATTGAAGTTGATTAATTTCAAGTTGTAGAGAAAATACAATGAAGGTTCGTCGAGAATAATATTGCAAAGTTTGCCCAGAACTTATTCTGAGTTTTGGCTGCAGATATGCACTTACCAAGGATTCTAATCATTTGGAGGAAGGACTCCTAGATCTAGATGAGGATGTAAAATGGAACTGATCGATTGGATGTAATTATTATATAATACTTTTAAAAGCAAATAAAATGGGAAAGTGAGTGGAAATTGGTTAATAAGGAGGAAGAGAAAATACAGTTCAAGAGACAATAGAATTTATTATCAAGAAAAGTAGGATTCATTTTGTAACTGTAAATGAATTTTTTATGAGTTGAGATTCAAAAAGGACAATATTATAATTTAAAAAATTATGAAATATAATATTTACTTTAACACTCAAGATTTGCATGAAAACAAGGTTACTTCAACTCTCTTTAACTTAAAATAGTAAAAATTATTATTACTATATCACCTTGTGAAATTTGGTTTCTTTTATATGAGAAAATTTTTCAATTCTTTGAAAGATAGACATTATTCATTAATACAAAAGAAGAAAGAATTTAGAAATCCTTATCACTTTATTGTGTACAAAATAGACATCAGAATTATACTTAATGAGTACGCACAGAAGACTGGCCAAAAATTAATGTCGAAATAACAGGAGAAAGGTGATGTATTCTTGAAGATGTCAAAGCCTTATAACTCAATTCATAAAACGAAATTGTGGTAATTTTAAAGAAAAGTANTTTTCGTTCAATCTAAACTACAGAAAATTCAATTATGAAGACCGCCCTGAGTATTTGAAAGTTATGCACTCAATTCTTACACATTTATTTCTTAGGAATAATATATCGTCTGTTGTAAAAAAAATTCCAAAATTCATTTGCGGGATTTTCTATCATTCAAATGTTTAGAATTAATATAAAAACATTATCAAAGAATTTGCAATAATAAGAAATTTAATGTTAATTTCATAAATACTTTAAAAATAAAGGATGATCTTTACTCCCAACTCATTTAATGTTAACATTTTACTTCTATTGGAAAACTTTTTTAATTTATTGTTACAATGATATTAGATTATATGAAGCACCAAATTGTTGACCTAGAATAGGTGGCCGTAAATTGCAACATAATATAAATGATGCTTATAAGGGTTATCATAGACTAATTTATATTAATTTAATTAATATTCTTACCCTCCCTGAACGAACATATCTTTGATTAACATATCAACCTCCAAATATCATTGTCTAGATTGGTTGGATAGGTATTATAGCTTAGCTGAATGAAGAATCATGTATTCGATAAATGTAAGTTAATTTCTAGCAATCAATTGAAGTTGATTAATTTCAAGTTGTAGAGAAAATACAATGAAGGTTCGTCGAGAATAATATTGCAAAGTTTGCCCAGAACTTATTCTGAGTTTTGGCTGCAGATATGCACTTACCAAGGATTCTAATCATTTGGAGGAAGGACTCCTAGATCTAGATGAGGATGTAAAATGGAACTGATCGATTGGATGTAATTATTATATAATACTTTTAAAAGCAAATAAAATGGGAAAGTGAGTGGAAATTGGTTAATAAGGAGGAAGAGAAAATACAGTTCAAGAGACAATAGAATTTATTATCAAGAAAAGTAGGATTCATTTTGTAACTGTAAATGAATTTTTTATGAGTTGAGATTCAAAAAGGACAATATTATAATTTAAAAAATTATGAAATATAATATTTACTTTAACACTCAAGATTTGCATGAAAACAAGGTTACTTCAACTCTCTTTAACTTAAAATAGTAAAAATTATTATTACTATATCACCTTGTGAAATTTGGTTTCTTTTATATGAGAAAATTTTTCAATTCTTTGAAAGATAGACATTATTCATTAATACAAAAGAAGAAAGAATTTAGAAATCCTTATCACTTTATTGTGTACAAAATAGACATCAGAATTATACTTAATGAGTACGCACAGAAGACTGGCCAAAAATTAATGTCGAAATAACAGGAGAAAGGTGATGTATTCTTGAAGATGTCAAAGCCTTATAACTCAATTCATAAAACGAAATTGTGGTAATTTTAAAGAAAAGTAAGTGTATGAATGATAAATGGATTAATTAGTTCTTCACTTTGTATGATAACATAGGTATTTATGATCCAGAAGAACAAAGGGTTATTTATTTAAGTATGGGGTTCATTATGATTTAGTACTCAGTCCATTGTTATTTTGAAATATATATTGATGAATTCAAATAAGAAGTGATAGAAATAGTCAAAAGTAAATCATGTTCCAAAAATGAGAAAGAACAAAAGGAGAATGTTTGGAGAATTGTAACTGCTCAGATATGCGGATGCTGAGATCTCTAGTATAATTTAACTACATCTCAGATTTTTAATAAAATTATGAAGGGTATATATATATTCATCCCATTATTAGAAATCATTCCCAACTACGATATTATCTTAAAAAGAAATTCATTTAGGAAAACAATTGGATTTAACAAAAACATCCCCAAAGAAATTATTTTTATGCAAAATCATAGGATGGTTAGAAAATGATACTTTGGAAGAAGATATTTTCGTAATAGAGGTAGAAGGTGTTCGACAGTTGATACTTTAGAAGAAATCAAGAGGGAATAAGAGAAAGACATAAGATAGTGTTTTCGGTTGGATGAAGAAGACTGTCAAACGACCATAAATAAGATGGAATTATCAAATGAACGATATGAGAAAAGAATCTGAATAATTGAAATATTAAGGATATACTTAAAATAAAATAGGGAGAAGAGTATTCAGAAATAAAGTAAATTGTGCACCTTATCGTTCTCAAACATAACTTTGTTGGTGAAGCATGGTGCTGCAGATGATCTTAGCTTTATTATCTGTAATAATTTTCCAAGTTTCTGATTGAAAAATTAACTATCAGAATTTTCTCCATTATTGAATGTAAGGAATTCAACATAAAATTAGTTTGAGAAACTAATTCCAATAAATACATGTACAAAAGGCTATATGCTTTATCGTATATGGTTGTTTGTTCAGATTCAGTAAAGTAAAAATTCAAATTTGAATTCTCTCAAAATAGATAGAGTGTCTGATGCTGAGCTCGATACTTGAGTAACCTTTTAAGTTAGATGCATATAATGGAACGGGAAACAGTTTAAATAAACAAGCAAAAAGTAGTGGAACCCAGATTATTTTTTCAATGAATTGGATTGCATATTTGATTACAAATCCAGATTCTCATTTATTATAAATTTTGTTCTAATAAGTTATTACCAATATTTGGAGGAATCTTGAATGCAAACAGGAAGAGGCAACTCTCTAAAGTAATGTACTATCAAGCTTACTCATTTTAAATCTCACAGTCCTTCAATATTCCTACCAATAAAAGTGGATAATAATCAGATAATTTGGATCGCAAGAATTTTTGTGAAGTTCATAGCTAAACGGAGCAAAATATTATACAGGAAGAATCTAAGCGAAAATTCTAAATAACATGTTAATCAAGTCATAGTTTATGGACTAATACAGTTCTAATATGAAAACATGAAAGAGAAGAAGTTAGATTCTGCATTATATATTGCAGAGATGCTTTTGATGCTACTGTTTAAAAAGGTTATTTGATGATCATCCAGCTAATTTCTCTTGAAGATTAAAACAATATAGCAAGATCAACGTTCTTCAATTTTATGAAGGATATATTTATTATATGCAGCTTAGAATGAATAGATAACTCATGTATGTAAAATTTTTGATATTTAATTAACAATTAGATATAAGTCTTGGTGCCATTAAATGTTAGTGCATAAGCAGAGTACTCATAGCCTTCTAAATACTTGGAAATTTATATGTAGTTTATGTTGTTAGAGTTCTTGCAGATTCCTTTTGGAGCTCGAGGAAGCAAGTTGGCTAGGAAAAATATTTAAACTTAAAAAAGATAGCTATCGATGTGCAAATTAGGAATTTAATCCAGAAGTTATAAACAAGATGTTTTTTGGTATACAATCAGTTCATAATTTCCTTTGTTACAATTATGAGTAAAGTCATAAAATATGAGTAATCGAGGTTAAAGAAAATCTGCATCATTGAATTGTAAGAAATTGCTCACCAAAATTTAATTAATACAACTAGTAATATCCAAGAAGGCTTCATTATTGATACATATTTTCCTCAAGCAGTATTTTCCAGTTACAAATGGCTGTTGTAATAAGATATTCACATTTTAGCACAGATTTGTTAGTGTCAAAGAAACTGTTATAATATTTTCAGGTTAGTCGGTAAAGAAACCTTAGTGTCCTCATATTTTCGATGAAACATTCCTAGCTATCATCTGAATATGTTTCCAAGCTCAACAGCTAATATTAGGTGTTCACCAGATGTAGCTGAGATAAATATCACTAAAGTGAGTTGTGCCATTAGAATAAAAAGCAGGGTGTAGTGATATTAGATTCGAAATTGCTGACACGTTTACCACATTCAGTAGCTGAGTAAATCATTAGGTTTTGCACTATTAACATTGAGATTGTTGGGGTTAGGCAAGGGCATTGACTTCCAACTATAAGAGAGTGAAAAATGTGTGGTCTAGACTACTAAAAAATGAACTACATAAAGTACCATCTTATAAGAATTCTACAAGCAATAGGATCTCTAATTAAACAAAGAAACAAATTTGGAATAAGCCATAACAAGCCAGAGTTCATGTTAACTACTATTAATCGCCTGGATATGTGATTACATTAACTCATCTGTTGGAATAATTCAGACATTTTCTGATAACTACCAGAAATATTGGAGGATATATTATTCAATTTGTATCTTGATGGTTGTTTCGAATTGATTATAAGCTGTCTTGCATCGAAGTAACCATGATATATTGTGGACAAATATCCATCTTCGTGCAAGGTTGAAAGGAGCATTTCATGATTTGTTATATTATAATGACAGGGATAAATAGAAAATTTTCATTTATATGGTCATTTACCAATGCAGGATGTTAGGTGAAAAGAAGCTTATAATTGTGACTAGTAAATAGATTAAGGGATTAAAAAAATAATATTACACATTCTAGTGAGTTTTAATAAATTACATGTTAATAGAATAAATTACAAAGTCTTTAGCTACCCCTTAAAATAAAACAGTAGGAACATATTTATATATATATCACATAATCTAATAACTGTAATATATAGTTTATTGCTGCAATAAAATTGACACTGAAGCAGAATTCTAAACTGTACTATACGGTTCAATTTCGGGGTGTTGATTACGAAAATGATGTTCTTACAAATAAAATAAATTTGTTTATCATCCATTCATTCGCAGAGTTTGCTGGTAGGTACACAATAGATCTTCCTCTAATTAATTTAGCTGCTGGGATGTGTATACGCATAATGTGTAACAATGGCTAGCAGCTCCCAAGTAGGCGGTGCCAAAGAATATCAAATAGTTAAACATAAATATGAGTGGCAGTAGCGAAAAAAAACAAAACTATCAGTTTAATAATATTTTGGAGACACAAGGAAGGCTTAAACCAAACTATAGGTTTTAAATCAATTTAAAAGATTTATATATATTAACATATTACAAGCTGCATTTGAAATGAGAATTATGAAGCTAATCTTAAAAGCATTAAGCTCAACGTTTGACTTTTAGATGAAATCTTACAAAAATTATTCAGCATTTTACATTAAATTATTAATCAACCAATTGTGAAACTATATTAAATAAACATAAGTTCACCTCCATCAAGGGTAAAAAACTTTTTTGCCAAAGAGATGAGCTAAATAAACATTAGAAGCTCAATTTAATCCTTGTTTTAATTATTAATTACTGCATTTTATAAAGGTCGAACTTGCTAAGATTTCAATCATCCAATCTCACTTATGTTGAACACTCAACTTGGAGTTCTCATAAGAATTAATAATAAACAATGTGCTTAAATATTATAATATTATTACAGAAAGATGAATTCTGTGACTTAAGTTGGTTTATTAGAAACGAAATTAAAATGCAAAATATTTGCCTATTAATAGAATTGTACTTGATTACTGAAATTAAGATAACAATAAATAATAATAATGATGAGGGTGGTAGTTACAAAACAATATTGCAAACCAACAGCCTCAGAGAAAACCTACATTTCAAATTGCGATAACCCAGAACAAGACTAGTTAATTTGATAGAACGCCTATAAAAGTTTGAGGTGCATTAGAGTAGAATTAATTAACATTGTTATCTGAGAAAAACCTCAAGCATTACAATATTTTCAAGAAGGATAGTACGAATTTGAAAACTTCATTGAATTGGTTGCATCATAATGTCTAGAATGTAACGAATTCTTCAGTCTCAAATTCTAGGGAAATTTATGAACTGTTCGCTAATTGAAATGTTTGTGTAGTATCCAATTTGCTCTTTTTACTTGATGATACTTATACCTTCAATTTTGCAAGAAGCAAAATTAGTATTGCAGAATTAGGAGTGAGTATTATAAAGGGACAATTACAATTGTAAGAATTAAAGAGAATAATCAAAATTATTCAAAAATTAGTCTACAACACTTTGCAATTTGAAATTTCAACCAATAATTCCAAAGAAAGTATCACAAGGATTAGACAGCATAATCTCTGGCAATTATTGGTGGAGAACACTTGATATTAATAGCATCCTTCTGAAATAATCTCTATTACTTGTCAAAGTAACCTATTCTTTGTTATCCACTCAAAGACTTATTAAAATAAAACGCAGTTAAAACCACTATCTAAATCAGCGGGGATATCATAATTGGTGGAAAGAATCAAATATTAAATAAAAAGAGTATTATTCTTTGCAAGTAACTGATTTAAATCCTTACTGCTTCGGTTCCTGTTATAACCTATTTCCAAACTAGTAAAGTTGTCCTCTTAGATATTTGTTAGTATGGTTAACTTTAAATATTCCTTGCAACTCCATATTAGAGATGTTCTATTGTCAGTCCAAATTAATTATAGGGGTGCCCATCAGCTACTTAGCTTCATTGACCCTTAATACTATAGGTACTGTAAAGGAAACTCAACCTTTTTTTGAGCTTAGAGCATAATTGAAGGTACTGATACTACTGATGTTTTTCTATAATTAATTTACAATAATCAACAATTATTTCAGGTTATGAATATTGAAAACTAACCATAATGATCTACAACTTCTAGTGCTTGAGTTTATGCACTATTTCAATTAAGGATTTCAACTATATTGCTGATAGCTTGCATAAATGTATTATCCAGATCAATTCCTTATGTGGAATTTTCTAATAATAGTCATATTCAATTTAATTTATAAATGTGACGAATTTCAAAGCTGATGCCTCCTATAATACCTCTTTTGTCCTTATTTCACATACAATATATCATAGGGTATTTTTCTGGTTTATATTACTCGAGCTTTTACTTTGGTATTTAAAAGAAAATGTGTTTGTGTATTGAATATGATGGATTCCCTATAAACATCAGTTTTAGTAAAACGCTACTAGCAGCTCAATGGAAACATGGCTATAATGGTATTTCATTTTAACAACCCAATTTTCCTTTAAATTTATATGCTTACCAACTTGATCATGTTATTATATATTGAAATAATTCATTTACTAGGTTTTCATCCTGTTGCAGCATATATCTAAATGTATTAGTTGTTAAGTAGTAAAGGGAGAGGTGTTTATTACTCTGAATTGTGCTGACTTTATACTAAATTTGCCCTCTCCTCAGATCCTTCCGTATAATTGTAATATAGGGTAATTAATTAATGCACTAAATTCCATTTCTTTTGGTTAAAGGCAGGCCCTTTCCAATGCAAACACTAATAGTATTTTTTTAATTTCAAGGGAAATAATTGCTAAGTGTTTTCAATATATTGTTTATTTTATATGTAATTGATATGTGTAAGGCTGAATTGCTTTAACTACTTGACACTATATTCAAAGTAAATGCACAGAATTAATTTGAACGTCCTGCTTAATGGAGAAGTTCTTTAAATTGTTGTCACGATGACCCTTTCATAAAATTAAATTTTCATATTTTAAAGTAAGAGCTTTACTTTTTCAAAACAAGACAATTTAATAAGCAATTGTATTATCAAATCTAATTTCTGTCAATAATAATAGTTTTGATCAAAGTAGAGAAACATTGTTATTTAGAACTTCCATTTTGGATTTTACTTTAGCATTTTACAAATTGAATTAAACAAGTAAGGTTTATGATACCAACTAAGCCGAAATAATAGCAAACAGGAAAAAGGTTTTAAGATGAGGGATGAAAAATTTTAAATAACTTGTAAATGAGTTCATCTTACTTTTGGTTGGTGTCTAGTTTATTATAGGAATGCATTTATCTCGAGATGAAAAATGGAGTGTTCAAAATTACTGCTTCCAATTGAGTAAGTTCCAAATATTCATAATCTCAATAAAAATTGCATCAATAGAATTACATCCTTGTTGGAGTAGATGATTACTAAATTTAGATGGCTTTGATTCTGTTTGAGGCAGTCTTTCTTTCTTTGAAATAATAAACTTTTCTGTCTTGCGAACACACAAAAAAAAAAGGGTTTTAGGGTAACTAAAAAGAAATTTTTTTCGGCATCATTGGCCCCTTCTTCGAAGGGCAGGTGAGGAGGAGGAGAAGAGATAAGACGAAAGAGAGATACAAAAAGTAATTATAATTGATATAGGAAGCAGGGGTACATAGGAGGTAGCTAAACCCCCTATGCCACGGGAGGTAAAAAGGAAGAATACAAGTAACAATATAAAATCAATTAAGTTAATTTAAAAATCTATTAGGGTTAAATTCATAGTTATAGGGAAGAACAATTTTGTTATTTCTCAATTATGTTTATGAAATCCAATCTTGGGTAATTTTGTAATGTTATAAACAATTAATAAAATTGAATTAGTTGACTGATATTATTGTTTTGTAGATATTAATTAATTTCTAAAAAAAAACAGGTTGAGGTAAAATTACATAGTTCTTATCTTAATGATTAATAGCTGATCCTTATATGCTAAATTATTATTGGAAGTAGCTACTTTGAATGTAATTCATATAGAACTTAATTAAGAATATTTTTAGGAATGGATATAATTATAATCTATTGGGTTAGAATACTTATTGATGATTAATTTACCTTTTCAGTCCTCTATAATATTTTTAACATCAATTGAAATTATAAATAACAGGTTACGAAAATATGACCAATTTTAACTTTGTTTCATTTAAGATTATTCTAAAATTAAGATATTTTTTTTAATTTTTAAATTATATCTTTCTTCTTAACTTTGTTCTAAATGTATCATTATATTTATTATGAACTGAAAATCTAAATTATACTAAACTATTAGTAATCATTATTAGGACCTAAACCTATTTACGCTGTTTATATTATAAATTTAATAGTATATTATTCGTCTATAAATATGAATTTATAACTGTTGTTTCTGACATCTCAATATTATTATTTAAATAGTAACAAAAAACACATATAATTCATAAAGTTATAAGAAAATGATTAAAATTATAATTGTAATGTTCTTAATGAATATTCAAATTCACTTCTTTTGCTTTAAGTCTTCTAAAAAGCAACTTCCTTTGGATTTAAACAAAGGTTTTAAATCTTTCCCTTAATGATTAATGAATTGTCCTTATAAGATAAGTGTTC